TTGCAACCGTATAGACCTGACGTAGTTTGTGAACGAAAACAAATTATATATTCATGAAATTATTCTTATTATTTATTGATAAATTTATTGATATATTACAGCCTGTAGTAGGTAAAATTGTTCACAAGATGTGACATAAAGATGTGTTTTATTAGAAAATGTTCTGTCTTTAGAAAGAGAGGAATAAAAGTACCGATTTTCAAGGATAGGTACTGACAGAAAGTAGGTGGTCAACTATAGACTAATACAGAATCTCAAAAAATTTTGAAATCATTGTTTTTGACATGATTCACTACTTTTTTTACTTTCTTTGTTCAAATATTCATTACCTAATGCAATAACTCAAAATCCGAGTCTTAAACCGTCAGTATATAAAACTAATTATATTTTAAAAATTCTATGATTATTGGACCAAGCAACAAGGCAAATGGGTACTATACAATATAATTGCTTCTAATAATGATTATCTCTATACCTATAATCTAAAAGTTTTCTTTAATTATAAAATTATATCACCATCATTCTATTCAAGCTACTTCCGCCTTAAAGTTTGTATAAATAATTTTGTGACCGACACTTTTCGGTGTCGCAAAAAAAGTCACTTCAATTACTTCAAATTTGTTCATATCGTAAATTACAATATTATACTTTTTCGCATTTATTTGACTGCAAACACAAGGTTATCGTTATGTAAGCGGAAAAGTTCATCATATTTAATGTATATTATAACTTTCAAATAAAAGTTCTAACATTATTTTAACTTTAAACAGAATAAATTAATATAGAGTGAATTATTTTTCTATTTATAAAAATCATTTGTTCCGGTTATATGCACTTGGAGGTGTAAGATTCTGTTACTATTATTAAAACTTCCTCGAAGATGTGACGTTGTTTTCTAACCTGGAGCACAATAGGAAGGGGTCAGCATGACCGGGATCATTTATTTGCAAGGAGGGATGAAATTATCTTACTTTATTAAAAATTTTTTTTAAGATGACATTAAAGAGTTTATTTATTTCCAGGGCTCGAACCAGTGAAAGTAGTTAAAAATACGGACTTTACGGACCAAAAATTAAAACTTAAAACTATAAATTAAATTATGTATAATGTTGAATTTATCACTTGGTTAAAATTGTTAAAATTTATAAATTAAATTTTTTCATAACTATAAAACATGAAGATATCGATCACTCAGAGTCTTCGACTCGGAGTAATCGATTTCTTTATGTTTTATAATAATTAAAGATGGCACAGTGATAAAATAATTATTTCATATTTTAATAATATTTTTACTGTAACTTTTTCAAAATTATTTTCACCATTCCAATTCAATTATTATTTTCAAAAATTTTTAACTAAAATTCTTCTCCTAAACAATTATTTTTAATAATTTTCGAAAAAGTTCTTTGATAATTTTCAAATTCATTTGTTTAAAATATTCCATTTTACAAAGTTTCAATTATTCGTAAATTTTTCAATTAAAGATATATTAGAAAATAAAAACTTGAAATAATTTCAACAACAACAAAAAAATCCGCAATTAAACTTTTTCAAAAAAATTAAATTAAAAATTAAATTATTTTTAAAAATTCACGCTATGTTGCTTTTAATATTTAATTATAATCTAAAATTTTTAATGAAAATCATTTTTAAATCAACTTTTATAAGAAAATTCTACACAAGAATTCGCAACAATTTAAATAAAAAAAATAATTTATTGAATAATTGAATTCTCCTAAAGAATTTTATCAACAAATTTTCAAATAATTGACTTCTTTTGACGAATTTTTATAAAATTTTTAAGAAATAATTACATTTTTCGAGAAATTCGATTAAAATTGTATTAAAAATAATTGAAATTCTGCGATGAATTTTATTATTTATAGAAATAATTGAATTCCTGAAAATAATATTGTATTATTTTTAAACATAATTAAATTTCTGCTAAGAAAATAATTGAAAATAATTGAATTTTTCCAATAATTTGTAATTTCTCCAAAATTAATTTTTTTTCGTGTTTTTAACTAATTTTCTTTTATAAATCCATGATTTTGAATAATTTTTGAAAAACGTTCTTTGAGAATTTTCAAGTTTATTTGTTTACATTTTAATTTTCGAAAATTTCAATTATTTAGAAATTCTTTAATTAAATATATATTAGAAAATAAAAACTTCAAACAATAATTTCAAGTAAAGTTGTAATAAACTTTTTCAAAAAAAAAAAATTAATTCTTCTACAGAATTGTTACTTAAAAATATGAAAAACTATAATTTTCGAAGATTTTAATATGAAACCTTTTCCAAATTCAATTATTTCTAAAAACTCACTTAAATAAAGAAAAAAATTGTTTGAATAATTGAATTTTCATAAAGAATATATTTTATCAACAAATTTTGAAATAATTGAATTCCTGTAAAAAATGTTATTATTTACGTAAATAATTGAATCCTTGTCAAAAATTTTTTAATTATAAAAATAATTGAACTATTTAGACGAAATTTATAAAAAAAATGGTTGAATTCCTGTGAAATTTGTATTATTTTATGAAAATAATTAAATGTTTGCGTAGAATTTTATTAATATTTTTTTTAAATAATAATTGAATTCCTTTGGAACATCTTATTTAAATAGTAGAATATTGAATAATATTGAATTGAGAAAATTTTTTTAAAATAATTGAAATTTCGCCAAGAATTTTATTAAAATTTTTTAAAGTAATTGAAATTTTGCCAAGAATTTTATTAAAAATTTTTGAAAATAATTGGAATTTTTCCAAGAATTTTATTTAATTTTTTTGAAAATAATTGAATTTTGGAGAAGAATTTTATTATTTCTAAAGATAATTGAAATTTTGAGGAGAATTTTCAAAAAAATTTTGAACATAATTAAATTTTTGCGAAGAATTTTATTACTTTTGAAAATAATTGAATTTCTGCAATCATTTATTGGAATTTCTTTAAAATTCTCCAAATTATATCGTACAATTTACTAACTTTTGTCCTTTTTCTATCAAATTACGGACTTTCTCCAGCAGCACGTAATATTGGGAACATTCCAGCAATATGCCACGACATTGAGGCAATATTGGTAATGTTAAGGCAATGTTCTCAATATCGCTGTAATATTACGTGCTACTGGGGTTACGGACCTTTTTTCAAAAAAAAACTGATTTTTTCGGGATTTACGGACCTTGTTCGAGCTCTATATTTCTGAATGGCAAATGATTCTCATCCTCTGTAATTTCCTAAAAAATTAAATTTCCCAAATGGCAAAAATGATTTTTTTTGTATATTTAATATTTCATTTTGTTCAACATAATTGATTTATTTAGTTTTAACGTTTCGGTCGCAAACGGTGACCATCCTCAGAATACATTTAATTCTCAAGAATAGTTATAATATAAATATTATAAATCTTCAAAAATAGAAAAACAAAATTAAAATTCATTTTCCTCTTAAAATTATACATAATAAATACATGTTTGGTTATTCTTTGGTATTATATTAATTTTTTTTCCATATTTATATATAAAGGTCGTTGCAGTTAAGGGTGTTAATAACAAAGACCTGTTACAGGAAAACTGCTCATATTTAATTTTTTATCCGTAATTTTTTAAAAATAATTATAAAATACTCATCCTGTGTATTTATTTTAAAACAAGTGCAATGTCACGTGCTTTCTATGTGCAATTTTTAAATTTTTTTATGTATGTTTTTTATAATGTTGGTAAACGATAAATGGAAAGAAATTTCCGAGCAAATAAAACGCTTTTTCTATAATTTGAATTCTTGTCAAGGTTTGGATTCGATCCACTAATTCTCCTAATGGAAGTCAAATGATGGTTAAACAATTAATAAAATTTGGTAAACTACTGCATACCTACATCTATTTATAGAATTGATATTAATTGTACATAATTATATTAATAATATATGAGGCAAAATTTTTGGTACGATGGACAATATTGACGTCAAATGTTGAGCCCTTAGGGTATTGATTAATATTACAAGTTCTTAATTATGCTATATACGCATACATTATATGTAAAATAAAATTTTGTCACAACAAAAGTATTTGAGTACAGAAAACTCTTTGAAACACGTGGAATAAAAGGACATGACTTATAACATTTTAATAAATTCAAACAAAAGTTTGTTTCAACAATTCATAGAATTGCGATGTTATTCCGCGAAATAGATGCATGTCAAAAGTATATTTGCAGATATTGGAAATATACTTTAGTGATTCGGTGAAACCGGTGCTTTTTTTCAGTAATCTATACTCATTGAAAAGAAACGATTTTTTCAAAACTGACATACGTGGTACGTATTTTAGAATTATGAGCAATCAAATATCACATGTTGACCTTCCTTACATTATGTTTAATAATTTACTGATGACATAGTTATATCTACAATAATGGCTCTCCTCAGACAGTGTAAAGCTAATTTCGCTAACTAATATTAGAGTGATGTGACGATCGATATAAACGTTAATTTTCAGAAGATTGTTTTCTTTCTGTCTCAATATTTGGAGTTTCAGTGTAAAGAAAATCTATCTGTAATTAAAATTAACCAAAAATCGATGTGTTTCAAATGTATTTATTATTAAATTTATTAATTAAATTATATTATTGTATTATAGTTTTTTGCGATGTCACTGTATAGAAGAAAAGTTGACAATATTTTTATACTTTCGAATAATAATTTAATTTTTTAGTTTATAGATAATTTTATAGTGTTGTTCAAGATTATATATTATTCAAAAAATTATGAAAGTTAATTTTTTCATACTAGGAAACAATTTTAGTCGCATTTCAAATCAAGTATAAAGAAAATTAATTCTATTCAATGTCATGTTCATACCCAGTTAATTATAATTTAATGGTGTCTAAAAAAGTTTTTTTTTTACCAAGTTTCGAGTATTAAAAATAAAATTTACATATACAATATGTAGTGATTAAAAAAAAATTGTTCATTACATTAAAAATTAAACTCACCTCCAATTACTCGAGTGCGAATATCATCTGGCCGATCATTTCGATTCATTTGAAAAGTAGATCCATTTCCATTGTTGAGCATATTTGTCATTGGAAGGGACATGTCCGCAGGATTAATGCGGTTCGCGAATCCTGCCAGCTGAAAAAGATTTCAATCATTTAACTGTCAAATTATCGAAATGAATATAAAAAATCCGTAAATAAAAGTAAGAAATTATAATTTTAGATACAAAATTTTTTTTAAATTTGTTTTTTTAGTTCGTTTTTTTGTTCATGAAAATAATTTTAAATTAATTTAAGACAAAATATCTATATTATAATTCGAAAGAAATTAATTTATATTATCGACACATTTTCACAGCTGCATTTTCCCACAAAGGTTTACAAACCCTTTTGCACTCAGAAACTATTTAATCAACGTCACTTGAAATAACTATGTTTATACTGAAGTTTCTAAAAATATAAAATTAAACTATAAATAATTAAAAATATTAAAATTAAATTCTTAGAGAGAAAATATATTTCCTACTCCCGCAAAAATGAATTTTTAGATAAAATATTACCGATTATTTTCGAAATATTATATTAATATTAAAAATATATAAAAGTCATTATGTTTACAAAAAATTAATTAAAAAATTGTACCACCCCCCCCCCTTACCGGTAAATGATGTCACAAAATCTTAAAATCAAAAAGTAATAATTTTTTTCAAATTCATAAATTTTTTTTACTAGTTTCTATAATCAAAATTTATTAGGCTTCGAAATCGAAATAAAAAAAAAATTATAAGTTTAAAAGAAAATTCTACTGCATTTACAAGGAAAATGATTTTTGCTAATTTGAGAAAATGAAGAAAAGTGTTGAGATAAATCCTCGGATAAATCAGAAAAAACGATTCAGACACCGAATCCTAAAAATCGTCGACTTGGATAAATAAATTATTAAATCACAATTTCACTGTTCACTAATAAATTATAAAATAAAAAACAAAGTTGAATTAATTTTTTTTTTTAATAAAATTGTATCAGAAGTTACTAGCTTTTTGAATTTTCACTAAATTAACAGTCACCTTGTTAGACCTTCCGTCGACGATATCAACAGAGTGAGTGTCGAAGTCGTTACAGCGACGTTTCGTCCGTAGGCCACGGTCGCATGTTTAACTATATTCTTACGTCAAACGTAACCTTACCTTCTTTATTCTACATTCGTGGTTTCAAATAAGAACTTCGAGGAATTCTTGTTGGAATAGAAAAAAAAGACACCCTAATATCGTACAATGTATACAATAAATTATAATATTTATTATAGTATTGAATTGCAAACATTTTTGAAAATATTGAACTATGATAAACTTAAGGGTAAAGGTCACACAACGTGCCATCAACAAATGGGTGAGTAAGAAATAGATATATGTATATATATATTATTGTTCCATAACGTACACATTGCGGAGGGGTTGTTTGGAACATTTGAACTTTGAAAGTTTGGCTCCCTTTACATTGTTGCAAGCAAAGGATGATTAATTTTTTTATTAGGATTCTAATAAAAAATATACCAATTCTTTTATCATAAAATGTCCCGCTCTAACGTTTTTTGGAGATCCAAGAAGTGGCGAACTGTCTATACCGCCAAATTTAGGGATTTTTTAATATGTTGCAAAATTTTTTTTTATTTTTGGTTTATGTACTCGACATTTTTCAAAACAACGGTATTTTCAAAATTCCCTACACGGTCTAGTTAGTTTATAGCATATACATACAATGAAAAATTTTTGTATTTCTATTACAGGTTCAAATTATAATAACAGACAATAACAAACAATTATTAATAAAGAATTGTAATAACAAAATAATAATAAATTGCAACAAATAATAACCGAATTGTAATAACAAAATAATAATAAATTGTAACAAATAATAACCGAATTGTAATAATAAAATAATAATAAATTGTAACAAATAATAACCGAATTATAATAACAAATATAAATAAAATAAATTAATTAATAACATAAAAAATACAATACGAAAAGTGTAATAGAAAAAATATATATATTTCTCATATTACTACGTCTCACACAATTTCTTCCAACCACTTATAGTCATCCTATAGAATCTTTACAAACCATAAAAATTAAAACATATGTTAACTTAAAACCGAAAAGTCAAAATTCTTCAGTATTTACAAAACAGCCAAACATATCACATCTCACGTTTATCTCACATCTCAATGCATTCAGTTTGTTAAAAATTAATATAAAAAAAAATTACTGAAGAGGATCCAAACTAGGATCGAAACGTATATATAAAAAAAACTTAAAATTTAGTTTTTTCATTTCAAATTATTGACCCTAAAAACCACAAAAAACTCTACACTATTACAATACTTGGGTCACAAAAGAGTCCTACATTTATAATAATAACAAACAAATTATAATTATAAATAACAAAAATTGTAACAACAAATTATTACTTAATTATTAAAAATGTAATAAAAATAACTCATATGGAATGAGACAAACGTGCGATCTAATAGCTGAGTCACCACAAGTGTTCTTACTTACAATGACAATGGATTTCCGAAAATGCATGGCTTAGTGTATATTTCCAAAAATACATGGGTTAGTGTACATTTTTAAAAATGCATAGGCAAATTTTGGTATGAAAAGGGCCAGACCATCAACTGCAAGTCAGTCAAGAAAATGTAGTCATAAATAGTCGTCAGTATTATAAATCTCAAATTAAGAAATGGTGCTCTTTACAAGTCAGTCTAAAATTTTCATGATTTTCATCTTCAACAAGTGGTTCTCTACACGTCAGTCTAATATTTTCGTGCTCATCTTCACGTCAGTGTAAAGTACAAATTATCTTCAAACCAAATATTACTGAATTTTGTTCGGAAGTACTGCTCGAGTTTTGTAAATACATAATTGTTATTCATCAAAAGGAAGATTTACGAGAAACATAGAGTAATACGGGGTGAAATAGCCACATTTTTACATTTTAATTTATAAAATCTGAATTTAAAATTTTTTTCTCAAATTTCCAATTGGCATTGAAAGTTTAGTTATTAAGCTTGAATATTCTTGACGGAAATATTTTTTATCCCATGAAAGGACTAAGTTATAAGAGTTTTACGAAAGCTCTGCAAGTGGCTTTTTTGTACCATCTGGTGTGGGGAGAAAGCCACCTCGTGATTTTATCAAAATATGTTAAATTAATTTTGGTATTTTTATAGTTTTCCTTTTATTTACATGACAAATAATCTTATTTTAATAAATTTTAAAGAGCTTTTATCAAGGAAAATTGAATATTATGTTAAGTTTACCTGTTTTCGATTTACACTACCAAGTTTTTGTACCTTTTTTTAAAGTCTTCCTTGAATTTCACCACAGATGCCATATTTTGTTGCAACCGTTTTTCTGTTATTTGTTTGTTTAGCGCACTTTGAACTATTTTTTCGTCGTGTTTAATCAATTTTATTAAGTAAACACGCGAAAATTTTGTAAAATTAGAAAGAAGGTTAGTTTAAGTAGAAAACAAATAAATTACACATAATATTCAATGGATTTTTGTCCCTGGCTTTTTCACTCCCAAGACCAGTTTTTCTAAAAGCTCATTCTGTCATAATTTGTCAACTTGCAACCACTTAAGGAGTCATTTGCCCCATTTGCCTGTGAAAAGGACCATTGCATCATTTCCATCTTTTCCAAATTGCGTTCATTTAAAATATACAATTTATTCAGATAGAATTATTTCTTTATTATTTACCAAACCCCGTCCCAATTTTGATTATCACTATAATCAAAATTAGAATCTAAAGCTTTTAAAAATTTGCTTCTAATTTTCATTGTTTTATATCAATAGATTATTGATCGTTTTTTGTTAATAAAAATTGACACACTTTATTTCCGTATTGATGCGAAAGAATTAAAAAAAGTAAACGAAGGATTTATATATTCAATTTCATGCATAAACCATATTCATCATATTTATTTCATTTATTTAAATGAATTGAGGTTAATTTAATTGATAAAATTATTTTGTTTAAAGGGAAAATCTCAAATGTGTTACTTGAATGACTGACCTGTCAAATAAATGTACGTGCGAATACCGAACAAAATAAAATGACTAAAACATCACAAGAGGATAAATATAAAGGCAAATCAGAATGTAGGTAATGTCGCAGTGTTTTGATTTTAATTATTTTTATAAATAAATATTTGTTTTAAGCATTTTCTTTTAAAATCATGCATTCAGTTCCTATATATTTTACAAAATTTACTTTTTGAACAATTTTTTGAAAATATTTTCCAATTGCGTCTGAAAGTTAATATATATTTAAATATTGATTCTTTAATAAAATTTATATTGTAGGATTTTAAATTTTTGGAGAAAAGTGACGGGCTACATTTCTCCGAAATTGCCAATTGAATTATTTATATTATCGATAAGAATTACATTTGCAATGTTAGCTGCTACATTTAGACTTATTGTTCCTCCTTCGATGAAAAATTTACTAGGCGAGACAGTGTTGGTAATAAAAATTAGAAAATGCTATAATTATTATACTTATTTAAATATAAATTTATCGTTATGAGTAAATCAATTATTGTCTTCAGTTAATTATTAAATATTAGATTTTTTTTGGTTTGATTAATTGTTTAACTTTAATTAATAAATTCATTAATACAATTTTTACTTCATAATTGACATTCATAATTGATTCTGAAGATTTCTGGAGCAGGTCATGGAATCGGAAGAGAATTGGCTCTTCAATTAGCTGCATTAGGTTGCATTGTTGTCTGTTGGGACAATGATGTCGAAGCCAATAAATTAACATTGAGCAAAATTTTAACAAATGGAGGCGAGGTATTAATATTTATAAAAACTTTAATGTCTTTTCAATTTTCTTTTCAACTCCAAAATTTACATCAAATGGAAAATTTAAAAAATGACAATTAGAATTAATTACTTTTACGAATTTTTCCCCTTATAGGCATACGCTTTTGTTGTCGACATTTCAAAAAGATTGGAAGTTCGAGAGACATTAAGAATTATGAGGAAAAGTGGAATTTCCGATGTTTCTATTTTAATTAACAATGCTGAAATTTCATTGCATGGACCATTTCTTGAACATTACTCTGACGACATTGAAAAAATATTTAATATCAATGTACTATCGAATTTTTGGGTAAGAATTTTGTTTCTTTCATTACTTTTCATAAAAAATGTAAAAATATTTTAAGCAGTACTATTTGTTTGGTTTTCATTTGGTTACATTGCTATCGGATAGGAAAATAATTTTTTTAGGTTTCAATTTTATGCGAGAAAACGCATTTTTTACATGGAACATTACACAAAAAAACTTCATAAGAAGTCAGCTTAGCATGTAATATTTGCACTTTACAGAAGATAATTCTTCCCATTGCCACTCCTTTTTTTTAGGAAATGAGGCAACAAGTGAAGTATTTTTGTTTAAAAAAAAAATTTTGTCCCCTATCGTGCCTCCGGGACATATATGTCCCACTTAGAAAAATTTATGTAATTGTTATAAAAGTCAACCAATCAATTTGCGGTAAATTCATTTCTATTCCAAATAGACGCTGCTACAATTAAAAAATAAAAAATTACAAAAAGTAGAAATATTTTAGGATGATTGCTTCAAAATTACTATTCGGCGGTTTTTCAGGTCGCTGATTACTAATTTTTATGTCAGTTTTTGAAAATTAAAAATGGGAGATTTAAGAAATTTAATATAAATTAATCTTTGCCAGTTACGAAAAACGACCGCCATATTGGATTCGCCATTTTGAATATTATAAATTTTGAAAATTTAACATCTGTGACTTTGAAAATAACTCCAAATAGCAATTTTGAAGCAAATTGAAGCAATTTTTTAAAATTAATCCATTTATTATTATATTTTTAATATTTTTAATATTATTTTTAATTTTTTTAATTTATTATACATTTAAAAAAAATTTTTTTTCGTATTTATAATTGTCATAACAATTATTATGAGAAAATTAAAAATTAATTAAATGTATTATAAACAGGTGTACTTCTGTTATAATTTTCTCATAAATTTTCATTTGCATTTCAATTTTCATATAAAAAGGTAATAACAATGAAAATAATTATATTCGTATTTTTTCTTTTAATATATGTTTTTAATGAGGAAATTTTTATTGACAATAAAAACTTATTTTATATTAAAAAATTATGTTTTCAATTTTAAAAATCATTTATGAGTGGTTTTTTTTAGCGAGAATGGAATTGTATATTTTACTATTGAATTCTTTTTACAGACAATACAATCTTGTTTACCGAATATGTTGCAAAGTGGAAAAGGTCACATTGTTTCTTTGTGTAATATGTTTGGGCTTTATGACGCTTCAAATAATGTCCCTTATTGTTCTTCGAAATATGCAGTAAAAGGTATTTGTTTTGTTATTATTATTTGCATTTTCATTTTGTTTTTTAAAATGAACGATAATAAAAAAATTATTTTAAAAGGCATATACCTTTTTCGTTATTGAAATAATTTTTTATGCTTATTGAAAATAACCAAAAAAAAAAATGTTTTTAAAATTCTAAAGGTAAATTTCGTCTTTTAAATAATTTAAAAATTTGATATGGAAATGCTTTATTTCTATTATAGGTTTAATGGAATCATTGAAAGAAGAAATAAAAATGGATTCAAGAAAGCCCCAAATTCATTTTACTGTAATTTATCCCTATTACGTCAATGCAGGATTGACGAAAGAATCTAAATATAGGTACATGTAAACATTCATTACTTTAGTAAATAAGTGAGAAAATAATTTTTTTTTCTTTTTCAAAAGGTTCCCCTATCTATTTGGTGCTGCTTCATCAGAATTTGCAGCTAAGGAAATCATCAAAGCTATCAGAAGAAACTGCAGCGAATACTCCATACCTCGAAGTTTTCTTTATTTGGATACTATTAACAGGTTAGTTAAATTTTTAAAATTTTAAAATTCTTTTGTTTTTTTTAATTTAATTTTTGTTTGTGTTAAATATAATAATAATAATTTTTCAGAGTCATTCCTCTTTCGGTGAAGAACTTACTACTAGATTTTCTTTCGAATGTTCGATGAAGATTCTTCAAATTATTATAAGTTTTAATAAGTTATATGGGAAGATTATTATGATAAGTGTTTTAATAATTTAATAACAACATTAAACTTATACTTACTACCGATAATAATAATTAATTTTGAATATTATTTTCAGTTCAGTAATTACTATAAATACGATTTTTATTTTACATTATTATTTCTTCTTTAACGTGCTTTTACGAGTTTTTACATTATAACTAAGTGGCGGACAAAAAATAAAAACTATACATCTGATTAATGAGTCTTACTTTTAGAGAGAGTAATTTAGAAACAAAAAAAATTTAAATCAATTCCATATTCATTTGTGATGTAAAATTAGAATAATTTCAGGGTCATAAAAAGTCTTGATTTCTCCACATAATGATGCTTCAAATTATGGACTAGTTTTTTGTGACTTTTTCTAAACTACACATTCAAATAAAAAGTAATGATAGGTTTCTTTGGTATTTTTATTCAACAAAACATATCTTTAATAATATAAATAATTTTAAGAATATATTTGTTTTTGAAGTGCTACCTACACCTAATTGGAAAATATGAAATATATATAAACTACCATTTCTTTTATTTACGTTACTAACGGGTTTTATTGTAAAAATGATAAGTGGAAAGTCGAGACATTTAATAAAAATGGCACACATGACATTATAATAATATATACGTAATCTAACAAAAATATTTCTGAAATGTGAGAAAGTTTATTCGGGTGTAGATATTTACTGGTATGCTCGTTATTCTAATATAAAATTACAATTAGGTTAATTGACAACACGTAACTCCTTTAGAATAATAATTATTTTAACACGGCCTATTGCTCGGAATTATTTTTGACCTATAATAATAATAATAATCTACCGCAAGCAAAATAATGTTGTAGGAATATTTATAAATTTTGTACTATATGTAAATAATCGTTATATTTTTCATATTTTTCAGAGAACAAAAATTTTATTTTCAAAATTTGTGAGAAGTCCTAACGTATTATAACGATGAGGGTAGAATTTGCTAGAAGTTGCTGTATGGTGCTATATAGTCTAACGAAAAAATTCATAACTTTTACATTTTATAATAAAAAAATTTAGAAAAATTGTTAAATGTTGCTTAAATACACACTAGAAAAATGTCTAAGTTTTGAATAAATTTTGAATCATTTATTCCTTTTCAAAATAAATTCTGAAAAACCCTCTAGAATCAACCTCCCAATGTTGTTATTCCCCCCTTAAAGTAGAGGTGAGATTTAAAAGAAATAATTATTTTCATAAGTATCTCAATTATAAAATCAGGAAATACGTAACTTTAATTATACATTAATCGAGGAAATTTGCCTGACCCTTGAATATACATGTGCGTCGCGTGAGTTCGTAAAAGTAACAAAAGAGAAAACTGAATACGATTATTATAGGATAGAGTAGTTGATATTACACTAGTTATTCAAGTTATCAGAATTTTCACTCGACACACTATTATTTTTTATTTGGCAATTTTAATTTAAACTTTTGATATTTAAATTGGAACTGTCTTATATGCCATTTCAAACTATATTCAAAATATTTATCGCATTAAATTAATTATATTATATAAGAGATTAATTTCCAAATTGTCCATTTATTTCAAATACACCCACATAGCACAATAGTATGAGGTAAGGTTATGTTGAGTACTAATCGTAAGGCTCATAAGGTTACACGATATTGCTGTGGTAGACCTGAGGTGAACTAAAAACTTCCGCCATGGAGGTAAGGTTACATGTTAGGGTGTGGTGACTATATATGATAAGGCCATGGTAACCTTACACGTTAAGGTTGAGGTAACGTTACATGTTAAGGTTGATGTAAGGTTACATGTTAAGGTTGAGGTAACGTTACATGTTAAGGTTGAGGTAAGGTTACATGTCAAGGCTGAGGTAAGGTAATTATTAAGTTGTAAGGTTGAGGTAAGGTTGTGATAAGTTTACCAGTTATAGAAAATATTGAAAAAATAATTAATAAATAAATATTCAATTAAAATGTTAAGTGTGTTGCTCTTCTCTATTTTGGAAACCTGACATGAAGCAGAAAATTTTGAAAACAAATTTGGGGGGACTGGGATTCGAACCCGGGATCGGCGCGCATAAACCTATCATTCTAACTAACTGAGCTAAGTAGAGAACTGGCAGAAGGAAAATTAATGTTGCCTTTAAGGAGTTAATCATCTTCTTGGTTCACCTTAAAGGCAACATTAATTTTCCTTCTGCCAGTTCTCTACTTAGCTCAGTTAGTTAGAATGATAGGTTTATGCGCGCCGATCCCGGGTTCGAATCCCAGTCCCCCCAAATTTGTTTTCAAAATTTTCTGCTTCATGTCAGGTTTCCAAAATAGAGAAGAGCAACAAACTTAACATTTTAATTGAATATTTATTTATTAATTATTTTTTCAATATTTTCCATAACTGGTAAACTTATCACAACCTTACCTTAACCTTACCTCAACCTTACAACTTAATAATTACCTTACCTCAGCCTTGACATGTAACCTTACCTCAACCTTAACATGTAACGTTACCTCAACCTTAACATGTAACCTTACCTCAACCTTAACATGTAACGTTACCTCAACCTTAACGTGTAAGGTTACCATGGCCTTATCATATATAGTCACCACACCCTAACATGTAACCTCACCTCCATGGCGGAAGTTTTTAGTTCACCTTAGGTCTACCACAGCAATATCGTGTAACCTTATGTGCCTTACGATTAGTATTCAACATAACCTTACCTCATACTATTGTGCTATGTGGGCAGTTTCAGTTGACATATTAATAATTACAGATCTAGAAAAATGTTTTGTTTGAACTAATGAGTTTATCTGAATAAAATAAAAAATATATTTGTCTCCAAGCTAGTATACACTGAGGAAACCGTTTGGAATCATTAGCCATTTGTTTGTTCTAATTAAATTCTTTGTTTAATATTGAAGCAACTAAACCGTTTCATTTTTTGACCTATGTTTTTTTGTTAAACTGTTTCTGTTCGGCCTAGCATAAGGTCAGCAATTTTTTTTAATATTTGAAACTAATCGTTGTTTTAGAGATCTTACAAAAAAGTTGGGAAACCAAACGAACATACGCTAAAATTTATTTGATAGTAGTTACTTTCTTAGAAAAGTGGACTTAGTGAAATTAATTATATCTAGAATGGGGTCAATAGTTTGTTGACGGAAATCAAGTGTAGACACACATATCATCTTGTCAAATAGGTTATATTACGAAATTAATTCTTTGAAATTGAAAACCAGTTTCTCCGCACCAAAGGAATAATAATAAAAAGAAAAATAATAAAATACATTTTTAGTAATTATGTATATTTATTTATGTTCATAGTCATTGATAATGAAATTATAATTAATTTTCATCCAATCTGGAAATTATTATCAATTTTTAGTAATAAAATAATAATTTTAGTATTTCTTATTCCATTACTACTTAATTTTTTAATTAAATTTATACGCTTCCTTGTGTGAGGCATCCTTTTTGACTTTGGAACAAAGGAGTGAATATTAAATTACATATAAAAATTAATGATATGCCGATAATAATAAGAGAAAGTCATTAGCAAACTAAATATGTATCAATCGGTATCAATCAATAAAATCAAGAATCATGTTATAGATTATAGAAAATTAACCACTCCCATGATGAAGAATGCTATAGAAAAGTATTAAATAAGCGGAGCAAAAAATTTAGTTTACAACTTTATTCAATAAAATATAAAACGTCATTTTCCTTTTGCTGAATTAATTGCTATTTTTTAACATAATTTATATACTTCAAATAGATATTATAAATTCTATCATTTGGAAGGTAAGAAACATAAACAATTTTATGTCATATTTTTAATTTGTCAATAAATTTACTTCTGTGTGGATACTCAGCTGGGTTTGCTGAAACCGACTGTGGCATAAAAATCCAAAAAATTGTAATTCCGCTGGCTTACTGGCTTCTTCTGTCTTACTAAAACCTTCTTTTTCCCCTTTGGGTCTACATAAGCTATTAAGCTTGTTGGTAATATCATAACAAATTAAACTTTTTGATATTATACGAATGTAAAAAATCACAATCAAATGTATTCACTAGTAGATGATACATAATATGCGTAGGGGATTATCTGAATAGCGAGTACATCCAATGATGATGATGATGCTCACATTTATAGGGTACCTACGCATGATGATGTGGAAGGATGAGTCCTCTTATTTTGCAATGCTCCAAACCGTCTACGGTACATGAGTTGCGTCTCATCGGATAGCACAAATCATTCAGCAATTTTTTTTATAACATATTTAACGACCAGCTACATATATAAAGAAAAACAACAAAAATTATAACAAACGCAATGCACACATACGCATAAAAAAATATATATCCATAAATTAATTATCACATAGGCAATTCGAAATAATATTACAATAAAACGACCCTTACCTCTTACAACAGGTCGAGTATTTTCGTGAACACAAATTGTCAGTTATACGTCAGTCTTTACATGAGAAAATGCTCCGTACTCAAGGAATCTAGCAATTTTGTTAATTACCCATCGTTTCTCCACTCTCCATCATACCACTCATTCTCTCATCAATTTTTCAATTCACACACAGGAAAAAAAAAGTCTGACTCCGTTTACACCTTAAATTCAGCCCATGTATTTCACATAAGTCTGTCCTTGTTTAACGGGTCTGACTCCGTTTACATCTTAAATTCAGCCTCAAAAATAGGCTGAAAGTAAAACTTTTTTTTTAGTGTGCACTATAAGATAAACGTTACAATAAAGATTCCATTATATCATCTAAACTTTTTTGAATTTAAAGAACAATATTCACTACAATAACTAATTTTCTAATGGACTATCAGTGGAGAAACAAAAATATCTTATTATATATTACTTCATTTTCATTATTACACTACAAGATTCATTACAACGGTGTTTACATCTATACCGAACTTAAACTTTTGAAGCGCCAACCTTCATATTGTATTTGTTTTTTTATATGTTACGAATGTATAACTATTATAATTAGGAGTACGTAATGTACGAAAGGGCATGTCCCGTTATGTTTCAAAAATAAAAATAGTGAAACAATGCACAGCAGGCTTCGAGAAAAGAAATGCTTTACAAATTCCTCAAAATCGAACTTTTACAATTGTAAAATGCAAAAATCATTTATTGTAAGAGTATCGAGATTGTGAAATAAGTTACCAATAATTATGATTAGAGAGGCTTCAAATCCATTTATAGGCCTATTCAACAATAAATATATACAGGGTAAAAAATTTATCAATGATTACAATAAGTTTGTATTACAGTTCGGATATGTGACCACTTTTTCCATAATGTTTAAAAAAAACTATGTACTTAAATTAAACATTAATCGGATTGTCTTAAAAATTGTAATTCGCGGATTTTTGGGGTCGCTGATTATGAATCCGTTGTTTTATCAAAAATTCAGACTGGTGAATCACTGAAAACGAATCCGTCAGTTTTTAGTAATCCAAGATGATGAATCCAATATGGCGGGAAAAATGAAAAGTTAATCGGGTTGTATTTTTCTTAGGCCTGTGCGGTATCGAAAATCCATAACCGGTTTTTGGTTTCTGAAAAAACCGGTTCTTAAGTGTCGGTTTTAAAACTAAAACCGGTTTTTTAAATACTATTTTATTAAAATAAACTGGTTTAAGAAAATTTGGTTTATTACAAAAGTCAGGTTGTTTTTCAAAAAAAAAAAAATATTTTTAATTAATTGGTTAACAGCATTGTTAGGTTCTTAATGGTAATTTTTTCGACCACTTTTCTCTTTAAATATTTAATAAATTGAGCTAAAATTTGGACAAAAGTCTAAAGTTCAATAATAGAAGGACAGTGAAGTGTAAAAATTTTAATATTTTTAAAATTAATTATTACAAATTACTTTAAAATTATCGGTTGTCACTGTCACTTCTAATCAGTTTCTCACCTTTACTAATTTCAAAGTGTTTTATTATAATTTATTTTTGAATTAGGTATATGTTATAAAACTTTTGCATATCACAACCCTTCTTTTTTATATTTCAGCCTTTCTTACAAAATTTCAGCTCAATTTATTAAATATTTAAAGAGAAAAGTGGTCAAAAAAATTACCGTAGGTATTAAATTTCTAACAGTCACCGGTTAAGTAAAATATCAAATTTTTATGTTTAAATTTTAAAATGTAATATGCATACATAAGGATTAGGGTTAAAATATTTATTAAAACACATTTCAGAAAAATTAATTTTTTATATTGGTTTCGGGACATGTTTTTTCAAATCGGTTAGATTCGGTATTGCGTTCGAATAAAACCGGTATTTCCCGAAAAACCGGTTTAAAAAAGAAAACCGGTTTTAAAGGAAAAACCTTAGCAGTTTTAGTTTCGTAAGAATTTCCCGAATAATTCCCGATTTTTGCATGGATTCTCAAAAAATGAACGATTTCAGTAATTTTTACAGAATCTGTTTTCTTCGTGTGCAATATTAAAGACTAAAAATGAAAAATAGGGACATTAATTTTTGAGTATTAACTTTTTACTCTTTAAATCAACTAAAATGACTTTTTTTTTGCTTCCCGAGGCCTTTGAATGGATATAAATAGCAAATTCATAAATCAAAAGCAGAAATAAATATGTTGTAAAAACAGTTTAATACATTATTTCCGGAATGTTAAAAAAGGGTATTTGTTCAAAGTGTGAAGAAATATGCGACAAGAAATATAAATAAATGATTTATGACAATTGATGCAATTTTTAATGGGTAGGCTATATTTCATTGCAACCATGTGCGGTTCGAGAGTCGTAAAATTCCAAAAATGAATAAGAGTTCTAAAAATTATGCGCTGCATTATTACCATGTGCTAACTGAAATTGTTCTTCTAATTAGAAATATTTTTCTTAGGAAATATTAACATTTTTACTTTCAGAAGGTGTACAATTATAAAAGGTATACTTTACCTGAATAGTAATTACCTTTCTTGTAAAGCAAGTTAAAATTTATAAAAATAAATCTATAACAGGGATAGACTAAGTATTTCTGCACCATTAACTTTAAAAAATATCATATTGAAACGAATTGATACCAAAAATCTGGATTAAATCAAAAAGATCCAAATTTTTGGCATCGATTTGATGCTTTCAAGTGCTTTCAAGAAATCTGTGTCCGTAACAAAATTCGTTTATCAAAACCAAAAAGCGTAGAAAATTTATAAATCTTTCGCTTAAAAATTAAAGTAGTACCCCAAAAAAATATCAAATTAAGTAAATGAAAAAAAATTATTTTGATTGTTTATAAATAATAATAAAGATGTATTTTTCTTAATGGGTAATTTTGAACAGGAAACGTGTTTTCTTTATGTTTTGAAAACTGAAATCACTTTCCATTATTTTGTAATCACGTGGAGGGATATGCTTAAAAAATGAGATGAGTTGATTGAAATCTCTCCCAACGTTTATCTGAATCATGACTTACTTAATGATGCTGCATCCATTCTTCAGTCAAGTTCAAACATTCTAGTCCTGTCTTTTTGTTTTCTGTGAGAGGAGGGAAGAAGGAAAACCAAGTTCCCGCATGTAGTATTGCTATCGTTCTTGTCGCAGGTAGATGGTCTCGAAATATTAATATTCACACTCATAAGGGACTAAACAGTTTCAGTTGTTGAATTAAATTTTTAAAAATTTACTCATTTCTTTTTGAAAGAAAAACAATTTTTTTGAAAATAACAATTTTTTTTAGTGAAGTGTCCTCAAGAATTTGGAGAAATTGGAAAAATAACAAAAGAAAAGGTAATTTGAAACATTTTTAAGTTTTTAAAATTTTTCTACCTATATCTCTTGTACTTATGGCGGGAAAATTTATTAGTATGCCAAATTTTAGTATTGTAGGTAAATTATAAAAAAAAAATTTAAATTTTCGAATTTCTAATTACTGCAAAAGTACCTCTAATAATACTTAAATAAAAAAAAAAAATTTTTTTTATAAAAATTATTAATTTGTTAGCTTTCTTAAAAATTAAAAGCTTTGAATAATATTATTCAAAAATTCCAAAAAATAATTAAATTTTGAAAGACTTGCAGTTCAAATTTTCATAAAAAATTATTCAAATGGATTTACATTAAAAGTATTTCGAAATTTTAAGCAAATGAAGATCAATAAGTATTTAAATATTTATTTTACAAAAATGATTTTGAAATTTGAAAGATTTAATTTGAAAATTCTGAAAACAGAAGGTTTAGATTTTTTGAAAAATAGTAATTTTAAAATTTCTTGAAGATATACTTGAAATTCCCTAATTCTGATAGGAATTGATTTAAAAAAAATGTCAGTTAAAATTTTAGAAAATAATTGAATATTTAAAGCGTCATAACAAAAAAAAGGAATTAATTAAATTTTAAAAGATTTTTAAATTAAATTCTTTGAAAATTTAAGGGAAGCAAAATTATAAAAATATTTAAATTTTCATTTTCAAAAATTATTAATAACATTATTTTTCTTTAAAAATTTTTAAAGTTTTGAATAATTTTATTCAAAAATTGTAAAAAAAATAATTGAATTTTGGAATAATTATCTACAGTTGTAATTTTTAGAAATAATTAAATTTCAATAGGTTTTTCATTGAAATTATTTGAAATTTTAATTCCTGTGGAAAAATAAATAAGAATAAGTTTTTAAATTTTAGTTTGAATAATTCTTTTTTTTAATCATTTAATTTAGAACTTCTGAAAATATTTGTTTCTTGCAAAAATGTAATTAAAATTTTTAAAAAATTATTATATTTCCGAAAATAATGTTAAAAATTGAAAATGAAAATTTTGACAAATTTCATTGAAATAAATTTTATATTTTAATGAATTTTATTTGTTTACATTTCAAAATTATTCTGAAATATAATCGCATTTTTGAAGAATTCTTATTATTAAAATTGAATTATCTAATTTATGGAAAAAAACCGATTAATTTTCTCTTATAAAATAAATAAAGAAGGGACTCGAAATTTAGTGAAAAATAGAAGAAAATAAAATAAAGAAAAAGCTAAAAAAAAGATATTATAAATTAATATTTAATATACAATACATGAAAAATTAATATATATAAATATGTTTCTTGAAAGCAAAAATAATTAAACTAAATATTTATTTAAAACAATATGACTAAAATGAAAATGTTTTAATGAGGTTGAACTATTATTAACTCTACAGTAAGTAAATATTTCTAATAAGTTCCTCTCATCAAACATTTACTCCAGAATATACGTATATATATATTCATTACATTCACTAATACACGTTTCAATATGAAATTTAAAAAGAAATTATTATCTTCAATTGTTTTCGCAATATTGTTCAATTGTATTTTTCTGAAAATATACTTTAAAAAATTTATTATAGTGAAATTTATATAAACTATATTTATATTGTTTTCCTGATCATGAAACGAATAATAGGGATACGATATTAATTTATTTCCGGCAATTTTTATTTTCATAAATTGACAATTTTTTCCCATTTTTCTGAATATCAATAAATTTTCCAACATAAATAGAAAGTCTCGTTTTTATTTACATATTTCAACAGTTTCAAATATAATTTTTTTAGCAGTTTATTGAGAATTGAAATATTGAAATATTGAAATAAAAAAGAAATGAAGTAAATTGAATTAACACGTTTAATAACTTGAACCATTTCCATATAAACATATATAGGTATGTATGTTAGTATAATGTAAATTTACATTTCGAAGGCATCATTTAATTAGATTTCTCTTAATATTTCGAACAAATACAATTCAAAGGAGTAAAAATCATAAAGAAATATACTGTTGCTTGACAAATTGAGATGAACCAGTCTAAAAGTGAGAGAAGAGAAAGGTATAGTTTTTTTCAATTTTTCATTTTTATTTCTCATCTACCACTTATCCTACATTTTTCAAATATAATAATCGATTTTTTTTCTGTTTGAATAATATTTACGTGAGGGTAGGTATATATTTTTCTTTTTTAAGAACAGTAAAATAGAAATTTAAAAAAATAAAATAAAAGGAAAATAAATTACAATCTCTATATACTGTTAAATGAAAAAAATATTGAAAATTTTTTTAATAAAAAAGTATTATGTTTTTCAAGGAGAGAAGTGCATGAGCAAAATATATATTATTCTTTTATCATATTTTTTATCGTTTTCATAAAAAAAAACCAATAACGAATGTTATTAAATGAGTGAATTTTTATTACCAACTTCAAGGAAACATGAATTATAGTTAAATATATATAGTGATATATATCTAATTTATTGTATTAAAAATATTATATAATACAAAATTAAAATATAATAATTTTTCAAGATTGTATGCAAATTGGTGACAATGGTCAGAGAAGTGTTGTAAGGTTGCTGCAAGATTATAATGTAAGCTTGCAAAAAAATTCAAACTTATTTTTATCTTACAATTTTATACAAATTTATAAAAATTGTATATTAAAATTTGCTAAAATTTTAAGAAACAAATTATTTTGCAAGTTTAGGTAGAGAAACTTTGCGACGAGGTTACAGATTAATAAAATCTAAATTCAGATTTGAAAAATTCAAAATGGTAAATCCAATATGGCGGATGTAACATATGGAGGTTTTGGTTTGCTGATTACAAATCTGAAATTAGATTTTAAAAATTCAAAATGTCGGGTCCAATATGGCCAAAAGCGACGAAAAAATTTTAAAATTAATATATTTGTAGAAAAATGTTTGCTTCAATTTTTTCAATTTATCAAACGTAAACACCCCCACTAACGAGTTTTAAGCAAATCTGGATAATTTTCATTATTTATGGTTGCCATATTGGATCCGCCATTTTGAATTTTTCAAAACTAACAATGACCTCTAGAAAAGTAATTATAATTAATATTTAAATAATTAAAATATTCTTATTCATATTCTTTATTGTAGAAAAACAAAATTATAAATTTTCAAGAAAAAAATTACATTAAAACCATAAATGATTTTTAAAACATTCTATAAAAGCGATATGATAAAAAATTTGCATTCTATGCTATTGTATTTAAATTAATTTTGTACTTTGAATTTTGTTTAAGATTAATATTTGTAATTTTCAATTTTCCGCCATATTGCATCCGCCATTTTCAATTTTTAATCTGCGGCCCTAAAAATAAATTAATAATATAATTCTATAATGTTTAAAATTGTTTATTTTTTTGAAACTTATATGAATTCGTTGACCATGAATTCGTCGCTTGGATGTCAAACCTCAAACCATACAATTTCAGCTGTGACTTGAAAATTTTCAAAATTCAAAATGGCGGATCCAATAAGTCGGACATTTTTTACAAACTTGCTCAAATTCGATTAAAACTTCTTATTCACGGATTTTCGGGGTCACTGATTATAAATCTGAAGTCAGATTTTAAAAATTCAATTAAGCGAATTTAATTTTCAAATTACATTTACAATTTCTGTGTCGACAGTTATATCATTTACTTGTACCAGATGTTAAACATTGCGTCAACGGTAATTATTTCTCTCCTAAAGTGCAAAATATGCAATTGTTTGCATAGAAATTTAATCATTATAATGCATAACTGTACAAAATGTTACTTTTAAAATTTTCATTCATTGCTTGCATATTGCGTATACAATAGGAAAACTTGTTCTCTAAAAATGCACATATTTATTCTCATTTTTATTTACTTTTTCATATTGTATTATAATAATAAACGAAAATCAAATTGTAAAATAAGTATTTAATATTAATTAATAATAATTATTATTATGAAATTTACAATAATATCCATATTTTCCAATAAATGTCGCATCAAATTAATATTGTATAGGTAATAACCTAATTATAGGGGCCGTCCATAAACTACGTCACGCCTTAGAGGGGGGGGGGTGAAATTCATTTTTTGTGACGTTCTGTAGAAAAAATGTCGCTAAAGCATGTAAAATTTGTGACGTGGGTAGGGGGGGGGGGTGGAAAAATTATGCAAAATAGTGTGACGTACTTTATGAACGGCCCCTATAGGTACATTAATATTAAAATAATCAAAAATATTTTCATCTTTATTCGTAAATAGACTTTTATTTCAGTTTTTTAAATAATAAAACCAGTAATTCTTGATTATAAAACTGAATTTTTTGTTAAAAGTATATAAAAATATAAATTAAAATACAATTTTTTTTAATAGTTATTCAAATATAATTGTAAATTATTAGATATTAACAATTTCTCTATGTTCAAATAAAATCAAATATTTCTACTCGCGAAGATAATATAATAAATTTGTAAGTTTAATAGACTAATTATTAAGATAAGTAACAGTTTGCAGTTCCTTTAACTGTCTATTTATAATTTTATAGTTTCTATATAAGGTTTTTATTGAAAGTAATTTTTAAACGTCAAATTATTATACATATATTCAGTTTTGTTTAGTTTTATTGAAAATTATTATAACTCGTCAATGAATTCAACTGCATGAAACGAAATAATGATTATTCTAATTATGTAATTTATCAAATGCGAAATGCAGGAAATAAAGTTAAAACCTAGTCAACTGTATCAAGTCCATTATTTATCGGAGTAAACTAAAAGTTGAAAAATCAAGTTTGAGAGTAAAACCTGTCTATAGTATTGTTTTGTGACAAAATTACATCATAATGTTGTTTTATTTTATAGTGCATTAAAATAAAAAAAAAGTAAACCCATAATAATGGTTATTATCTGATTGTAGAGGAATTATAATAATACTGTAGGTATATGTATACATATATTATGTAAAAATATATTTATTTTAAAATTATTGGAAAAAACTGATTATTTTGGTCTACTAATTTTTAACTTTTGATAAAATACCTATATTATTATTTGAGAAGTTTACCGACAAGAAAGACAAATGTGAAGTAGTATACAGTTCACATTATCAATTTAGAAACATGACAATTCACATTTTTTAGGATAATAGTAGATGAAATTTTGAGAAAATATTTTACAGTGACTATTATATAAAATGTAACTTTTATTTGTTAGTCAATACAATTATATAACTTACAACCATATAATAAAAAAAATTTCAAAATTTTAGAATTTTGAAAAAAGCATCACTAAAAATTCGAATTTTGAAAATATTTCTTCCACCATGATGGAGTCACCATTTTTAATTTTGAAAATCTGACAAATAAATAAAGATTCGTAAGCAGCTATACACGAAAAATCACCCGAGAAATGAATTTCAGTCGAAACGCATCAATTTTAAAATTATCCACAATATTAGGTCGCCATTTTAAATTTTGAAAAACTAACATCAGATTCGTAATCAGCGCCCCCAGAAACCCCCGTATTACAAGTTTCAAGCAAATTCGTTTAATTTTTAATTTTTGTCCGACATATTGGATCCGCCATTTTTAATTTTTGAAAACTAATAGCAGATTCATAATCAGCGACCCCAAAAACCCCCGAGTAACCATTTTCAACCGAATCCGATTTTAATAATTTTACATTTTTTACCTTGATAATATATATTTTTAGAACAGTGGTTTGACAAATTTCGGCATGAAAATTCGTAATTTGTTAATTTAAAATATAAATACTGCATCTAAATAGGTGGTTCACTTGGTGTACAACTGTGCTTCAAGGGGTTAACTTATTCACAAAAATAATATAATATTGACTTAACACATTTTGTGATTACAATTTTTATTAAAATGCAATTAAGAAGGAAATGGTTTTACAGAAATTCATTTTGTTTGTTGAAAAATCCCAGTTTCGAAAAATTGACGCTTGACCCCTTCTGTCATGCTTTATATATATCATCCTTAACTACCAACTGTGGTATACGCGGTTTTAAGATATGATTTATTAATGTACGCTACTTTATATCTTACATCTTATACATATATAAGAAAGAAGAATGATGGCCTTCCTCTGATGAGGTGTTTTTTAATTTGCGTGTGGGAATTCCTTATACGTGTAGGTACGTGTGAAATTTTACAATCCGAAAAGAACAGCCTGGGCATAGGCACATGGCCTTCATGATGTCAGACGATACATAAAACTAACATTTTTTGTTTTTAAAATTATTTTTTTTCACATGAAAGGAAGTCCTCTCATAAAAGTGGTCTATAGAGTTCAAATATTTGATGTCTTTTAGAGCGTTAACGTTTAAATAATATTTATTAAGATCCCGCAGTCCTATTGGATTCAAGTTCCATGTTTAAATATAAGCGAAAGTTGATTTTTGATTATCGGAAATTTGAGAGTTGAGCACTTTGAACAAAAAAAATTGTAGCTGATTACAGAAAGCAGCCATCTTTCCAAAGATACTATTCGTTTCCTAATATACATATTCAGGTTTCGCCGCGCTAGATCCGAAAAGATCTTATACCTAACTATCCTTGCCCCAACCTCCCCTATATTAGTTAGTTTAAAATATTTTAACATATTTACGTCTGAAAGAAAGTATAATTTTGACTGATTACTAATTCCAAACTTACTATTCTTACTCTACTTCTAAACAAAAGTCTTACCTGCTTCCACTGTGCCTGGTCGAAGTGAAACGGCTTAAAATTTTTAATATCCTTATTATATTCACTCATATCAAATAAGAATCCTAATTTAAAATCACTGAAATCACTAAATTAAAATTTTAACAGTAGTTTATAATTTACACTTCGTCAAATATTTGTTATACAGATTCAACTCAATTCCGATTTTTAATAATACTAGTAAACGTTACTAAAGTCAATCGAAAAAGCGACATATTCACACCATTTGCACTTTACGATTACTTATTACTTTCTGAGAAATATGTAAGTTTTTTTGATTTCTGATAAGTCGTGCGCAGTTCTAAAAAAAGGTTTGACGCTCAGAATACTAAATAGCTATTGAATGGTCATTTATTATTTAAATATGGAGTAATTTACGCGTGAGGGATAAACCACATGTTACGTCACGCTCAATGAGGGTGTGCGTTCAGATAAATTTAACGAAGTGTGACGTACAGATTGGGGAGGTATTACGCTTTTTGATGTCATATCCATTATACTTCATGCGTTCAAATAATTTCAATAATCAATAAATTTGAATAAAATTTATTAAATTTTTGAAAACTAAACACTATATATGCAATTGAAATATACAACCTACAGAATTTTCCATCTATCGCTAATATGTTATCTTTTCTACCTTCAAATAGTTTTTTAATCTTAACCCCTTCAAAGTCCAGTGAAAATGAAGTTTTTGTGCCATAAATGTTCAAAAAAAAAAATTCTTTTTAAAAAAAAACATGAAAAGGGGACTTATGTGCGAAAACAAGTTTTGTCAGTTTCGCGTTAGTTCGGGGGTTTTTGGGGTCGATGATTATTAAAAAATAAAGAAGAAGAAGAAGTCGATGATTATGAATCCTGACTTTTGGTTTCTACCATGTATATAGTGAAAGAGCGTCTTAAATTAACATTATTATCACTTCTAGGATCATTAATATCAATATAAATTATGTACTTATTTTTAAATAATCGCAAATGAATTCTATAAATATCTTACAAATATTGAAAGCAGTAAGAGGGCTTATAATAATCGATAAAGATAGAAGCTTCTATAATTATTGAAATTTTTAGTAATTACTTTTTGATGAGCTACAGTTCAAATTATTTTACACTTTTATTTAATTTCGCAATTTTTCAGTCTGGAGTAATAATGACAGAAAATTAATCACATTAATATTATCTAATTATATTGTATCAGCCATTTTGAAATTTAAAGAAAGACATCCGGTAGGATTTTAATGACCACAGATATACCCTTACGAAAGAATATGATAGGAAATTTTTAATATAGGATCTGTCATTCTTTTTAAATAATATTTTTCCTTTTTGAAACTTTAGAAACAAAAGTTCCTTAGATGAATATTTTAAAAGAGTCATGTAAGTCAAAAATGTTTTTTTCTCAAATTTTCCTGACTCCATTATATTTTATAAAATATAAGTAAAAAATTTTAATTAGCCCTTTTTCTACTCTACTTTCATGATGTAAGCTACTTGCTGCAAGATTACGTGCTATCTATAGGTAGCAGTATAAATTTTTAATAAAAAATTTTACTTCAATTAATATTTTGGAGTAGCTATTTTTATTTTTTAAAACCACCACATCATTTGGTCCTTAAAGGATTAAAACGATTTCTATAAAAAGGGTTTGATGTATATAATAATGTTTTTATATATAAAGAAGCAATATTTAAAAATCCATTTATGTGACGTTAATAACATTGGTTTATTAATATTTATTAATTTATTTCTGTGACAGGAAGATGGTGTAAAGTAGGATGTGGATTGACTTTTAAAATTGGTCAAGATTCCCATGAAAGGTGCGGTAAGAACAAAATTATTAAATCTCTTTTATTATATATTATTTTTATTATTTAATTAAAGTTTAATACGCAATAAATAGAAAGGTCTTATTTTAAGATATATTATATTATATTAATTAATTACATATTATATTATTATTACGACTTGAACATTTTTTTATTACTAACTATTGACCATGGTTAGGTACATGCTATCTAGGTAATCTTAAATTAAAAATTAATAAAAACCATAATTAACCATAATTTACTATAAATTATTTATGATTAAATCTAGAAGCAGTAAAAAATAAATAGTTTGTGAAATGCCAAAAAAACTATTTATCTTCTGATTTGTTTCAAACAATAAATATACATATAATATGCTTTGTTTAGATAATCGAAATAAAATTTCCATCAATAATATAAAAAGTAATGTAAACGATAGAAAATCCCCTTGTTTGGATATAATTTTAGCTTTTTTTTAAAAAGTCATTAATAGAAGATAATGAGAAACAAATATATTTTTTTGATGAAGCAGAATATTTATTACGACTGTGTGATTTAACAAGTATCCGTAGCAATTACTTATCGATAAATATTTATTCAGAATTAAGTAACAACTTTTTATGTAAATTAATTATTTTAAAAAGAAATTAAATCTATACTTTACTTGAAAAATTATATATTCAATGCAATATAATTTCAAATTAGTTTTTAATTATTAAAAAAGTAGTTGTTATTAATTTAGTCAGTGATTCTATATTATTTTCACTGACTCTAATATAGTCCAGTGACAGTATTAAAGTAGACAAATTGCTCTCATAAATGGCAAAAGAAAATAAACGGCGCAAAAATGCACAAATAGCTCCAGTTTATTTCCCGGTATCGTATCATTAACAAGACTTTCTTTCGTCTTGTTGTACAATCCCATCTGACTACTGCTTTTTCAACACATTAGAATTTCACCACCTATATTTATGTGAAAATTATAATTGTCTCGTGTGATAGAATTTTTAATATTGCTCTTAATATGCTTCAAATCAGTTCTGTATTTGAAAATTTTTGAATTATTCCCAATTTCCGGTGAAAGTAATTTTAAGTAAAAATGCTTCCAAAATATTCATACCGATAATAAATTCGTAATAAATGCACTAACTATTCACTTGGTTTAATTCAAGGTAAATGAAAAATCATTAATAAGAGCATAATTAAAATTTAAAAACTTTTTAAAAGTCAATAAATATTTCTAAAAACTATTACTCCGGGATTTTTGGGATCAATTTGAATTTTGAAAAACTGATATCAGATTCGTAATCAGCGACCACAAAAACCCCCCGAGTATAACGAATTTTAAGCGAATCCAAAGGATTTTTCAAAAACGTGTCCACCATATTGGATCCGACATTTTGAATTTTTAAAAACTAACACCGTAATCGTAATCAGCGACCTCAAAAACCCCTTAGTATCAAGTGTCATGAAAATTTATTCACAATGAAGGTCTTACACATTTTGGAACCATTTTGTTACATTTTCGCTACACTACGCCGAAGGGGTTAAAGTCAAAATTGTGATTTAAGTTTCTTTTGCACGTAAAGATAGATCTGTATTGCTTGTGTCATTTTATATCAACTATAAAATATAATATAATTTTAAATCTAAAAAACATAATCTTTTATAAATTAATAAAATTGGTCATATTTTAGAAACGATGATTTCCCTGAGGGAAGAATCTCTAATTTCAAATTCACGAAGTGGAGGACCAACATCTGCAACATGGTGGTACCTTAGTGCTGAATTTATTGTTGGCCTCTCGATATCTGGCCTTCTGACAATTCTCGGAGTCATAAAATCATTGCTTCCAAAACCACCGAAAGATATAACTGGTGAAATTGTTGTGGTGCTCAAAAAAACTCTTTCAAAGATATAATTTATAAAATAACTATTTCAAAAAATATTAGACTTTCATAGAAATAAATTACTTTTCACCTAATATTTAATTGATTCTTACAAATATTTGTTCTTTTTTTACCTAATATAAATATAGCATTTGTACATGTTATTTCAATTAAATTTTACTTTTTTGAAATTTATTTTTTGAAATTTTAATTTCAAAAATCAAGTCACATTTGAAAATCGTTTTCTACACTGCAAAAAGAAGTATCTTATTTAAGATGTTTTGGTAGTCATTTCTAAGATGTTATTGTAGTCACTTTTTAGTCATTTAAAATATCTTAATTTAAGATACTAAAAGCATCTTCGTACATATTTTCAGCATATTTTTCGGGAAAAAAGTTTTGAGGTTAACTATGGGCTTATATGTAAGACATTTTATGTATCTTAGTGTTTAGTAACTTAAATTTTTTTCGCATCTTACAATTCACAAGTATCTTATCGCTAAACATCTTATTGAGACAGAAACATCTTAATTTAAGATACTTTAAAAAACTTACAGAAGTATCTTACTTTTTTAAGATAGAAGAAATATCTAAGACGTATAAAACATCTTAAAAATCAGTAAGATACTTTAGAAAACATCTTATTTTAAGATGTAAGATACCATTTTTCCATCTTACATCTTATTTTAAGATATCAAATAAGACACTTATTTTTGCAGTGTATAATGAGAACTGTTTCTAATCTGTCAATGACTTTTCTTTTTTCATAGATAACGGGAGTTACTTCTGCCCTAGGAAGAAACTTAGCTGAGGAATTTGCAAAAAACGGTTGCCAAGTGATCTGTGTCGATTACAATTTAAAAGCTGCACGAAAAATTTCATCTGATCTGAGATTAAAGTATCCAACAGTGGAGAAAGTTGGTGCAGAGTATCGCAAGGACGGGTTTAGCGAACAAATGCAGAAACGTACAACTTTTGCATACGAATGTAATCTTGAGAATAGAAACGAAATTAGTAATGTCGCTAAGAAAGTAAAGGACGAGTTTGGAGGTGTCAATATTCTAATTACCTGTAATGGAGATTCATGCCAGGATATTTATGACACCATCACTAGAACTCTTATGAGTCATTACTGGGTTTGTTCACTCTTTTAAAATATATTCAATTTTGGAAATAAAATATTCATTATATTTCGACTAACGCCATTATAGCCTAATTTTTCAAAAACCAAAAATTATTCTTTTATGAGTGACTGTCCTGAAAGCGAACTGTTTTAGTTAAAAAAAATTTTTAATTTCTTAATTTATTTTACAAATTAGTTTTAAAGACGTTAAATATGTTACACCTATACTTTCTAAAAAAAAACTGACCTCTTACAATAATTTAATGTGTACTTTTTTAGGTCTTAATAATATTATACACACTTACTTTATGGTTAAGAAAAGCTGAAAACGTAATATGTGTGTTTTATTTTCATTTACAATTTTTATTAACCATTTTTAGACAGTGATGGCTTTTCTTCCTTGGATGTTGCATAAAGGAAGGGCACACATTGTTGGAGTGATGCCATCTTTGTCAACCGAAGATGCATACATAAGTTCAAAAGCAGCAATTGCTGGTAACATATGAATTGATTATATATATGTATAATTATTGATATTTGACCCTCACGTGCTCGAGTTGAGTCTTTCAGATCTTAAAATAAAAGGTTTTGCAAATAGCAAGGCACATAGTGTTTCCGAACTGCTTTTTCCTGCTGAACACGAATCTGTATTCGAAAACTTCCCATCACGTCATATTTTTGAAAAAAAATTGAAACCTCTAAAGATATAGTTTTTTTGAAATTTTTGACAATTGAGGAATTGGGCAGCTAAACCCTGACGTACTACAAACTTAGCTAATAAGCATAACCATTCTCCCATTATTATTTATTATTTTTATAATCTTAAACAACCCCGAATTCTTCAATTTTCCAAAACCATAATTAAAACAAATTTAAATGACACTTAAAAATCTCTAAGTGTGGCCAAACAGTTTTAATAGGATTGTAAATTCCACATCTGTTTGATTTAAATGAATGCCTTTTTATTCACGAAGCATGAAAAGTTTCTTTAAACAAATCTCATAAGTTTTCTGGCGTTTATTTGTAAGTACACAAAATGCTAGCGGTATGTATTACTTATTAATTAGAATCTTGGAGTGTAAGTACTTCCTGATCGTTTGTTTGTATAACAAAACAAAGAATTCGTTTTGTGGTTGAATGTAGTTTTAAAAAAAGTTTCTATTACTGTGGTTGTATTTGAATTTACCTTAGGAATTAGTTCGAATGTGTCAGAGTTGGTGACAATGCTTGCGTGGGATAGCGTAACAACTAAAGTTGGGGGCCGTCCATATACCACGTGGACAGTTTTTCTAATTCCTATAATATAATTCCTATAAATGAGGGAAAGTGGTTTTTTGAACAAACAGATGAACCATAGATTTTTTTATGAATATGATAAATGTCGATGATCTCTATATTATATTGTTTTTTAGATTAATTCTAAATTCTAGGAGCATAAAAAACACAATAGATCAGAAGACGATCTTGAGCAACTGAAGGTTAAAATTCAAAATTTATGATAAAATAATATTTACATTAATAAATAGTATTTATATTAATTTCTCAGGTTTAATGGAAAGCTTAGGCCAAGTTTGCAAAGAAAATAAACAACTTACTTTTATTACTGTGGCCCCTAAAAAACGACTAAGGTAATTATTTAACATTATTTATAGTTTTAGAAACTGCAACAAATTTAAACACAATGTTTATTTGTATCTCTTCTTCACACTGCCATGAGGCCCCGTGTAGAAATTGCCCTACTAGGGCCATAGTAAGGAATGAAACGCCGCGCCCGATCAGGGCTAGATCGGGGCGACAAGAAAATGTGGATTTCCTGATCAGGGCCACATCGGGCGCGGCGTTTTATTCCCTAATAGGTCGGCCCTATCCGGCCCTGATCAGGGCCCCAGCGAAATTTCTACACGGGGCCCGATTATGCATCCGATTTTATTTAGTTTTTATTTATCTTATATAATTAACATTATAAACTAGGTTGTGTCATAATATAGTATAAAAGTAATCTTTGCTTACAGATTTTTTAAACAGAATGATGAACAAATTGCTGCAGATGTGGTTGAAGCTATTAAAAGAGATCAATTATCTTTATCAAGAAGTCGATATTTTGAAACATTTTATACAGTAAGGTAACTCAATAACAATTTTCAAATTTATAACTAATAATTCATAAATAATAATTAAAATTAATTAATTTTTTCATAATTGAAATAATAATGTAAATAAAAAATTAATAACGTGCTTGTAAACCCAAAGGACACTGGGACATTGGATGTCGCACAATGGGAAGAAATGCAGTGTTTTGGACAAAATTCTGCCAACAACACAAATCTCCACAGATTTTAATTTTTTTTTTTTAAATACTAGGACAGGTCTTTCATACAAGCCTTCACTGCTATAAATTTGAAATTTTTGTAATAAAATCTCAAAAATCAGATTCATTCAAACAGTAAGAGAAAGTTACCTATACATGAATTATAACGTTCTTATTATTTTTTTAATTTTAAATAATTATTTAAAAACTTTGAAACAATTTTAATATTTAATTTGAGATTTTAAACTTATTTTTAACTGTTATTTAACCAAAATCAATAAACTGTTTGACAATGAGTCAGGAATGAACGTTATCATAACACTTTGAATTCAATTAAAAAATTATTTTATTTAGCGCCAGGATATTTTACTCGAAAATATTCAAAAGATTAATTTATTTAATTTTAAACAATTTGCCAGACTAATTCAAAAATTGTTAGGAAAATTCCTAACAAACCGCGGAAAGAGGGGGGAGGGGGTAAGGAGATCAACACATTAGTTATAGGGTAACTGTACCAATTGTCGAGGGTTTTAGGCAACATGTGACTTTGACATTTTTTTTCTCGGAAGTAAATGCACTTTAAAATTTGATTTTTGTATATTTGGACGAAGGATCTAATAATGTTTAATATTCATATTTATTTTTTTAATATAAACTAAATTGTTAAGCAAAAAATATATTTAAAAGTCAATCGAGCAAAAGCACCATTTGTCGATGGTCTTGTGCTAATTTCTCGAGGGTCTGTTCCAATTGTCGAGGGTATGACATTTTTAAACATATAACCCAATATAACCTAACAATTAACCTGTACAGATATTAGAAAATCGAGTAGATATTTATTTTTTCGATAAAAATATTAAAGAACATTACCAGAAAACAAATATATTTATTTAACTATAATTGAATAATTTATAATATCGATATAAAACATTTTTATAGTAGATGATACAGGACAGAAAATTACTTAACTGTTTTTTAAACTTTTATAAATATAAGTTAATTAAATTTAATCAATTTTGTTAATCAGACATTAATTGAAAAAATAAATTAATTTAAGTCACATTAAATTTGTAAACGAATAAAATAAACTTTTATTACAAACTGTAAATATAATGGTTAATTATAATTAAACTATAGTACAAAATTTTTTAGTTTAGAATTTTGCATTTTTTTATTAATTTTTTTTCGGTCTTCCTCGTTTTTTTGGTTGATTATTTTCTGTTGGTTGTAAATTTTTGGAGCATTTTTTTTCTTTTTCTCTGTACCTATAAATGTTTGGCATTTATGTTTGACGTTTAGTAAATAAACACTTAACCATCGATAAATGGTGCATCAGCGAAAAAAGTGACTACACCAATTTTCGAGTCATTACCTCGAAAAATGGAACTCTCAAAAAAAAGGAACCAAATACCGATGATTTGCTTTTAAAAAATATTAAATATTTTTTTTTAACAAAAAAACATGCATACAAAATTAATTTAGTTCGTGTACAAAATTATAATAATAATTTTGTACACAAAAAGTCATTATAAATACGTTTAATTTGCATTTCTAAAATCTGTTTTAATCAACCTGAAGTATTAAGAAAATGGAGATTCGTGTAAATTTCACAGCAGTGAATTATAATATTAATTAAATAATTATTTTAGTAGAATCGCTACGAAATTTGTATATATAAATATACAGTTGAAAATACAAAGATTATTTAGAAATTTTTTTTGTTCTTAAATATTATATATTATACTATTTATCTAAAAAAGAAAATTATTATCCTCGACAATTGGAGCACCCTCGGCAATTGGTGCAGTTACCCTATAACACTGTCACTGAATTTAGATTTATCGTAATTAATTTTTTTTAATTTACTTTAAATTCTAAGTTTAATTGAACAATTCATTTATTTAGCAGACTGCCGAATTTTAGAATTTAAATACCGCATGGCAATCCGGTGCCAAGCTTCATTTTCGACAATCACTTTTAAACAATGAATGCTATGCCAATCTGTCGAAAAAACAACAATTAATATAATCACTGGGACTCACCGTTTACTCTTCGATGACCCCGGAGGCTTACCTCGTCCTGGCATGGCACTTACAATTTTATTATCTTTAATTTTTAAAATGACAATTTCTTTAGCGTGATGCGCCCTATGACACTATCAAATCGAGAATGAGATTAAAATGGCCGTGTGCTCGACCACGAGCGCGTCGCTACAAGTGCGCTTCGTTTTCATTTTACTCGCGGGTGAGTCCCAGGCGTACTACTATTTTACAATTTTTCAGTTTTCGCGATAGATAATTTTATCTTCGGCCGATAAAACAGAACGCCTTATTATCTATTGGCACTAGCAATTTCTCTAATTCAAAATTCCGTTGCCAGTGGAGGCTTGTAGGAAAAACCTTCCTTAGTATTTCAAAAAAAAGAAAATTAAAATGGGTGGAGATTTTTGTTATCGACAAAATTTTTTAATAAAATACACTTTTTAGTATTTACATTTGTAATAAAATATTCTTTTTTCAGTTATAAATTATACAGAGGAATAACTTTCATTACTCAGTGGTTGGACACCTGAATTTATTTAAAAATAAGTGTAAGTTCACTATAAAATATTTCTAGGCAATATTGTTGAGCCATATATATTTTTCAAGCCAAATAAGGTAGATGAGATTTTTAAGATAGACTGTTCCTCATTAAATTACTTATTTTAATAATTGATGGATCTATTTATAACATTTTTTCAATAGTAAACATATTATTTGTGTTCATGTAATTTTTAAACTTCACAATTTATACTGTATTATACTATTTCTTTTGTTTGGTAAATTAATTAAAATATATATTTAATAATAAATATATAATTATGTAGTTACAATTGTAATAAATTTTAGATAAAACATTTATTATTAATCAAATAAATTTATTATAAATATTTATACTAATATATTTTTTGCCAAGAGTGTATAAATTATAAAATACTTCTGTATAAAATCAACTCTGTATATGAAAATGCTTCTGTCGACTCTAAATAAATTTTATTTTTATAGAAAATAGTTTATCTTTATGTAAAAATATTATTACATTTTACTACTTTATAATTAGTATAGTAATTATTATTGATTGTATTATTAAAACCAAAATCTCGATAAAATCACCTGGGAAGATTTTACTGTTCAGCTGTTCATCCGTTTTAAGAGAGTTGCTGTTTACACTCTTTTTATTTTTAATTTCACAAAATAAAATTATAAAATAAAAAATTTATATTATAGACGTAAGAAAGACATTTATTTCTACATTTATTTTATACAATTTAACAGAAACATTCACTTAATCAGACAATAAGATGAGAACATCATAGTGACCAACATCGGAATGTCCACTGAATAGAAGTCGAGCTGTTGAATAACTTCGATTGATTCGATTGTGAAAAATTATTTTTAATATTCCCCCACCATTAATTTCACGATAAATTGATAAATTCATTCTGTACAATTTTGCCAACACTGTGCATTCTAATTCAGAAGCAAAAGTTCCATCTGCTATCATATAGTTGAAATATTCCTGTCTACTGGAAATGTTCCATTCAGCTATGACAAATGGTCCATATTCATTCCAATTTTCATGAATGTATTCTACCACCTTTTTATAATAATTTTTTATTAATTATTTTTTCTATTTTATGTGCTTGAGACGATTAAAAGAGATCTACAGATTAAAACAGTTTTTAAGAGAAGGGTGGTACCATACTTATTATGGTACTTTAGTAGGATCGAGTACTAGGTTTTAAATTTGCTTGCGGGCATCAGATATATATTTTAATGATAACATTAATTTAACAAATTTATTTTAAATATTATACGAACCACTGAGCGCAGTTGCTTATGATTATTTTCAGTGTCCCATAAAATAAAACTCATCGCCCTAAACATGCAATTGCCATCGCCATAAACTTTCTGCACGCGAAACGTGCCCTCCGTTGAATTTAACAGTGCCGTATCTACAATTGTTGCATTTATGTAATAATGGAACTTAAAAAAAATTTTCCTATATTATGTTATTTTATTGAATTATTAAAATCATTAAAATCAATCTCGGGTGAAAATAACTATCCATACTCAAATTAGTTAAATATTGAACAAAAGATTGTAAATAATAGTGAAATTTATAAATTAAACTTTGAGATTAATGATCACTGCGAGTCAAAATTAAGACAGAAAATTATATTAATAGTGGAATTTATTTTTTAAAGACTAATCAAAAATGTAAAATTTAATTAAAATTGAAGAGAGAAATACCTTTTTAAATATTCTTTAATTAATTTTTTAACTTTAACGATTGATTAATTAATATAATTGCAATTTTCAATTACGACAATCAATAAAATTCGATATTTTTCAAAGCTAAAGAAATATTTAATAGAAAATACCTGTTTTATGAACTTCTGATATTTTCTCTTTATATGACAGTCGTTGATTAGAATTTTTTATGCCTTTCTTACGTCTAATAATTTTGCCTTTTTTACGTCTAACTGGAGTTTTTTTGGAAACTCTAGTTTTTGTTATTTTCGATTTCGTAATGTTTTTAATATTTTTATTATCACCTTCTTCGAAGAAATTTGATCCCTCACATGGCAAAGAGAAATTTTCATTTTTGATCAACAAAGAAAATTGTGTAGACTCTTCTACAAAATTAAAATATTAAAAACAAAATTATTCTGTAAACACTATTTCTTTTCGAATTAAAAATAATTTTCAAATTTAATGCATTTTATAGAGAAAAGTTATAATTTTGTAAATAATAGACAGAAAATATACTATACCGTCTTTCGAAATCTTGTTGCATATTCGAAAACACCATGTAAAAGTAAAGGAAAAGACAGTCAATATGTGTACAAGAAAAATTTAATGATTTATTCTAAATTCTTTTCAAAATTCAAAATATTCCGCTTTAAACCCCGTTTCTTCTGGAATTTAATTTAAAACTGCTTTGTTATTTAAAAAAAAGATAATTTTTGTATTTTTTTTACTTTGATTCTTAAATAATGTTTATATAATTAAATAAGTGGATAATTTTATCAGTTTTTAGTTAAATTGTTAATGTTTAACCGCTTGACGTTTAAATAGTGTGAATATAGGCCTAATAGAGAACGATAATTTTAATAAGTATTATTCTGCTTTCTGACGTCATTTACTTTACTTCTACAATCATTGTGTTTTTGAACACGCAACAGAATTTTGAAAGACACTAGGTATACAGTTTTTCTTCGTTTTCGAAATAATAATTATAAAAATTTTGTTTGCAAAAATGTTAATTCTTGAGACTTCAAGTTGATATTGACACTAAAATAACAAATGCTTGTTATTCATTTCAAGCATTATTGTAATTAACCTTTTTAAACAAAAATTTTTATAATTATTATTTTGAGAACAAAGAAAAACACTTTCGTCAAATTTCAATAGAAGATAAATTATGTTCTTAAAAAAATATTTGCAAAACCCCAAATTTTTTAGAGGTCCGACAAAAAAGTTGTAAGTGAAACAAAAAATATAATTTTGTTGAATAAAAAAATTTTATAAATCAATTTTCGTTCACAAATAATAAAATTCTTAGTTTATTTTGGTCGTTAGTATGTGCAGAATGGAAAGATTTATATTTGTGGTAATTACCAATACCTAATATTTAATAGTTTTTGAATAATGTCTTTTAAAAATTTGATAATAATCAAAATCTCAGGAAAAAAATATATAATTATATCCTATATATAAAGATTTATTAGTTACAATTTTTGTTAGACAATTTTGATAGATTTAATCTTCGCATATCTAAATTAAAAAATTCTAACTATAAATTAACACAAATTTTTTAATAGTAAAATAATAATTAATACATTTTATACTTTTAATTTATTCAGAATTCTGTTAAAAAATAAAAAATGATTGATAAATTCCAAAAATTTGTCATTATTTGAGAGCACGATTTCCTGATACTAATATTAAATTTAATGACAGCATTTCCCTTTAATCATTTTTGATAAAAAAAAAATATATAAAAGAGACATCCTTAGCTTAAATTGCACATATGAATATTGAACTGTTTCAAAAATGGAGTTTTCATTTCTAAAAATATTTCTTCCTCTTTGTCTCCATGTAATTAGTTCTCATTCAACATTGTTAGCTAATGAGATAAGTCCAGTTGTTGTTATGACGTGGAATTTTCATAAACCAGCTGCAAAAGGTAATAAATATTAAATACATTAATTAATTAATATAAATAATATATTCTGTCAACCTCCAACTTTAATCTCACATATAAAAATATTTGTCTAATTTTTGATTATTAATATCCCATGTGGAAGAGTTGCGGAAAATTTCCAGAAATTGATTTTTTTTAACGTTAATTTTTTTACGATAGATGCTTCTGGAAGTCGATTTTACTTCCGGAAATCACTTCGGACACTTTCCGGAAATTGCTTTTTTACGTTAATTTTTTTCTGGAAGTTGATTTTTCTTCTGCAAATTTTTTGGAAATCACTTTGGAAATTATCTGGAAAATTTCCGGTAGAAAAATTGACTCGCACAGAAAAAAAACGTCAAAAATAAATCAATTGCCGGAAAGTTTCTAAAATGACTTCCGGAAGAAAAATAGACTTCCAGAAGCATCTATCAGAAAAAAATTAATTTCTGGAAACCTCTTTCGAAAATTTTCCGTAACTCTTCCACATGGGTACTATTTGACTTATTGTAATAATTTTTTAGCATGGGAGACATTATTTGTTGAAAAAAGAAGTGCTTTAGATGCCATTGAAGAAAGCTGTAATTTGTGTGAGAATAATGGTACCGAATGTTATTGGCTAGTAGGTATGGGAGGTTGTCCTGATGAAAATGGAAAAACTACACTAGATGCACTTATTATGGATGGGTAATAATAAAATTGAATCTTTACTTTATTCTTTCTTTTTGGTATACTGCAGTAAGCTTTCTGTGAGTAGGAAATTCCATATATAAGCTTTTAGCAATCTCGCTGCAAGATTTTGTTTAATAAATAAATTTTGTTAACTTTAAAAAATGAAATTTGAATTAAAACTATAAATATTGTTTAGGGTAACTATGAACGTTGGAGCTGTTGGTGCCGTTAAAGATATAAAGAATCCAATATCAGTTGCACGTAAAGTTATGGAAAATACAGATCATACTCTACTCGTTGGTGAAAGTGTCACTCAATTTGCTCTTCAAATGGGATTTGAAACTCAAGAATTGTCAACAAAAAATTCAACACGACAATGGAAGACATGGAAGGAAAATAATTGTCAGCCTAATTTTTGGAGGGTTATTATTATTATTCTTTTTTCTCCGCCATTATTAGATTTCTATGAGAAAAAAATGTTAATAAAATGATTTTTTGTGTTTATAGAATGTTGTGCCGAATCCATCAACATCTTGTGGTCCTTATAGACTGGATGATAAAAAGGATATGAAACAAGAGACTAGTAATAAACCTCTTGATAGTGAAACGAACCATGATACAATGGGTGTACTTGCGTTGGATGTTCATGGACATATAGCTGCCGGAGTATCAACTAATGGTTTAAAATATAAAATTCCTGGTCGTCTTGGAGATTCTCCGGTTCCTGGTGCTGGTACTTATGCAGATACGAATTTCGGTGCCGCCGCTTGTACTGGCGTTGGTGATATTTCACTACGATTTTTACCCAGGCAAGAACAATTTTTTCCAATTTTTTCAAAATTGTAGAAAAAATTATTTTATTTCCTAATTTTAAAGTTTTTAAGTTAGTTTTGCACAATATTAATTCATAAATTTTCTTATCTTTGTGCAGTTTTGTTGCTGTTGAAGAAATGAAACGAGGAGCAACGCCTCAAGAAGCAGCTCAGACTGCCCTCGATAGAATGACGAAATTCTATCCAAAACATTCAAATGCTCTTATTACTATGGACAAAGTCGGTAATTATGCAGTTGCTTGTCACGGATTTCGTTTATATAACTACAGATTTCCTTATTATGTCGCTAATGAAAAATTAGGGAAAGCAACATTAATGTATAAAGCGTGCTTCAATACTTCCATCTATTTTCTTGATCATCAAGGCAAATTTGTATACAATTAAATTGATATTAACAAATACTACTCGCGCTAGCGCGATACGCTTTGTTCCTTATATTGTAAAAAAAAACAAAATTAAAGGAGAATATAAGCATATATACAAACTTAATATTTTAATCTTAAAACTTCTTCTTCTTCTTCTTAAATGACTTAAGGCTGCTTAAGGCTTTGCACAGTGACTGACTTTTTGCTTCTGAAACAGTTAAAAATAACTAATTTTCAGTGAAAAAATAACTAATTTTCAGTAAAAAATAATTGAAAAAATAGTTAAATTTGACTAAATTGAATCAGTCAAAAAAAAATTTACTGAAACTTCAGTTATTTTTAACTGACAATCAGTTATTTTTAACTAATTGTCAGTAGAAATATTACTATTTGAATTAGTGACTAACTTTTTGCTTCTGAATCAGTTATTTTTAACTGATTCAAATTTAGAGAGAGTGACAATGTCAGTGTTTGACAGCTCTGTGTTTACAAACGTCTAATTTTAAAGAACTGCCGCATGAAATTAATAATTATTAATTATTATTTATGTTGTCTTTTTTCTTCATTTATTACAATTTATTTATAAATTTCATTTTGAAAATAAAAAACATGATTAAAATTTTGTTTACTATAGGTTAGGTTACTTCAATAAACAATTTTCAACTGTAAATTAATGTAAATAATTAAAAAACAAAAAAGCACACTCTTTTCTTGATTGTAACTTTATTTAATTTCACAGCGATTTTCCAAGCCTTTAATTTATCCATTTTTTCCACTTTTCCAAAAAAATATTCAACTTCTACCATGCAATAATTTGATTTGGAAATCTATGTAGAGATACTAATATAAGTCTTTTTTTGCATTACTGTTACATCCAGGAACTGAACAATTATCCTGATAAGAAGTTTCAGAGCGATTTACTATAGCTTTACACTTTCCATTTTTCGAAAATTAAATATAATATTTACATTAGACACTGTAAACGTTTCTAATATTAATTATACATAAATTCGAAAGTCGAGTCATGAGATCCTAAAGGTACACTCTCACCTCACTGCCTGCCTGCCTGCGCAGGCAGGCGCCATAAGAGTGAGAGAGAAAAAACATTTAATTTGAATTTTCTGACTCTCTTACTCTTATGTGTTACCATGTCAACCGGCAGGCAGGCAGGCAGTAGGAGCTGTGCTAGCGCCTTTAGGGTCCTTAGTCCTTAGATATATTCGTGTCCTTTTCTATCTCATTCATGAAGGCGTTCTCAAATCTATTGTGTATCGGGCTTTATATAGAAGATAAAATTTCTGTTGGTGACACTGCGAAAATCTTATTCGACCAACTTCACAACGTGATGACAGAGCCACCCACTCTGAACATAACCCTAAAATTTGTGACATACGTATATCGGTAATATTTTATTTATAAGAGAGAAATGTTTTATATAAAAAGTGTGTGAATCGTGAATATTATTATTATACATGACGAAATAATGTGTAAACATTTTAAAGATAGTTCCATTTCAATCGATTTATTCAGTAAAGTGTAAAATGTTACCATTCGAATATTTTTAATTAATGTTTTGTACCTTTGACGTTTTGATGAGAGAAACGAGAAATATATATGTCAATCAATTACGAGAATATCATTCAACGTCATTTAATTTTCTTCCAAAAAATGCAAAAAATTGCATATACAAAAACATTTACATGTTTTAATACTGAGTTTACTCGATGGATTTCGTTATTAAATGCAGGGGGAAATTTTCTAATTTTCTGTATTTGAATCTTTTGGTTCAATATTCGTATTTTGTGGATTGATCGTTTTTGTTGGTTTACAATTTTAAGTTTAGAGGAAATATTTTCTGAATAATATACACAGTGATGTTCGATTCGTCACATTCGTCCTCTGATGAGGCTCAGGTCGATTCCGCACTCACTGAAGGTGATAAACGAAAATCTAGTCGAAGGGGACGAAGATCGAACAGTAATTTCGCCGACACAAGTCGACCATCAGGTTTGTTTCTATTTTTATTTCGATTTTTTATTTTATTTTCTATTCAAGTTCATATTTTTATGTATTTGCCGAATATTGATTACTTTCTATTGGTGATTCTTCTGAAAGTGACATTTTTGAAGTCTTGGTTAATTTTATAAAATCTAACTCTTAACAATTTCTTAACATTATCAGAAAATGCAATGTTCTATCTATCATTCTATACATTTTAAAAATTTGCAGAGTCGAGTTCACAATTTTCATAAATAGATGAACTTCAAAAGGTTTCAATCTGAAATTTTATAAAATTTCAATTTCAAATTTTAAGAAACTTAGATTTTTGAAAAATTTTAATAATTCAAATTCTTCTGAAATTAGTTACATTTTTTAATATATATATATATATATATATATATATTTAATTAATTACTTAAAATAATGGATTTATAGAAGAATTTTAGTTAAAAACACTATAAAAAATTAAATTTTTGAGAAGTTACAAATGATTGTAGACATTCAATTACTTTCAAAAGTAATAAAATTCTTCTAAGAAATTCAATTATTTTCAAAAATTTTAATAAAATTCTTAGCAAAATTTCAATTATCTTTATAAATAATAAAATTCTTCTACGAAATTCAATTATTTTCAAAAATTTTAATAAAATTCTTTGTCAAATTTTAATTTTCAAAAATTCTCGTAAAAATTTGAATTATCTTTATAAATAATAAAATAAAATTCTTCACCGAAATCCAATTATTTTCAAAAATTTTAGTAAAATTCTTCGCAAAAATTCATTTATTTTCAAAAATTTTAATGAAATTCTTGAAAAAATTTTTCAACTATTTTAAAAAATTTTCCTCAATTCAATGATTTTTAATATCTACATCTCCATTTAATTATTTTCATAAATAATAAAATTTTCACCGGAAGTTATTTTTAGGAATTAATTTTTTTTTTCATAAATAATAAAACTCGTCACAGAATTTTGATTATTTTTAATACAATTTTAATCAAATTCCTCGAAAAATGTAATTAGTCTTAAAAATTTTAATAAAATTCGTTCTAAAGAATTCAACTATTTAAAAATTTGTTGATAAAATTTTTTATGAGAATTAAATTTGAAGAAACATTCAATTATTCAATAAATTATTTATTTTTATATTTAAATAATTGAATTCTCGTAGAATTTTCTAATAAAAATTGATTTAAAAATGAATTTCAGTTAAAATTTTAGATAATAATTGAATATTAAAAGCATTATTGAATGAATTTTTAGAAATAATTGAATTTTAAAAAGGTTTCAAATTAAAATCTTTGAAAATCTGAATTTTTCATACTTTTAACTAACAATTTAATTGTTAGTTTAATTGTTAATTGTTAGTTAATTTTTTGCAGAATTAATTCTTTTGAAAAAGTTTAATTGAATTTGGTTGAAATTACTTGAAGTTTTTGATTTTTAATCTATATTTAATTGAAGAATTTCCGAATAATCAAAATTTCGTAAAATTGAATTTTAAAATTCTCAAACAACTTTTTCAAAAATTATTAAAAATAATTGGTTTAACGAAGAATTTTAGTTAAAAATTTTAAATAATAATTGAATCGAAACGATAAAAATTATGTTGAAGAACTTACAATATTCTTATAATGTAAAATAATGATTTTATCACTGGTTCATCTTTAATTAATTATTATTAAGTTTTTGAATTTCAAAAGTTTTGAATTTGGAAATTTTGAAAATATTAATTTTTGTGGAAAAATGGTAATGATTTAATATTTATTTAAAACAGAAGTTATTGATGTTTTCGAATAATTTTACAGTTTAAGAAATTCGTAAATAAATGTAATAGAACATTTTTTGACATTCTTTTTCATAAAAAATAAAAAAAAATTAAATAATTTTGAGAGTGAATCAGAATATTTTTAGGGTCAAGTGAAAAAGTCAAAATTTTGTCTGGAAATCAGGGAAAAACAAAATTAAATTTTTGTGGTAAATCGCGAATCAAATAAAAATAATAAAATGGAGCAACAAAGTCAATCTTTTTCAATGAAGAAAAAACTTTAATTATTAACAATTTATTTTCGTAACTTAAATTCTTACTCTCTTGAATATGAAATGAAGAAGTTTCAATAAAAAAAGCATATAATTTCAAAAGAAAATAAATTAAATAATCGAAGTTCCAAAGTATCACTTTCAGTAAAATAAATAAAACCAAAATTAAATTATAATAATAAATAAATTTTGTTCTCTCTACGAAATCAGTAATAATTAATTCATTAAAATTTGAAATTTAGGTTCCGATGGCACTCGTCGTGAAGATAATCCTTTTAGTTTTAAGCATTTTTTGAAAAATGATTCACAAACGAATTACCAGTACGCTGGAGCGAGGCCGAAAGTGTACACGGTCCATTCATCGAATAATAATTCAGCCGGCCACGAGAGAGAAGCTGGACTTTATCCATGTAATCCCACGGAATTACCTGACTTTGTTCAAGATCATTTAGTGATTGAACAATGTTATGTGGATCACGACAGAATCATATCGCCAGCAAGTGACGTTGACAATTTACCCGATTTCGCATTAAACAGTATGGAGAGACGGCAGAATCGTCATTCGAACGAATCGAAAAAGCACGTCAATGATGGGGAAAAGAATTATTCATTTGATCTCGCCGATAGTTTGGAGAGAAGAAGCAGGAATAATATCGCTGCCAATTCCTTACATCCCGATCCATTGGATTTGCCGAATTTTAACAGCAATGAAAATGCCAGTGCTTCTGATTCTAGAAGTAAGTAATTTGAGAGAAAAAAAATTACATAAGGAAATTCTTTTTAATTTTCTATATCTAAGGTTCTAAATTATAGAAAAATATCTAAATTTCTTTTCTAAATTATAGAAAAGATTGGAATTTTCCAGTTTTTCATTAAAAGAACAATTTACTATAGCTTTCAAAGCATTCAAACCATTCTCGGAAAATTATAATTTTTACTTAATCGTCTCACGTGGAATTTCTCAAATGTAAAAAAGAATATTCGAAGTTCATTTAGAATTAAAACTAGCAAATAATATGCACGTGAAACGCGGAATTTCATTTTTTATTATTATGCAAATTTCATTTTTTTTATTTTCAAATATTAAGTTTAATTTTTGAATGATTTCAGAGTCAAAATTAAAAAAAGTTCACTTATTCATTAATTAATTATTATTATTTATTGTTTTGAAAAATTTGAATAAAATTCTTCACAAGAATTTAATTATTTTCATAATAAAATTTTTCAAAAGAATTCAATTATTTTCAATACAATTGTAATTTATCGAAACTATTCAATTACTTTTAAAAATGCTGATAAAACTCTTTAAAAGAATTTAATCATTTTCAAAAAAAAATTAAATTTTTCAAATGAATTCAATTATTTTTAATACAATTGTAATTTATCGAAACTATTCAATTACTTTTAAAAATTTTAATAAAGCTCCTCAAAAGAAATCAATTATTTCCAAAAATTTTATAAAAATATTTTAGAAAAACTCACTTATTTTAAGTACAATTTTAATAAAATTTCTAGATAACAACATTATAATAATCGTAAGTTTCCTTTCCGTTAGCAAATTATCTGCAATCATTTGTTTGTTTTGAAAATTAAATTTTGTGGGTTAAGTATTGGCATTTTTTATATATTTTTTAATGTCAAACTTTTTAATGTGGAAAATACTTTACTTATTAAATTGTCTCGACTCTTTGGTAAAAAATCTAAAATTATCAAAAATTCGAAAAAATTCAAAAATCCGAATTTCTTAAAATTCAACATTTTTTCCTCTCTTTTATAGAATTTAGCTTCATTATTTTTGTGCTTTTGGAAAATACTTTACTTATTTAATAGTCTCGACTCTTTGGTAAAAAATCTAAAATTATCAAAAATTCGAAAAAATTCAAAAATCCGATTTTCTTAAAATTCAACATTTTTTCCTCTCTTTTATGGGATTTAGCTTCATTATTTTTGTGCTTTTGGAAAATACTTTACTTATTTAATAGTCTCGACTCTTTGGTAAAAAATCTAAAATTATCAAAAATTCGAAAAAATTCAAAAATCCGAATTTCTTAAAATTCAACATTTTTTCCTCTCTTTTATAGGATTTAGCTTAATTATTTTTGTGCTTTTGGAAAATACTTTACTTATTTAATAGTCTCGACTCTTTGGTAAAAAATCTAAAATTATCAAAAATTCTAAAAAATTCAAAAATCCGAATTTCTTAAAATTCAACATTTTTTCCTCTCTTTTATAGGATTTAGCTTCATTATTTTTGTGCTTTTGGAAAATACTTTACTTATTTAATAGTCTCGACTCTTTGGTAAAAAATCTAAAATTATCAAAAATTCGAAAAAATTCAAAAATCCGAATTTCTTAAAATTCAACATTTTTTCCTCTCTTTTATAGGATTTAGCTTCATTATTTTTGTGCTTTTGGAAAATACTTTACTTATTTAATAGTCTCGACTCTTTGGTAAAAAATCTAAAATTATCAAAAATTCTAAAAAATTCAAAAATCCGAATTTCTTAAAATTCAACATTTTTTCCTCTCTTTTATAGGATTTAGCTTCATTATTTTTGTGCTTTTGGAAAATACTTTACTTATTTAATAGTCTCGACTCTTTGGTAAAAAATCTAAAATTATCAAAAATTCGAAAAAATTCAAAAATCCGAATTTCTTAAAATTCAACATTTTTTCCTCTCTTTTATAGGATTTAGCTTCATTATTTTTGTGCTTTTGAAAAATACTTTACTTATTTAATAGTCTCGACTCTTTGGTAAAAAATCTAAAATTATCGAAAATTATCAACAATTCAAAAATCCGATTTTCTTAAAATTCAACATTTTTTCCTCTCTTTTATGGGATTTAGCTTCATTATTTTTGTGCTTTTGGAAAATACTTTACTTATTTAATAGTCTCGACTCTTTGGTAAAAAATCTAAAATTATCAAAAATTCGAAAAAATTCAAAAATCCGAATTTCTTAAAATTCAACATTTGTTCCTCTCTTTTATAGGATTTAGCTTCATTATTTTTGTGCTTTTGGAAAATACTTTACTTATTTAATAGTCTCGACTCTTTGGTAAAAAATCTAAAATTATCAAAAATTCGAAAAAATTCAAAAATCCGATTTTCTTAAAATTCAACAATTTTTCTTCTCTTTTATGGGATTTAGCTTCATTATTTTTGTGCTTTTGGAAAATACTTTACTTATTACATTGTCTCGACTCTTTGGTAAAAAATCTAAAATTATCGAAAATTATCAAAAATTCAAAAATCCGATTTTCTTAAAATTCAACATTTTTTCCTCTCTTTTATGGGATTTAGCTTCATTATTTTTGTGCTTTTGGAAAATACTTTACTTATTTAATAGTCTCGACTCTTTGGTAAAAAATCTAAAATTATCAAAAATTCGAAAAAATTCAAAAATCCGAATTTCTTAAAATTCAACAATTTTTCTTCTCTTTTATGGGATTTAGCTTCATTATTTTTGTGCTTTTGGAAAATACTTTACTTATTACATTGTCTCGACTCTTTGGTAAAAAATCTAAAATTATCAAAAATTCGAAAAAATTCAAAAATCCGATTTTCTTAAAATTCAACATTTTTTCCTCTCTTTTATGGGATTTAGCTTCATTATTTTTGTGCTTTTGGAAAATGCTTTACTTATTAAATTGTCTCGACTCTTTGGTAAAAAATCTAAAATTATCAAAAATTCGAAAAAATTCAAAAATCCGATTTTCTTAAAATTCAACATTTTTTCCTCTCTTTTATGGGATTTAGCTTCATTATTTTTGTGCTTTTGGAAAATGCTTTACTTATTAAATTGTCTCGACTCTTTGGTAAAAAATCTAAAATTATCAAAAATTCGAAAAAATTCAAAAATCCGATTTTCTTAAAATTCAACAGTTTTTCTTCTCTTTTATTCCATTTAGCTTTATTATTATTGTGCTTTTGGAAAATGCTTTACTTATTAAATTGTCTCGACTCTTTGGTAAAAAATCTAAAATTATCAAAAATTCGAAAAAATTCAAAAATCCGATTTTCTTAAAATTCAACAGTTTTTCTTCTCTTTTATTCCATTTAGCTTTATTATTATTTGAATTTTTAGTCAAGAGAAAAAATGGAAAATTGAAAAAATTTAGAAACTTTTAAAAATTCCAGGCCTTTTCCATGATTTCCCTGATTTCCAGAAGCCTTTTAAAAATTCCATACCATTTCCATGATTTCCATGATTTCCATGATTTCCAGATTCAGTAGGAACCCTGCTTTTGTCTGACTTTCTTCTAAATTATCGAATTTAGTGATTTCTGGGGTGAATTTGGTTAAGTTGTAAAATGATTAATTTCTATTTGAATTCGATTTTTTTGAATGTAGAAAATCTGATGTTATTATAATTCTTTTTTCGTTATGCACGGCAAAAAATATTTAGCTGGATGAACTACAGATTTCACTTTAGTAGCGAAATTTTTCAGTGCTTCAATTAATACTTTCGTTATTCTAAAGAAACTTATCGCTATTTCAAGTAAAACTTTTTTCAGTGTGTAATAATTATTATTTCTTTAAAAAGTATTTAATTTGAAATGGCTTTATAAAATAAGCAATGCAAAAGATGACCCAGATACTAATTGGAATTGTTCTATCCATAGTTTAAGCCTAGTAATGTAAATTCTATTTAAATTGAGACCATTGAGTGAAATTATTTGAATTTTAGTTAGTTAAATCTCTTTGTTAGGTTATAATAATTATTTCTTTAAAATTTTTTAAATTGTTTAAAATAATCAGCCCCCCGCGTTTTTTATATAATTAAATTCTTTTGGAAATAGTAGATATTGAAAATTATTGAATTGAGGAAAATTTTTGAAAATAATTTAAATTTTGGCAAGAATTTTATTACTTTTGTGAATAATTGAAATTTTGACGATAATTTTTTTGAACATAATTGAGTTTTTGTGAAGAAATAGAAAAAGTTGAAGGTTTTGTATTATAATTCGCAGTAATTTCATAGTTTATGAGGCAAACAAAAAAGACACAAAAATCCAGAATTTTCTTATGAATTCTAAAAATACAATTTCTTCCAGTATTTTTAATAAAAATCCCTGAATTCACTGACCTGTGTCAACCATGATTATGCTCCTTTGAAGATTAAATTATGATAAAAAAATATTTTTTCAGATTTTCCTCTCGATTTACAAATCCCAGCTGATGAATCAAATGATGTTCTTGTAAATGGCCAGTCAAATGGAGTATCGAGCATTGTCAAATCGTTGCCAGATTTTTTAAACGATGGTCCCATTCGAAATACCGGTGCAGTTTCTAATGACAGGCCTGACTCATACTCAAATGATTCTACAGAACTCAGGGTACTTCTCCCTTTTCTCCCCAATAAATTATAAATAATTTGAAAAGTATTAAAATAAAATAAAGGTTAAAACCTTTATTTGATTTTCATACTTTTCAATCTAAACGGAATATAAATATTTTCTTTAAATACATTAACTTTTACAAGATTTAGAAAAGAATTTTTCATTTTATCTTCAGATTCATTAAAAGATAAAATTTTTAAAGAAAAACAATTGTTTGCACGGAAAAAATAAGTCGCGGAAATTTTCCTCGACTTTGTTGAAGACTCTCGGATTTAGTGGAAAGTGTTTTAAAAATCATATTCACAGTTTTTTAAGAAATAGACTACATTTGAAGAAACTTTCCGCGACTGACGAAGAAAATGAAGACTCCACGCGCATGTAACCGATTCCGCCACAGTCGCGGAAAATTACAAACCTGAATTTACTCTACAGCGTTCTAATTTTTAATTGACAGTCGCGGAAATTATTTAGAATTTTTTAATGTATATATTAATATCGACACATTGAATAATAAAAATAATAATAATCTTGACAATCAATTGTCATAAATTGTTAAAAAAAAATGTTAAAAAACAGTGTTTATTGGTTTTAACGCGCGCAACTTTTGTGCGCACCATTTTCCGCGACTGTCGACGAAACCTTCTATGAAGTGTTAGAATAATTCCGAGACTGTTTTCCGCTACTAGGTTTCTAGAAAGTCCTCGACTTTTTTTGGAGAATTTCTGCTAAAATCGTAGAACATTTCTAAAAGTCTATAAAACATTCGTTCATATCCGAGAGTCTTCGATTAGTCGCTGAATATTTCTGCGACTATTTTTTTCCGTGTGGACTTTTAATATTGTTGAGAGTGCAACGTGCAAGTTTATAAAATTACTTAAAAATTTAATTCTTGCTTCTTTTTTCTTGCAGTTGACTTTGGAAAACGAGAGATTGAACCGAGAATTAGAAATTGTCCGGAGACAAGCCAGTGAAAGAGCCTTAAGGTATTAAAACAATCAAATAAATAAAAAAACAAATTAAAGTAGAAATTTCTGTATTAAATGTGTACGTACATTTAACTTAATTAAAATCTTCAACACAAAAGTACTAAGAACTGAGTTTATTTTCAGAATAAAATCATTAGAAAATCAATTGCTATCGAGAAGACAAGAAGATCACGAGGAGACTTTAAATTTAGAAAAGGCCATGGAAAAAGTTGAAGATAATTTAAAACGCAGTACAGTGAGTAAAATTTATACGCATTTTTATTCTCAAAGCTTTTTTTTAAAAAGCGAAAAAACTTATCAAACAATATTTTTATCAAATAATAAAAAGTATTCTATATTTTCTTATAGAAACGAGCAGTTCTTGCAGAGAGTATGTTAGTTGTTGTAAAGAAAGAAATCGTAGATTTGACGGTACGTGCAGTGAATAAACTAATGTGGAGAGTAATTGAAAATATAAATGGAAATATTTTAGTCGAATGATATTTTTATTTGTTTTAGAATGAAATTTCTCTGCTGCGTGCAGAAAATCGAGAATTACGTGCAGCTGTCGAAGGTGGTTGCAGTAATTGTAACAGTTCTTGTGCTGACGGAAGAATAAAACGATTGGCTAGTGAATTACGGACTGCAGCTTCTACAGCGGAAGTTTCGCTAAGGTTATTGAATATTTTTATTTAAAGTCAATTTTATATTATTTTTGGTAAAATTCAATAAGTGCAGACTAATATTTATTATCTTTTTAATTTTATTTGCTTATTTTACTTTTTTACTTTATTTTTTAATTGATCTCCTAAAATATATTAACATTAATTTTTTTTCTTTTTAAAATTAAAAGTTATTAAAATTATCCAATAAATGAGATCTAAACAAAAAGATTGTGTTAGTTTTTAAGTAAAATATCACAAAAATTATTGAATTTACAATGTTTTCTTAAATTGCTAGTTATTCTTTAATTAAATACTATTTTTAAATTCTTTTAGTTTTAAAATTTTTCAAGAAAAATTTTTTTTATAGACGCATCTTCTGACCCAATATTGAACATTTTTGGGCCATGTTAGTCAAAATTATTAACACTTTAGAAAATTGTTTGACAATTTTTCTGCTTTTTTGGTACAAAATTTCGAAATTTTAGAAAAAATTTGTCAAATAATTATTATTTAACAAAATTTTTCTACAATTCTTCACAATAATTCAATTTTTTTCTCTATTAATTAACGTTTTTCATGTAAATTCAATTAATTAAAAATTTTTTTTATAAAATTCCAAACAAGAATTCAATTATTTAAAATAAAATTTTCTTAATATTTATTATATTTCAAAAAAATTAGTTATTTAAAACAATGTTTAGAAAATTCTTCTAAAGAATTCAAATATTTTCAAAAATAACAAAATTTTCCACAGAAATGCAATTCTTTTTGATCATTTTATTAAAATTTTTAGCTTAATTATTTTCATAAATAATAAAATCCTTCTTAGGAATTCATTTATTTTCATAAATAATAAAATTTATCGCAGGATTTCAATTATTTGTAATACAATTTTATAGGAATCGCTCAAAAAATGTAATATTCTTAAAAATTTAATTTCGATTCCTGAAAAAGTCAATTATTTAAAAATATGTTTTTTTTAAATTCTTCGAAAGAATTCAATTATGTCGATAAATAACAAAATTATTCCCGTAAATTGAATTATTTTCATAAATAACAATATTCATCACAAGAATTCAATTATTTTTAAAAGTAATACATTTTTTCTTGGAATTTCAATTATTTAAAAAAAATTCTAATAAAATCGTTGGTAAGAATTCAATTACTTTCATAAATAATAAAGTGCTTTTTAGGAATTTAATTTTTATTTTCAAAAACATTTATTAAAATTTAATTCAATTATTCTCAAAAATTTTAATAGAATTCTTTGTAAAATTTAATTATTTTTAAAAACTTTTCGCAATTCAATTAAGGGAAGCAAAAGTATAAAAATATTAAAATTTTTATTTAAAAAACTATGAATTACATTATTTGTCTAAAAAATTCTAAAATTTTTGAATAATTAAGTTTTGGAAGAATTACAGTTGCAATTTTTAGAAATAATTAAATTTCAAAAGGTTTTTCATTGAAATTACATGAAGTTTTAACTTCTGCGAGAAAATAAATAAGAATGAGATTTTAAATTTTTGTTTAGCAGAAAGTATTCAAGTTTAGAAAGTCCGAAAACATTTGTTTCTTCAGAAAAAATGTAATTAAAATAATATTTTTTTTTTAATATAATTATATTTCCGAAAATAATTTTAAAAAATCGAAACAATTGAAAGTTTTGTCAAATTTCATTGTAATGAATTTTATATTATAATGAATTTTATTTGTTTACTTTTAAAAATTATTTTGAAATATAATCTTATTTTTGAAGAAAAAAAAATTATTATTTCTAATTGAAAATTTGGAAAACAATTGAATTTTAAAAAAATATAGAATTATCAGCAATTCTCGAAAGTTCAATTATTTAATCAAAAAATTTTTTACATTCAATTTGTTGTTTTTTTACATTTAAAGAAAAACTGTTAGAAAAATTATATTTTTTTTTAAAAAAAGGAAGAATGTTCCATTAAATTTCAAAAAGAAAATCTTTTAAAATAACAATGGCAATGGAAATTTTGCGCGCGTTATTCTAGTTTCAGAAATAACGAAAATTGTTTTAAGAAAACATTGTAGATTCAAAATTTCTTTGAGATATGTTATTTAAAAATTAATCCGATTATTTTGTTTTTTGTAATTTAATATTTTGTACAATACAGTAGTGTAAATGTTGAAGAAATACTTCGTTACACTTGGAAAGAATAATTTTTTAAAACACATGTATAATTTTTATTTAAGAAAATCAAAACTAAATCCATTTCAGACAACTGATGTCAGGTGTTGGAAATTTAAGAGTATTAGCATCGGCATTAGAAAATGTTAATAGGATAGAGGATCGAACCAAAGACTTCTTGCCAGATTCTGATGACGACAACGCAACTGGACCAGCGTTGTAAAAAAAATAACTCTAATATTTAAATTATATATGACAAAAGAAGAAAAAGAAGAAAGAAAGAAAATTGTAACAACATCGTCTTTTTAATTTGATTTTAAAATATTTTAATTTCATCAATATGTGAGTATTTAATAATGATGGTCCTATATATTTAAAATCATCGAGACGAATTAAAAATTTATTTTAATGTGATGTTTTTTGAACACTGATATATTTTGTAAATATTAATAGAATCTTTTTCCTACACTTGTATAAAATCGTATGCAATATTTGCCACTGATTATAAAAACTCTATTGAATTAAAAATTCAATTATTAACATATATATATTTTTTTTCTCGAAAAATGTGAAAATTATCTTTTTTAAATCTTATCACACAGGATGGGAAATTTCCATCGAAATTTAATGTCCTACCACACTTGAAGACTCATTTCAAAGAAGCTAATTCATTTTTTTTTCTCAAACTATACAAAAATTAACAATTCATATTGAATTTGTTTTCGAGTGTAGCACAATAATTTTTAACATATAAATTTCTCTTCGTACAAGGAATAATTTTTTATATCTATATTTATATATATATGTATGTATATGTATTTCAAGTTTCAAATATTAAATTGAAATTTCGAAATTTATTTTTAATAAGCAATTCATCGATAAAATTGATGAACTAACCCCAGTGATTTTTCGATATTATGAAACATTAACTTAAGAAAAAAAATTGTTTCGTTTATAGAAATTTAAGACTTGAGGTATATTATTCTTATTTATATAATTACAGTTGACCGTAAGTGTTTTGTTTTTCATTTGTTAATAATTGCTTAACACTGTGATCGAAAAAATTGGTAATAATTACGATTTTTTGAAAATAGTCAAATTGAGAACGAAAATAAATAATTTATGGACTCCAATCGCTATCTATATTTATACATTTTAAATTAATGATGATAATAAAAGATAAACACACTTTATACTTCAGCGTGATAACATATTTATATATTCCTAATTGAATCATTTTTTTAAACAAATCAATACGTGATTTTTAATTTTGCAACAAAAAAATTTGAATAGTAAAATGAAATTTTGTACTACAGACATTATAAATGGAACTTTGAGTTCCTAATTTTATTATTTTAAATTTTCGTATTACACTGTTGAGTCGACACTCAATTAATTATTTGACACACTTTATTCCGTTTTAGTTAATTTCTATTTTTTATGTATATTTTAACAATTTATCTTTACACTTTTTATTGTTATTAAATTAAATTTTTTGTTTATTTGTATGAATTTTAATTAGAAATATGAATATACAAGCTTCAAGTCGACGTTAAGACAGGCGGATCGACTTTAAGGTGCAAAAAAGTCATTTTAGTCGTTTAAAAATACAAAAAAATAGAAAAAGTCATTTACTTAATTCAGTGTTGTAACAAAAATTTTACTTTGTATTTCCCTGATATTCTAATGCTTTATAAATTCAATTATTAATCAAAACTTGAATAATTTTTTTAAATAAATATATTTAAATACCTCTTATTTGTTTTTCCAAGGAAAATAAAATTTAAAAAATTTCAATTTTAAAACCTGAAATTAATAATTTCTAAAAATTACAACTAGAATATAACCCTTTCAAAATTCAATTATTTTCTACAATTTTCAACTAAACTCATCTCTAAATCAATTATTTTTAATAACCCTGGCTGTTCCATAGCGACTTTAAATAAATGAAAAAAAAATATTATTTTTAAAAAATTATAAAAAAAAAATCTTAAAATGAATTTTTAAAAAATATTTTTAAATAACTTTTGAAAGGTACTAGTTTTTCAATTACATATATATACAATTGAAAAGTTTCCATACAATTAAATTTGGTGAAACCTTTTAAAATTGAATTTTTGAAAAGTATTAAAAAATAATGAAATTGAGAATTTTAATTATGACTTCTCCGAAATTTTAATTAGTCTAAAAAGAAAATTTTCTAAAATTTTAATTTACCTTTTTTGAGGATAATTGAATTTTAAAAAATCTTGATAAAACAATTCTAAGAATAAGTTTTTTTTTAAATATTGTAATGTAATTTTTCGAAAATAAATGAATTTCTTAAAAGAAATTTTGTATAATTTATAAAAGCTAAATAATTAATTGAAGAATTTTAATTAAAAATTTTAAACATGATTGTTTTCTCCAAAATGTTAAAATTAATTTTAAAGAATTTTAATGTTATTATTTTTTTATGTATTTGAATTTTTGGAAATATAATATTGAAAATAATTGAAAAATAATTGAATTTTAAAAACTTAGTTTGAAAAAATTCTAACTCTTACTTTTTTCAAAAGTTTTTTTAATATAATTTTTAGAAGCTGATTTTCATTAATTTTAATTTTTAAATTTGCACATGAAGATTTTTCATCAAAATTTTCTCAATTTTTATACACTCACATTTTAATTAATATTGTAGTAACTTTCAATAATTTGGAATTGGAAAATTAAAAATTTATTAATCAATCTTTTACGTCCGAGAAATATTAATTATTAATTATTTTGGAATAAACTAATTTTTAAAAACTATTTGTCCGAATGTTTTCGTTTATTTTCCTTCACTATAATTAAAAATTCATACAATTACATAAATACAAATTTGTTTCCGAATTGGTAATTTTTGGTCTTCTTTTGTATTTTTATTGACAAGATTTAAATACTCTTACAATTATCAATTTTCATTTATGTATTAATTTTTACAATTTTTTTAAGTTTCTAATTTTAGAAATGATTATTTACAAAGTTTTTAGTCAAAAGTGATATTTTTATAAAATTTTTTCAATAGGTTTCAAAATCAATTTCACAATAACTGAACAACTTAATCTCAAAGATTTTTAAAATACTCATAGTATTTTTTCAATTAAATTTTTTACACGGCTAGAATTTAAAAAATAATTTACATACATAAAAACTTAGTTACCTATAAAATAAATATTATATATTTATCACATATTTGAGCAAAACAGACTAAAAGAAAATGTAAATATAAAATACGTAAAAATAAATTATGTAGTTTATCCAATTTTATAGATTTTATGGGGACAAATCAGTGAAATTTTAATATCATCAGGGTGGCCACTTTTTTTATAAAAAAAAATTCATTTCTTTAATTGTAAAATCATTTGGAATTTAAATAGATTTTTTTTAAATAAATATTTAATTATTATCTATTATTTTTGCACAGGTATTAAGATTCTAAAGAATTTCAAAATTTAAATTCATTAAAATTGAATAATTTATAAGAATTGCTACTGTAACTTATTAAAAATTATTTTCAAGATTTCAATTCAATCATTTTCTACAAATTTTAACTAAAATATTTCTAAAATTCACTACTTGTTTAGAAGACAATTTCATGATTTCCCTGAAAAAATTATTTTTTACAGGAAAATATAAATGTTTAAGGAAAATGAGTAAAATTTATGAATTTTAATAATTTTTAAAAATTACAATTATAACCCTTCCTGAATTTAATTATTTTCTACAATTTTCAACTAAACTTCATCTCTGAATCAATTAATTTCAATAATTTTCCAAAAGTTCTTCCAGAATTCAATTATTTAAATACAAAGACACAATTTTTTATAATAATTGTAACTTTCCATAGTTTGTTCTTAAGTTATTTTTAAGTAATTCTTGAAGATAATAGTTTTTCAATTTTGAAAAATTTACAAACAATTAGAATTTGGTAAAATTTTTTTAAAATAATTGAATTATTGAAAAATATAAATAAAAATGATCAAATTTTTTAAGAACTTTAATTATAACCAGGACCATGATTTCTCAAAAATTTTAATAAGTCCAAATAGTAAATTTCCATAAATTTTTATTTATATTGTTCAAAGATAATTGAATCTTAAAAAAAACTAATTAATTTTTAGATGAATTTTAATTAAAAATTTTAAACATAATTGTTCCCTCCAAAATGTTAAAAATAATTCTAAAATGTTATTATTTTTAAATATATTTGAATTTTTGGAAATATATAATTGAAAATACGGAAAATATTGAATTTAAAAAAAGTAAATGCTAATTTTCATTAATTTTCATTTTTAAATTTACCTTTAAAAGATTTTTCATCAAAAATGTTTGCTATTTCAATTATTTTCAAAATTTGTAATTACAATTCTTCAAAAATTTATTTTTAAAAATTGTAAATAAATACTTGAAATAAATAAATTATTTTCAATTAAATTTTACAAAATTTCAATTATTCAAAAAGATTTTTATTTTAGATATATTTGAAATATTTAATTATGTTAAAAAATGATTCAAAAACAATTTTTTGAAAGATTCGTTTATAGTTATTTTTCACATTATAAAAATCAAAATAATTTGAACTCAATTATTTTTTAAAAATCTTGTAAAAATTCTCCGAGAAAATTCAATTATTTTGAATAATAATTGAATTTCGCACAGTTCAATTATTTAAAAAACTTTAAAATTCAATGTTTTTAAGAATTTATTTCAATATTCTTAAAAATAATGAATTTTTTTTAAAATAATTTTTACTGATAATTTTGAAAATAATTTAATTTTAAGAAGAATTTCTTTTATGTTTTAAAAATAATCGAGTTTATTACTAATTATAATTAACAATGTTCCTATTAAATTATATTAAAATTGTTCAGAGAGAATTAAATTCTTTTAAACAACAATTTTTTGAAAGATTTGTTTATAGTTATTTTTCACATTATAAAAATCAAAATAATTTGCACTTTTTTTTTTTATTAAAAATTTTTGTATATTTTTGCAATGTTTTTGGAAGAAAAGTTGAAAAAAGGCGCAAATTTTGAAAATAAGTCGAAAAAAATCTCAATTTTCTTAATTTCCGTGACAAACATTTTTTTCCTCACATTTCCCTGATTTTACTGCCAAAAATTTTGTTTCCCTGCCATTTCCCTGACATGTGGCAGAAATTTCACTGATTCTTTCCCTTAATAAAATAATAATATCACTGTAAAACGAGCAAACAAAAAACTCATTTCACTCAAAGTTAAATAATCTTTCTCTCTGTAAATAATGAATAAAAAATAAAAAATTCCCTCTGATTGAAATTAATCTAATTCCTCCAGCATCGAAAGTATATCAGTCTGAGTTTCCATGTGATTCGTTTGAATACTCAGCCAAGAGCGACAATCGTGATTCGAGTCCTCGCAGCCAGATTCACAGAAGAAATTTCTCGTCTGTGTTTCCGTTGACACTGTCGTATCGACGAAATGCGACCACGCTGTTTGCGTTTGAATATTCGACAATACCAAATCGGAGGGCAAAATTTCATCGCAAGTTTGAGTGCAAGAATTATTGTAAAGTTGAAGTGGTTCAATGTGAAAACTTTCAGTGGTTTGTGTCTCATTGCTAAAAGTTCGTGACAGAGAGTCCGAGTCGAACAATGATTGACAATAACCGGCTTCCGTTTGCGTTTCAATGCTACTGAATCTATCGGCGAAATCTTCTGTGAGAATTGAATCAACTTGAGTTATTTTATTAGTCTCCGAGAATGAATATTCATTCCCAATGTTTGCATTGTCCTCGCAAAATGTGTCATTTAAATCGCCAAATGGACTCTTCTCGGGACTCGTCTGCGTTCCAAGGGTACTTTTGTCCTCCCACAATTCGGGCAGAGCTACATCGTGACGAAGTGGAAGGGGACTGCTGGGAAAGAGACTGTTGTCCGTCAATCGCACGTCCTTCTTAATAATCAGTCCCGGTGATTTAATTTCCACTTTTTTATCCACTTGAGAAGGACTTTTAACCATCTTCTTTGTAATCGAACTCGACGTTTGTGTTTCTTTGGTATTTTGGAGATTCTCCTTCCTTTGAATTTGATTTGTTTGCGTTTCCTGGGTCACTTCACTTTTACTTTTTGTAACTTGGGAGCTATCGTCTATTTGAGATTCAATTGTTGTGTCGGTTTGCACGGCAATATTGTGAGTGAGCTTTTGTAGAATTCCGATTGCTATTAAAACACCTTTGGTTACAAATTTGCCATTCTCCTTTTGAACAACTATTGTTGAATTCGACAATTGTTTACTGCTCTGCAATCGAGGAATCCGAACTGAATTGATTCCTGCTTTACTCTTTGCCGTTGATAGTCTGCTGGAAAAACATTGCAATAGTTTAATATTTTTTGGTTAAATGTTTGAAAATAAATAAGTAATAACTAAAATACAAATTACAAAATTTTTTATTTCTACTTTTGAATAACTTAAGTTATAAAGTTAAAAAATTCAATTATTTAAAATTTTAAAATTTGTTGCAGGAATTCAATTATTTTCATAAATAAAAAGATTCTTTACATTATTTCAATTATTTAAAAAAAAATTTGAAAAAATCCATTGCAAGAATTCAATTATTTTTTCATAAATAATAATATTATTCACGGGGTTTCAATTATTTTTAATACAATTTTAAATAAATTTCTCGGAAAATGAAATTATGTTCAAAATTTTTTTGCAAGAATTAAATTAGGTACATTTCACAAACAATGAAATTCTTTGCTGAAATTCAAAAATTTTCAAAATTTACTATTTTAATAAAAGTTCTCAAAAGAATTTAATTATTTAAATAAATTGTAATAAAATTCGTTAAAGGAATTCAATTATTTTTACAACTAATAACATTTTTCACATGAATTCAATTATTTAAAAAAAAAATTGATAAAATTCGTTGTAAGAATTCCATTATTTTCAAAATATATAACATTTTTTGCAAGATTTTAATTACATTTCACGAATATAATGAAATTTTTCGTTGAAATTAAAATATGTTCAAAATTTACTATTTTAATAAAAATTCTCAATAGAATTCAATTATTTAAAAAAAAAATTTCATAAAATTCGTTGCAGGAATTCAATTGAGGCCTTGGATCCAATAACTCGCCCGATGCTTGGAGGAACGCGCAACTGCCAGTCAGTGAGCAGTGAGGGCCTCTGGGCCACTCACTGCTACCCGACTGGTATTAGCGCGTGCCTTCGAGCGTCGGGCGAGTTATTGGATCCAAGGCCTCAATTATTATCTAAAATTTTAACTGATATTTATTTTTAAATCAATTTTTATTGGAAAATTCTACGAGAATTCAATTATTTAAATACAAAAATAAATAATTTATTGAATAAATGAATGTTTCTCGAAATTGAATTATCATCAAGAATTTTATCAACAAAATTGAATTTTTTCGATGAATTTTAATAAAATTTTCAAGAATAATGAAATATTTCGAGGAATTCAGTTAAAATTGTATTAAAAATAATTGAAATTCTATGAAGAGTTTTATTATTTATTAAAAAATAATTGAATTTTTCTTAAAAATGTTATTATTTATGAAAATAACTGAATTATTGCGAAGAAATTTATAAAAAATTTGTAAATAGTTGAATTCCTGTAAAATTTTTATTATTTATGAAAATAATTTAATGTTTGCTTAGAATTTTATCAACATTTTTTTTTAAATAATTGAATTCTTTTGAAAAATTTTATTAAAATAGTAGATATTGAAAATAATTGAATTTCTCCGAAGAATTTTATTATTTATGAAAATATTTTAATTATTGAGAAGAAATGTCTTATTTATGAAAATAATTGAATTATTGTGAAGGATTTTACAATTCATAAAAATAATAATTGAATTATTTCGAAGAATTTTATCTGAATTTTTGAAAATAATTGAAGTTTTTGAAGGAATTTTATTAAAAATTTTAAAAATAATGATTTTTTAAAAAGAATCTCATCAAAATTGTTGATATAATTGAATTTTTATTAAAACTCTGGAAAATAATTGAATTTAAATAATATTTTTAAAAAATAATTGTATTCTTTCGAGAAATTTAATTAAAATTATATTGAAAATAATAGTGATAAAACAGTTGAACGATTTTTATGAAATTATCAACCATTTCCCAGTTTATATAAAACCCTCGTGTATTAATAAAAAAATATTTTACCTGTTTTTTCTATATTTTTGATCGACTTCGTGTAAATTACGTTTGGCATGAGTAAGAAGCGCTTCATAGGAATTGTAAAACTTTTGGCACACTTTGCATTCGAAACGTATTCCACAAACTTTAACATGTGCCTCTTTTGCAGCTTCTGTTGAAAAACTCTTGGGACACAAAGTGCAAGGATACTTTCTTTCGGCGTGAATTTTCAAATAGTGCTGTAAAAATGTTGCAAAAATTATTAAAAATTATTATTATTGAAATAATTAATTAAACACCATAAAAATTTTATCAAATTTTTTTATGTTACAAGACAGAGAAACATGTTAGAAAAAATTGAAATTATTTCATTATTTTTATTTTTTTAATAATTAATTATTAAAATTTTTACTCAATCTTCATTTTTATTGACCTAAATTTCAATTTATTCAAATTTTAATCGTTTCTACTATTTAATTAGATATTAATTTGAAATACATATTTCAAATTCTAATCTTAATGCGTTTCAAATTCAACTGTATCAAAATATAATTCATTGAATTTACAATCAAATAAAATTATTAACAATGCAAAATTCTAATGATTAAAAGCTTTTTGTTCATTGTAGAAGATTTTAATATTTGAAACTTTATCGAAATATCAAATTAAAATTAATTTCAATTCATTGTAAATTAAATCACAACTTCAAACTGAAGCCAATTTTGATTTCAAATTAATTAATTAATTAATTAAAACTCTATAAACTCTAATTAGGAAAAAAATAATTGAAATTAATTAATATTTTAATAAATATCAAACCTTCTGAATATTAATAATTTCTATAATTTACAATGTATTAGGTAATCTTTCTAAAATTCAATTATTTTCAACAATTTTCAAAAAATTCTTAAAACTAATTTTTAAATTATTTTTGAAAAATAAGTTTCTAAATTATACCTAGATATAATCTTCTAAAAACAATAAATTGAAATTTGAAAAAATAATTAAATCAAATTTCAAGCACTTGAAATATTGTAATTTTAAAGTTAATATTATTTATATTTTCTAAATCTGTCAGGGTACTGACAGGGCAATTGATAAAATCAGAAGCGAAAATGAAATTTAGTAAAATTGATTCGATTTATAAATTAAATTAAAAGATTAAATTTCTTACGAAAATAGATTCTAACCTGTTTCAAATACCTCTTCTGTGTGAAAAATCTATTACAATTAATAGCATAAATACAATTATTCACTGGACAGTGGTATTGAACGTTCTTTTCCGTCTCATCATTGGCCTTTAATTTATATTTTTTGTCATGAATTTTAAAATTATGCATTCGATAGCGTGCTAAATTTTTGAATCTCATATCACATTCCTCACAGCGAATGTCATTTAAAACAACACTCAAATCCTCAGCAGGTGGGCACACTTTTTTCACTAAATTTTCCTCCGCTTGTTCCATGATTTCTTTTACACGGCGCACGCATTAATTAACAAAACAAAAACGAGGAAAGAAAAACTGAATATCAATCGGAATTGTCAGTTGTCACTTGTCACTAATTAAATATTTAACAAGTCTGCACATTTTCAGCCGCGAATCGCGATTGCAAAATTTATCCATCGGACACTATTGGGCGTGAAAAATAAACATGTCAACACATGTGCTTGCATGCGTAAATTCAGTAAATTTCAGAAAAACTCCAGGAAAATTACTGCCGAGTTCCAGCTGATAACGGGAAAACGAGGAGCTTTAACCCTAAAGTTGCGCCTAAAGTTGCAGTTCTGAAATGATGGCGATGGCGATATAAAGTGACACGAAAATATTAAACTTCTGGTATGTTATTATTTAATTGATTCATATTTTCATAGACGAGGAGAAATAATCTATTCATGCTTTTTTATTTTTCTTCGCCTAAAACTAATTTACTTATTCAATTAATTGTTAATTCCTTATGGATTTCACTTTTCTGCTTGATTCGAAATACAAAGTTATAGGTTATGTTCGAACCCAATTTCGTGTCTTGTGTCTTTTCTTGACAAAAAAAGGCAAAAGAATACAAAAAACGGGGTAATATCTCAAAAAAAGTGTTTTAATAAACCCAACTTATTTGTTTCTATCCAATTTTTCTTATATTTATAACTATTTTTCTTGTTTCTCCCTTTGTTTATGACACATCGACTAACCTAACCTTCCTTTACTTCTGACAGGCGGTAATTTAAATTTTTGCTTAATATATTTAAAAAATTTCTACAATAAAATTAACCAAATTGACTATTTTTCGAGTGGAAATAAAAAAAAAATTTCTCGAACCGATTTAGTGCGGGGTATATTTTCTATTTAGAATAATTTTAGTGATGTATTTTGAAAAGAGAAAAGAGCTGACCGAGCTTGACTTACATGCGATCATGTGGATATGTATATACATATATATACATTGTGTATATATGTGTATGAAATTATATATTTATAATACAATTGTTATGTAGGTTTCATACACGTAATTGAATATCTGTCAGTCGCGTTGTGCATTGTTTAAAGTTTCGACGATGATAAAAATTGTTTATGAAAGAAGAGTAGGGCATATAATGTGATGAGAATTATGAAATAAAACAGTGTTGCATCTGACTTTATTTGTACGTGTTCGCAAAAAAAAAAAAAAAACGGTTCTCTTGACAGTAAGAAGTAAAAAAGAAGAAGAAGAATAAGAATTTGTAGCCAATTGATTCGATCTTTATTCTATAAACTCTCCGGCCTTGTTATGCTTTCAACTGTAGATTTACGATATTCTGTTCTTCGTTACAAGTACAATGTATTATTCTCATCGTTTATGTGCTAGAATATCATTATGAATTCAGGAAGTGCATAACCATTGTGTTATTATATTTTGGAGAGAAAATACAAAAATAATGTCTTCTGTGAGTGAATATTTTATAGTTACAAAAAAAGAGTATTTTTATTTCTAAATTGTAGAGAAATTGGATTTTGATACGAAATTTGTTTATTAATGTTAGAAATTTATAGATATATTTGTTTATTTATTTATTTACTTATTTTTGTGTTACATGTTTATTTGTTTGTTTTTTTGGTTTCAGAAAAGTGAAGAACCCCTTGGGGAAGAGATTATGTGGCTGACAACAGCCGAAGCAGCGAGTCTTGGTGCTGAAGAAGTCGCTGCTCGATTGCACGTTGATTCGAGAACAGGACTTTGGTGGCAGGAGGCAGATCAGAGAAAGCAATTAGCTGGTTTTAATGAATTATGTCTCAAAGAAGAGGAGCCGACGTGGAAAAAATACGTCGAGCAGGTAACGAGAAACAAACAACAAAATTGTCACAAAAATTTCAATTTCTTTTCCATTGACTTTTCCCTGTTTACCAGACAAAATTTCCCTGACTTTTTCCCAGACCCTAAAGAATATTCTGATTCACTCTAAAAATGATTAGATACTCAAAAAAAATTTTCTATTACATTTATTTATACGAATTTCTTCAAAAGTAAAATTTTTGGAAAACATCAATAACTTCTTTTTTAAATAAATATTTAATTATTATTATTTTTCCACAGGAATTACGATTTTCGTAAATTTTAAATTTAAACCTTTTTCAAATTCAACAAATTATAATAATTAAAAATGACCGAGTTGTAAAATCATTATTTTATATTGTAAGAATATTGTTACTGTAACTTCTTCAAAATTAATTTGAAACCCTATCAAAATTCAATTATTTATAAAAATTCATCCGATAAACGTCGGTGAAGTTCAAAATGTTTGTGATTAACTATCGAAAGAAACAAATATTTTTCTTGACAATAGCAATAAAATTTGTTGCTTACAAATATTTTTTTTTGTAAATTATTTACCAAGGAACTAAAAAACATTTTTTATACAAAAATTTATATATATTTTAATTAAAAAATATTTCCCCCCTAAATCGTTGATTATAAACGTTGTGAACTTCACCAATATTTCGATAATGCTTTTAATATTCAATTATTAACTAAAATTTTCTAAAATTTATTTAAATTCTAAAATAGTCTAAAATTTATTTAAAAATTTAAATAAATTTTTATTAGAAAATTTTACAAAAAAAAATTTATTTATTTTTTTTTGTGTTTTTTTGATACTTTCTCGAATTTAATTATTTAAATACAAAAATAAATATAACAAAATTTTTCTTAAAATTAAATTTCTATAAAGAATTTTATCAACAAATTTTTAAATAATTGAATATTCTTTTAACGAATTTTATTAAAATATTTTAGAATAATTACATTTTTTGAGGAATTCGATTAAAATTGTATTAAAAATTTTATTAAAATTCGTCAAAAGAATTTTATTATCTATGAAAATAATGGAATTATTGCAAAGAAATTTATAAAAAATTTGTAAATAATTGAATTCTTGAAAAAATTAAGATCTTGAAAAATTTTTATTATTAATGAAAATTATAAACTTTTTTTTAAAAAATTAAATTCTGTTGACGAATTTTAATAAAATTTTTAAGAATAAATACTTTTTTCGACAAATCGATTAAAATTGTATTAAAATTAATTGAATTATTGGGAAGGAAATTCATTTAAATTTTGTAAATAATTGAATTCCAGTGAAATTTTTATTATTTTTGAAAATAATTAAATGCTTGCGTAGAATATTGACAAATATTTTTTTTAAATAATCGAATTCTTTTGGAAATATTTATTAAAATAATAGATATTGAAAATCATTGAATTGAGGAAAATATTAGAAAATAAATTGAATTTCGCAGAATTTTATTATTTTTAAAAATAATTGATATTTTGACGAGAATTTTAATAATTATGAAAAGAATTGAATTATGGCAAAGAAATTTATAAAAAAAATTGTAAATAATTAAATTCCTGTGAAATTTTTATTATTTTTTAAAATAATTAAATGTTTGCGTAGAATTTTATAAAAAAATTTTTTAAATAATTGAATTCTTTTGGAAAATTTTGATTAAATTAGATATTAAAAATCGTTGAATTATGATGAAGGAAAGTTTTTGAAAATAATTGAAATTTTGCCAGAAATTTGATTAAAAATTTTGAAAATAATTGAAATTTTGCCAAAAATTTTATTGAAAGTTTTGAAAATAATTGAATTTTGAAGAATTTTATTATTTTCAAAGATAATTGAAATTTTAACAAGAAATTGTTGAAATTTTTTATCACAATTGATTTTCTGCAATTATTTGTAACTTTTCCAAAATTCAAATTTTTTTTGTGTGTTTCTAACTAAAATTCTTCTATAAATTCATTAATTTTAATAATAAATCAAAAATGTATATTAAAAAATATAACTAATTTCAGAAGAATTTGAATTATTACAATTTTTTAAAAATCAAAGTTTTTTAACATTTCCAATTAAATTCATTCAAAATTGAAATTTTCTAAAATTTTAAATTAAAACCTTTTGAAATTCAATTATTTAAATAAAAATTGAAAACGCAACTCTTAAAATTCAATTAATTTTGAAATATTGAAGTAAAATTATTCATTAAATAATTTATAAGTAATAATTTTATGATAGTTTTTCAATAATTAAGTTATGCAAAAAGAAATTATTGGCAGAAATAGAAAAAATTCAAGGTTTTGTATTAGAAATCGTAGTAATCTCATAGTTTATGACGCAAACAAAGAAGACACTAAAATTCAGTATTTTCTTATGAATTCTAAAAATTTAATTTTTTCCAATACTTTTAATAAAAATCCCTTACTTTTCCCTGATTTCTCTAACCAATTCTATTTTCCCTGACTTTTCCCTGACCTGTCGCAATCCTGAATTAATTTTCTTTTTTTATTATTTTTTCATTTTTCATTATTTTTTTCCTTTTTTAGAAAAGTTCTCAAGGTAAGTTTGTCAAAATAGTTCATTTTAAAAATTTTTGAATTTTCTATTCATTTTTAAGTTTTTTAAAATTCTCATTGATTGTCCGTTCATATTACAATTGCTCCCATTTAATGTTCGAGAAAATAATGAGGTCATAAATACAAACGTTTTTCTATCATAAACAAGGCCATTCATGTAAATTAAAAAATTTGATTTGAGAGAAGAATGAAAATTCGTGAAGTGGGCCACGGATTTTCCAAGGTTTGCAATTTCTAAAAATAAAGTACTAATTGAGAGACAAACAGTCACGAAATTTTGTTTAAAAATATCCATTTGTTTATTTTTTATAAACAATTTAATTTTAATATAACCTTTTTTTAACTTTTATATCTCGAAACTGGAAAATTCGTGGCCCAGTTTACGAATTTTCACTCAATCAGAACTATTAATAATTAATAGTTAAAAATTCTATTAATACTTGTTTTCTTCGGTAAATGAAAATTTTTGTTATTCAAATAAAAAAAAAATAATTTTTTAAATTTCTTTGTTCGTTTATAAATAAATATTCTTTTAATTAACTTTTGAGGAGAAAATAAATGAATGCTTTTCCAAGAACTTTAAATAAAAAGGCTTATAAATGTTTCTTTTTGTTACAGTTTAAAAATCCTCTTATTTTATTATTACTGGGTTCTGCAGTTGTTAGTGTTTGTATGAGGCAATTAGATGATGCTGTCAGCATAACAGTGGTAAGTAAAGATCGATTTAAAAATTTAATATTTACGATTCGAAAATCGTAAATCACAGTCTATAGCATTAATTGTTTCTAGGCCATAATCATAGTAGTGACTGTTGCTTTTGTGCAAGAATATCGTTCGGAGAAATCACTAGAAGAATTAAGTAAACTCGTGCCTCCAACATGTCACTGGTAATTATTCAAAATAATACAACAACAACAAAAAAATACTTTTTATAAACACTTTAATAACCTTTTTTTAAATTTCCTTTATGTAAAACAAATATAATAAATAGATTTATATAATTAAATTAAATAAATAAAAAATTTACATAATTCAAAAAATTACAAATAAATGATATCATTACTAAAAACTTTTGAAAATAATTTAATTTTTTAAAAGAATTTTTTTTTTTTTAAATACTAAAAAATAATCAATGTTTTGATGAAGAATTTCAATTAAAAATATGGAAATACATAAAAAAAATAAAATAAAAAGTTTTATTAATTTAAGATGTTAATTTTTCTTTCAGCCTCAGAGAGGGTCGACTAGAAACATTTTTAGCGCGGAATTTAGTTCCTGGCGACGTTGTTTATTTAAACATTGGCGACAGAGTCCCGGCCGATATTCGATTATTTGAAGCAATAGATTTAGCTATTGACGAAAGCAGTTTCACTGGAGAAACGGAGCCTGCACAAAAATCAACGGCGCCATTGCTCAAGACAGATGAGCACTCTTCGAAAGGGAATATTGCGTTTATGGGAACTCTTGTGCGATGTGGTCACGGAAAGGCAAGAACTGCATTTTTATTTAAGAAAAATTAAATTTACAAAATTTCTATAAAGGTACTTTCTGACAAAGGATTTCAAAAAAAATCTTCGATTTTTCTTTTTTGCTTAAGAAAAACTCAATTACTCTCCTAAAACATTTTTTAAGAAATATGAAAAAGAAAAAAAGTTTGTACTTAAAAACACATTTTTCTCGAAAACCCATTTTTCAAAAGGGGGATAAACTTTTCTCGAAATTTACTAAACCGATTTTAAAAAACCAAAAAAAGAACTTTTCCAAAAATTATTTTAAAAAATAGATTTAAAAATGAATTTTGATTAAAAACACTTAAAAAAAATTGAATTTTGGAGAAGTTACAAATAATTGCAGAAATTGAATTATTTTCAAAAGTAATAATTAATTCTTCGCAGACATTCAATTACGTTCAAAAATTAAAAAAAAATTCCCGTATAAATTTCAATTATCTTTAAAAATAATAAAATTCTTTTCCGAAATTCAATTATTTTCAAACCTTTTAATGAAATTCTTGGAAAACTTCAATTATTTTCAAAAGTTCTCCTGTATTTAATGACTTTCAATATCTATTTTAATAAAATTTTTCTAAAGAATTCAATTATATAATTTAATTACTTTCTTAAATAATAAAATTCTTTTTTTGGTTTTAAGGAATTCAATTATTTTCTCAAGTAATAAAACTCATCGCAGAATTTCAATTATTATTTTTTAATTTTAATCGAATTTTTCGAAAAATGTAATTAATTCAATTATTTAAATATTTCTTCATAAAATTCTTTATTGGAATTCCATTTTGCGAGACATTCAATTATTCAATAAATTATTTATTTTTGTATTTAAATAATTGAATTCTGGTAGAATTTTCTAATAAAAATTGATTTTCATTGCATAAAAATGAATTTCAGTTAAAATTTTAGATAATAATCGAATATTAAAAGCATTAAAGCGTGAATTTTTAGAAATAATTGAATTTTGAAGAGGTTTGAAATTAAAATCTTTGAAAATTTGAAACTTGAATTTCATTTTTCAAATCAATTTTTATTAGAAACTTCTACGAGAATTTAATTATTTAAATATAAAAGTAAATAATAATTTATTTCAATAATTTAATGTTTCTCAAAATTCAATTTTTATATAGAATTTTATCAAGAAATTTTTAAATAATTGAATTCTTTTGACGAATTTTAATAAAATTTTTAAAAAATAATTGCATTTTTCTTGGAATTTGATTAAAATTGTTTAAAAATAATTGAAATTCTGCGATGAGATTTATTATTTTTTTTTTAAATAATTGAATTCCTAAAAAGAATTTTATAATTATTTATGAAAATAATTGAATTATTGCGAAGAAATTTATAAAAGATTTGTAAATAATTGAATTTCTATGAGATTTTTATTATTTATAAAAATAACTGAACTCTTTCCAAGAATTTTATTAAAATTTTTGAAAATAATTGAATTTTGGAGAAGAATTTTATTATTTTTAAAGATAACTGAAATTTTGATGAGATTTTTAAAAAAATTTTGAACATAATTGAATTTCTACGAAGAATTTTGTTACTTTTGAAAATAATTGAAATTCTCGAATCATTTGTAATTTCGATAAAAATTGTATTAAAATAATTGAATTATTTATTTTTAATTTTGCAAGACATTCAATTATTTAATAAATTATCTATTTTCGTATTTAAATAATTGAATTCTGTTAGAAGTTTCGAATTAAAATTGATTTAAAAATTAATTTTAGTTAAAATTTTAGATAATAATTGAATATTAAAAGCATTATAGAACTAATTTTTAGAAAGTATTGAATTTTGAAATGATTTCAAATTAAAATCTTTGTAAACCTGAATTTTTCATACTTTTATCTAACAATTCTGTGGAATTAAGTTTTTTGAAAAAGTTTAATTGAATTTTTTTTTGAAATTATTTAAAGTTTTTATTTTCTAATATATATTTAATTGAAGAATTGTCGAATAAATAGAAATTTTGTAAAATTGAATTGTAAACAAATGGATTTGAAAATTCTGAAATAACTTTTTCAAAAATTATTAATAATAATTGATTTAAAGAAGAATTTTAGTTAAAAATTCTAGAAAATAATAATTGAATTAAAATGATTAAAATAATTTTGAAGAAGTTACAATAACAATATTCTGATATTATAAAATAATGATTTTGTCACTCGGTCATCTTTATTTATTGTAAAACATGAAGAAATCGATGACTCCGAGTCGAAGATTCGGAGTGAACGATATATTCATGTTTTATTAATAATATTCTTCTAAGTTGTTAAATTTCTAAAAACGTTTAAATTTGATATTTTTGAAAATCTTAATTCCTATGGAAATTTTTATGATAGCAGCAGAAAAAACATGATATTAAATTATAGTTTTGTTACTAAATCTTGTAAATGTGAATAATTATTAAAGTAAATGGATGATTTTTTTCAGGGCATAGTCATAAATACAGGAGAAAAAAGTGAATTTGGTTGCGTTTTTAAAATGATGCAAGCTGAAGACGCTCCAAAGACGCCGCTGCAGAAGAGTATGGATATTTTGGGAGCCCAACTATCATTTTACTCGTTCTTCATTATCGGTATTATTATGCTCCTGGGATGGGTGCAAGGCAAGGCGATTCTTGAAATGTTTACAATTAGCGTTAGTTTGGCAGTCGCCGCTATTCCCGAGGGTCTCCCAATTGTCGTCACTGTTACACTTGCCCTCGGAGTCATGCGAATGGCAAAAAGAAAAGCGATCGTTAAAAAATTACCCACCGTCGAAGCTTTGGGTAAGTTCGCAAATTTAAATTCATTTCTACGATTTCTGCTGTCTCCAGTTTATTGTAAACTTATTTCGAATTAGCTACGAATTCAAATTTTTTTTCTAAATTGATTAAAAATTGTGACTTCTAAAATTAATAGATAATTATCAATAATGATGATAATATTTGAATTCAGGTTGCGTGAATGTGATTTGCTCCGACAAAACTGGGACTCTAACGAAAAACGAAATGACCGCTACAATACTCATTACATCGGAAGGTTACGTCGCGGATGTGAGTGGAACTGGTTATAATAATGAGGGAGAATTACGCATTCGAAAATGTGATAATGCCGAATTAGCACGAACTGCCATAAATAATATGCTTGAGGTAAATATGGTTAAATTTATTTCAAAAACGAATAATTTTAGAAAATATTTTTTTGACCCAATCTCAACTTTCTAGTTATAAAATTGAAGCTGAAATTCGCAACATTTTTAAAAAAAGAAAAATTAGAAAGACATTTTTTTCAAGTTAATTTATCTACAATTTTGATGTACCTAAATTATTAAGGACATAATTTTTTCTTAAGACTGATAGCTATAAATAATCAAAAGTTGAAGCCAAAATAAAAAATAACGATAAGAAAGAAAAACGAAGACATTCAGACAAAGATTCGTTTAATGTTACTCCAACGTTTCGAAATCCACAGATTTCTTCTTCAGGGAGTCAATAATTAGTTTTCGTTTTTAAAAATTTGCATAGTCAAGATTAAGCACTTATCATTTAAAGAAAATTAAACAAATTTATTCAAATGAATTTATGCAATAGCTAAAATAATTTCATCTCCGAAGCCTTTTTTACATGATTGCAAAAAAAAACTTCTATAAGAAAATAAAGTTTTTATGAAATTTTTTTAAACTCTTAAAAATTTGTTTGAATTAATTGTCAGAAAGTACAATGTTTTTTCTATCATTATAAGAATATTCTTACCGTAATTTCTTCAAAATTATTTTTATCATTTCAATTAAATTATTATTTTCTAGAATTTTTAACTAAAATTCTTCTTTAAATCTCAATTATTTTTTAATAATTTTTGGAAAAGTTCTTTGACAATTTTCAAATCCATTTGTTTACAATTCATTTTTACAAAATTTCAATTAGGTATTCTAAAAATTCTTCAATTAAGTTAAAAATTAAAAATAATTTACAAAAAAATGCAATATTAAACTTTTTTCAAAAAAGAATTAATTCTACATAATTGTTAGTTAAAAATATAAAAAATTCAAATTTTCAAAGATTTTAATTTGAAACTTTTTCAAAATTTAGTTATTTCTAAAAATTCACGCTATAATGCTTTTAATTTTAAATAATTTAAAAAAAAAATTTTTATTAATAATTGAATTTTTTTTGATGAATTTTAATAAAATTTTTAAGAATAATTGCATTTTTCGAGGAATTTGATTAAAATTGTATTAAAAAAATTGAAAATTCTGCGATGAATTTTATTATTTTTTATGAAAATAATTGAATTCCTAAAAAGTTTTATTATTATTTTTGAAAATAATTGAATGTCTGTAAAAAAATGTTATTATTTATGAAAATAATTGAATTACTGCAAAGAAATTTATAAAAAAAATTGTAAGTAAATAATTAAATTTTAGAGAAGAATTTTATTATTTATAAAGATAATTGAAATTTTTATGAGAATTTAAAAAAAAGTTTTGAATATAATTGAATTTCTGCAATCATTTTTAACTTTTCTGAAATTCAATTTTTTTAAATGTTTTTAACTAAACTTCTTTTAATAAATTTTATTTTAATTTTATAAAAATTATATCCATTATTTTTAATAATTAATTAAATTGTATATATATTCAAAAATTTAATTAATTTCAGAAGAATTTGAATTTCTTAAAATTTTTCAAAAATCTGAGTTATTTAAATTTTTTAATTTAATTCACTCAAAATTGAAATTTTCTAAAATTTCAAGAAGTTCATCTATTTATATGAAAATTATAAACGCAACTCATTCAATTCATTTTAAAATATTTGATTAAAATTTGTCGTTAAAAATAATTTATAAGTAATAATTTTATGATAGTTCTTCAAGAATTAAGTTATTTGAAAAGTCTCCATCAATTTTTTTTTTAATTGAAAGGTGAATTCATAAGAAATCCAAATTAGTTAATAAAATTTTTTTCAGAGAAGAGTAAATAAACAAAAAATTATTTAATTTTTTTATTTAAAAATTAAAATTTTTTTTTAAAAAAATTTTTGGGAAAGAAGTCTCTTATATATAGAACTATAATCCCACGAAGTATCGCGAATTTCGGTTCACCCTTTGTAAATCGTGTTATTTCTGACTTGAAATGCCCGAAAATTGAATTAAATATTATAATATTTCACATTTGATATTTGTACTGTGTTCTCGATTCTAAAAGTATTTTTATGCTTCTTTTCAGGTCGGTTGTGTTTGCAACAATGCCATCATACAAAATGATACTTTACTCGGTCAACCGACGGAAGGTGCTTTATTATCAGTTGCCATGAAGCATGGATTGTATGGAGTAGCCGAGAAATTTCTGCGACTCCAAGAATATCCATTTTCATCAGAACAAAAAATGATGGCCGTTAAATGCTCCCCTAAATATGGAGAAGTAATTCCGTATTAAATTTTTATTATTACTTTTTTTCACATTTTTTCGTTTCACTTTTCCGTTTGCCTTTCTATTTTCTTACTATTCTTTTATTTTAGTTTAACTATTTATTTTTATTTACCTTCTTCTTATTTAATTAATTATTTATTATTTATTTTTTTATTTATTTATTTTTTCATTTATTTATTTTTTTAAATTCTTTTGAGGCGATTTTAGAATATTGGCGTCAATACTTTCATCAGTTTATAAGTTAGAAAAATTATTGACTCCAAGATTTTTAAATTGCCATAAATATAAATTTTTTATTAAGACGAATAATTAGATTTCATTTTTCACTTATGCTAATCATGAAATTAAATTTCATATTTTGTTATAATTCAAAATATGACGTGAAACATTGACCCAATTTGGAAAAGTAATTAGTAATATGTCAATAGAATCAAACAATATTAAAACTTTAGTTGTAAATTTTACTTGGTAAACTTTTATTTCACTAATTGTTTGGACAATTGCAAAAACTTTTACTTGGCGATTTAATTACTGTTCATATGTCAAAAATTCACTAATTTATTATAATACTTTTTTTAGAACAGAAATGAAGTTTTCTTTGTGAAGGGAGCCTTGGAGAAAATTCTACCACAGTGTACAAAATACTCTGCAAATGGACAATTGTATCAGTTGAATCAAAAGAAAGATCAGGAGCTTCTTGCCGAGGCTTATGAAATAGGACAACAGGGCTTACGAGGTATTTGAGAATTAAAAAAAAAATAATTGCTTCTTTTAAAAATTAGCAGATGACTTGAGGGTATAAATAATAATTGAGCCATTAAGTCAGTTAATGTAAATTTTTGTTTTTCAAATCATCCTCAATTTCAATCATTTCAAACTTTAATTTAAGGAAAAATCGGGAGACTCACTTTTTTATTGTCAATTTTTCTTAGTTATTGGATTGGCTCGTGGATCGTCACTTCAAGATCTCGTTTACGTGGGAATGGTTGGCATTTGTGATCCACCTCGACCCCATGTTCGTGAAGCCATCACAACTTTAATGAACAGTGGAGTCGCAGTCAAAATGGTTACAGGAGATGCTAAAGAAACAGCTTGTGCCATAGGTAAATTTAATGTTTTTTCCTTTTTTTTGGAAAATTCGTAAAAATATTGTTTCAATTGGCAAACAAACATTGTTTCAAATGTCAATTCTAACGAATTGCCATTTGCAATTTGTAAAAATTACATTTGCCCGAAACAATATTTTTACTTACAATGGAAATTCCGTCGATATTTCGTTCCTTATAATAGATTTAGAAAATAATTATAATATAAAAAGTATTTGAAATATTATTCTTCTTCTTTGCAGCTAATATGATTGGTATAGACACATTGCACAAAAAAGTAATGTCAGGCAATGAAATTGATACCATATCAGAACGTCAATTAGAGGATGTGATCGACACTGTGAGTGTTTTTTATCGGGTCACTCCGAAACATAAATTGTGCATTGTTAAGGCTTTGCAAAAGGGAGGAAACATCGTCGGAATGACGGGAGACGGAGTGAATGATGGCGTTGCTTTGAAGAAAGCCGACGTTGGAATTGCCATGGGAAAAAATGGAACGGATGTTTGTAAAGAAGCAGCGGACATGATTCTCGTTGATGATGATTTTCAAACAATTATGTGAGTTTTACTTTTATTTTTTCTGTTTCTATACCAAATTTTTTAAATATTTTTCTTAAAAATCAAGTGTCAACTATTTTTGATCTTCTTATCTTGTTAATTTTGTAAATTCTGTTATTTAAATTTAATTTCTCAATGAAATATTAATTTGCTCTTCTATAATAAATAGTTGTGTAAGATGACTGAAATATACTCCTGCAGATGTTTGAAAAAATAAATTTTTGTTACAGTGGCGCCATCGAGGAAGGCAAGGGGATTTTTTACAATATTCGAAACTTTGTGAGATTTCAACTCAGCACCAGTATAGCAGCTTTATCGTTAATTGCTCTCGCGACTCTAATGGGTATTCCAAATCCTTTGAATGCGATGCAAATTCTTTGGATTAATATTATTATGGATGGTCCTCCAGCTCAGAGGTAATAATTTTCATTTAATTTATTATCCCATTGAACATTTTAAATAAAACTTTTTTATTCCTACCGCAAGAAATTGAATAAGAAACCGCAGTCAAGTTGACGCCATATTGGTTCCGCCATATTGGATTTTTAAAGTCTATCCCCTATTTCCCTAAAAGTACCCTTTTTCAATTTTCGCTCCTAAACGTGTACCCTATTTTGAAAATTCCCCCTTAATTTCCCCTATTTTTTTCTTTTATCTTTTAATGATGAATTCACACCAAATTTAGCAAAGTGCCGTTGAAAATTTCAATTAGAAAATTTTGTTTTTAAAATTATTTTCATAAATATTTTTTAATTCGTCGCAGGAAATCAATTATTTTCAATAATTTTTAAATAATTCTGCAAAAGAATTCAATTATCTTGATGACCAACAAAATTCTCACCATAAAATCAATTATTTTAAGGATTTTTAATGAAATTCTTTTCCAAAAATCAATTATTTTGATAAATATCAATCAATCAAATTTTAATTAAATTCTTCGCAAAATTTCAATTATTTAAACAAAATTTAATAAAATACTTTGCAGGAATTCAATTATTTTTATAAATAGCAAAATTTTTCTCCTAAAATTCAATTATTTTGGAAAATTTAAATAGAATTCTTTGCAACATTTCAATTATTTAAAAAGTTTTTCGCTATTTAATGTTTTTAAATATTTACTATTTTCATAAAATTTATCAACAGATTTAATTATAGAAAAAACTTGTTGATACAATTCTACGAAAAGATTCAATTATTTTCATAAATAGATAATAAAATTTTAATTATGAATTCAATTATTTTCATCGTAGAATTTCAAATATTTTTAAATACAATTTTAAATAAATTCCTTGAAAAATGCAATTATTATTAAAAATTTTATTAAAACTTGAGGAAAGAATTCAATTTTAATAAACATTCAATTATTCAATAAAACAAGAAAATTCGTTACAATAATTCAAATATTTTCATAAATATTTTTTAATTCGTCGCCGAAAATCAATTATTTTCCATAATTTTTAAATAATTCTGCAAAGGAATTCAATTATCTTGATAACCAACAAAATTCTTCCCATAAAATCAATTATTCTAAGGATTTTTAATTAAATTCTTTTCCAAAATTCAATTATTTTGATAAATATCAAAATTCTTCTCAAGAATTCAATTATTGTCAAAAATTTTAATTAAATTCTTGGCAAAATTTCAATTATTTAAACCAAATTTCAATTCAATTATTTTTATAAATAGCAAAATTTTTCTCCAAAAATTCAATTATTTTCAAAAATTTAAATAAAATTTATTGCAAAATTTCAATTATTTTTAAAAGATATTCGCAATTCAATGTTTTTAAATATTCACTATTTTCATAAAATTTTTCAACAGATTTAATTATAGAGAAAACTTGTTGATACAATTCTACGAAAAGATTCAATTATTTTCATAAATAATAAAATTTCATTTACAAATTCAATTATTTTTATCACAGAATTTCAAATATTTTCAATAAAATTTTAAATAAATTCCTTGAAAAATGCAATTATTATTAAAAATTTTATTGAAACTTGAGGAAAGAATTCAATTTTAAGAAACATTCAATTATTCAATAAAACAATAAAATTCGTTGCAATAATTCAAATATTTTCATAAATAACATTTAATTCGTCGCAGAAAATCAATTATTTTAAAAATTTGTTAAGTTGTAATTTTGCAAAAGAATTCAATTAGCTTGATAAACAATAAAATCGCATAAATTCTTCAATAAAATCAATTATTCCAAGGAATTTTAATAAAATTCTTTTCCAAAATTCAATTATTTTGATAAATATCAAAATTCATCGCAAGAATTCAATTCTTTTGAAAAGTAATAAAATACTTTGCAGAAATTAAATTATTTTCAAAATTTTTTAAAAATTCTCGTCAAGAATTAAATTATTTTTATAAATAGATAGGGAAATAATTCTTCTCAAGCATTAAATTATTGTCAAAAATTTTTTAAAAATTTTTCTCAAGAAGTAAATTATTTTTAAAAATTTTAGTAAAATTCTTCTCATGAATTCAGTTGTTTTCAAAAATTATTATTTAAATTTTTCTCAGGAATTCAATGATTTTAAAAAAAATTTAATAAAATTCTTAAAAAAGTTTTCAATTATTTTCGAAAAATTGTTATAAAATTCTTCGATATAATAAATTTCATTTAAATTTTAATTAAATTCCTTAAAATAAATTAAATATTTCCAAATTAATTCCAAATATTTTTCGTACTTTTAACTAACAATTCTGTAGAATTAATTTTTTTTTTGAAAAAGTTTAATTGAATAGTAATTGATGTTATTGATTTAAAGTAGAATTTTAGTTCAAAATTCTAGAAAATGTTAATTGAATTGAAATGATACAAATAATTTTTGAAAAAATTTCAGTAAAAATATTCTTATAATAATAAAATAATGATTTTGTCAGTTGGTCATCTTTATGTTTTATAATAATATTCTTATGAGTTGTTGAATTTCAAAAAGGTTTGAATTTAAATTTTTTGAAAAATTGTAATTCCTACGGAAAAATAATAATTTGATTAAATATTTATTTAAAAAAGAAGTTATTGATGTTTTCGAATAATTTTACTTTTGAAGAAATTTGTAAATAAATTTAATAAAACATTTTTTTGAGTATCTAATAATTTTGAGAGTGAATCAGAATATTCTTTAGGGTCAGGGAAAAAGTCAAAGTTGTGTTTGGAAATCAGGGAAAAATAAAGTTAAATTTTTGTGGCAATCCTGTATAAATAAATTATATTTTTATCTTTTTTTAACCAATTTTTAAGGTCCCCTAAAAATGTCCCCTATTTTTTAATTTACAGTCTCCTATTTTCCCTAAAATATTTTTTAGGGGCACTGTGAACCTTATGTAATAACATGTTATTTACATTTTTTACTTTATTTTCCAGCTTGGGTGTCGAGCCTGTTGATAAGGACGTTCTAAATCAGAAACCCCGAAACGTGAAGGAACCAATGATCACAAAAGGTCTTGTTGTCAATGTATTATTATCGGCCACAATTATAATCATTGGCACTCTTTGGGTCTATAATAGAGAGGTAAAATATATTCCGTAACATTTTATTTATTTGATTCAAAAAGAAAAATAGAGAAAAGAAATTTATTCCAAAAAGAAAAAGAGTAGTAAAGGGTTTTTAATGTTTTAATGTTTTAAATAATAATTTCTTGAATTTTTAGATGACATCGGATGGAATCACGGCTCGTGATACAACAATGACATTTACATGTTTCGTATTCTTTGACATGTTTAATGCCCTGAGTTGTCGTTCTCAGGTAAGAGTGTACAATATTAATTAAAATTCTTCCTTTCTTGCGAATAAAATATAACATGAGAATTATTTTGATTTTTTCAGACCAAGTCAGTATTTACAATTGGCTTCTTTAGTAACAAAATGTTTCTAGTGGCCGTGACTCTTTCGGTGGTAGGACAATTGTTAGTCATTTATTTTCCACCTCTTCAAAGAGTATTTCAAACAGAAGCTCTCACGACAAAAGGTATAATTCATTCACTGTATTAGTTAAAATTCAGACCACATTTTATAAATTTTTTTTCATACTTTTTTGGGACAGGAAAATTTTGACTAAAAATAAATTTAAATATTTTCGAAATTTCCAATTATTTGTTTGCTTTTAAAAATTATTTTGAAATATAATTGTATTTTTGAAGAATTCTAATTGAAAATTTGAAAAATTTTATGGAAATTTAATTTAAATATCTTCATTTTGATTTAAATTCAGTAATTAAAAAAAGTTTGAATAGACCGAACTGCAAAGTCTAAGAAAACAAAAAAACTAATAAAAAATTGTTCGATTTTTCAGATATTATATTTTTGGTGTCATTGACGTCGAGCGTTTTTATCATTAATGAAATAAAGAAATTATTCGAGCGGCAGATCAGTCGACGTCGCAGTGGAGCAAAGCAGTTCAATAAATTTGGTATGGACTTTGTATGACATTTAAAACGCTCCAAAACCGAACCAGTCAAAATTCGCGTACAGTGAAAAGACTACAAGACGGGGAGCTCTATATCAGTATTTTGAAAAAACAATTGACATTCTTTATTTTCAACATTAAACTCTCAAGAATAACATTCCAGATCGTTCTCAAGCAACGAAAAACTCGAAAAAAAGAAAACAAAACCAAAACCAAACTAAACAAAAAAAAAGGAAACAAAACTGATTTATATACGAATTTTGCACTATTTTCATAAAATTTTCCTATACAATAATAACAATTCACTTCTTGCCGCATTCACGGAGGGAAGTAAAATGGCAATTTTTCGAACATTTTTCTCTCTGAATAGAAGTAGTTTTTAAATCACTGCGACGCACGAAAAATTTGATTCGTTAAATTTTGCACTGTGCTTGCATTTTTCTATAGTGTCATTTTTATTGTTCATACTATGGATGACCAAATGTTTTACATTTTACACTATATTATATATATATATATTGTGATAGTCACGAAAACTTGCATCTCGTTGGATTCAAAATGAAAATCATTCGTTACTGCAAATGGAAATATGTTTACATTTTCCCTACTTTTGTCAAATATCGAAAAAAAAATATTTTTTCTAAGTTAAGATTATATTTACTAATTATACAATTTTTACAAGCTTTTAAAATATTGTCACTTTTTAATTTTTAAATCAATTTAATAGTAAATTTTTACACTCACTTTTTTTAATTTTTACACTCTAGAAATAAGTTATTAAGTAAAATTTTATTTTTATTAAACTGATTTTAAATTTGTTTAAATCGTTTAAATAATAAGAATAATTAATTATTAATATTAAAGTTTTTTTTATTTATATTGAAATAAATAAATAACAAATAGATGTAAATAAATATATTTTGTTTTGCTGTAACGAATGGTAAATTTTCATTCATCCCATCGAACTGTGTTTAACGTGATAATTATAAGGAAACAAATTAATGCATTTGATTATTTTTAAAATAGGAATCAAAGTAATAATTTCAGTCATGTACAGTCAATTTTTGTGCTTTGGCAATGTTTAATGTTTATCTATAATCCTACAAAAAAAAAACTGATCGATATTGTTAAAAGTACAGTGTTGGGCAAAATTTTCGGGGATATTTTTTTACTTTTTTTTCTTATTAAAATAATGTCCCCCGTATTAATACAGTTGCATTCTAGAAATTATATCTTGTTTTATAAATATAACTTTTAAACTATAAAATTTAGCTATTTTTTAACAAAATCAAGTTTTCAGTCTCTAAATTGTTTAAACAAAAATAAACAATTTTTTTTCTTTTCACTTTGGTGAATAATGTTTCTTTGATGATTTTATATATTAATTTTTTAAAGCAATAAATGTAAATATTATATTTACTATTTTGAGGAAAAAAAATGTTTTTTTTTCAATATTTATAAGTAAAAAGAATTATAAAGCAATCTTGCCATTGGGAAAAATTGTTTTAAAAAAAATATCGTCATTTAATTCCGTTAATTTGGAAAATTAGACGAATTATAGAATTTGAAGTGGATCAGCTGTTTTATGTATCCGTCGCCATTTTGTTTCTAGTAATTCTTAGAAGTGAGTCGTACCTTTCTTCGAAGCGTGTCACTTTTCAGTTAAATATTAATTCGAATCAATTTTTTTCAAAATGACTGATAATTTTAGAAATTTTTACGGAATAATCGGAAGCATTTCCGAATTAAAATTTAATTTTATTAACAATTGGATTGTTTAAAAAATAGAAAGACCGATATAATATTTTATAGTCCCATTTTTTTGTTCAATTATATTATTAATTATTTCTTTTTTTTGAAAAATACTTTCGAAATATTTACTAATTTTGATAATTTTCAAATACCTGGTATTTAAACTTTTTCTTAATTTTCACATGAAAATTTAATTTTTTTCATGTATTTTAATTTTAAATCAAAATTTATTTTTTAATTCATTTGAATTAAGTGTTATAGTTTATTATTAAGCTTATTAATTTAATATATAAAAAAACTACAATAAGTAAATAAAATCAAAATTTTACGTAAGTATTAATGAAATGTAAAATTTGGTCTTTAATTTATATTTTTTGTATATTTAGGCCACGTAGTTTAATTTTTGTTTTAAAGAGCATAAAATTTTTCAGGGACAAAAAAATTTGAAAAAAAACGAATAAATTTCTTAATAGTCAAGTTTTTTCTCTTAAAGTTTTAGAAAAAAACGTGTTTCAAAAGTCTTCGGCTTCTGAACAAGTTTAATTTTACAAAAACTCAAAAATTCCACAAATTTCATTTAATGAAAAAATAAAAAATACGTGTCTTCTTATTTTTTATATAAAATTAAAAAAAAAAAATTGTTTCAAACGAAAAAAAATGTTTAGTGAAAATTTCTGCTGGAATGACCCATGTTTACTAAAGTACACATGGGTAATTCCAGGAGAAATTAGAATTATATTAGAAAATTTCTCCTGGAATGCCCCATGTGTACTAAAATCTAAAATACACATGAGTCATTCCACGAGAAATTTTCTAATATTTAAGGGAATTGAAAGTCAATAAAATAACAATAAATACAAAATTAGCCTATAAGATGAAATTTTGTGAAATTTAAAAAAAAATTCTTTGCCCAACACTGTCTTGATATTTTATTTACTGAGGAAAAGAAAAATACTGGTGCTTTTATTAATGATTGAATAATAGAAAAAACGCGTATATCTTTTCAAATGGTGTGAAATGAAAATCTCGAGAAGAAAACGAAATTTTCAATTTAAAGTTTAAATGTTAATCCAGAAGACGTCGCACATTTTAATAAGGAAATTTTAAAAAATATTTTTATTGCTCAATTATATTTTTTGTATATTTTAATTTACTTGATGTATTATATAAAGGAGAATGAATCATATCATAGAAATTTAATTTAAATTCTTTATCCTCTAATAAGTTTATTGAAGATTTAAATTGTCGTCTTCGAAAATTACCGTTTGTTTAGATTTTTAAATTAATTTTCTATTTTTACATATATGTCTTGTGTGTGTGAGTGTGTTTTTTTTGGTAAAAAATAAAGCACTTTTGTAAATTAAGAAAAATAATGAAAATTATAAAATAGAAACATCGCAAGGCGTAAATAACGTCGTTTTTTATTGTATATTCAGAATATTTTATTTAAGTGAAAAATTAATTGCTGGAAAAATTTTTTTTTTTTGCGAAGTTTTGAAAAATAAAAAAGAGCAGGATTATTGAACCAAAAAATATATATATAAAACTAAAAAATAAGAATTCTTTAAAAAATCAATTTCATAAAACTGCAATTTGAGATGAAAAAGGTAATTAATTTTTTATATAAAATGGGCTTGAAGTTTTCTTTATAGTATTTAACAAACGATCTCTTCTGGAAGGCAGCTGTATTTAAAAATAAACTCGAAAAATTTTTTGTTTTCAAGTCAATGTATTTTTACTATAAAAAATAACATGGTTAAAATATTTTAAGACTAATTAATAATACACTATTAACAAGAATAACATATTTTCCCTCGGAATTGTTACAAATTGCAAAGATTATAATAATTCAATTGTGCTATACGTTAATTCTATGAAAGAAACATAGTTTTTAGTAAAAAAAAAAAAATAGTAAAATCTCTTTGATCAATTCTAATAAAAACTATAAAACAAAAAAATAAGAAATAAAAAATCTGCAAAAAGAAATAAATTTTAGTAAAATTGAATTTTAAAAAAAGGAATGTTGAAGAATTTGCGAAAGAATAGAAAAATTTTGAAAATATTCCGCTAAAGAGAAATTTTCCGATCAGTGAATACCCTCGAGAGCGCTATAGCTCTTATATTGGTATAAATCTGATCCACCATATCCATAGAGCAAGCGGCCTCTTCCATTTTCGTCATAATATGGATATCTGTATCGCGGTCTGAAATAAATTTAAAAAACAAATTTTTATTCGTCTGGAGATTTTTATTCGTCATTGATATTCCACTTTTTTTCAAATAAAAAAAAGAAGGGGGCATTTTTTGGAAAAGAAGCCATAAAAAATTTTAATTTATTGGATTGACTCGAAACTCTGTTTCAATAAATTTTAATTTTGATTAGATTTTTAAAAAAAAGTCTTTACAGTTCTTTTTCAAAAGCTTTTAATAATATTTCAACCTGCAATTCTGAAGCATTTTATGTTTTCTTCTCACATTCTCAATTCTTAAATAACTTCAGAAATAATTTTTTAAAAAAAAATTGTCAAAATTCACAACTTTCCAAAAATAAACAATTGTTTACCTACAATTATGCTATTTATTGTTTTTAGGATAGTTGATTAAAAATATGAAGTCTGATATAAAATATTCAGATTGAATATGGTGAATATAAGATTTTTTAATCTTTATCAGGGGAAAGTCAGGGAATTTTATTAAAAGTGCTGAAAAAAATAAAAAATTTTATAGAATTCATAACAAAAATTTAGTTATTTAGTGTCTTTTTTGTTTGCCTTAAACTTTGAAATTAACAAGAATTTCAATGCAAAACCTTCAATTTTTTCTATATTTTTGACAATAATTTATAGGTCCCTGAAGTTAACGTCGACGCTCAGCGTCGAAAAATGACATTGAATCAATACCTTAAATTTTTTTTAAGTATCAAGGAAAATGAAAGAATAGTATTAGTAAATAATAATAATTAAATATATTTCTTTCAAAATAAAAATAATTTTACAATTAAAGAAATTTGCAAATAAATGTATTAGAACATCTTTTTCAGTATTTTTTATTAAGATCAGAGAAAAAATCAGAATAACGGAAATTTCTACTTTAACTGTATTATAATTAAATTTCATTCTTTTACTCGTTAATAGGAATTTCTTTTAATACCGATACCAACGATTATAAAAATCTATTACTTTTTCAAATTTCAGCCATACTGAATACGCCATTTTAAATTTTAGAAAACTGACCCCAGATTTGTAATCACCGAATGACCGAACCAAAAAACCTCTTGATTCAAAGTTTCATAAAAATTTTTTAATTTAAAAAATTTACATCCACCATATTGAATTTTTAAAATCTAACTTCAATCAACCACTTTAAAAACAGTGAATAATCTAATTGTAAATATCTTATATGTAAAAAAAATTTAATTTTTTGAAAATTGTAAATTTCTACTAAGCTCACTTTAAGGTTAAAAAAATGATTAAAAAAGATATGAAATTAAAAAAATTAAATATGTTTTGATGTGTTTCAAAATTTTCGTAAACTTTTTTGCGAAAATACACCTACCTTTCAAAATATTGGAAATTTGGTGCTTGTGGCTGTTTTCCAATCAACGCTGAAGTTTCGAAAATTACGGCCAGAAATATCAACACGATACTAGCAGTCCACTAAAAACAACTTCTTTTTATTAAGAAAAATAGAAACAGCAGAACCATAATTTTAATTCACTTATTAGTTTTCACTTCTTAAATCTTAAATTCTATCAATATACAAATTACTTTAAATTTATTTCTTATGATAAAGAAACTATTCAATTTTTAAAATATTAATAACAAATACTTTTCCTTTAAAAAATTTCTATTAGAGGCAAGAAATTCCCATTCTTTTAATTTTTATTGGGTAATAAGCAACAGGAAATAGATAGGAAAAAAATTTCTATTTATTTACAAGATTGAAAATAATAATAATTTAATAATAATAAAAATATATTAATAAATAGTTACGAAAAATAAATAATAATGATAAATAATAATAATAATAATAATAATAATAATAATAATAATAATAATAATAATAATAATAATAATAATAATAATAATAACTAGTAATGATAACAAACATAAATTAATTACCTACAATTAAATTTATTTTATCCTGGAATTGATTTCTATTAAAAATTTTAATTTCGAATTTACTATGTAATAAAAAGTGAATAATAAAATAATAATAAATAATTATTTTTTGAAATAATTTTTTGGAGTTTCTTTAACAATTTAAGGAAAAATATTTCTAATCGAGTAGATTAAAAAAAAACCATTGTCACTAATAGTTTACTTACAATTATTAATTTGGTCATTTTTTATTATTTCTATTTAAAAACACTCGCCGAGTTTGATAGTTTAAAAAAACTATAATTCACTATATTAAATTATATCTATTGTCTTAGAATTTATTAAAAATCATCGTCATTATCATCTTAAATAGAATGTATAGGTACGTGCATTTTTTAACGTTAACTTGTCAGAAGCAAAAAGAGAACTAACAAACTGTAAATGAAAGGTGAAAGTTACAGTTGAAAGTTCCGATGACAGTATATATGTATATTATACAGTTTCCTCTGAAATTTATCTATAGTTTTGTATTTTTAATTTACTTTTGTGAAGGTTACAAAATTAGCTAAATATTGCTTCATTTTTTTAATGCTTTCGGTGAGAGAGAGAGAGGAATTTATTTTATTCACGCATAACCAGTTAGTTGCGTAATACATCGAATAAATATTTACTTGAATTAAGTAATTTTTACTTGAATCAAAGAAGTTGTTTTTGGACCAGTAATTTCTATATTTGAAGCAAATATATTCAACTGACTTAAATTATTTGATGTAAATAAATATTTAGTTGATATAAACAAATATTTATTTGAAATAAACAAATATTTCTTTGATATAAATATAAATATTTAGTTGATATGAACAAACATTTATTTGCAATAAACAATTTTTTATTTATAAATAAAAAAAAATACATATAATATACTTATATTAATAATAATAAAAAAAATTTTGCTTTTCAATTTTATACAAAAAATTTATTTTTCAAAAAGAACATTTTTTTAACAACAATTATTTTCCATAAAATGGAATAATATTAAAAATACAATCTATGCAAATAGAGAAAAAAAAATATAATACAACAAAATTGATAAAAATCTTTTTTCAATATAATTGAAAATTATTATTAATTTTTTACAAATTTAAAATTACTATTGAATGAAAAGCTGTTATCTCTTCTTGGATTCAACCACATCTCCTTTGCCAATACGTTCAATTAAATCCTCAGCTAAATATCCATTTTCTTTGACAAATTTTGCTCTTCTCTCCTCTCCCAATTTTGGATCTAAATTCCACGTTGATTTCTAAAGAAATAAAATATATTAACATTTTTTTTTCTGCCTTTCTAATTCAATTTTTAATGGAGACGAAATTTACGAATTTTGAAAATTAAATTACAAACCTCGTGGACTTTTGGAATACCAGCTAAATTCCATTGTACCAAATCATGAATAAAATTCCAAATTACTCCTGCTGAAACTTTTTCATCGAGTGACAATAAGCACAATACCTGAAAAAGACATTAAAATTAATAAAAAATTGAATAATAAATAAATAGGTAAAAAATAAATGAATAATTTTAGTGAAAAAAATAATAAATTAATAAAAAAATGAATAATAAATTATTTAATGAAAAACTTAATAATTAATAAAGTAGTTAATAAAAAAAATTAATATTTAACAAATTAATTTAAAAAAAGTTAATAATTAAAAAATTAATTAATATAAATATTAATAATAAATAGATATCTAAATGCAAATGCAAATAGTTATAGTGAACAATAAATAAATAATTCAGTAAATAAAAATGTATAAATAATGAAATACAAAATTAATAATTATTAATTAATACTATATAATTTATAATGAACTAAATTATAAGATAATTATTAATATATAAATTTGTTAAATATTAATATAGAATTAATAATTATTATAGTTCAAAATCAGTTTAGTTTATAGTTAACTTTTTTGGTCTGAAGAATTCGTTTAAAATAATTATTTTTAACACTAAAATTAAGACAATGTTGAAGAAAAATATTTTTAAAATGAATAAATTGTACTTAAAATTGAGAAAAAATAAGAATCAATGTACAATCGTCGATAAGAGAGTTTTGTAAAATTACATACCACAATCACAGCAAGAAGTCTCATAATTAAAGTCCAGGTTGACAATAATCGTTCATTATTTTTACACTATTAAAGTTATCAAGGCAATGTAAAGTTGTAAACTGCTGAAAAAAAATTTTTTCTTTCTGGAGATGTTTGCTTCACGATTTTGTGCAAGACTGAAAGTGAAAGTAAATTATAGATTTTTTTGCTTATTTGTGACATGAGAAGTTCACGCATTACTTAATAATTTATATTCAATTTCGACTATAAAAATTTAAGCAAAAAATATATTACTTTTTTTAAAATATCGAATCATTGATAGGAATAATTTATTCTTTTTTTAGTTTATTTCTTTCCATTTTTGTTATTGGTAAATTTTTTTATAATTTATTAAGTACTTTAACTTTTAGTTATTTATTTGTTATTTAATTATTTTTTACTAAACGATAGTATAAAATTCTTCAATTTTAAAATCTTTCTTATTGACGTCTATTTTTATCAACTATTGTTAGTTGTTTTATTTTGGAACTTAATATTCATGAGAAATATTTTGGAAATAAATTCTAGGAGGCTGGGAATTGAACCCGGGTTCGACGGATGCTAACCAGAGACTCTAACCAACAAGCTAAAGCGAACCAATTATCAGAGATAAGAAATCTTACTATTAAACTGAATAAATTTACTGCGAGGTTGTTGCAAGCTTGAAGCAAACAAATTTATTCAGGTTAAGGTAACAATTTTTTTTCTGGTAGTTTGTTGCTTAGCTTGTTAATTTTAATTTTTTTTTACTTTTTTCATGTGAGAAAGTAAACTTTTTTTTTGTTAAAACGTTTACAATTAACAGAGTTCTACAAAATTTTTATGATTTTTTAAACCACGAATAGGCAATACTTTTTTGGAGGTTTTTAACATTTTTTTGTAGTCATATAACATAAAAAAAATTTCTTTTTAAATGTTAGTACCGTCGTTTGAAAGTACTATTCTTCCCCCTTAAATAATTGAATTACTAATTATATAAAATAATTAAATGGCAGATTATAGAAAAAAAACTTTATAGAAATAAAAACGAAAACTTGAGGTGAATGTATTAAAATGTATGTAAATGAGAATTAAAAATGTGTATAAAACATTGGAATCGTCGAGGTTTCTATAATAATTAATTTTAAAAAATAAGAAAAATTCATCACAAGGCCCAAATTTTGATGAAATCCACTTTCAAAGATGTTCCTGACTTCCAAGTGTTGAACCATGTTGATTGCTTTCGATAGAAGTTCAAAAGTGCCTGAAATTTAAATGAAAGTCTTTAAATATCTTTATATCTTTATATTGAACGCAAAGCATGAGTTAGAAAAGAACAGAAATATATTTTTGTTCTTTTCTATCTCATTCATGTGTCTTGTGTGTCTTGTCTTGTTCGCGAACAATTTTCGCAAAGCTATTGTGCGTGGGCCTTTAGAGTTTGAGGAAACCGGGGGTTCCCTTCGTAACCACACATTGTGACAGAACAGCATCTATTAAATTCTTGCTAGTTCGTGACATATCGTTCATACGTCACGAACTAACAAAGTTTTGATAGATATGTCATGACTTTTTAAAAGGCCGTCAAACCGGAAGGACAGCATCAAAGCAACATCTCAAAGTGTGACGCGTGTGACGTTATATGGACGACCCCTAACTAATAATAATTAGTATTTTATCTAAGGTGTATCACTGATGTGTTTGTGTTACATACTCTTGGGCGCCTGCCGGAAGTTAGGCTATTTATCCCGAAATTGACCGAAGGGTACCGAGGGTGACAATCACCGAATCTTCAAGAAGTGCGCGACACTTGTTGATTGACTAGCGTCAGACTAGCGTTTCGCTAAGTTGTTTTTCGTTTTTCTCACGTTTCGACTTGTATAACGCAAAATTCTGATCAACTTTAAAAACTTTATCACCTTTAGGATTTCGTTCCAGATCACAGAAATTGTCAACAACTACGAGTCTTCTTCTAATTGTAAGTAATAAAGCAATTATTTTCAATAATTAAACTATGTGTCTATTTCTCACTATTTCATTGTTTGATGCTAATTGTTAAATTCAGTAGGCGAAAAATACCGGAAAATATAAACAGTAGAAAATTCGATAGAAAATACAGTATTTTATTTTGTATAGATATCAGAAAATTGACTGAAAATAGTAATAATAAAAAGTGGAAATATAATTAATTTTATCAAAAATTTAGGTGGAAAATTTTTCTTTTCGAGGCGCCGGTACGTACCGCACCATGCGTGTGTTTGTTGCGTGTATAAGATATAGTAAAGTCGCAAACAAAAAACGTAAGCACGCCAAAAAGTGAAATGAATGAAAATTAGTTTTTGTTAAAATTGACATATAAATTTATATGAGTATTTGGAATTATCAGAACATGATTTTGAAATAATTTACAGAAAAAATTTAGCAAACATTGCGTAGGTATCAGATCCAGAATAACTAAAAATCGTCTCGTCTTTTGAGACGATATATGATGCGCGTACATACATTTTTATTTACTGCGCATCAAATCGTCTTGTAAATCGAGACTCAAACATTTATGTTTCCAAAAACATTAAATTTCAAAAATTAATAACTTCCGTAATTTTCATCAAATCACAAAATAAAAAAATACGTATTTATTTTTTTTCGATACAGAATCCAAAAAAAATTATTCCAACAAAATAAAATTTTTCAATGAAAATATTGTGGAGAATGCCCCTTATATTAATGGCGTTTAATGGCGTTTTCGTTTTTTGTTAAAGCATTTGTTTCAAAAAAACAAGCGGATTAAAGTTCTATGAAACATTTTTCCCACTACGGTAAGGGCGTGTTTAAATATTCAAAATAAAGTTTAATTTTTCAGTAGATACACTACAAAATTAATTCCCTTCAATAATAATAATAATTTATGTAACTTGCAATTTAGAATTTACCTTTGATTTAAAGTTGTTCCATGGTTTTGTGTAACCTTTGCTTTTACAATTATCAGGAAACTGAGTGTATCCACCAACAGCAACACCCAAAGTTACGTAAAACTAAAAATAATTCATGCAAATTTTACTAAATATTTTTCAGTACATGAACAATTTTAATTATGGTACGTCTGTTAATAATTTTTATTTTACAATTTTATTATTAAAAACACAAAAAATATGGACTTTCACTAACCGGAAGTTGTAAAGGAGAATCAAATTTCATTTCGCCATAAATTTCTCCATCGACTTTGGAAATAAGTGATTCTGGTCTCCATTCCATTTCAAAAAGATGAAAATCATCGGACCACAATTGAGGTGACCTTTTACTTTTGGTGCTGTCGTTTGTTTTCAATGTGGAAACATCAACTGTGTGTAAAAGTGTATGAGAAACTAATCCACCTCGAAGAATGTGACCACTCAAATCTTCTTCATTAGACGATCGTAATTCTGGATTTCCAAAAGCATTCGCTACTCGTAATTGAAAACAAAATAGAGCATCGTTTCCCAAGAGTGATCCATCCCTGTCCAATGGTTCCAGCCATAACACTGTTTTTAAAACAAAAGAAACGATGAATTATTTAAAATTGGAAGGAAATACTAAATCTAATAATAAATTGTCAATTGAGTAATTGGAAGGAATATTTTATTTGTCGCAGTAACTTACGTGGATAAATCCAGTCACCTCGCGGCAATTTTGCTCTGATTACAATTCGGCCGTATTGAAATGAAAAAATATTTTTCGTCTCAATCCGTCCAGAGATAACGGGAGGTAAAACAAGAAAACCTTGGGCGTTGCGTTGACAGTCTCTTGATCCATGTTGTCCGGTACACCTGAATAGACAAAATTATAGTTATTGAATGCTTCTGGACAGTAACATTATGGGAGTGCCATACACCGACATTTCTAAAACTTGGCATCCCAGTAAAAAAGGATTATTAAGCAAGCGTTTTAGATGATTGAGCAAGACTAATTTAATTTAAAAAATTTTCCAAACGGCTTTTGGACAATTGGACTGGTTGTTCAATCATCTAATGCATTGCATTCAGCCTAATCAACCAAAGTTATTTTGGGACTAAAAAAGAATAAATGACTTAAAATGGTGTCCAAGTCGATGCGATTTTCCCATTGAAGTTCAAAAATCCAATCGACTTTGACACTTTTTAGAAAATTATACATATTTTTTTCGAAAATTCTAATAACTTATTTTTAATACATTACTTCGTCAAACTTAAGCTTCCATTTTCGACAAAATTGTGACCGCAAGCATCTTCTAACAGAAGTGGTGTGATTTTTAAATTGCCATTGACAACATTAACATTCTTCTTTGAATTCCGATAAACGACAAACTCGTAATCCTGAAAAAAGTTCGTTGTTTAACTACTCGAAATATTCCGAGGTATAAATGTGGTTCTTAATCTAGTCACTGTATTAATTAATTTACAGAGATTATCTGAAAAAAGTAACTTACCGGAGGTCCAGAAAATCTTTCAACAATATTCCATTTTGTTTGATTAAGTTGATTATCATTTTCAAACGTATCCTCGAAAATAAGTGCTCCCCCACAAACATTCTGTGTTTGATTTTCGTAACCGTAAACTTTTGTCACAGTCGGAGAACATGTTTCATTGCCAGCAAAATCGGTTGCAGCTGATCCACCAATTCGTTCTCCGTTATAATCATAAAAGTCTGAAATAATTTACAAAAAGAGTTGCATTCGCATTATAATGTTTCTATTAGCATTATACATATATTTTCAGCTAATATTGACTGATGAAACTTTTAAAAATACAAGATGACACAATTGCCTAACAATTTATTGATACATAAATGCTAATTCATTTTTTTTGCCATATAAAGTATTTTACCTGTTACAGTGTGTTGTTGATCAAGTAAATTGTATCCTAATCCTTCAAAAACAACATGCACCCAGTAATAAACAACGTCCCCTTCTTTGAGTCTAGTACTTCGATCTTCGTAAGTCCATCTTCCACTTCTGGGTTTTATTATATCTCGTGCTATTGTTCCTGCCTCCAAGGCGAAAAATTCTGTATTGAAGTTTACGTGAAATGCCACGAGGGAAATTCCTTCTTCGTCTGAAAATAATTGACAATTAATTTTTAACAATATTATATAATAAAAAAATCCATTATTATAACCCTAGACTCTAAACCTGGGGTATTTTGATACTCCAGGCATTTTTTATGTCAATTTTTGAGTATTTTTTTTAGATTTAAAAAATATTTTAAACCGCACACTTTTTAACAGCTATATGTAAAAATAATAAACGCCATTCTCTTTTTTATTCACCTGTTGATAATTGGTGACGCATATATCTAACGCAAAACTAAAACTTGTGAAAAATGTTCATGACGCATATTTATATGCGCAACATAAAAAAGTATGAATTTCAAAGTTAATGTCAGATTTAAAAAATTCAAAATGGCGGATTCAATATGGCGTCCAAAAATTGTAAACATCCACGTTTATATACTTAAAACTCGATATTCGGGGTGTTTTACAAGTGCTATATAGAAATTTATTGTCAAATTAAAGATGACGAATTTAACATGGCAGAAAATTGCAAAGCTGATATGTTTCGATTTAATCAAAAAACGCATTCTTTATGTACGTTATTGTAAAAATTTTGGCCGACATTTTGAATTTTTAAAATCTGATATATTAAATTTGGATTCAGTGATCCAAAAAACTCTCGAGTAAACATTTTTAAACAAATAATAATAAGGTAATTTAAAAAACTTTTTTGGTCGACATATCGAATTCGACATTTTGTTTTTTTTTAATCTTAGAATAAATTTTCATTCATTGACCTCAAAAACCCTCGAGAAAACAATTTTAGACAAATACGTTAATTTTTATAAAAAATTTGGTCGCCATATTGGATCCGACATTTTGAATTTTAAGAAACTGATGTCAGATTAAAATATAACCTTAGGATACATTTTTCATAAAAATCCATTAAACATTTTTTATTTAAATCGAATGTAACAAAAGTAATGTATTAATTACTTTACATTTCGATTTACGCTAGGATTTACGTATAAGCACCGAAAAATTAATACGATATAAATAGGTGTTAATAAAATTGTATTAAATTAAAAATATTTAAATACTAACCAGGAATAGATATTTTTATTCCTACTGGATGAAGAGGTTGAACTGTTGCATCAGGAGGAACGTACTGACTGTTAATTTCGCTCAATAAAAAAACAAAAATACAAATTAACAAAATTCGCAACATTTTCCCTCCTTAGATTAAAAATTTGTTCCTTATTTTCTTTTTCTGGAAAATAAAAATTAAAAATGGGTAAAAATAGCCTTTTTCTAAATATAAACTTGAAATAAATAAATAAACAATAATATAATTTTGTTATACATTTTTACTTTCAATAAAACAATAAATTTTTCAAAATCAAAAAAATTTTTTTTTTTTAATTTAGTGAAAGTAAATTTAAAACTTCTTATGAAAATTAATAAATTAAGAAACCACTTTTTTACACATATATAGGAAAGTAATATTATCGTTTCAACTGACCTTTGACATTTTAATTTTCAAATAAACTTTATTTCCTGAATAAAAAAGAAATTTTTTAGCGATTAAAAAGAAAAAAAATAAACTGCGATTAAAAATGAATTAAAATTTTTAATACATAAATATTTATTTTATAATTTACAAAAATAGTAGTGCAATTTGTTGAAATTAAAATTTTTCATGGTCACAAAAAAATATTAAAGGAGTTTGTAAAAAAAAAATTATTATGAGGAAGAAATTTAATTGTTCTCTTACCGGTTACTGGCTGAATTTTGAAAACGAACAGAGAAAATGTATTTTAAGTGAAAAATAACTTTTAAATTTCTCAACAAAGATAAATTTTTTATTATTTAAAGAAAACTATTACTTTCCCTTATTGACGGAATTTTCAATTTCATGCGAAATTAAGAGTAACTGACTGATCATTTTAAAAAAGAAAATGATAAAAGAGTAGAAGATCCACTACTGCAAGGTCGTCTTCTCACTGACGGATTTCAATATTCAGGGGCCTTGTTTATTTAATTGTCAAATTGCTAATTAACAATTTAAATAAAATTGAAAAATTAAATCTATAAAATGTTACTTTTACTGAAAAGATTTCCACTTATTTGTTAGATTAGAATTATTTTATTTCAGTCTTTTTGTTTTCTTTCCATATTAATTCTAACCATCGGATCTCTCTAAATCTGAATTAGTTAAAAACAACTAATTATTAATAAAACTGTGGCTAACTTTTTGGTTTAGTAATTAGTAAAAAAATAACTAATTATTAGTAAAAAAAAATAACTAATTATTAGTAAAAAATAACTAATTATTTGTAACAAATAACTAATTATTTGTATCAAATTATTAATTATTTTCAAAAACTTTTGAATTATTAGTAAATAAATAATTACAAAAATAGATAAACTTCACTAATTGAATTGTTGCCAAAAATTCAGTAATTTTGACATAAATTAAACGCGAATTTAACTAATAATTAGTTTCTATTAAATATTTAATTAATAAAATATTACTATTTGAATCAGTAACTGATTTTTACTATAAAATTAATTATTTTTAATTCATTCAAATTTAGAGATATCGACTTCATAGATTTAATTAGATGTTTTAATTTCCTGTAAATTTTTATAATAATAATAATAATAATTATATTATTATTATCAAGAGAATTTGAACTATTTTAAGCCCGTTTTTTCAAGTAAATAAATAAATAATAATTTAGTAAAATTAAAAGGAAAAATAAAATTAAAAATAAAATTAAAAATAAAATGAAAAATAAATTCCAGTCTTTTTATATAAAAGAATTGAAATATATTTGTATAAATACTGATTTGACAACGCTTATGAGAGTAATATAAAAATATCTACGGAAACATTAATATTCATAAAGATGAGAAATATAATATATGAAATTTACATATTTATATATATATAATATATAACACATGCATTTAAAATTGATTAGTTAATTTTGACATATAGTATGAACATCAGACTTTGTATCAGGACTCAGGGAACTCCATCGAGTGGCAGAGCATTTTTGTAAAATCGGCTTAAACTTAAACCGACCATTTAAATAACATATTTTATTAATCTCATAATATTCGGCTATTAAAATGTCTATCCATTGATTCAGATCGGAACCAATTCTCTCCTCGACATTATTTTTAACACGCTGCCTTCCTCCTTCTGAGTATATTAAAGGTTTCAAGAAATTTCTCCACTTATGCACTATATCCTTAGCAATATGATAGGGACCCGATGAACCATTGTGAATTTCTCGTGCTTTATCAGCTGTGATTTTTTGATTCTTCCAATAGGCCAATGGTGTGACTAAGAATTTTAATTGCGCCATTAATTCGCCATTCGAAACTAAAATTACTTGCCAAGTTCCAATTAATAGTCGTTCATTTAATTGCGGTCGCACGTGTCCCATCTGAAAAAAGTTAAAATTTTTATTTTTAAATCATTTGAAAAAAATTTTTTAATTTAAAATTTAATTTAAATTATTAAATGTTTTTAAATAAATAATAATATTAAATAAAACATTGTAATTTTAACATTAAGTCATAATTATTTTTTACCATTTATTAATTATTAACTTTTATAAATTTAATACATTCTTTTTAAAATTTAATTATCTTGAAAAAATAATAAGTAAAAATTTTAAAAAGACAATTTTTTTCACAATTTTAAATGAAATTCTACTAGATTTCAATATGTTTCAAAAAGATTAAAATTTTAAATCAATTTACTAGGAAATTGTTATTTTAGTACTCTTCCTAAATTTCATTATTTTATATCCTATGCATTTTGAATTTTTTATGTCGTTTTCGACCCTAAAATGTAGATTCAACACTTTTTTTCCAAAAGAAACTAAAAATTTTGTAAATAAAAAATATGATTGACAAAATTTTTTTTTCCTTTATTTCTAAAAATATCTGAGACTTTGATAAAAAATTGTGATATAAAAATAGAAATTATGCAAAGCTTTTTTTATTTATGACTAAAAAATTGATGATTTCTTAAAAAATTGTGATTGGAAATATAAAAGGTCAAAATTTATTTATTTTTCTCAAAAAAAAAAATTTTACGCAAATTTTTTCTTTATTTTCATAAAAGAAATTTAAATTTCGTTAAATTTGCTTTTCACATATTTTCAATTTTAAAATTAATTTACTGAAAATCATTGAATTTTTGCAAAGAATTTTACCAAAAAATTTGAGAATAATTGAATTTTATCGAAGAATTTTGGTAAAATTTTTGTAAATCCTAATTCAATGCTTTTGATGAATTTCTTTGAAATTTTTTTTGTTAAATAATGGAGTTTCGCTAATAATTTTAATTGGACATTTTTTAAGAAATTAAATTTTATGCAGAATTTTTGTTAAGTATTTAAAATAATCGTGTTTCTTAATAATTGAAATTAAACATTTAAAATATTGAATTTTATTTAAATTTTCAAAAAATAATTAAATTTCTTGCGATGAATTTTATTCCTTATAAAAATAATTGAATTGTTTCGGAACATTTTATTAAAAATTAAAAAAGAAAAATTGAAATGCTTCGAAGGATTTATTAAAATTTTTGAATTGAATTTTCTTTCATGAAATTTTATTAAAATTTTATTCAAAATAATTGAAATTTTGCAAAGAATTTTACTATATTTATAAAAATAATTGAATTAATGCGAAGGATTTATTACAATTTTAAAAAATAATTGAATTCTTTTGGAAATTTTGAAAAGCGAATCAAGAAAAAAATTGAATTCTTTCGTGAAATTGTATCAAAATTTTGTTGAAAACAATTGAATTTTTTGCAAAAAAATTTATTATTTATAAAAATAATTGAATTATTGCAAATGATTTATTACAATTTTAGAAAATAATTCAATTCTTTTGGAAATTTTAAAAATGAATGAAGAAAAAAATTGAATTCTTTTGTGAAATTTTATCAAAATTTTGTTAAAAACAATTGAATTTTTGCAAAAAAATGTACTATTTATCAAAATAATTGAATTGTTGCGAAGGATTTATTAACATTTTTGTAAATAATTGAATTCTTTTGGAAATTTTAAAAACGAATTGAGAAAAAAATTGAATTCCTTCGTGAAATTTTATTGAAAATAATTAATATTTGCAAAGATTTTACTATTAAAATAATTGAATTGATTCGAACAAAATTTATTAAAATTTTGTTGAAAATAAAATTGAATTTTTCCAAAAAAAATTTTCTATTTATAAAAATAATTGAATTCTTTCGAAGAATGTTATTATTTATGAAAATAATTGAATTCTTGCGAAGAAATTTAAATTTTTGAAGATATGAACAATAATAATGAATTATGTACTTAATTTTTTAAATTCTGATTATGAAATTATTCAAAAATTTGTATTTGGAAATAAAAATTTTTGTCATTTTCATACCTAATAATAATAAATTGAATATCAAATTCCGCGCATTTGCTAGTTTTTAATAAAATTTTATATTTACTTTTTGTAATTTTTGTAATTTTTGTAACTTTTTATAATTTTGAATCTGGAATAATTTAATATTTCCTTAGGATTTTATTAAAATTTTTGAAAATAATTTAATTCTTTTAAGGAATTCAATTAAAACCCTATTGAAAATAATTAAATTCTTATAATTGGATTCTTTCGAGAAATTTTATTAAAATTATATTGAAATTAATTTATTTTTCACTATTTAATGTGTGAAATTTTTTCTATGTTAAAATATAACATTTTTAATAAAATTTTATATTACTTTTTGCAATTTTTGTAACTTTTCATAATTTTTAATTTGAAATAATTTAATTTTTGCTTAGAATTTTATTAAACTTTTTGAAAATAATTTAATTGTTTTAAAGAGTTTTACGAAAATTTTTTGAAAATAATTAATTTCTTTTAAGGAATTCAATTAAAATTATATTGAAAATAATTGAATCTCGTGCGAAGATTTTTATTAAAGTTTTTGAATTGTTTTGAGTATAGAATTTTATAATATTTTGTATCTGAAATTATTTAAAAATTGAATATGATTTTTAAAAATAAGAAATGTGCCAATTTACATAATTGTAATAAATTAAATAACCAATTTTCCTTATTATTCATAACATGATTAATTTATAAAAGTTGCGCTTTCAATTTTTTTTAAATTCGCGAAATTATTTAAAATACTTTCAATTTCAAGTCTGTAAAGTTCAATTAGAAAGAATTTAGAAACAGAAGAAATCTAATTAATTTAAGATTAAATTGATAATTTTTTTTTAAAAGACTAAGAAAACTCAGAATATTTTTGAGTTTTCTTATGAATTCTAGAAATTAAATTAAATTTAAAAAATGTGTTAACTTTTTACTAAATCAACATTCGCAGGACTTTTTCACAAAGAGAGAGATTCAATAATTTAGTTGTTTATGTATTTTCTTTGAAGTGGATAATTTAGTAATTATTATTATACATTTCTTAAAATATTGTTAAAAAATAAAGACTTCAAAAGAATTAAAAAAGAGTAAAAATAAAATAAAATAAAAAATAAAAGAATACTCACGAGTGTTGAATCTTCCAGTTGCATATAATTAACATCAGCTAATACTCCTAAAGGATCGACCCACAAAATAGTAACATTCTGTGGAGTCACCACTTCCGGTTCGAATTCATAGGCTAAAATTGGAGTGGAAAATGGTCCTAATCCATTAATTAAATTCCTAAATGTTTGTTCCTTTTGATCATAATCAGTGTTCACATTGAGATTTCGTATCTTTCCTAACCAAGCGGAACTTGTCGATACATATTTCTTCAAATGAACCAATGCCTCGATTTGTTCGGGAAATTCCGCCTGCAATGTCGAGGACTCGATACTCTTCACATTCGCCTCGGCTCTTATTAAAATGCCAAAGAATCTATTCTCATGAAAGTAGGCCGTCGTTTCTAAAAGATGAACATTGTCTTCGATATTAAAATTACGATAGGCGAGTCTCGAGAGGGAATTGGAAACAGTTAGCAGGCTATCATCAGCCAAGGGACTCAAGTCTGCGTGATGATAGAGACTCTGCCAGTACATATCGTAGCCCTTTGAATTGACAGTTGAATTTATTGAATGAGGATAAAGCCATTGCTCGATTCTGTCGATAATTCTTTGGTCAATAATTGGTTCGAATTTTCTTGCGAAGAATAAATTCCTCTGTGACGTTCCGCGTAGTCGTGTAAAGTCTTCAATTTTAAAATCATTAGGACTGCATCCACACCAATCGACAACTGCCTTGTATTGACATTTGCAGCCGAGTTTTCTCTTCCAATTCGTCACGTGTAGATTATTATCGACATAGGATTGACAAAATTTCGAGTTTCTGAGAGCCGTGTGGAAAAAGGATTCCGCTGGCAATAGTGTATATTGGAAGAGTTTTAGAAGACCAGCCACTAGAGAATCTGGATTTGGATTTGCAACGTACTCCACGAAATTACGACTCAATGCGATCCAATCGCTTCCACCGTCGATTTGAATACCTGGAAATATCATATTTTACAGATTTCAATTTGTAATTATTTTAAATAATTTCACGAATAATTTTATTTAAAAATTGAAAAAATAATTAATTTTTATAAAAAATTAAAAAAGAATAACTACGAAGACTAGCTATTTAATTTATTATAATTAGATGTGTAAATTACAACATTTTTTATTTTCAAAATCATCTTTAATTTTTGAATAATTTCAGATACAACATTTAAAAAAATTCAATTTTAATTAAATTCTTTAAAAGAATTTTATTTTCAAAAAATTTTAATAAAATACATAATACAATTATTTTCAATACAATTTCCATTAAATTCATTGACAAAATTTGAAAGAATTCAAATAATTTTAATAAATAATAAATTAATAAAATTCTTCGCAAAAATTCAATTACTTTTTAAACTTTTTACAAAAATTATTTTGCAAAAATTCAATTATTGTCAAAAAATTTAATAAAATTCTGCGCAACAAATTTAATTCTTTTTAAAAATTTTAATAAAGTTTTTCGCAAGAACTCAATTCTTTTCACAAATAAAATTCTTTGAGTGTTATTCTTAGGTATTATTTTCAAAAATTTTAATACCTATAATATTGTTCGCAAAAAATTCAATTATTTTCGTGAATAGATAATAAAACTCTTCGCAGAAATTAAATTATTTTCAAAAATAGTAAAATTCTTAGCAAAAATTTAATTATCTTCATAAATAATAAAATTCTTCACCGAAATTTAATTATTTTCATAAATAATAACAATCTTCACAGGAATTCAATTACTTTTTAAATATTATTATAAAATTCTTCGCAAAAATTCAATTCTTTTGAGAAATAATATTCTTTTAAAGTATTTTTTTATTTTTGAATAACAATTTTGAATAAAATTCTTCGCAAATATTCAATTATTTTAAACAATTTTAACAAAATTATTTGTCAGAATTCAATTATTTTCAGAAATAAAATTTTTTTAAAGTGTTGTTTTAATAGAGTTGTCCAAATTTCAAAAATTCGATTCTCTCCATAAGAATTAACATGAATTCGGTTCGGTTCCAATTTTATTAACTTGTTTTTTTAATTTTTACTAAATTTTATTTTAATCAAGTCTAGTTTATCTAAACTACAGTTATTTTCTATTCTTTGAAAATCGAAAAAAGTTGCATTTTTTATAAGAAAAATGGCATTATGTTGTAATTTTAATTTAGCAAAAATGGTATCGATATTGTCCAAAATTATTCGAGGAGCGAAAAGAAAGTCAGACAATAGGACAATAAAATAGACAATGGAATAGAAAAAAATAGGGAAAAAAATGTTTAGAAATTTTCTTAAAAATCAGGAAAAAGATAATAAAAATAGTTACTATACCGTTTGGTAATTTTCGATCGCCAATTCGCCACATGCGTGCCTCGCACTCGACAAAACTCTTGTCCAATCCTTGTTTACTGATAAAACGTTGAACTTCCCTTCCATGTGATTTAACAAAATTCATTCCCTTATTCCAGGAAAGAAATTCAGTCAACAGTGTATTATTTTTAATTGGAAAATCAGACTCCGATAAATTAACTAAAAAATCCCAGGATTGAGAATGCGAGAGCATTTGTCGAGCGGAGCTTAAAACAGTTGTCAAAAGACTCGCTCCACCCCAAATGCTCGCGTGTCGCAATCCTTCGCCTTTCGCCACTTTTATATTATTTGTTTTACACTTTCTTTCTACCTCTAACATTTCACGATATAAGTAATCTTGTCTCTGAAAGAAATTAAAATAAATTAGACATACATTTTTTAATAGAGGCATTCAAGTTCAAAATGAACGCCATTGTAATTAATTGTCAATATACACTATGGGGAATTTTTTTAAAATTCTGTCCAAGACTTACATTTTTCGATAGACTTGAAACATTTTTTTTTTTTTTTCATTTAAAATTGATTGTTTATATTTAATTATTATTATTTTTTCCAAAAAAATTAATTCTACAGAATTGTTATAGTTAAAAATGTTAAAAATTCTTATTTTCAAAGTTTATAATTTGAAACCTGTTTAAAATTAAATTATTTCTAAAAATTCATTCAATAATGCTTTTCGTATTCAATTATTTAAAATTTTAACTGAAATTAATTTTTAAATCAATTTTCATTAGAAAATTCTACGAGAATTCAATTATTTAAAGAAAAAAAATAATAACTTATTGAATAATTGAATGTTTCTCAAAATTGAATTCTTATAAGAAATTTTATCAACAAGTTTTTAAATAACTGAATTCTTTGGACGAATTTTAATAAAATTTTTAAGAGTAAAGACATTATTCGAATAATTCGATTAAAATTGTATTAAAAATAATTGAAATTCTGCCATGAGTTTTATTACTTATGAAAATAATTGAATCATCCGTAAAAAATTTATAATGTAAATAATAGAATTCCTGTGACAATTTTGTTATTTACGAAAATAATTAAATGTTTGCATAGAATTTTATTAAAAATTTTTTTAAATAATTGAAATCATTCGTAAAATTTTATTACAATAATAAATACTAAAAGTCATTGTATTGAGGAAAATTTTTGAAAATAATTGAAATTTTATCAAGAACTTTATTATAATTTTTGAAAATAATTGAATTTCGGAGAAGAATTTTATTATTTATTAAAATAATTGAATATTTGCTAAGAATTTTATTATTTATAATAATAATTGAATTTCTGCGGAAAATTGCATTTTGAAATTAATTTTGTAAAATTTTTTTAAATTATTGAATTTTTGCGAAAACTTTATTAAATTTTATATAAATATTTGAATTCCTGCGAAGAATTGCATTATTTATGAAAATAATTGTATTTTACGAACAATTATATTATAATTTAAAAAAAATAATTGAATTATTGCGAAGAAATAATAGAATTCCTGTGAAATTTTTGTTATTTACGAAAATTTAATTAAATGTTTGCATAGAATTTTATTAAAATTATTTTTAAATAATTGAAATCATTCGTAAAATTTTATTACAATTATAGATACTAAAAATCATTGAATTGAAGAAAATTTTTGAAAATAATTGAATTTCGGAAAGGAATTTTATTATTTATGAAAATAATTGTATTTTTGCTAGAAACTTTATTTCTGCAGAAAATTGAAATTTGAAAATAATTTTGTCAAATTATTTAAATTAATGAATTTTTGCGAAAATTTTGTTAAATTTTTTATAAATATTTGAATTCCTGCGAAGAATTGTATTATTTATGAAAATAATTGAATTTTTACGAACAATTATATTATAATTTTTAAAAATAATTGAATTCTTGTGAAGAAATGTATTATTTATAAAAAATAATTGAATTTTTACGAACAATTGTATTAAAATTTTTCAAAATAATTAAATACCTGCGAAGAATTATATTATTTATGAAAATAATTGAATTTCTACAAACAATTATATTATAATTTTTAAAAATAATTGAATTCTTGTGAAGAATTTAGTATTTATGAAAATAATTGAATTTTTGCGAATAATTTTATAAAAATTTTTATAAATATTTAAATTTCAGAGAAGAAATGTATTATTTATAAAAAGTAATTGAATTTTTACGAACAATTATATTATAATTTTTAAAAGTAATTGAATTCCTGTGAAGAATTTTATTATTTATGAAATTTAAAGTGAATTTCGGAGAAGAATTTTATTATTTATGAAGAAAATTAAATTTTTGCTAAGAATTTTATTATTTATGAAAATAATTGAATTTTTTGGGATGAATAATTAAATATTACAATTTTTTAAAATAATTGAATTCTTGTCAAGAATTTTATTAGGTATTTATGAAAATAATTGAATTTTCGCGAACAATTATAGGTATTAAAATTTTTGAAAATAATAAGAATAACACTTAAGGGCATCCGGGAAATAATACTGGTTTCGTGATAGACGTCTCATTTAAAAAGAAAAGAATATTTTGAGTCGGGATTTTTTGGTAAATATAGAGAAATGCTCTGGGACCAGCGGTCCTCTCGGAATTTAGAGAAATTTTGATAAATAATTATTGAAAAAAATTGTTGAAATATACGGAAAAAAGGGGTTTTGAACGGTTCAGTATAGACGTCTCATTTTGAGAGGATAAAATATTTCGGGTTCATATTTGGAGGGGTGATAGAGGAAGAGTCTCCGAGGAGCGGCCCTCTCCGTTTTTGCAATAATTTTGCGAGGAAATTATTTTATTAACGATTGAAAGTGGAGTAATTTGAGATTAATACATTTCCCTCAGTTCAACTCGCGACCGCTTCCGAGAATTGGCGCCACCTCCTTGACCACTGACACATAGATCCACTTGTCTGTGTGCTCGCCGCCATATTGCCTCTCACTTTCGCCCAAAATCCAACTTTTGTAATTTCGTTTTTCAATATTTATTTCAAAAATTACTTGCAAATTTCGAGAATATTCTTTATCATCATGAATTCCCCTAATTATCATGCTAAATCCGAACTAAATATCTCTAATTATTTAGGAGTGAGACGACACGCGGGAAAACACTTTTTGGGCTCGATTTTTCCCGGATGCCCTTAAAGAATTTTATTTGTGAAAAGAATGAGTTTTTGCGAAAAACTTTATTAAAATTTTTAAAAAGAATTAAATTTTTTACGATGAATTTTATTAAATTTTTTGACAATAAAAAAACACTTCCAATAATTTTATTTATGATGAGAATTGAATTTTTGCAAATAAATTAGTAAAAATTTTTTTAAATAAATGGATTTTTGCGAAGAATTTAATTAAAAATTTTTATAAAAATTTGAATTCCTGCAAAGAATTTTATTATTTATAAAAATAATTGAATCTCCGTAAAAAATTTTAGAAAGTATTTATGAGAATAATTGAATTATTGCATTGCGAAGAAATTTAAAATAAATTTGTAAATAATAGAATTCCTGTGGAATTTTTGTTATTTACGAAAATTTAATTAAATGTTTGCATAGAATTTTCTTAAAAAATTTTTTAAATCAGCCTCTCCAAAAATTCCCGAGTAGCAAGTTTATAGTAATTTTGAATTAAATTAAAATTTTTGATCGAATTTTAGGAAAATAATCCACAGTGCATTTATTTTATAAATAATATAAATTCTAAAAATTGAGATTAGTATAAGAAATTTGTATAATTACCGCGTCAACATGAATATAAAAAAGATGTGAAGAGTGATAAAGAGTGCGAATGAGACGTTTGACTTGACGACTAGCTCTTCCATTGACTGTAATTAAGTATGCTATTCTAGCAGGCTTATCTTTCACTAGATTTGAACTAGAATTCTTCGCTTCTTGGGCTTTAAATTCTGAAATTTCGAACAAATATTAATTTTAATCTAAAATTTATACCTCTGCTGTCCAAAGCAAAAAATGAGGTTGAAGTCCGCAACGTTTAAAGAAACGAAAAAGTAAAAGTTAAAAAAGCCAAAATTTTTTAGAAACCTAGCGAGCTGCAATTGCCGTAAGGTTGGGATTTCTTTAAACTGTAAGTGAATTTCAACCTCACGGCAAATATGACTTCGAATTTTTTCATTTTAGATAGCAGACCTCAAGTTGATATTATATACAATATGTAATACTTACTTTTAATTCCAGTGTGGAAAACATTGATAGTTAAATAGCCACCACAGGACTGTTTAGAGTCTCCAGGACATTTCATGTTACAACTGGAATCTGGTAGTCGACTAGTTTGAGGTGGCTCTTCCATTCCACAGAAACATTCAACTCTGAAATTATTTAATTAAATAGATTCTAAAATCTAAAGTACAAAATTCGAAAGATGAAAATTTTTAAATAAGACCTAATAATATATTATTAATGCATATAAAATATTTTATAGGAAAATATATTTTAATTATTAATAAAAAAACTACTAACGAGTATTCGGTGCCGGCGAATGAATATCCAGATTGCAAACACATGTATGCGCACCGTTGGGGCGAATTATTATTCTTGTAAATTGCATTGAAACCAGTAAGAACACGAAATAGTTTGTCATCCTTGAAGCAACCAATATTCTTTGGAATTCCTGTAAAACCTGTGGAATGAGGACAGGAAGATTGTAAGGTTTTGGGATATAATAAACCTTGATGACTAAGGCACGTCACATTGACTATATACTCTTTGCATATTTGAGATTGTGCTCGTGTTATGGCACTCACTGCCTCTCGTCCAGTCACATCACAGATAGGAGTAAAATTTAGTGACTTTCGATCTAGAGTAACAATATTTGTACGATTACGACGTGATTGTTGCTTGTTTGCACTCGTTTGTTTATCTGGCGGCAGTTTCAATTGTCTTGTTCCTTTTGGAAGGCCCTCTCCTACTTCCGAGTGAGGAAAATCCTTCTGCAAATGCAAATTATTGTCAATAGTATAACAGAGATCTTGAATATCAGTTTATTTATAGCAAATAATTCATTTTTACACCAAATTCAAATTAAATTAATTTTGATTATAAAAACAGGTCTCGGATTTACTTTAAGACTAAAAAAAAGTCGAAAAACCCGTTTATTTAATTCAGTGTTGTCACAAAAATTTTATTTTCTATTTTTTCTCATCTTTCACTGATTTCTAAATTCGTTTATACAAAACTTTAATAATAATTTTATTAAATAAATATTTAAGTACTTCTTAAGTATTTGTTTTTCCATGGGAAATAAAATTTAAAAATTTCCCATTTAAAACCGTCTGAAATTTAATAATTTCTAAAAATTACATCTATAACCCTTAAAAAATTCAATTATTTTCTACAATTTAAAAAACAACTTCATCTTTAAATCAATTATCTTTATAATAATTTTCCGAAAGATCTTCGAGAATTCAATTATTATTTAAATGCAAAAATTTAATTTTTTATAATAATTGTAACTTTCCATGTTTTTTTTAAAGTTATTAAGGTATAGAGCATTTTTCAAAAATTACGAAAAAGAAATTCTTAAAATTAATTTTTAAAAAAATTTTAATTCTAAATAATTTCTCCGAAATTTTAGTTCATAAAAATAAAATTTTAAAAAATTTTAATTTACTTTGTTCCAAGATAATACTAAAAAAAATCTTATACTATTGAAAACTTTAAATAATTTCAAAAGAATTTAAACTATTAAAATTTTTTTTAAATTTAAGTTCCTCAAAATTTCTAATTAAATTCATTAAAAATTAAAATTTTTTAAAATTTCAAATAATAATTTTGAAAATATAGTTACTGTAACTTCTCCAAAATTATTTTCATCATTACAATTCAATTATTATTTAATGGAATTTTTAACTAAAATTTTTCTCTAAATCAATTATTTTTAATAATTTTTGAAAAAGTTCTTTGAGAATTTATTCATTTGTTTTCAATTCAATTTTACCAAAACTTTCGATTATTCGTAAATTCTTCAATTAAATATATATATTAGAAAATAAAAACTTGAAATAATTTCATAAAAAAATTCAATTAAACTTGTTCAAGAAAATTAATTCTACAGAATTGTTAGTTAAAAGTATGAAAAATTCAGTTTTTCAAAGACTTTAATTTGAAACTCTTTCAAAATTTAATTATTTCTAAAAATTAACGCTGTAAATTATTATCTAAAATTTTAACTGAAATTCACTTCTAAATCAATTTTTATTAGAAAATTCTACGAGAATTCAATGATTTAAATACAAAAATAAATAATTTATATTGAATAATTGAATGTTTCTCAAAATTGAATTCTCATAAAGAATTTAATCAACAAATTTTTAAATAATTGAATTCTTTCGACGAATTTTAATAAAATTTTTAAAAATAATCATATTTTTCGAGGAATTTGATAATTGTATTAAAAATAATTGAAATTCTGCGATGAGTTTTATTATTTATGATTATGAAAATAATTGAATTCCTGTAAAAAATTTTATTATTTTTTGAAAATAATTGAATTTCTACAATTATTTGTAACTTTTACAAAATTCAATTTTTTTATAGTTTTTAACTATTATTATTATTATTTTTAAATATTATTTCTATATTTTATTATTTTCAAGATTAATATTAAAAGAAGTAAAAGAAAAAGTTAAAATTATGGAAATAAGACGAAATTAATAAATATTATAATTTAAATTTAAGCGCGCTTTCTCGTACAGCAACTACTTTAAACAATGTGATAGCATTATCGCAATTTTTTCTTTCGACAATATTTCAATTGTTTATTTTAAAAAATTAAGGTAACAATATTTTGACAGCTTAGTTTTGTGGTTACATATTTGGCTCGTTTTTTTGACAGACGGTATAATTTCTATTTATGTATTACTTCGACCGTCTCACACAACAAAATTTTAAATTCTATCTGTCAAATTAATGAATTTCTCTTAATTTCATTCAAGTATTTTTTATAATTTTGCCAGGCAGGCAAAGTAATTCATTTCTGTTATAAATGCATGTTTTTGTTTGAAATTGAAAACTGTCAAAAATTAGAGGTTAAGTTACACTTACCAAGTCAGTAACACGTCTTTTCGAAGATTTTCGATCTTCGTTTTCCAATGTTAAAAAAGAATACGCTAAATACACTTGAATACATAGTATACTGATACCGATGATAAAAAATATTTTATATTTTCGCACACAATTTGTCGACCGGCTATCCAATAAATGTCTTGCTACCACCATTTTTCATTTTCCCCTGCTGCTAAAATCCAGATAATTTGGCTGCAATTTTCCATCATCCGTATTCCGTCAATGAAGTTGAACTGAATAACTGCGAGAGGTCGCCGAACGTGATGTGCGCAAAAGAACGAAATTTAACATTTGCGCCGTTTATGTATATCTTTGAACATGTGTTTTTTTCATTGAAAAGAAAAATCAAGTAAGAATTTTTTTTTGCAAATAAAAGGATGAAAAATTCTTTTTCTTTTGAAAATTGTGTTTATTTTGATATAACATTTTAAAATATGATTGAATTAACATATTTAGAGTATAGAATAAATTTTGTGAAAATAATGTCAAACGAATAATTTGAAATTTTTCTAATTTTTAGGTTAGAATGATGTAAATATTACCAATTTTTGAATTGTTAGTGATTTTTAATTCGATTTCTATATAAGTGGATATCGAAATGTTAAAAATATTTAAAAATAAATCTGTCAAATTTGGAATACCATTTCTCGTTTTCATGCTGGGTGCACCGTTTTTAGTAAATGAATTTCAACGACTTCGGTATGTTGTGCTTATGATTTATTTTCTAAACAAATGTTCTCATTTTTGATAATTTAATGATTTGATCTAATTTTCTTTTAAAATTTTTCTATATTAAACATTACAAAATATTTTTAAAGAAACATGCAAAAGAAAAAAAAGTTATAGCAATAAGCAACTTTTATTGTTTCAATTTTTTAAAATTAATTTCAGAAATAAAAAAATTTGAAAATTCAAGTTTTCATTAAGTTAATTTAAAAATTCCAAAAAATTTGTTTCTTTGAAAAATGAGGGTTACACAAGTATTTCAAAACAATGATTAAAAAATTAAAATAAACAAAGCTAAAATATAAAAAAGGCTTCGGAGGTGAATTGATAATTTAATGAAAGAATTCTCGTTTTTTCTAATTTTAAAAATATTACAATTTTTGTAAGCCAAATATTTTTACATAGATTACATATTATCTTTAAAACGTTAAAAAATATGATGTTATTACACATTTAGAAAACGAGGCTTCGGAAAAAAATTTAAATTTTTACTCTCATTGATAATTCTATTTTAATGAATAATTTCAATAACTTTTTTTTATCTTATTTCAAACAAATATAAGTGAAAAATAAACGTTTGGTTCTAAACTTTAATTTGATATGTATTATAAACATGTTGAAATTATTTAATTACGTTAAAATATAATTATAAATTATACTTGCTTTTTAGTTACGAGTATAAACCTTTAATAGCACAAGATGTGTTGCGTGATGAAATGAAGAAGAAAGGATTGCATATGAAGAAGCCTGGGGAGGTTACTTTAGAATCAGAATATGCAAAAATCAAAGACGTAAGAAATGTTTTATCATTTCTTTGAAGAAAAATACATATTTAGACAATTTTATCTCTTCTTTATTTGCGCTTCGAATTGTATTTATTTTCTTTCTTCAACTTATTTTTAAAAAATGAAAGTGAAGAAAGGTACCTAAGAAGGCTAAGAAGTAAATCATTTGAAGGTTATGTTTCTGTTATTTTCGCCTTTAGTTAAATGTTTCTGTTTAAATAGGTATAATCCAAATCAGTTTTTATTAATTATTTTTTAGATTATGTAATGAAGACTTAAGCATCAGTAATTTATATTGAAAGTTAATCTCCTGTCTGTATTTTCATTCAAAAAATTGCAAACATAACCTCAGGTACCTTTCTTCAGAGCGCGTCACAATACACAAATTAGTTATTAATTATTTTAAAAAAATCTGTTTTAAAGTAATACATTTTTTATAAAAAACTAAAATATTTATTACTTTTTTAGAAAGATACGAGTAATTGGGAAATCAAACGCATTCCTCGTCCTTATGAAGAGCCTGAGACGAAATGAAGCGTAAGTTATTGTATTTATTTATTTCATTCTGAATATTTAAGATACTTTTAAGAAATTACATTTTCTGGAAACTGAGCTAAATATAAATTATTTACCATAATTGTTGAATGTAATTTTACAATGTTGAGAAAACAATATTATGAATTTCTCTTTATTCGTGTTTTTAATAGTGCATCTAGATTTCCAAATTTTTAAAGTTACCTATCCTCCTAGCATAGCGATTGAATAAGCACACGTGGATCACCAATAATGAGTCCTTTTCTTTTAAAAATGTATTCAATTTTCCTTATGAATAAATATTTGAGTGTTTCCTTTTAGAATTTAAAATCCAATTTTCAATTCTAGTATTGCTCTTACTGTCACAAAGTATGAAAAGGTGAATGAGAGAAACTGTAATTGAAATAATTAATTATTAACAAATGCAAAAAAATCCTCTAAGATTGAAGTTCAAAAATTCAATATGGCGGACATAAAAATATAAAAAATATAGTGTATTCTGGTGCAACTTGATATTAAGGGGTTCCCACTTTTTCACAATGTAGATCAAAATTGATTTAACATTTGCAACAACCTTTTCTTGAAGAATCTAAAATAGTATGCCCTATCTATTTAAGAAATTGATTTTCAACATAAATACACAGGATGCATATTTCATTTGTTGTAATTATTAAAAAAATTATTGTTAGAAAATTGGATGTTTCCAATAGCCCAAAGCCCAAACCAATTTTCAGTCAAATGAAAAACGTTTTAAAACATAAAATTTATTAAAACTAAAATTTTTTTCTTTTTATTTTATGAAAGATGTTAAAATTTTGAAAATAACAAGATATTTTAAACGTCGTTTAGCCAATAATAATTTATTTAGTCATTTTTCAAAAATCGTCATTTTTAATGTTTTACAAATATTTGAATAACTTCTAAAATAATGAACGCTTTTTAATGATCTTAGGCTTATTTTAAAGGGCATTTGCTACACTATAAGAATTACTTATAGGCATTAATGTGTAATTTTTTTCTTAGAAAATGCAGGCTGTCAAACTTGGAACAAAAAAATTTAAAAAATTTGAAACAATCTTATTAGCAGAAAAATAATTTTTATAAATCAAACGTATTTTTTTTATTAAATGTTATTGAAAAAGCTACACCATATGATGTTTTATATATTTTCTAGAATAGTTTTTAGTACAGAAAAAAATTTAAATTTTTTAACAAAGGGTGAAGAGTATTAAATAAGTAAAGTGTTTTTAAAAAGCCCAAAAATAATGAAGCTAAATGCCAGAAAAGAAAAGAAAAAATGTTTAATTTTAAGAAATTCGAATTTTTGAATTTTCGATAGTTTTTGATAATTTTAGATTTTTTACCAAAGGGTGGAGATAAAAAATTAGGTAAAGTATTTTTTAAAAGCACAAAAATAATGAAGCTAAATGCCATAAAAAAGAAGAAAAAATGTTGAATTTTAAGAAATTCGGTTTTTTGAATTTTCGATAATTTTTGATAATTTTACATTTTTTAACAAAGGGTGAAGATAAAAAATTAGGTAAAGTATTTTTGAAGAGCACAAAAATAATGAAGCTAAATGCCATAAAAAAGAAGAAAAAATGTTGAATCTTAAGAAATTCGGATTTTTGAATTTTCGATAATTTTTGATAATTTTATATTTTTTACCAAAGGGTGGAGATAAAAAATTGGGTAAAGTATTTTTAAAAAGCACAAAAATAATGAAGCTAAATGCCATAAAAAAGAAGAAAAAATGTTAAATTTTAAGAGATTCGGATTTTTGAATTTTCGATAATTTTTTATAATTTTAGATTTTTTACCAAAGGGTGGAGATAAAAAATTGGGTAAAGTATTTTTTAAAAGCACAAAAATAATGAAGCTAAATGCCATAAAAAAGAAGAAAAAATGTTGAATCTTAAGAATTTCGGTTTTTTGAATTTTCGATAATTTTTTATAATTTTAGATTTTTTATCAAAGGGTGGAGATAAAAAATTGGGTAAAGTATTTTTTAAAAGCACAAAAATAATGAAGCTAAATGCCATAAAAAAGAAGAAAAAATGTTAAATTTTAAGAGATTCGGATTTTTGAATTTTCGATAATTTTTTATAATTTTAGATTTTTTACCAAAGGGTGGAGATAAAAAATTGGGTAAAGTATTTTTTAAAAGCACAAAAATAATGTAGCTAAATGCCATAAAAAAGAAGAAAAAATGTTAAATTTTAAGAGATTCGGAATTTTGAATTTTCGATAATTTTTTATAATTTTAGATTTTTTACCAAAGGGTGGAGATAAAAAATTGGGTAAAGTATTTTTTAAAAGCACAAAAATAATGAAGCTAAATGCCATAAAAAAGAAGAAAAAATGTTGAATCTTAAGAATTTCGGTTTTTTGAATTTTCGATAATTTTTTATAATTTTAGATTTTTTATCAAAGGGTGGAGATAAAAAATTGGGTAAAGTATTTTTTAAAAGCACAAAAATAATGAAGCTAAATTACATAAAAGAAAGGAAAAAATATTGAATTTTAAGAAATTCAGATTTTTGAATTTTTGATAATTTTCGACAATTTTGGATTTTTTACCAAAGAGTCAAGACTATTCAATAAGTAAATTATTTTCCAAGAGCACAAAAATAATGAAGCTAAATGCCATAAAAAAGAAGAAAAAATGTTGAATTTTAAGAAATTCGGATTTTTGAATTTTCGATAATTTTTGATAATTTTATATTTTTTACCAAAGGGTGGAGATAAAAAATTGGGTAAAGTATTTTTTAAAAGCACAAAAATAATGTAGCTAAATGCCATAAAAAAGAAGAAAAAATGTTAAATTTTAAGAGATTCGGAATTTTGAATTTTCGATAATTTTTTATAATTTTAGATTTTTTACCAAAGGGTGGAGATAAAAAATTGGGTAAAGTATTTTTTAAAAGCACAAAAATAATGTAGCTAAATGCCATAAAAAAGAAGAAAAAATGTTAAATTTTAAGAGATTCGGAATTTTGAATTTTCGATAATTTTTTATAATTTTAGATTTTTTACCAAAGGGTGGAGATAAAAAATTGGGTAAAGTATTTTTTAAAAGCACAAAAATAATGAAGCTAAATGCCATAAAAAAGAAGAAAAAATGTTGAATCTTAAGAAATTCGGATTTTTGAATTTTCGATAATTTTTGATAATTTTATATTTTTTACCAAAGGGTGGAGATAAAAAATTGGGTAAAGTATTTTTTAAAAGCACAAAAATAATGAAGCTAAATGCCATAAAAAAGAAGAAAAAATGTTAAATTTTAAGAGATTCGGATTTTTGAATTTTCGATAATTTTTTATAATTTTAGATTTTTTACCAAAGGGTGGAGATAAAAAATTGGGTAAAGTATTTTTTAAAAGCACAAAAATAATGAAGCTAAATTCCATAAAAAAGAAGAAAAAATGTTGAATCTTAAGAATTTTGGTTTTTTGAATTTTCGATAATTTTTTATAATTTTAGATTTTTTATCAAAGGGTGGAGATAAAAAATTGGGTAAAGTATTTTTTAAAAGCACAAAAATAATGAAGCTAAATTACATAAAAGAAAGGAAAAAATATTGAATTTTAAGAAATTCGGATTTTTGAATTTTTGATAATTTTCGACAATTTTGGATTTTTTACCAAAGAGTCAAGACTATTCAATAATAAATTATTTTCCAAGAGCACAAAAATAATGAAGCTAAATGCCATAAAAAAGAAGAAAAAATGTTGAATTTTAAGAAATTCGGATTTTTGAATTTTCGATAATTTTTGATAATTTTATATTTTTTACCAAAGGGTGGAGATATAAAATTGGGTAAAGTATTTTTTAAAAGCACAAAAATAATGAAGCTAAATGCCATAAAAAAGAAGAAAAAATGTTAAATTTTAAGAGATTCGGATTTTTGAATTTTCGATAATTTTTGATAATTTTATATTTTTTACCAAAGGGTGGAGATAAAAAATTGGGTAAAGTATTTTTTAAAAGCACAAAAATAATGAAGCTAAATTACATAAAAGAAAGGAAAAAATATTGAATTTTAAGAAATTCAGATTTTTGAATTTTTGATAATTTTCGACAATTTTGGATTTTTTACCAAAGAGTCAAGACTATTTAATAAGTAAATTATTTTCCAAGAGCACAAAAATAATGAAGCTAAATGCCATAAAAAAGAAGAAAAAATGTTGAATTTTAAGAAATTCGGATTTTTGAATTTTCGATAATTTTTGATAATTTTATATTTTTTACCAAAGGGTGGAGATAAAAAATTGGGTAAAGTATTTTTTAAAAGCACAAAAATAATGTAGCTAAATGCCATAAAAAAGAAGAAAAAATGTTAAATTTTAAGAGATTCGGAATTTTGAATTTTCGATAATTTTTTATAATTTTAGATTTTTTACCAAAGGGTGGAGATAAAAAATTGGGTAAAGTATTTTTTAAAAGCACAAAAATAATGAAGCTAAATGCCATAAAAAAGAAGAAAAAATGTTGAATCTTAAGAAATTCGGATTTTTGAATTTTCGATAATTTTTGATAATTTTATATTTTTTACCAAAGGGTGGAGATAAAAAATTGGGTAAAGTATTTTTTAAAAGCACAAAAATAATGAAGCTAAATGCCATAAAAAAGAAGAAAAAATGTTAAATTTTAAGAGATTCGGATTTTTGAATTTTCGATAATTTTTTATAATTTTAGATTTTTTACCACAGGGTGGAGATAAAAAATTGGGTAAAGTATTTTTTAAAAGCACAAAAATAATGAAGCTAAATTCCATAAAAAAGAAGAAAAAATGTTGAATCTTAAGAATTTTGGTTTTTTGAATTTTCGATAATTTTTTATAATTTTAGATTTTTTATCAAAGGGTGGAGATAAAAAATTGGGTAAAGTATTTTTTAAAAGCACAAAAATAATGAAGCTAAATTACATAAAAGAAAGGAAAAAATATTGAATTTTAAGAAATTCGGATTTTTGAATTTTTGATAATTTTCGACAATTTTGGATTTTTTACCAAAGAGTCAAGACTATTCAATAATAAATTATTTTCCAAGAGCACAAAAATAATGAAGCTAAATGCCATAAAAAAGAAGAAAAAATGTTAAATTTTAAGAGATTCGGATTTTTGAATTTTCGATAATTTTTTATAATTTTAGATTTTTTACCAAAGGGTGGAGATAAAAAATTGGGTAAAGTATTTTTTAAAAGCACAAAAATAATGAAGCTAAATGCCATAAAAAAGAAGAAAAAATGTTAAATTTTAAGAGATTCGGATTTTTGAATTTTCGATAATTTTTGATAATTTTATATTTTTTACCAAAGGGTGGAGATAAAAAATTGGGTAAAGTATTTTTTAAAAGCACAAAAATAATGAAGCTAAATTACATAAAAGAAAGGAAAAAATATTGAATTTTAAGAAATTCAGATTTTTGAATTTTTGATAATTTTCGACAATTTTGGATTTTTTACCAAAGAGTCAAGACTATTTAATAAGTAAATTATTTTCCAAGAGCACAAAAATAATGAAGCTAAATGCCATAAAAAAGAAGAAAAAATGTTGAATTTTAAGAAATTCGGATTTTTGAATTTTCGATAATTTTTGATAATTTTATATTTTTTACCAAAGGGTGGAGATAAAAAATTGGGTAAAGTATTTTTTAAAAGCACAAAAATAATGTAGCTAAATGCCATAAAAAAGAAGAAAAAATGTTAAATTTTAAGAGATTCGGAATTTTGAATTTTCGATAATTTTTTATAATTTTAGATTTTTTACCAAAGGGTGGAGATAAAAAATTGGGTAAAGTATTTTTTAAAAGCACAAAAATAATGAAGCTAAATGCCATAAAAAAGAAGAAAAAATGTTGAATCTTAAGAAATTCGGATTTTTGAATTTTCGATAATTTTTGATAATTTTATATTTTTTACCAAAGGGTGGAGATAAAAAATTGGGTAAAGTATTTTTTAAAAGCACAAAAATAATGAAGCTAAATGCCATAAAAAAGAAGAAAAAATGTTAAATTTTAAGAGATTCGGATTTTTGAATTTTCGATAATTTTTTATAATTTTAGATTTTTTACCACAGGGTGGAGATAAAAAATTGGGTAAAGTATTTTTTAAAAGCACAAAAATAATGAAGCTAAATTCCATAAAAAAGAAGAAAAAATGTTGAATCTTAAGAATTTTGGTTTTTTGAATTTTCGATAATTTTTTATAATTTTAGATTTTTTATCAAAGGGTGGAGATAAAAAATTGGGTAAAGTATTTTTTAAAAGCACAAAAATAATGAAGCTAAATTACATAAAAGAAAGGAAAAAATATTGAATTTTAAGAAATTCGGATTTTTGAATTTTTGATAATTTTCGACAATTTTGGATTTTTTACCAAAGAGTCAAGACTATTCAATAATAAATTATTTTCCAAGAGCACAAAAATAATGAAGCTAAATGCCATAAAAAAGAAGAAAAAATGTTAAATTTTAAGAGATTCGGATTTTTGAATTTTCGATAATTTTTTATAATTTTAGATTTTTTACCAAAGGGTGGAGATAAAAAATTGGGTAAAGTATTTTTTAAAAGCACAAAAATAATGAAGCTAAATGCCATAAAAAAGAAGAAAAAATGTTAAATTTTAAGAGATTCGGATTTTTGAATTTTCGATAATTTTTGATAATTTTATATTTTTTACCAAAGGGTGGAGATAAAAAATTGGGTAAAGTATTTTTTAAAAGCACAAAAATAATGAAGCTAAATTACATAAAAGAAAGGAAAAAATATTGAATTTTAAGAAATTCAGATTTTTGAATTTTTGATAATTTTCGACAATTTTGGATTTTTTACCAAAGAGTCAAGACTATTTAATAAGTAAATTATTTTCCAAGAGCACAAAAATAATGAAGCTAAATGCCATAAAAAAGAAGAAAAAATGTTGAATTTTAAGAAATTCGGTTTTTTGAATTTTCGATAAATTTTTATAATTTTAGATTTTTTACTAAAGGGTGGAGACTATTAGATAAGTAAAGTGTTTTTGAAGATGCCAAAAATAATGAAGCTAAATGCCATAAAACAGAAGAAGAAATGTTGAATTTTAATGGAATTCGGTTTTTTGAATTTTTTATAATTTTGGATTTTTAACCATTTGGGTGGAGACTATTATTAATAGTCTGACGGTCAGGGAATGTCAGAGAATTTCATCAAAATTCGGGAAAATTTCTAAAAATTTATAAAAAAATTAAAATTTTTGTTAATAAAAAATTGTTTTAATTTAACAAAACTTAGAAGATTTTTATTATCGTTTGTTTCTATCATGAGATATTAATTTATTGTTAAATGTCAGTTACCATATTTTTGTCTCAAGAAAGCAGAAATAAAATTAGTAAAAAGTCAGGGAAAAATCAAGACATTATTTTCTCAATCCTTATTAGACACCCAGTAGTAACAAAGTTAGTAAATTCGTAACTAATTTAGTAAATTAGTTTGTAAGTTAGTTAGTTAATTAGTTAGTAACTAAGTTAGTAAGTTAGCTAGAACCTAGTTTCGTGTTAGTAACTGTGTTTTCAATAAAATAACCAAAACCTAAAGTATTTATTATCTATTATTATGTACAATAATATTGTACTTAATATTAGTTGTGTTTGAGTATATGTTTGTGTATATTATGCACATACTGTGCCCTTTACTCTCTTCACCCCTCATTTCTTCACTGAACAAACGGCCAGTGGAGAAATATAGTACATTTCTTCACTAGTGCCTAGTGAACAATGATTCCATTTCCCCGAAGGTGTTGGACAAAATAATTTTTCCATTTGTGAAACTAAATTTTAATAAAAAATACACAAAACTTTCGCGAAAGTATCCTAATTATGGTCATCTTATTTATTAAGAAAGATAATTAAGGTTCAAAGATAACACATTTACTCACTGCTGCATAATATTTCAAGGAAAATTGAGGCATAATACCGGAAACGCATATATATGAAGGCTTTTGGCATCTTTGAATAATAATGCATATTGTCGATGCCTTTTCACTTGACTTTCCGGTCCAAGGTAAAGAAAACCTTAAATCTTCACTCTGTAATAAAGATAAATGTATAAATATTTAAGTGTTAAAATCTAAAAGAATAGAATTTTCTTTCTCACCCTTGATGCTATTGTATCGGCACATTGAGCAGTATAGAAAACTCTGTAAATAACAATTACCACTACTCCGAAAAATTGACAAATTAGTGGAAGATTGACTGTCTCTTTTATCTAAAAAAACGAATTTCAATGAAAAATCTTAAGATCATAAAAAGAATCTAAAACAGTTATTTGACACTAAATGGGTTAATAGATTTTAGTGGATTGCATATTATGTTAAACTAACGTGAACGAGTTGAAGTTGTCCAAGAATGATGTAAAATAATGTGGCTATAATCGTCTTAAAAATCATAAATCTTGTTAACCTATTAATCTCATCAACGTATCTAAAATATGAAAAATATTGTTAATGTGTAAAGTAACTACACTCTTAATAATGTTTAGCAAAACGTATAGCAAAATGAAGAAGAAAGATTGAAGAATTAATTCTTGCCCTCTCAGCTTCTAAAGTATAGATTATTAATGTTTCCTTCAATTTTTATAATATTTATTAAACTTACGCTAAAATCTCTTGGTGTTGTTTAATGCAATCATTTAATTGCAATTTGTCGTGAACTTTTTCGAATTTTTCAGCAAGAATTTTCAATTTTACCGATGCAACGTTCATTGTCATAAAGAGTAGACCATCAGCGACATTTAATGCACCAGTTTCAAAAATATATATCATCTGTTGAAATATTACCAATTTCTTTTTGTTATAGGGGTCAATGGAAAAGGGATGCCAAACTTCCTTTGGAAGAATGAGGGTTATGTCAAATATGTGTAAGTAAATGTACAGTAGAAACATTAAACAATAAATTATACAATGTATGATATTTGTCAAGATTGAAGATTCCATTTCTTTCAATAAAATTGCTTCCTTACTTTCAGCATCCTTTACTACATCTTCAAGAACAGCAATTAAAATCTTAAAAATATATTTTAATTAATTTAAAAAGAATTCATAAAGTACTTAACCCACCTACGGTTTGTTCCAACATAACTCGGGGTTAATTTTCTGTACCAAAACAGTTAAACCCTATAGTATACTTGGAATAAATAATTATTTTATATCAATTCCATATTTGTCGGTGCAGTTAATTAAACTGCAGGAGGGTTAAGTAAACATTTTTCATATATGAGTTTTAAAACTTATTGAACCTTGAATTGAGATCGATGAATTTTAAAAAGAATTGATGTATACATTTTTTCTGTAATCACCATAAGTTCTAGAATAATGCAAATTGTTGTCGAGACTGTCGAAACATATTTATAATAACGACAAAGTCCGATTAAAACACCGAAGAATAGAAGAATATCATTCATTAGAAATATCCACCATAGAGATTCATAAAATATTCGATAAACTAGTTTCGCCTTCTTGTCAATTGGCCACAGCAGTAATACAATTCCAAAAATTTTTAACATTCGATAAGATAATAAATATTTGGTTTCATTTGATTGATTTGATTGATTTGATTTTGAGGATTTTGAATCACAATTTTGTTTTTGTTGTACGATACCATCTTCAACCATATTTAATTTTTGGAATCAATAATATTTTTCAGTGTAAAAATGAAAGGAAATTAAAAAAGTGTGAAGTGTAAAGAAAGAATTGTCGTTCACTTGGAAATAGTAAATTTGTTGTTATTTTCAAAAACTACATTTCTCATTAGCGGAGAGAAATGTAAAAACAACTCAAGAAGGTATGTACGACTTTCTTGATAAACTTTTAAGAAAAAAATTTTGATGAACGTTTCGAAACTGAAGAAATAAAACTTAGTAGTTAGCTGACTAGTAATAAATAATAATTAACAGCGACATCAATTAAATTTAACTCAGTTTGCAAGAGTAATTAAATATAGCTTATAAGATGTATGCCGAAATTGTTTCTAATGAATGTTTGAAATTATATTATTGAACATATTTCGCATCATTGTAGTTATTAAAAGTTCGTATTTATTGAATTTATATTCGTATTTATTCAAGGGAATAAAAAAAAATACTTTTTGGTAAAACATTTCAGAAAAATCTTTTTTTTTAAATATTTCTGGTATGATAAAATTACAACCCCGATACACTTTTTAAGAAAAATATATGCAAAAAATGTTATAGTAGTTTATTTCTCTTTATCTTAATTGTTCCCGGAGGAGTAATAATAAGAAAAAATATTAATAACCTTTCAGTTTGTATACGAGGATAATTTGAAGAAAATAGTATAATCAAAAATACATTAGAGTGTGAATTTTTTTTATTAACAATAACATTATAGCTGGACTCGTGCTTTAAATATTCGCTTGGAATTATATTCAGTACGAAATAAATTTTGATACTACATACATAATAGTTGACATAAGAAATTTTTGGTTGATTTTATGAAAAATGATACCGTGAGTATAAAAAACAAGCAATTTAAGTTTTACTGGAATTTAAAAAATTAAAATAAGTCGCCAGCGTGAATAGTTGAATTTATAATGAAGACAATCTGAGGTATCTGAATGGCGAATCATTTCATAGTTGACAATTCTCTTACAGTTAGATTTAGCACAAAAAATTAATTTTATGACATAACAGCTCTCGCTCTAAAAAAATAGTTTGTTGATGTTGCTAGAAACTGAAACAAACAAAAAACTTGTAAAGAAAACCAACATTACATAATAATTAGAAATCGAATATTAATTAGAGGAAGTTTAATTAATTGAGGTCCTGGATCTAATAACTCACCCGACGCTCGGAGACACTCGCTAATACAAGGGCTAGTTATTAGATCAGGAACTTCTATTTTAATTGTACTTACAAACGAATAATATTCCAAACAGAATGAGTTAGATATCACTAATGGTTTTTGACTTCGAATGATCACAATCGACAAATAGCTCCGTATTTTAGAAGATTTATTAATCCATGAAGATTCATATATAGAGTCAGCAATTTTTTCACTCTGTAACGATTAACTTACCATTAGGTTATAATTTGTAATTTTATTAAAAAAAGGTTTTATAAACTTACCTGATTCTTTAAATCGTCAGCAGTCCATGAAGTAAGGAAGAGTCTTAAACATGCAGCAATTAGCATCAAAGTAGATTTTAATAGAACTATCAGAGATGCATGCTACTTTATCAATATATATATATGTACAATTATTATACAATCCCATTAAAAAAGTATATTGTATCGCAGATGTTGCGGATCCTAAAATACTTTAGATAATAATAATCTGCGGGACTTGTTGAAAAACAGTCCAAACTCTACTAACTATATTAATTCATATTTATAATATTTCAACTGTCTTGTTATTTTAGTTGTCAAGTCAGTTAGTCTAAAAACTCTGTATCAGTCGGACGTGTCCCGGTTCAAATAAATAATATTTAATTTAATTTTTTTTTAAGGAGTTGCATTTTATTTCGTCAACAGGACTGTATAAAATAAAAACAATAATATTTACTCACACTCAGTAACTCAAAAGCCGAAAATACTATAGTGACCGTCATAGTAAAAGTACCATGCGAATAAGTTTAGAAGCCTCATTGAAAAACCTGAAAATATATTTATAAAAAGACAAGAATGTTTATGACATTACTATTTTTAAAGAATAGATTGATATTATTATATTCGTACATTTACATACCCTATTAACGCCAGTTAAAAGAAACGACGTGCCAAAAAATATGTGAAAATTGAAATATTTCATTCATACATAAGTTTTTTTCTCGTGAGATCAGAAATTGGTGGCCATGTCACGAGCTTAATCTTCCGTAAATATAATTAAGATTTGAAATAAAATATCAGCTTTTTTTCTAAATATCATTTGAACTTATCTAACAATCACTTGAAATTTCGACGATATTTATTTATCTTTAAAAACTTTCTCTCTGTCATTCTTATAATCTTCAATTTTGAAATCTAAGAAGACTTAAGCTTAACACATTGAGAATAATGACCTTTTGATAGATGTTTGTATTATTCTAGAGAATAGAAATGATAGTAATTTCGATTTTTAAGGATTATGATAATTTAGACTTTAATACTTAATGAATTCTCAGATATCGGCTCCTTGTGAGTAGAATCGTATATGTAATTAAATTTATTAAAGGCGGAAGTTAACATCCCTCTTTTATTCTCATTAATAATAATAGTTTTCATTACCGTTCAAGTATGTTCGTTCTCATGTACTATGAAAATTCTATAGTTTTTAATTTTAGTATCGTACATTCGCCCATACAATTAATTTACTTCATATAAGAAAGAGAAAAGATATATTATAATAAAAAATAATGTATAACGAAATAATTAATAATGTCAGCTAATGTCTAACGGTTAGTTAATATAATATTGATTTTAAGAAAGTAACATTTTTTTATTTCGATTTATTTTTATTCAGGGTGGCCGCAAGTCAGGAAAAACTGAAAATCAGGGATAAGTCAGGGAATTTTTTAAAATTCTTTAAAAGTCAAGGAATTTTGATAGAAAAAAACCACAAATTAAAAAACTTTGATACTTACATACTTAAATGTCAATTCAGTTTCAGTCACATTTTTTATAAGTTTAGACCTCCTTACGGACATTTCAATGTAGAATATTAAATAATTATCTTATTACCAACATTTTACCAATCATTTTAAAGAAAAATAAAAATTTAGAATATTTTATAAGAATTTTAAGAATCAATTTGTAAGAATATAAATTTTGTATATTACTCTTACTTAAACGAAAACTATTATGAAACTTTGATATATCATAATCAGTTTTTCGAGCCATCGGACATAATATAAAATTTTGAAAAATTGTTACATTATTTAATTACTTTTTGGAAAAAAAAATTGGTAGTGGAATAAATGGATTGGAAAAAATGTAGTGGAGAAATTGATTAAGAGTCATTCCATTATATTTCGACTAATTGCCGACTAATTTTTAAAAATTATAATATTTTGTAGGAGTTTAATTTAAGGTCTCATAATCACAAAATGAAAAGATTTTTTATAAAATTCTTTTTATTTATTGAACAATATGAATTTAAAGTGTTCGAGGTACTGTAACCTGTCTGTTTTTTGGACATTAGAAAATATAAAAAAAAAATACAATTTACTCAAAAATTATTAAAAACGTTATTGGAATTTGTCAAAGGATGATTAGATTTAAATTATAAATTAATAAAAAGTATTAAATAGTATGAAATAATACAAAAAATATGATTTTAAAGTTTACCTACAAAATAACCTAACTTCGCGATTTTTAAACATTAATAATGAGAAAGTGGAATCGTTATATTTAATAAATACTTACAAAGTTTACAGATCTTGGGATGGTCTTTCACAGTCTTTCAGATTTTCTTGGCTCTTTTTTTCTTTTTTCTTCGTAAATAAATAAAAACTGGAAAGTAAAATACGCATTTTGGTAAATTCCGCTATTTTTGAATGCTTATAACTTCTTCCCAGAAAAACGAATAAAAATCTCATTCTCTCAGATTATTTAAATTATTACTCAATACACGCACTCTAAAAGTTTCGCGTTGGTCCCGAAGCTATTTTTCGAGGTTAAGCAAAATGAAATTTTAATATTTTTGAGGCTATATTGACAAAGTTTCTAATCGACTTGAAGTTGATTCGCAAGTTATAATTATTTCACTATTGTCAATTCTGACAATTTTGTCTAACATTTTTAATTGTAAACACCTAGTGCATAATTTATATTTGTTTAAGTTCCGGATGCAAGAAGACTGAAATAATGTTTATTTCGTAGAAATTCATTATTTATATCTGTAAATATTTAAAAATAGTCAAGTAGTTTTCAAATTAGTTTTTTGAAATGCAGTGTTGCGTAGGAAAATATTTTCATGAACCCTGCGAAAGCGAAACAGAACCTCAATCAATAAAAAAAAAGTTTTGCGAAGAAGATGAAAATATATTAAAATTAAGAGTAAATGAGAAAATTTCTACAATTTGTAAACGACATGAAACAAAATACCTTTATAATTATTCACAATATTTCGGCAAAAAGTGTTGCGATCCATTTGGAACTCATTCTTCCGTAGTTACAAAATGTTTGCGTAAAATAACATTAAACCTTGCACAAGATGTGAAATTTTTAAAATTGATACCAGGTAAGAAAAAAAAATCAAATTTATTTAAAAAATTTTTAACATATTAGTTATTTAATAGGTACAAGTTTATGCGCAAGATGCAGGGATAAAATTTCATCGAAGAATAAAGAATTAAAAAACGACCTTGAAAATCGAAAAGATCCATTATTCGAACCTATTAATAACATCTACAGTGAAGAAGCATTATTGCCATTGGGAATAAGTCCTGCGAAAATAAAAAAACTCAATTACGACCAAAGAGAAAAAGCAATAGGAAAATCAATTTCTAAATCAGCAAACACTATTAGAAATGAATTGAATAAGTCTTTTAATTTGCAACTCTCAAATCCAACTTCAGAAGTTTTGTTATGGGCTGAAGGCTATAAGTCTCTAGTAGAAGATCTTAAAATTAAATTTAAAAAGTGTGAGAAAATGGGAGAAAAAATAAAAATTTTCACCTTGGTTCCTACATTTTGGACAGTAGAGAATGTATGTCACGAATTTAATGCAACTAAATACGAAGTGAAAATGGCTAGAGAATTGTTAAAAAAAGAAGGACTGTTACCAGAATTAACGCGTATAAATAACGAGACGGAATAACTGAAGATATCAAAGCAAAAGTAGTGGATTTCTATGAAAACGATGAGAATACTTGAATATTACTTCTAATAAAGGTTTGGAACTATAATTGAATGTATTTTGTATCATTGTAATTATTAAAAGTTCGTGTTTAGTGAATTTTTATAGTTTATTTATTTAAGGAGATTTTCTGGTTGAAAAATATAATACGAAAATCGATCTTTTATTGAAAAATATTTCTTATTATCATTAAATTACTGTCTTAAAAAAGTTTTTAAGAAATATGGAAAAATATTAGCTTTTGTTATACCAAATTACCTTTGGTGTCTCATAGTCATGAATTAAATTTTATTTTCCTACCTTTAAGTATTTAATATTTTTATATATAAAAAGATATATAATATTTTCGATATACAGGAACATATATATAGAAATATTATTTAAATATTTTCTTACAATTATACAGTCAGTACCAAAAATTAATTCTCTGACATAACAGCTCTCGCCCTGAAAAAATAATTTGCTGATGTTGCAAGAAACTGAAACAAATGAAAATTATCTTGTAAATGAAACCAAGATCACCGAATAATTAGAAATAGATTATTAATTAGAAGCAGTTTAATTAATTATATTGATTGGACTTACAAACGAATAATATTCCAAAGAAAATGAATCGATAATTCCTACAGCAGATATCACTAATGGTTTTTGACTTCGAATGATCACAATCGACAAATAGCTCCGTATTTTAGAAGATTTATTAATCCACGAAGATTCATATATAGAGTCAGCAATTTTTTCACTCTGTAACGATTAACTTATCATTAATTTATAATTTGTAATTTTATTAAAAAAAGATTCTATTGACTAACTTGAATCTTTAAATCGTCGGCTGTCCAAGAAGTTAGGAAGAGTCTTAAACTTGCACCGAGGAGCATCAAAATGGATTTAAATATAACCGTTAGAGATGCGTGCTACTTTGTTAATATATGTACATTTATTAAACAAACTTATTAAAAAGTGTATTGTGCCACAGATTGAAGTACCTCTAACCTAGGTATCCCTACTGAGACATTGGATGTCTTTAGGACATCCTTCGATCGTCTATGTCCGTTCTAATGTCATCCAAAAGACATCTTATGTTCTAAGAATGTCTTTAGGACATAAAATATCTTTATGGCATTTGAACGGACATAGACATCCTATACACTTCAAATGTCCCTATGCTAAATGGAAATATATTTTGAGATTAAGGAAATCTTAATATGATGGAGTAAATCTGATTTTAAATTCGTGTTACACATCTCGAAAAACAGGGTTAGGAGTACAATAGTCTGCGGAACAGGATAGTATTTTTAAATATTACTTATTTAATTAGAAAATAGTTTTAAATATAAAAATATGTTTTACTCACACCTAGTAACTCGAAAGCCGAAAACACTATAGTGATCGTCATAGTAAAAGTACTTTTAATGATTAATAAGCGAATGAGTTCAGAAGCTTCATCAAAGAACCTGTTAAAATAATAACGCACTAGATGTACTAATATCTAAAGAATATATTTAGGTATATTATTTTATAATATTAAATATTCAATTAATTGGCTTTAAGGATCCGTGCAAAAAGAAGTCAAAGAATTTTGAAACGTCTGAAATAAGAAAATTCTTTGACTTCTTTTTTCACGGATCCTAAAGCCAATTAATTGAATATTGAATATTATATATTAAGGATCAATTAAAATATCAAAATATATTATTTTATATATGCACATACCCTATTAATTCTTGATGCTTCATAATACAATTTCTGTAGTCAAGATCAGTGGAAGTGGTTCTAAATTCTTGTTGTAATAACTCTAAACGTACTGATGTGTACCAAAAAATCATTGCTACTGTGAAATCTACACAAACACACAGAGCTGTTTGTGTTATAGCAAGCACTTGTGCTACATAAAGAAATATCCGCATTAATAAAGCTTCTACAGAAAAAGGATACCAAGCATCGGCCGGCAGTAACGTAGTTGTCACAATTGGACAACAACAAAATGCAACACCAGTTATAAGAAAAGACGTGCTAAGAAATATATGAAAATTAAAATATCTCTCCGTATATTTTTCAATTAGTCTGTTTTCTTTAATGTTTGCTTCTTTCTGAAACTTATCAATTGTGCGAAGAATTTTCTAGAAATAAGAACTGTATGAGTAAGAATAACTATAATCATCTTGAGAATGATTTTTAATGCAGAAAAAATTTGAATGTTTTATTTAACAACAATTACTTGTAAACGCTTCCTTTGGACTTTGCAAATTATCATGTTGAAAAAAACTTCAATAAGTGCTGTAAATTCAGAAGCAGCTTGTGCCAAGAGATCGATATTGTTTCTATAATGAACAACACCCATAATTAATGGTATCAGAAGACTAATTACAATTATCAATGTGAACCACCAACAGAATTCATAGACAAGTTTTTTTCTTGTTAGGTCAGAAGCTGGTGGCCATGTCGAGCTTAATCTTCCGTAAATATTTAAGATTTGAAATAAAGTATCAGATTTTTTTCTAAACATCATTTTAAAATTAATCTATTCTCTCACTTGAAATTTTTCACTACATTTACTTTATTTTTAATGTTTCTCTCTATCATTTTTTATAATCTTAAATTTTCCATTGTAGGGAGGTTTGACTTAGTTAACACATTGAGAAAAATGACCTTTTGATAGAGGTTAGTATTTAGTATTATTCTAGAGAATGGAAATAAGAGTAATTTCGATTTTGAAGGATTAGAGTTCATGATAATTAGATTTCAATACTTAATAAGTTCTCAGAAATCGGCTCTCTTCTCATAAGTGGAATAGTGTAATTAAAATTAGAATTATCAAAAGCGGAAATAAGATCCCTCTTTAGTCTCATTAATAATAAGTTTTCATTGGCGTTCAAGCATGTTCGTTCTCATATACTTTATGAAAATTCTATAGTTTTTAATTTTAGTAGCGTATATTCGCCCTTATAGAATTAATTTACTTCAATAGAGCCAGAGAATTTATTCTAATAAAAAATAATAATATAACAAAATAATAATAATATTAGTTTATCTTGTTCATTTAAGGAAAGTACAATTTTTTTATTTCGAAGTTAACAAATTTCTGAAAATGCTTTATTTTATTATGCTTTTTAAGATTATCTTATTACCAAAATTTCGGAAGTTTATCCTAATTATTATTATTATGTAAAAGATAAATTTTATTTAATGTGTTTTGATTCACAGTATCAAAATCAGTAAAGGAGAATATTTAAAGGAGACTTACATGTGAAATGAGTAAATTTATCAAGTTTCAATTACAATTTTTTTTTTAAATTTTTGTCGATTTTAAACATTAATAACTTCTTTGGCGATAAATGAAAAAATTCACTTACTGTTTGAATGTTTTAGTTCTGCCTTTGCACCCTGTAACAATTTGTGAATAATAAATTGTTACACAAAACATCAACATTTCATAATTATACAGATTGTAAGTTATAAATTGAGTGAAGATTAAAATCGGAGCAATTTTCGACTTCACCCACAAATCTTCTTATTTTCACCTATTTTAATATATTAACGAAAGTTGTGTTTTTTAGATCTTAAGTGCAAAACGCATTTCTACATGTATATCAACAGTAGTTGTAAGATTAGGAAGAAAATATCTTCAAATTCTTATTGTGTCAATTTTTATGAACTGGATAGTGGATACCCGTCTGGCGTCTTGTGCGTTATTATACAAAATTAGAAAATTTCAGCGACATTTAAACTATTGTGGTTTTCATTGATTACTTTGAACTTGTCACTTTGACTAAACGGTTTACTGTGTCCATTACAGGGTCTTTTTCCATAAGCAATAGCACTGGGACATCATTTTATAAAAATACCTACATAAAATCCTTGCAGTGGCCTCATGTTACTAATGACATATTTTGAAGATATTGTCCATATAGAGAAAATTTATCTATATACTAACACTGTCTTTTAAATACTATTTTTGAATTGTATTTAGAACAAATTGTTCTTTTGGATACATAATTATTTTATGACATAATGGCTCGAATTCTAAAAAAGTAGTTTGCTGATGTAGCGAGAAACTGGAACATAGAACATAATAAAGCAAATAGTTTTTTTTAAACAAAATTAAGTGTTTTTAATAATAAACTTTAGTAACTAGTACATATTTAATTAATTATTTAAGAATGAATGTATGTTAAATAATAGATCTTACAAACGAATAATATTCCAAAGAAAATGAGTCAATTATTCCAGTGGCAGATATAACCAATGGTTTTTGGCTTCGAAGAATTACAATAGGCAAATACTTTTGTATTTTAGAAGATTTCTTCATCCAGGACGATTCATAAATAGAGTCAGCAACTTTTTCACTCTGTAATAATTCATATACAGTTTGAAATACTTAAAATAGTATATTAAACAACATGAGGACCTAAGTTTTGACAAGGGTAAAATTAATTAATTTTCTCCATTTGTATCAAAATGGGCTTTATTTTCTCTCATGAGGAAAAAACACATTACCTCTATGCGACATTTTTACCCAAGGAAAACATTGTAGGGAATTTGCAAATGGTTGAATAAATAAATGTGAAATAAAAACGATATGATTTATTAAAAGGTATAAAAAAAACTCACTTGATCCTTTAAATCGTCAGCAGTCCATGAAGTTAAAAAAAGTCTTAAACTTGCAACAATCACCATCATTACAGATTTCGATACTACGGTCAATGGTGCATGCTACTTAAATAGTAAATGTATAATTATTATTTTTATCCCATAGGAATAATAATGATACTATCAAATAGCTTAATGTACTATTATTTAATTTAAGAAAAGTTAATATAAAATATGTTTCAAATTATCTACATACATCCCTACATAAATTTATATGAAAAATAATAATATAATTACTTTTACTTACACCAAGTAACTCGAACGCAGAAAATACTATATTGAAAGTTACAGTGAATGTACTTTTAATTATTAACAAGCGGATGATTTTAGAAGCATCTTCGAAGAATCTAAAAATGTAATTTCTTTTGAAATGTATGGCACTGATCTCCATGTAAGTTCATCGTGCAACATGATCTAATATTTTTAAAAAATTATATTTATACACCCCTCTTCAGCTTACATAATTTGGCTATACAAATGTTTCTACACTTTTCGTCTTACAATTTTCCTCATACTAAATAACCTTATACTAATTTTGCATCTACAGAACGACTTGAAATTAGGAGTACTCTCATTTGCACTGTAAAAAAAGGTTCTAAATTAAACCAGATTTCGGTATTAAAATAGAACCAAATTACGATTTAGTACCAAAATTAGTACTGAATTAGTTCCTTTCTTTTTACAGTGTGATGTATTTTACAAATAATATTGTCCGAACTCAACGTAATAATTTAATAGACGACATGGCTACTTACTATATTGAAGCATAAGGAAAATATATTATACTAACGCTATTAACTCCTGATGTCTCATAATACAATTTTTGTAATCAAGGTCCGTGGAACTGCATCTAAACTCTTCTTGAAGTAATTCCAAACGAACTGATAAGTATAAAAAAATCATTGCTACAGTGAAATCGACACAAACACACAGAGCTGTTTGTGTTATAGCAAGCACTTGTGCTACATAAAGAAATATCCGCATTAATAAAGCTTCTACAGAAAAAGGATACCAAGCATCGGCCGGCAGTAATGCAGTTGTCACAATTGGACAACAACAAAATGCAACACCAGTTATAAGAAAAGACGTGCCAAGAAATATATGAAAATTAAAGTATCTTCCTGAATATTTGTCTAATATATTTTTTTCTAAATTTTTTGCTTCTCTCTGAAACTTATAGATCTTGTGAAGCACTTTCTAGAATAAAATCAAAACGGAGGCAAAGTTAATGAATGTACAATGGTACAAATATGAGAAATTATTTTTATATATTAAATGATAATTACTTGTAATCGTTTACTTTGCACTTTACAAATGATCATGTCAAAAAAGGGTTCCATTAGTGCTGTTAATTCAGCAATAGCTTGAGTCGAGATATCAATATTTTCTCGATAATGAAAAACACCCATAATTAGTACTATGAATAGATGAATTACATTGATAAAAGTGAACCACCAAAATAATTCGTAAACAATCTTTTGCCGTTTACTGCCACTTTGTGGCCAAGTTAATGTTAACCTGCCGTATATTTTTAAATATCGAAATAGAATATCGGTTTTTTTGTTAAATATCATTCTGATTACTAGTATTATTTCATTTAATGTTGATTACTAGTTTTATTATATTTATTTAAATAACATCGAACTCAAATTCTAAGAAGTCTCTGTTTAATTATCATAGTGATAAAAATTGCTTTTAATTTAGATGCGGGTATAATTCTAGGTGAATAGAAATGATAGTAAATTCGATTTTGACGGATCAAAGTTTCTGATAATTAGACTTTAATAATTGATGAATCTTCAGATATCTGCCTTTTCCTCATATATGCACAATCGTGTAATTAAATTTAGATTTATCAAAAGCGGAAGTTAACAGCCCTCTTTAGTCTCATTAATACTAATAATTTTCTCAGACGTTCGACTAGTTCCGTTCTTACATACTTTATGAAAAATCCTCTATTTTCTATTTATAAGTACCGTTTATTCATTTCTACAATAAACTTGCTAGAAACAAAAACGTTAGAAACAAAAACGAATAGGAATATAATAATAGTTTAATTTCTGCTTTCAGTTTTTAAGAAAATATATTTATTTCTTTTTTTAAATTGTAAATTACAATGATGCTGGAAAATAACGATATTTTTCATTCTTTCATTTCTTATTAAAGAGTGAAAATATTTTATTCTTACTACAAAAATATGTGGTCTCTCTCTTATTATAATATATAGGTATGTATATTGTGTACTTCTGCACAAAAATAAATTTATATAAAAATAGTTTTACTAACACCCAGAAGGTAAACGTAAAAAACTATTTCTCAAATTTTTCCTGTACTTTTATATAAAATGTATAGTGTATTTGTCATAGGGTTAGTATATAGGAAAAATGAGCGATTTGGAATTTTACATTTGCTTCCTAGTTACACCGATGGAATATATTCACACTACAATTCACTCCGTGTATATTTATAATTTTCGTTGTTATAATTCCAACAATGAAAATATTACAATAAAGGTTTTTATTCTTATAGTCCAAGCACAGCTTTTAATGTTAGAAAGTAAGAGAACGTTCTATATAGAAACTGAAAAAAATTTAAACAGGTAATAGTATATAAAAGAATGTATATATTTTAATATTTGTATAATTTTAAAACTTTAAAATTTGATAATAATGTTTTTTAATTTTTTCGAGGTTCATATTGTTTCTTCAAAGTTTATAGAAAACAGCATTTATTTAAAATTTGAGAAAATATATAATATTACTTTTAATCCTTTTAATGTCTAAAACTAAAAATTCATATACGATCGACTAATATAAATATTAAATGAAATTGAACTTCTTAAATTTGTTCAAATAGTAATTTAAACATCACTTACGCTTCCGTAGTACCAAGAAGAATATTGAGCGATTACACCAGAAACTGATATAATCAATGGTTTTTGACACCTTTGAATGATTATGTATATAGACTTTGATACTCCTGCAGACTGTCCTGACCATGGTATTGAATATTGCAATTTCTCTCCCTTAAATGCAAAATATATTTTTTTGATTTCCGCATACAAATTTCAATATGGACTATAAGCTGCTAAAGTATAGAAAATGTTCCATAATTCTAAATTAGGGTAAACCATACACTTTTGCCTAGAATCATTTTTCCCAATTTTCACTATTACGAAATGTCACTTTAGGTATGTTTACAAATTGGTATGTTTACAAATTGTCCCTTTTGTTGTTTTATTGTTTAAAAATTAAAAACTTAATTTTATAATACTTACAGCTGAAGATAAAGCATCTGCACACTGAGTTCCAAAGTATACTCTGTAGTTCACAACTATTATTACCAATAAAAACTGGTGAATTAAAAGAGGTTCAACAACTTCTGTTTGCTGAAAGAAATAAATTAAAATAAAGTTTGGTTTCGGGCCAAAGATGTCTTTTGGATGTCTTTCAAACGGACATAGACGTCCTAAGCATGTCCTAAAGACATCCCATGTCCCAGTGCCCACAGGGTAGCTATACTAATCAAAAGGCGTTAAATTAATTATGTTAAGGTGTTATTATTGAGATAAGCTAAATAAGAAAAATTTATATTACATCTCTTTACTTACGTGAAGAAGTTGAAAAAATCCCAAAGTTAGATACAGAAAGACAGCCAAAGTTGTTTTAAGAACGATGTAACGTGATGTTGTATTTATTAAATCTACAAACCTATAAATATTAAAAGCTTTAATATTTTTAATATTTATCGTCGTTTGTGAGGGAAGGTTCCATTGAGCAACTGTATGTCGAGAGGTTTTGTTGCTAACGATGCTCCCTACAAGCGACTATCCTTCTTTTAAATATATTAGAAATTAATGCACATTAAACTATATTAACCATATTACTTCCTGATGAAGTTGGATGCATCTTCGCAACTGGGACTCATTGATCGCAAGTGGAAATTTATCAGAAAGAACAGTCAATTTAGCTCGGGCAATATGCATCGACATAAATAGTATACCATCTGCAACATGCAAGACACCAGAGTGAAAAATGTAGATAAATTGTTGAGTAAGTTCAAACACCTTCCTCTTGAATGGATCAAGTGGCAATGGATACCATATTTCTTTTGGAAGAATAAGTGCTGGTTTGCATAATTGCATGTAAGTAAATCCAACTGCGACTATATTGTACAATGTATATACCGAAAAGGCCAATGGAATGGAATCTCTAATGTATTTGCGAAATAATATTTCATCTTGGCTATTAACATTTCTTACAGTTTTATCAAGATATTCCAATAAGACCTGTTAAATTACAAAGCGTTTTATATATTGTGCCTGATGTAGTGTACGACAGTTCCGAGGGTGGACAGTTACGGTTTCAACATTGTAACGACTTTATTTATTTTTAAATAAAATGAATGACGTTATATGTAAACGTTTTTTAAGAGAAAATTTAATAAGAGAAATTTAAAATAAAAATGTACATACATACCTTAAAGTCATCCTTTTTCATCTTGAAAAGCATAGAAGTGTAACAGTTCTCAAGTAATACTGTTAATTCAAAAATTATAAAAATCAGAGTTATGAATGATGCGATGTCCTGATAAAAGCAAATAGTACCGCCAATTACCCCAACAAAAAGAATCGGTCCATTAATCATCATTATCCACCAATTTATTTCTATGACTCTGTCAATAAGTGTTCTTTTCTTTTCCTGTGGCCATAGCATATAAATATTTGCAAGAAGTTTCACTAGTCGATAAAGATACAAAGGTTCTTCTTGTTTGACATTCAATTTTTGAATTTTAGCCATTTTATTAACATTAACTTTCGAATAAATGTCAGAGGAGTCTCAAAATTCCAAAAAAAAAACTGTTAAAACTTTGAAGACGATCTCACCTGCTGTTTTACACATTTTTAAAGTTTTTTCTATAGAATTTTAAACATCCTACAACTGTTTCAAATTCAGAGAAAAATTTATAATAAAATACCTTCATTTGAATAATTTTTTTTAACCCTCTCTACATTAAATTTTGTAACGCGGTTGGTCACATAACAAACTACATATTTTTATAAATCGGAAATTACACTCTTTAAAAATAAAAAATTTTTTTATTTACATTAATTTTATATCCATTTATTAAATTTATTACTCTTCGAGAGGGTAATACTTTTTGCATTTTATTCCTTTTTTTTAATAAAAAGTTTCAATTCCTAACAAAATATATTAAATATTTTTCCTAATAAAGGAATTTAATATGCGAAAGAAAGAAAAGAAAATGTTCTATGTTTATAGGAATAATGTGGAAGTAATAAATAAATCATAAATTGTAGTGAATATTAAATTTTTAAATTAATGCATACGATTAAATATGCTTCAATATTTTATATATTTTAGAACATTCCGCTTCTCATCACATGATATAGCGTGTAATTATCTATAAATGTAGCAAACGTTTTCATTTGAAATTCGCGATCTTTATACTGTATATACAGTAATTTTTAATGTGATCAATTATATTTTCTTAAGAAAATTAAATTTGCCTTCTCTTATTTCCTTTCAATGAGAGAGTATTTATATTTATAAAAGTAATAAATAAAACTATTTCTTTGAAATTTATAAAGTAGAATTAGAAAATATGTATTAGATAGAGTGCATTTACTATAATAAATTTTAGTATCATATACAATATTTATACAACAGAAAGGACTAATTTTGTAAAAAGTACAGTTAATTTTCAAATCAAATAATACAGTAGAACTTGTAAATAATTAATTTCTTTGTTTTTTTATAAAAAAAAAATATATCTTAATATAAAAAAATATGTCTTGAATTTTTTTAATTAATAAGGAATTTATTTAATTATTTTGTTACAATGGGATTATTCACAACTTGCACAATATAGTTTTATTTAATTTGGTTGGTAAATTACCTAAATTTGACTTTATAAAGACTTTTTTATATCCTTGTAAGGAAAAAAAAAATTATTATTATTATTAATTATTATTATTATTATTATTATTATTATTATTATTATTATTATTATTATTATTATTATTATTATTATTTAAAAATTTATTATGCAGTCATAAAAATGTAATCTTCTGCTGATTATCGGCTGTGGTTACTTTTTATAAATTGTGAATTAAATTAATTTTGATGACCCAGATAATTATTGGAATTGTTCTAGCAACAGTTTGGGGCCAGTAAACAATTTTTGTACTAACAATTGTTAGTAAACAGAAGATAAAGTTCGCTCAAAAAATAATTTGTCATCTTCTGCTGATTATCGGCTGTGGTTACTTACTTTTTATGAATTGTGAATTAAATTAATTTTGATGATGCAGATATTAATTGGAATTGTCCTAGCAATAGTTTGGGACCAGTAAACAATTCTTGTACTAACGATTGTTAGTAAACAGAAGATAAAGTTTGCTACAAATTAAAATATAGTTTTTCGTCTTCTGCTGATTGTCGGCTGTGGTTACTTCTTATGAATTGTGAATTAAATTAATTTTGATGATGCAGATATTAATTGGATTTGTTCTAGCAATAGTTTGGGATCAGTAAACAATTCTTGTACTAAAAATTGTTAGTAAACAGAAGATAAAGTTCGCTTAAAATTAAAATATAATTTTTCATTTTCTGATGATTATCTGTTTTGGTTACTTATTTTATGACTTTCATGAAGTATTGACCTGGAAAATCCTATAGAGAAAATGACATAAAATTCTGACTTGAAGTTTTCGTTTATTTTGACTTTTTATTAAAAAAATGACGTTTCTCCTCAATTTATTTTTAAATTAATTAAAAATCAGATATTGTTTTTTATTAATTAAAACAGCCAATGTAAGAGTAATATAATAATTTAAATTGAAATTTCTAAAACACTATTATGGGTCCATGTCAGATCGTACCGTCATTTTTATTAACTCTTGATTAGATTTTTAAATCTTAATGTTTAGTTCTATTTCTGTATTCAGATTTTTTCATTTTTTTGTGACTTAAAAAAGTATTTTCGTCAGTATCATTATACTGCATTTATTACCTGCATTATATCCCTCCTTATAGATGATGTTCACCGTTCTTCATTTCTCTTCTCTCCCACTCCTAGTTTCTTAAAGAAATAAGAAAGTTTCTACATGCCTTGATTCATAATATTCTAGTGTCGTTCGGTATGGATTTTGAAGTAGGATGATTTTCATCTCTTACAAAGTTACAAAATAAAAAACAAAGTTTATTTCTTCCGAAAAAATGCTGTGATATTTTTATACCAATAAAATACAACATGTTTTGTATATTGTTGTTAGCAATATGTGGTAAGTAAAAGTAAAATAATTACACAAAAAATTGATACTACATCTGTTATATCAGTAATAAATGAAAAATTTTAATTTTATTTATAATTTATAATTTTTTTAGTAAAATTTAAAAAATGTTTAACTACAACATTTTGTAATGCATAGAATTTAGAAGATATTTTTTTTCTATTGTTGATTATTGTGTTTCAATTGAAAACATTGACCTGTCAAAATATTTCAAATTATAAATCATCTTGAATTTTCTAAAATTTCAACTTTATGCAGTTTTTTTTCTATATCCGTTTATGATATTCTTTTTGATAAAATTTAAAAAATTATAATAAACTAAGCAAGTTCATTTTTTGTAAATTGGTTGAAAAATTCCTTATAGTCGCAACCGGGGATACACTGCGGCTAGCGGCATACATCTCTTCAGGAGGCCTTCATGGGGAAATTCATTTTCTACCGGGAAACGTTGAAAATGTGAAAATTCGTTTTTCTCTTAAAACAACACTTCAATATCCAGATCAGTTGTGGGAATGGTACGTCACTCAATTTCCCGTGGATTATACCAGTAATAATGATCGCTGTGGTGAACAAAATCTAGGAAAAAGGTAAAAAAACGTTTTTATCCTTATTTTTCTTAAAAATTGGTAAATATCGAAATCCATCGATAAAATTTAATTATGATCTGAAATTAATTAGAACTCAATATATCTAATTTCAGTGTGATTGACCTAACTGAAAAGCTAGGCCCATTGCAAATGCCGGGCAATGAAACAGGTTCAATTGAAGTACCTGGACTTAGTTTCACTGGAGAAAACGGACTTTGGGGCAAAGGTTTGATCTTCAAAGATGCCTATAGTTCCCGAATTATATGCGCTTCTATCATGGTAAAATAATTAATATTTCTTAATAATAAGATTCCAATAGGAGAGTTCTCTTTGATTGAAATTTAAACTACACATTTCAATTTTATTAGGAGATAATTTTTTTATTGAATTATATTATAATCGAAAAATTAAATCTGCTAATACAGGTATTGAATAAAAATTCAGAAAGAGTGGCCGAGGCCCGTTTTCATAATTCTGTTGGTGGATCTGTGTGGTTCCGATGGTTGGGTGGTCAGGCTGGCGAAAATATAACTGAAACTGTAATTTATTCAAATTTACATCGTGTAGATCAATTAACTCCCAGTGCAGTCGATTACACAGAGCATAATTGGAAAATTTATGTCACCGACATTTTCGAACCTGGTAGTAAGGGTAAATGTCGAAAACGCTACTTTAATTTTTTTAATTAAATCAATAAAAATAGATGGTGTTTTAAATGTTCTTGTAATATTTGTTAATTATAGATAAAAGCAACTGTAATATTCTTCAAGCAATTTTCGATCCAGACAACGCTGGCGTGAATAAGTCAATTGGCGATATTGATATGCGATTGGGAAAAATTAAAATTTCCGAAAATTTATCTAAACGAAGGAAATATTCTTTCAGAGATCCAAAACTTGACTTACTACCAAATGATTTTATAGGATCTCATCGATTGTTATATTTAGTTATATTTCATCCAACTCACACTGATTCTTTTCTAGCTTGTGCTAAAATTGAATACCGAAAACCCGTTATGGCCAAGTAAGTACAACTATTAAAAAATATCTTATTTTACATAATTAGATATTATAGTTAAATATAGTTAGAATTGAAATATTTAAATATTATTTTCGATATTTTAGGGCAATTATCAATGCACAAGGTGTTAAAGGCGAAGTTTCGTTCAATCAAGAGTCTCCATTCGCCCCAACTTGGCTAAATATTTCTTTGAATCCAATAAATGATTTAGAGACAAGATTAAGATATGAGACGAGAATTGCAGCTTACAAAATTCATGAACTGCCTGAAGAACCTGCAAAATTTGTAGAGCCAGTTGGCGAATCTTGTACGACTACTAAAAAAATGTACAATCCAATAAACATTGATGATAACACTCTACCACCACCTGGTAAAATGATTTTTACAATCTCAGTGATTGTACGCAATAAGATTTCTTTTTAATGACAAATTGTAATGATCGTCAGGTTTTGGAACTCAAGATCAATATGCCATTGGCGACTTGTCGGGAAAACTTCAGAATCGAAAGGAAGGTTCAATGCACTTTGATATTCTTGACGGTAGCTCTAAATTAAGTGGAGTTTACTGGGATACAAATCTTCCTCTTTCCGGATCACACAGTGTTATACACAGATCTCTTGTTCTTCACAAGTATGTCATTTTTAATCATTTTTCTTGTTCTGTGAAAATTTATTTATGGATAGATATGAACATATTGGTTTTTAGAATATACTGCAGGGCTCGAAGCAGTGAAAGTATTTAAAAATAAATATAATACGGACTTTACGGACCAAAAATTAAAAATTACGGACCATTTACGGACCAACTGACAAAAATAGAATCAGGCCGAATCAAATAAGAGAACTACTTAAAACTAGAAATTCAATTTTTCATAGTCCTATAAAACATGAAGAAATCGATAACTCCGAGTCTTCGACTCGAAGTCATCGATTTCTTCATGTTTTATAATAATTAATAATAATTATTAATAAAAATTAATAAAAATAATTTATAATAATTAAAATCATTATCAATTCAATTATTTTTTTTAAGAATTTAAAACTAAAATTCTTCGATTATTATTTTAAATTTTCGAAAAAGTTCTTTGACAATTTTCAAATTCATTTCTTTACAGTACTCAATTTTTTGAAATTTCAATTATTCGTAAATTCTTTAATTATAAATAAATATTAGAAAATAGAAACTGAAAATAATATTAAAAAAAACTCAATTAAACTTTTTCAAAACAAAAAAATTTGAAAATTCCATTATTTCTAAAAATTCCCGCTATATTGCTTTTAATATTCTATTATCTAAAAGTTGAACTGAAATTCATTTTTACGAAATGAAAATCAATTTTTATTAGAAAATTCTACTAGAATTCAATTATTTAAATACAAATTTAAATGTAAAAATGCAAATAAATAAATAATTTATTGAATAATTGAACGTTTCTTAAAACTCAATTCCCATAAAAAATCGTTATCAACAAATTTTCAAATAAAATTGAATTCTATCAACGAATTTGAATAAAATTTTTAAGAATAATTACATTTTTCGAGAAATTCGATTAAAATTTTTTATGAAAATAATTGAATTCTTGCGAAGAATTTTATTAAAATTTTCAAAAATAATTAAATTCTTGTAAAAAATTAACAGGAATTCAATTATTTTTAAAAATTTTAATAAAATTCTTGGCATAAATTAAAAATAACAAAATTCTTAGCAGATCTTGAATTGCTTTCAGAAATTTTAATAAAATTTTTCGCAAAAACTTAAATACTTTCGTAAAATAATAAAAATCTTTGCAAAAATTCAATTACTTTCAAAAGTCTTAATAAAATTCTTCTAGCAAGAATTCAATTATTTTCAAAAATATCAGAATTTTAGCAGAAATACAAACTTTTTAAAAAGTTTTGATAAAAACTTTTTTTTTTTGGTAGAAATTCAATTATTTTTAAGACAATTTTAAAAAAATGTCTCGATAAAATTCAATTATTTTAAAATTTTAATGAAATTCTTCGATATTCAATTATTATAATCTAAGATTTTAACTGAAATCTATTTTTAAATCAATGTTTATGAGAAAATTCTATCAGAATTCAATTATTTAAATACAAAAAAAAAATGCAAATAAATAATTTATTGAATAATTGAATGTTTCTTGGAATTCAATTCCTATTAAAAATCTTATGAACAAAATTTTAAATAATTAAATTCTTTGGATGAATTTTAATAAAATTTTTAAGAATTTTTTCGAGGAATTCGATTAAAATTCTATATTGAAAATAATTGAATTCCTAAAAAGAATTTTATTACTTTTGAAAATAATTGAAATTTTGCAATGGATTTTATTAACATTTTTGAAAATAATTGAATACTTTAAGAAATAATTGAATTCGTGTGATAAATATTGTTAATTATGAAAATAATTGAAATGTTTTAATGAATTTTATTAAAATTTTTGAAAATAATTGAATTTTATTACTTTTGAAAATAATTGAAATTTTGCAATGGATTTTATTGAAATTATTAAACATAATTGAATTTTATTACTTCTGAAAATAATTGAAATTTTGCAATGGATTTTATTGAAATTTTTGAAAATAATTGAATTTTATTACTTTTGAAAATAATTGAAATTTTGCAATGGATTTTATTACTTTATAGAAAATAATTGAATTCGTGTGATAAGTATTGTTAACTATGAAAATAATTGAAATTTGGACAAAAATTTTATTAAAAATTTTGAAAATAATTGAATTTTGTCGAAGAATTTTGCTATTTATTTATAAAGATAATTGAAATGTTGACAATGTTTTTTTTTTTTAGATTTTTTGAAAATAATTGAATTTTGGAGAAGAATTTTAATATTTCTAAAGATAATTGAAGTTTTGATGAGAATTGTTAAAAATTTTTGTACATAATTGAATTTCTGCGAAGAATTTTATTACTTTTGAAAATAATTGAAATTTTAAAATGAATTTTATTGAAATTTTTAAAAATAATTGAATTTTATTACTTTTGAAAATAATTGAAATATTGCAATGGTTTTGATTAAAATTTTTGAAAATAATTGAATTTTATTACTTTTGAAAATAATTGAAATTTTGCAATGGATTTTATTAAAACTTTTGAAAATAATTGAATTTTGTCAAAGAATTTTGCTATTTATTTATAAAGATAATTGATATGTTGACAATGTTTTTTAGATTTTTTTGAAAATAATTGAATTTCAGAGAAGAATTTTAATAAAAATAAGAATTTAAGAATTTTAAGGATAAAGAATTAAGAATTTTAATATTTCTAAAGATAATTGAAATTTTGACGAGAATTTAAAAAAAATTTTTGAACATAATTGAATTTTTGCGAAGAATTTTATTACTTTTAAAAATAATTGAATTTCTGCAATCATTTGTAATTTCTCTAAAATTCTCAAAATTATATCGTACAATTTACGAATTTTTCATCCTTTTTGAATGAAATTACGGACTTTAAGGACTTTTTTTTTTAAAAACGGACTTTTACGGACTTGAAGCGAAGTTACGGACTTTTTCAGGATTTACGGACCTAGTTCGAGCCCTGATACTGTCTAACTTAAAATTAAATACATACCAATTCTTTTGATTCATTTAGATATAATGAAAGCGATAATAAAAGCATCAGTCCTTGGGTCTGTGCCGTTATTCTACATCATTCACCGAAAAATACTGGACCACTCTCATTGACAACAGCACAAGTAATATTTCGATATCCTTTAGTTGGAAGAATTATTTTTCGGCAGCCAACAGATGAACCTGAAATGGACACTACAATTTTGATAGAACATTTGGTCCATGCAGATGGTACTTCATTGAATAATTCTGCTGAGCACAGGTATTTATTAATACGATTCCCTTTTGTTCAATTCTCAGTAAACACTGTCATATATATAAGACGATTGAAAATTTGAGAGTCGTTTAGTAACTGGGTCAAAGATGCCCAAAAGATATTCGAGAAAATGTCCAAGAAACATTAAAAGAATATTTTCAATTAGTGTGCCCACTGGGTTATTTTGAAGCATAGAGAATAATTTATCATTCATTCAGATGGATGATTCATGATTTCCCACCAGGGAAAGATTATTACAACTGGACTGCTAGATGTCTTAGTGCTGGAGCTCCTTTCAATCCTTATAAGGTTGTCATAATTGTATCATTTTATTTTACCACTGAATGAAATATTTATATTTTAATATTTATTTATATTTATATTTATTCATTTGTGCATGTTAATCAATTATTAAAAAAGCGTGGCAAATGAAAATAAATGATTATTAACTTATTGTATTTAATAATTTTAGATAGAGTCAGGTTTGAATCAACCGAGTCAATGCTCCGCGAATGAGATAACCCTTTGTAGACTAGGTGATTTAACGAGGCTTGGAAGCTTGGAAATTGCAGGAAGAAAAAGTGTTGCAACTAAATTAACAAGAAAATTATTTACTGATAGTGCTATTCATTTATCAGGACCAAATAGTATAATAGGAAAGAGTTTAGTTATTTATGATGATCACGGACCAAAAGCAAGAGGAGAAAGACTTGCCTGTTCAATGTATATAAAAAATTATTATATCTACTTTTATTATACAGAAACTTTATTAACTTTAACTTTAACTTCAAAACTACATTATACAAAATTGAAGTCATGGTTTAAAATTAAATTTCTGTTTTCATAGAATTAGTAGAGTGTACCGAAGAAAGGCTGTGGTGAGAAACTGGTTTAGTAGCAGTGAGCCTAAAACTGCAGGAGGAAAAATAGAATTTATTCAACAAACCGAATACGATTTAACTAATGTAGAAGTAAACTTAGAAGGTTTATCTAAATTATCAAGTGGATATCATATTCATATGGTGGGTGGAAAATTTAAAAACTTTTGCTATTTATTGCTTTATAAATTTAAACATACATGTCGATACCTAAGTGTAATACTGTTCTATCTTCACACTCTATAAATCTTTTTAGACGCCTATTGAAATGGATTTAGAATTTCCATGCGAAGAGTCATCCCTTTACGGTCACTGGAATCCCTTAAAAGTTGATCCTAAGAACGTACCTCTTTCGGAAGAAGGCACAACCGATCAGTACGAAATGGGTGATTTAAGTGGAAAATTTGGCACTTTAGATAATAGAAACAGATATTCTGTTACTTACAACGATACAATGTTACCCTTATTTGGTCCAAGAAGTATTTTAGGTAGGAGCGTGGTTATTCACAAGAAGGAGAAAAATATAAGGTAATTATTATTACATAAACATTAAACATGTACGTTAAGTATAAAATACACTACTGTTGGAAATTATCGGTACGGCTCCACGTGCATAGCCCAAAAACATACCAAAAATAAAAAAAATTAAAAAATTAAATCGCGATTTTTCTGTAAAAGCAAATGTAATTTTGTAATATTTTCGTTAAGATGGTCTTGTTCTACAATCGAGAGAGGATACGCTCCTTCCGAAGCAAGAGAATTGAGAGCCATTGCCTCTTTTCATCATCCAGATGGTTACGCCTATGGTTACATAAGACTGGTAAAATCTAAATTTTTATTAAATTAACATAACAAGTTATTTTACTTTCTTTTTTTATTGTTTTTAGACTCAACTTATATACAAAGATAATAGTCAAAGTGAAACGGCAATAGAAGTTAAACTTAGACATCCTGGTGAGAATGATCGAAATATCGTAAGTATGGATTTCTACTGAATAATTTTTTTTCAATAATTAAGAATCAATTTTACCAAATGGTTTAACTATACTAGATTTTTTTATATTTTTAGTAAATTGGTTCTTTTTTGATATTTTCTGAATAATAATTTATTAATTTATCTTTATAGACAAGAAATCATAACTGGGCAATTTATGTAAATCCAGTAGGAGTTGATGCATCCGTAAAAGTAAAAGATACTCGATGTGTTGCAGCTGGTTATATTTGGAATCCTTACTTTACTCAGTTAGCAGATCCAATCAATGTAAGAGTTCATTTTTCCTTACATAAGATAGCATGCAATCTTGCCATTAAACTTTCACAAGTTAGCAGTGCAACTTTTAGGTAAAAATATAAAGGAAATATGTAATTGACACTGTACTTAATCTGTAAGTTAGCAGCAAAGTTGCAATTGAAGCTTTATTCAAATAAACAAATGTTCCCATAGATAACACGTAACCGTGCACTGAAATTTTGTAAACCAGACACAAGTTTAATAGAAATCTGAAAGTTAATTAAGACAGTTGTTGCGAAAATTCAGATGTTGTAAGGGTTTTTAAACTACATGCGTTACAATAAATATTTATGCGCAGGAAGATTTATACAAACAAGAGTGTGGTGCTGACTTACCATTGAGATGTTATGTGGGAGATATATCTGCTCGTTTGGGACCAATTGATATTGGACTTGAAAGGCGTGTTTTCAGTGATTCAAACTTTCCTTTAGAAGGTCCTGTTTCGGCTATGGGAAAGTCAATCGTTATTATGGAAAAGGATTTTGGAAATACTCGTTTTGCTTGCGCGAATATTGAACCAGATCACGATATTGTCAAATATATTAATATAAAGAGAACACCGCGCTTTGTAGTGTGAGTTACAGAATTAGTATGACCTTCTTCTTCTTCTTCTTCTTCTAAATATACACACAATTCTTTACAATTTGTAAGTTTTTCATGTTATCAAAATAATGCGAATGCTTTCTTAGAGCCCAATTCTTGGAAACTGTGAGAGAAGTGATGGGAGTTCCTGACTGGATGATTTCCGTTGACAGCAGAAAAACTAAAATACTTCACAGTGGTGGATGTATACAATTTTTATTACATTTCAGAGGTGATCATTTATAATGTTCTACCCTACCTTATTTTTACAATATTTTTCTTATCCTACATGTTATTAATTTAACTTATTAACTTAATCCACAGGCCCTATTGCAAATAAATTAGATCAAGACTTTGGTAAATTAATATCAACTGGAAAATTGGAAACTACTAGTTTGTATATTCCAGGATATGTGCCAAAGAGGAGAAAAGGTTCCTTTGGTTATCAACAGTGTGGATTCCGTGATCCTAATGAGAAAAAAAGTATTATACATCAAAGTTTTGCATTATTACGAAACAAATTACTCTATTAAAACATCTTTTAACGTTTATTTTATTTTTCAGAAAAGAATTTCTTTTTTCAAAGTAATTCTTCAACGCTACATCCACATATGTTTGTGATACTTTTAATTGGTTTGTTATCGACTTTCTCGTTTTAAACTTATTATTTTGTAACAACTTATTTATATAAATAAACTTTTTTTAATTTACCAAATATACTTTATTATTTAAACCTTTCATTAAAAAGTCGAAATCCTCTCATGAACTTTGCTTAAAAAGCAAATTCTCTTTTACCGGACTCAAACATGAGGATGAAAGGTCGGTATTCATAGTCGATACTTATTTCTTAAGCAGCGACTTAAGCTGCCACCTAGATTCATAGTCGTGCAATAAGCATTGCCTTAAGCCGCAACTTAAGCATATGCTTGACAAAGTAAATGCTTCGATTTTGAGATGCATAGTCCCATCTTAAGAATGACAAGTATTCATAGTCAAATAAGATGATCTTATTTGACATTGCCGGTGAACTTATTTGAACGAATTGAGGTTATGATTTTAAGTCAACGTTTTACATGACTTAAGCAATTACTTATTGTCTTTTTATAAATATTTATAATAAAAATGAAAAGATTTTTTGTTAAAAACAATTTAATAATAATTAAAATTTAATAATTTAGAAAAAAGGTTCAAAATTTATAAAATTTTCACGAGAAATAAAAAGTATTTTTTTTTCATCGAAATGTTGAAAAAACATTTCGATATGCATCCACACACATACATCCGGAGAATTTGTTCCCCATGTTGAAATATTTATATACGCTATACTTGAAAATTTGTAAAAATAATTGATTCTAAGAAAATCGACACCCTATGAGGAAATAAAACTGTTAATATTAAATAATTATTAAAAAATACTATTTTTAAAAATTTTGTAGTTCCAAATGAAAGTTAATTGTTTTACCCCTTTTATATGCACTCTTGGTTCATTGTTTTAGGAAAAATAAGATTTTTTTATAAAAAGTTGCAAAAAAATTCATTTTACAATAACTTTTTTTAAACAAAATTTTTTCTGTCGTTTGTTTGTTAGAGACAATGGCCAAATAAAAATGCTTTTTTTCATTTCGATTATAAAAATACTCCTTATTTTTTGTAAAATTTCACTGATTCTGACTCAATAATTTTTTTTAGAAACAATATAATAATAGTTAAAATAATTTTTTCTATTTTTTAATACAGAAAAATTTAGAATCTAAATATAATATTTCGTGAGGAATAAGAATATTTCAATTTTCATCATTCTGGTAGTCATTTCTTGTATCCTTTTACTTTATAACTTTTATCCTAAAAATATTAAAATATGCATATTTTTCAGTTTTTTTGACCCCCCCTCCTCTCCCTTATCAGATATTTTATGTGCATTAGCGTCATTTTTTCTAATGAATATAAGCTATCTACTATCGCTTATTGGTAGATACAAGAGAATATTGACGGAAAAAGCCGAACGCTCAATAAGATCATCTTAAGCATTTACTTGGTCAAGAAGTTCTTAAGCTGCATTTCCTTTACCAAGCAATTGCTTATTTTTGACTATGAATACATACGGTCTTAAGCTCGACTCATTCGAATAAGACCGACTTGATCAAGCAAAGCTTAAGTCCTTGCTTAAGTCGGGACTATGAATACCGCCCAAAGTATTTTTTATGTCCTTGTATAAAGTACTTACGTAACACAAATGAAAAAAACAGCCAATAGACTTCTCTATTTCGGTGAAATGATTCATGAAGGATCTCTAACCGTAATGTTGACAGCATTTCTCTTAAAGTTTTTGCGACACAAACCGCCATGGTACGGTTTTGAAGGACAAAAATAATTATCATCGACAATGCTTTTTGTCAACATTTCCTAGGCTTTCGAGTTAAAAATTGTGTAAGTATTAATATACAATTTCAAGTAATAACATATCAATTTTAGAATAATGTTTATTGCTAATAACTATCAATTGACACTATTTAGTTAACATATAAATATGTATACATAGATTAACCGCCTGTTTACAGAACAAATGTGGACAGAGTGCTATATGTATCCTTTGTTTACGTACATAGTAAGAATCGCTATTAAATGTTTATGAATTCAGTCTTATGAGAAACTATTAAAGTCTACCGAGCACCACATTTTTCAGGAACTTTGTTGAAAATTTTTCTGCAAAGTCTTTAAAAACTTTGGTTTGTATAAGAAAGCTAAGGAATAATGTAATAATCTACAATGTAGACTTTAAATCAACAGATTTCTCATTCACATTAACTAACATTCTGACAGCAGTAAGGTAAGTTGCTACGTTGGAAAGATACTGAAATAATAAATAGTAACTTATTAATTTTTAAATTTTGTTATGAATATTTGCCAACTTATTATATTAGATCAGGTGATTTCAAACAATTATCAATGGTACAAAAATGTATTTGCACTTTAATTGTGCATAAGACACTTAAAGGTGTACGTTTGCTGTCCTAATGCAGAAAATCGGTAAAAACTGTAATTTAGAATAGAATGGTTTACATAAATAATAGGTGGTATTAATAAAAATATTTAAAACACTTACGTGAGCATAATATGACAGAGATAATCTTGGCATAATACCTCCTATTCTCATTGTTATCGGCTTCTGTGATCTTCTAATCACAACTATCATTGACTTGATCAATTTTGGAGAAAGTCCTATCCATGAGGAATTATAAATCTCCATGCCAATGTTACTGGACTAATCCGATAACATTTTTTTTTTAAATTTTTAAGAATTTGTAAAAATGTTATAAAATATTAGTATATTAAGGGAAATCCCTGACAAATGTATAAAATCAGTTTTCAAGCAAAGCTCAATAATTGCTTAGAACTGCTTAGAAGATGATTTTTGGTGCAAATCAATGAAATATAATGAAATAAACTATTGCTAATAAAAGTAAATCGGTTTTTCAATTGATTTGAGCAAGAGTGAAGTTAAATAATGGTTTAATTTTAATAGTAAATAATGTGTAAAGTGAACTGCTAACCTGACAGTTTAAGTGCGTGTTAAATAAAAATGTACGAATTAAAGAAAAATTTATTTATTTTGATTTAATTATTAACTATAAAGTAAATAATTCTAATAATTGTGAACGTAATTAGTGTCTATAATATATTTTACCGTAAGGATTACATATTCAGCTGACCAGGATGAAACGAATAATAATCCACATCCAGCACAAACAATCACTGCCGATTGTAATTTTATGATTAATGTTTCTGGCTATTTGAAAAGTATATATTATTAAAGATAACTTTTTATTCGTTGAAATTAAAAACACTACTCTTCCTTGCAGTTAAAAGTTGTTTTACTCACTGTAAAAATATGTATACTACAAAAAACCATTCCAGACGTTGCAACCGATATGGTTGTAAAAATGAGAAAACAAACAGTCTTCATTATTTCATCTGCATATCTAAGTAAATTTTGATGGTTTTGAACGCATAAGTAAAATTCCTTTTCAGTTTTAGCAGATCGAAAATCGCGAGACAATAAATCGAACCTTGCGGCAACAAACCATAAGAGGTACCCTACTAAACAATCAACGCTCATAGCAGCTGAAACTTGAAAGCCACACAATGTTTGATGAGCATATATGAGATATTTAATTGGTTCAGAATCTACTGAAAATGGATATTTCGCATCGGTTGGAAAGCGTGATGACATAAATAAGGGACCCAGTATAACTACCAAAGATCCCATGTAATTGGAAATTATGAAAAATGTATGCAACATTCCATACTTATTTGCATAATTTTGCATGGTTTCTCTTTCATTTTTATTTGCTTGACTTAAAAACCGTGACGTCTCTTCTAAAATACACTAGAAAAATAGAAATTAGCTTACACTTCACTATTTAATTTGTAAATGACAAATAGATTAAAATGGGTAATATAAAATATTATTTTAATTTAACCTTAAATTTATTTGCTAACCTGCAAGTTATAGCGATGAATCCTGCAAATAACGATTTTACTCGCGAGGAGAGAAACACCACACGAGACAAACATGGATTGTAACATTATAAGTGAATCTCCACGATCTTGATAAACTGAACATAAAAGTGGAATTAACAAACAAAATGCAGAAATAAATGCCAAAAATGAAAAAACATCACGTATCAAAATTTCCAATTTGCTTGCATTAAGTGATGGAGGCCAACAACTAGTTAAAATGATACTAAATTTTGAGAGTGTTAAAGATGCTTCGGGAGTTATTTGAAATAACATTTTTTTATACGTTTTGACTTGAAACTTTTTTATATTATTTAATTAAAAAGTTAATTTTTTTGAATTCTTATGTATTTATAAAGACTAGCATTATATTCAAAATTTTCATAATCATAATTGCAAATATTTTCCCTTCCTTTTTATTAAAGATTTGAAAAATAATACGTTCACTTTATTAAACAATTCTAAAATGATTCCTGATTAAAAAATATTATATATGAGAAATTATGAGTTGAAAAGATGAAACAAAACTGAATGGCAAGATCAATAAGAAAGGGGAAATGTTCTTATATTATTATGCAACAATTTAACGCAGAATATCGTGAAATGAAATTTCTAGAATATTGTGAATATAAAATCACTTACTTAATATAAAACATATCCGTTTCCTCTTTCTATGGAGATAATTATACCTTATATTAAACGTTCACTCTACCCCTTGTAATTGTTGGTTGATAAATAATAAATAATGAAAGCTAGTTATGCCTTCTAAAGATATTTTTACACAACTTTTATTATAATATAATTTCTAAAATTTTACTTAAGAATAAAAGCAATAAATATTATCATTTACTTTGTATTTTCAATAATCTTATAAATTTAGTTTGAGAAATCAAAGAAGATTTTTACAGGACTTCATTGTTATTAAATAAGAATTAGAAAGACAAGAAAACATTACAAATTATTAGTGATCCATTCATGGTAAAGTTAAACACTTCAAAATTAAATATAAACACAGTTCTTTTTTACATAGGTATAAATTGTATTAATTTATTTTAAATTACAATTATACTTTAATAAGTTTTAAATCTCTTAATATACATCGCATGCTAATTATTTCATTATTACAATTCTTAATGTTGCGAGATATGAAAAAACTTTGGAAACAAACTGAAAAAAATAAAATCAAAAAGATGTTTGAATATACTTAAAAAGTAATTGAGTTTTACATACAAATGATTTCAGTTAATCATATTTATGTGAATAAAGTGATGATGAATTGTAAAAATAATCCCTTAGTCCTTTTTAAGAACCCAGTAATGATAAGAATACGCAGAAATGGTACTAATAATATCTGAATGACAGTAAAAATTAAAATTGAAGTAAACATTTCTTTTCTCTAATAGATTTTGACAGTGCTAAGGTAGTTCAATCGTTTTTATAACAAAAAACAAATAATATAAATGATATCTTCACTTTTCAGTACAGTCATATATAATAAAAATGTTTGCAAAAGAAAGAAGCACGAAGCAGAAGAAAAAATTTGTGTATTTCATTTTGTTAATTTTTTGTATTAAGAAAATTGTATATTTGTCAATATTTTTTATAGGATGTGTCATTGAAACGATAGAACAGAAAAAGATATTAATAAAAAAAACTCAACTTTTTCTAATGTTATAAAAAATGACGCACAGAATCATGTACACTACAGTGAATTTTAATCGCCGATCGCTTTTAAAGTGTTATTTAAAAATAATATACTTACTTGAAAAAAATAAGCCAGAGATAAAGTTGGAAGTATACCTGCAATATTTATTGTAACACTTTTTTGTGACATTTTAAGAATGAGAATCCAACATTTTAACAGTTTTGGTGGAAAACCAATCCAAGAAGAATGAAAAGCAGCTGTTCCCACTTTGGTAGTCTAAAAATATTATATGGTACTTTTTATTGCAACATTTTTGTAAGTTTGATATTCTGTATTATTAGTAATGAATTAAATAAAATTATTTAATTTTTTACTAACAGCACTTTTAGTACCATCTTTATTAATATTTAATTCTTAAGTCGGATATCTTAAGCATTTTCTTAAAATAGTTTATTAAAACCACATTCACTTTTAATTATAACTTTTTTACAGTTTGTGACTATGAATATTGGATTATTTTAACTTGAGTTAGATAGCTTTACAGACTTGATACTATAACAGAAAAACATATTTCTTTAATGTTCTTGAGATGAATGGAAAGCTGATAGACGGAGAGGATCATTCTTCACTCAATTTTTCCAAAATCTAATTCTGTCAGCGGGCACACTATAGTAGTCAAGGTAAGAAATTTAAAAAAAACTAGAATTATTCTTACAACTATATGTTACATAAAATTTTCTACTTATCAACTATTTGGAGGTTCTAATGAAGTGCTGCTAGATAGTTTTATCAAAACTGTTAAAATTATGTAAATAATATTATACAATACTGCTATTATGAGGTGTTCAGCAGGCCAGGCTGTTAAAAAGACCAGTACTGTGGCAGAACATACGAGAAATGCGAATTGAGCTTTAATCATTAATGGCTCCGGCTGAAATGATGTAAATTGATCAATTGACATTTATTTTAATTTTATTGTTTACACTTCTTATTAAAATATAGCAAAACTTACAGTAAAAAATAGAACGCTAGCGAAAACAATACCAATTGTTCCTGTAAATATTGTTGAAAATACTACTCCACGTATTGCCATCTTTAAAGTTTTTGCATAGCTATATACAAAATTTATAATACAGTTCAAAAGTAATCAAATTAAATGTAATATATAATTTATTTATCTTCAATAGTTCTATAATTATCAACTTTTAGCTGAATTAAGTTTTCACATTTTTTTTTTTTTTGCTAAATCAACAAAAAAAAATGTAAAAACTTAATTTTTACATGAGTAGATGCTGATGTTGACGTATCCGCAGAAAGACATCACTCTTATTTTGTACACGTTGAAAATCATCTGCTAACATTTTAAACCTTGCTGCAGTAAACCAAAGCAGAGAAGCGCACAAACAATCAATGGACATTCCTGATGCAACTTGTAGAGCAACAGAACTTTGATGCAAATATACAATAAACATTATGAAACTTGAATTTATTGAAAAGGGATATTTGGCATCAGTTGGTAATGGTGTCGATAAAAGTAAAGGTCCAAAAGCAAAAAAGGACGCCGTTAAGAATCCCGAAACGGTTAATGACAAATGTAACGCTACATGCTTCTTTACATAGTAATCAATAACGTTTCTTTCAGTTTTGTTATATTCTTTTAAAACTTCTACCATTTCTTGAAGTAAAATCTGAAAAGTGTTCCAATTTACCAAAATAAATTTTAATATACTTTTTCATTTTCTGTAGTATGAAAAAGAAGATTTGTTTATAAGGGATTATTAATCTAATATTATAGCTGTTTCGATTGTTACGATTATCATTAACAAATGAAAATATTTATTTATTTATAGAATTTTGCAAACATTATTTTGACTTTATGAAGACTTTCGACTGGTATAAAGAAAACCAAAGATTAATTAATAGATTATAAAATATAAGTTAATATATTCCGATGAAATGGAGAAGATGGTAGAATAAGCGTTTTTATGCTAAGGATACTCTTATCTTAAAATTTTGCAAAAAAAATTTAAATAGATTATTTTTCAGGACAGTTTAATAAGAATATCTTAATTTGAAAGAAATAGATTGAAAAAAAGACGAATTAGACCAAAAGAAATAAACCTTAAAACGATGGCGTTGAATTCTGCAAACGAGAATCTTCATGGAAACTTGTGCTGTAGCGCAGGCAAGACAAATAGATTTTGTCATAATTAATCGATCAGTCCAATCTTCGTAAACAGAGATACATAAAGGAATAAATAAAAAAAGTGTTGAAAAAAACGAAAGAAAACATAATATGTCCTTTAGTAAAAGTTTGAATTTTGAAACTTGATTCAAACATGGCCAAGCTAATGTAAGACATGATCCAAATTTTGTAAATTGTAAAAGAAATTCAGGCGTAATCTTCATTTCGAAAATATTTCTTTTACAAACCTAATTGAAAAAATAAGAATCTGAATAATAATCTTTTCGTTGTAAAGAAAAATTTCTTTATTATATTTTACACAATCAACTAATTTTAATTCTACAGAAATTGAATATTTCCAACCCCATCGTTATTATAAAAATGAATATCACTTTTAAATGTTAGTTAATAAATTATTATCATTGAATCTAAATGAGGAAACATATAGACTGTTCAACTTTTTAAAAATTTATAGAAAATTGAGAATTTTAGAGAGTGGAAAATAATTTTTAAAGTGGTATTAAGAACAAAACGAGGAAATGAAGATTCTAGTTAGTAATAAATTTATAATAAAATGTTACGTTCTACGGTTTATAAAGATAATTATACACTAGGTAATAGAAAATTTCACCCTTGCAGTATATGCTCCTGAATAAATTAGAAAACACTTTACATACTTCTCTCTGAAATTCGTTTAATTTCACTTAGATATAGTTAAGAATAATTTTAGAGTTATGTAATAAAAGAGATAAAAATCTAGTTATTAATTTAGTAAAGGTATGTTCGATGGTCTCTTAAATTTCTCGATAATGTGCGACTAACAATTTAATTGACTTGATTTTTCTTGGTTGGCCGAACTCTGAGCCACGGTTGACCCGACGGTTGGCAAAACTTTGTGAAACGCAGTTTAATTGACTTACATTATTTTGGTCGGCCGAACTCTGGGCCACGGTTGGCCCAACGGTTGGCAAAGCTTTGTCAAACGCAATTTAAATGACTTAAACTTTCTTGGTCGGCCGAACTCTGGGCCATGGTTGGCCCGACTGTTGCAGTTTTAATATACATTTTGCGTTATGCACTCCCATGTGAGCGTAGCGTAGTGGTCAGTGTATAAGTCTTCGGTGCGTTAGGTTAGGGGTTCGATCCCAGCGAGCGTTAGATATTTTCGAAAATGTATGTATGAGATTGTGTTTAATAATAATAGGTGAAGGTTATATCTGATGTTCCCGCTACTAATAACGTGTTAATTGTTTAAATAATTTAGTTTTTTAATAATTTTTTAGCTCTGGCTGTTGAAGTTGGCCAAACTTTGAAAATTGTGGTTGGCCCAACTTACGCATCTAAAGTTGTGCCATCTTTGGCGTCAGTCTTTGGACCAACCATTGAAATGTATAGTTGGCACAACATATGCATTGTAAGTTGGGCCAACTTCCTTATAAGTTGTCGGGCCAACCATCGTCGCCATTAGACGGCGAACCGTTATCATCTGTATGGTTGGCCCAACTAAACCTCTGGCACGAGAAGTTGGACCGAATTTGTAAAAGTTGGCCCAACTATGGGCCGACCAAAAAATCGCACCTGGGGAAGTTTAAATTTTGAAATTTGATTCGGTGGCCAGGGAAATGTTAAGCATGTTCCAATTTTTGTGAAATGTAAAAGAGATTCAAATGAAATTTTCATTTTAAATAATTCTATTTTCTTATAGTAAAAAACCAAATAAATAGTACTGTAACATTTCAAAAATACTTTTTTGTTATTGAGAAAAATATCATTTTATAAAAATTAAACACAATAAACTGTATAATAAATGGGTTAGATTTTCTCAAGTGGACCGTAAATTTTCAAAAGTTGAAGTTTATCAGTGCGCAAATGTGCAAAAAGATAGTTCTATTAGAGTTACGAACAACCTGTAAATTTCATTAAAAAGTATTTAGTTGTTTATTTTTTATAAACAATTGAAATTTTATGCATAACATTTTTAAAAAATGCATAACTTTGAAAAAATTGATGAAACTTGATGATTCTTTTTGCAAATTAACTATGAAATTCCAAACTTTATAAAAATAATTTTTACTTCATTGAAACTCTTAATTTGTTATAAAAAAATTCATAATTAATAAAATATTTGCTTGAAACAATCTTTTCTTTTTGATATGCAATCTTTAATAAATTCTCTTCAAGTTCTTATTTATAAAATTGAATATGGTTATCCAGAACACGTTATTTATTTTTCATATCAACACTATTAGTTATAATTTTAATTATCATTTAACGTATTAAGATGAGTAAAAATTCCTGAAGTGCCACCCCTATTTTTACAAAGTTGCAAAATTTGAAATAAGTTTTTGTATTTTTAAGTATTTGCATCTGGTATTATTTTCACTGAGTATTTTAAAAATATTGAAATTATTTATTATATATATATATATATATATATATATATATATTATTGTTACTTAAAGATTTTTGAACCCTTTTATTAAAATAATTTTAACTAATTGATATTGATACTGAATTGATATTTAGCGAAAAATGATTTGTACGCAGTACAATGCAATGGAAACACAAAACATAAACAGATATTTAAAAACAAAGCAACATCCCCTTCTAGAGGATATTATATTTAAAACTGTAGCGACTTCTGAGAAAGCGGATTTGGATAGATTTTGATAATCTTTATAAAAGTCGTTTCTAGTTAAAGCTGTAAGAAAATTTGGGTTATATCGAAATGTTTTTCATTAAATTCCTTGTTATTATTTTCAAATTTTTTTACATTATTATCTAAAACAGGCAATGCTTTAGGGAGCTTTCTTTTTCAACGATTTCGAATATTTTCAAATATTTTAAGGATCCCATTACCCACACGGAATTTATAATAGAATATCGTGAAATAAAATTTCTAGAATACACTTACAGTAAATATAAAATCACTTACTTAATATAGAATCTTAAATTTAGTTTGAGAAATCAAATAAGATTTTTACAGGACTTCATTGTTATTAAATAAAAATTAGAAAGACAAGAAAACATTACAAATTAGTAATTTATTAATGGTAACATTGAAACAAAGTTAAACACTTTAAAATTAAATTTGAACAACAATAATTCTATTTTACATAAATGAAATTAATTATGTATACAGTTTATATTGTATTATTTCATTCTAAATAACATTAATACTGTGATAACAATTTTAATCTTTTAATATACATCACATTAAATCCTTCGTTATAACAATTCTTAATGTTGCGAGATATGAAAATACTTTGGAGACCAACTAAAACAGATAAAATCAAGAAGATATTGTAATACTTAAAAAATTCGCAAATATTGTATTAAAGTAACATTTTTTCGACAGGGGTATTGCTCATTCGAGAAACTCATAGAAAACTACTGCGCAGGATGTTAAAAAAGTAAATAAATTTATTTAGGAAAGCATGTATGATCCTTTACGGGTTCCTTACATGATCCTTTACAATTAAGTATATACTTACAATTTACAATAGAGTAAAGGTTCTTGTACAGGAACCTTTACATGAAACATTGATTTTATTTTGATTTTATTGCTGTGCATATTGGTAATTAATAAATAATAATTAATCAAAAAAATTGTGCATATTTCTCTTAGATAAAGCTTTAAAGTATTTTTAAAATTTTTAAAAAAATTTTAGAAGTGTTGTATATCTAACAATTTTGAAACTTTAGAAGATCTTTTTTTATGATTTTTTGTTCCTGTTTAAAACTCGCACTACGATGAGAATCTAACCTTTTATTAAACAAAATAAATTAAAACACTACATTCAATTATTTTTAATGATCTTTTCAATCTTCATTACTTCAATAAATTAGGACTAGTTTTAATATTTAAAATGAAGTAAAAATTATTTAAGATTTTAGTAATTTTTAATCCTTGTTAAAGTGTCATTTGAACATAATATACTTACTTGAAAAAAATAAGCCAGAGATAAAGTTGGAAGTAAGCCTGCAATATTTATTGTAACACTTTGTTGTGACATTTTAAGAATGAGAATCCAACATTTTAAAAGTTTTGGTGGAAAACCAATACAAGAAGAATGAAAAGCAGCCGTTCCTACTTTGTTAGACTACAAATATTATAAGGTACTTTTTATAGTTTAAAATTTTTTTTGTATGTTTGATGTTCTATATTATTAAAAAGAAAATAATTAAATTTTTTATTAAAAAAATTCTACTATCTTTATTAATATTTTAATCTTGAATTGGATAGAGTAGAACGGCGTGAGGCAACCAATTGAATTTAATTAATGTTATTGTTATAATATTATTCAAATGTAAATTTTTGAAGTTTACTAACAAAATAAAAGTAAATTAAGAACAACTGCCTTGTTATGTTCCACTAATTTTAACTTTAAGTTATGTTTTTTAACTATTAAAACAGTTGCGGCCGTCTCACCCAACGTTTTTACAAATATGCCAAAAACGTGGTCCTTTGGGAATACGGTTGTAGAAATTTTTTAGTGCAAACCTACGTCAAAATGCTCTATGGCGATTTTTTTAGACAAAAAAAAACAAGCTTTCTAACGCGATATTAAAATTGAAAAAACCTATTCAAATAACTGCCTCGCAAATCAAAATGTGTCGTCTTGGCTGCCACGCCCCGTTCTACTCTATATTGGATTATTCTAATAACAGCAAAACATATTTTTCTATTATATCATGATAGACGAGCAATTCATCTTTTACCTTCAATTTTTTTCGACAAAAAATTAAAAAACGTCAATTTTTAGGAAAAACAATCAAAGGAGAAAGACGATTACGATTAACATTTGGAGGTTCTAATGAAATGCTGCTAGATAGTTTTATCAAAACTGTTAAAATTATGTAAATAATATTATACAATACTGCTATTATGAGGTATTCGGCAGGCCAGGCATTTAAAAAGACTATTAATGTAGCAGAACAAACGAAAAGAACGAATTGAGCTTTAATCATTATTGGCTCCGGCTGAAATGATGCGAAATATTTAATTGACATAGTACCTACTTTGAATTCATTATTTACATTTTTAATTATAATATAACAATACTTACAGTAAAAAAGAGAACACTGGCGAAAACAATACCAGTTGCTCCTGTAAACAATGTAGAAACTACTACGCCACGTATTGCCATTTTTAAATTTTTTGCATAGCTATATTTAATATTTATAAGAAAGAAAATATATTAGCATGAGATAAAATTCTCTTAAACTACACTTAAATCTAAATCGGAAAGACATTGCTTACTTAATAAAGTAGAGATAGTGAATGAAAAGAAATAATACGTATAGTAAAATTCCACTTTCTTTATAATTTTATCAATTTGTAACTAAATATCTATTAAGAACAGTCCCAAATAGTCCTCCGTTTCAGATTGAAGGGTATCCTTTTAAAACTACTTAACAAAAGGGATCTGAAATAATGACGTCACTAACAAACATGGCGGTCGACAACGGGGTCAAATTTTAACAAACACACATGTTTCAGACTTCTTTTTAATTATTTTTTATATAAAAAGTTGAATAAAGTTAATTGGGGGGCTAAAAATTGTTTCAGTTTGTTTATACGCAAGTTTTAAAAAATTATAAAATGCAATTCGCTCCAAATATTTAATATATTCAGTAAAATAAATCACATAAGTAAATGCAACTGTCAATAAAAGAATTGTTTTCATATCGAAAAACGCTATTCACTTCAATAAAATGTTAAAAAATATCTACTCTAAATATTTAATTAAAATTTAAAGTGGAAATACAGTTTCCTTTTAAAGAAAAGTTAGGAGTTAATCAAGTTAAAAAATAGTTCGAATAGTTTTAAGGTTATGTTTTAGGTTATGTTGTGTTTCTTGTTTACCAATCTGAAAATGTTAAATAAATATGTTGTAGGAGACACACTGCAACGAAAAAATAATATTTATAAACTACTTTTAATTTCAAATCTTGATTAACTGAAAATACAATTAATTAAACATATTTTAATTAAATATTTAGTGTGACAAAATAGAGTTAGATTATTGCTTTCACACTTTGCTTTTGAATATTTCATAATATTAATCAATATTATTTATTGTACCGAATGTGACTGGTTTGTAGTATTTTCTTTTTTACAAATTAATTTAATTATTAATTATCAAGCTTTTAGGATTTTTAATTATAAAACTTGCGAGTTTAGAAATTATTCCATGTAAAATGTCAAAATCGACCCCGTTGTATTAGTTAAATTTTCTGACACCAGAATGCGTATCGCAGTATTTCAGATCCCTATGGGTACTACGATAGAATGTTTAAATAAAATGAAAGGTCCACTGAGCCGAGACATTATCCGACTGAGCTAAACCGTCGGTTCTACAACTAATAACTTTTAGATGCCAATAGTGTTTTGTGAAAAATTAATTTTTACATGAGTAGATGTTGATGTTGACGTATCCGCAGAAAGACATCACTTTTATTTTGTACACGTTGAAAATCATCTGCTAAAATATTAAATCTTGCTGCAGTAAACCAAAGCAGAGAAGCACACAAACAATCGATTGACATTCCTGATGCAACTTGGAAAGCAGTATAACTTTGATGCAAATGTATAATAACCATTAAAAAACTTGAATTTATTGAAAAGGGATATTTGGCGTCAGTTGGTAATGGTGTCGATAATAATAAAGGCCCAAAGGCAAAAAATAACGCTGTTGAGAATCCCGACAAGGATAATGACAAATTCAACACAAAATGCTTCTTTACATAATAATCAATAACTTTCCTTTCAGTTTTATTCGATTCTTTTAAAACTTTTATCATCTCTTGAAGTAAGATCTGAAAAATGTTCCAATTAACAAAAAATTTTAGATTATGAAAAATTAAACGAAATAGACCAAAAGAAATAAACCTTAAAACGATGACGTTGAATTCTACAAACAAGAATCTTCATGGCAACTTGTGCTGCAGCGCAGGCAAGACAAATAGATTTTGTCATAATTACTCGATCAGCCCAATCTTCGTAAACAGACATACATAAGGGAATAAATAAAAAAATTGATGAAATAAATGAAAGACAACATAATATGTCGTTTAGTAAAAGTTTGAATTTTGAAACTTGATTCAAATATGGCCAAGCTAATGTAAGAGTTGATCCAAATTTTGTGAATTGTAAAAGAAATTCAACCGTATACTCCATTTCGAAAATATTTCTTTGATAGTACAATCCTAATTAAGGAAATAAAAGAATTTGAATAACAATGTTTTTGTTGTAAAGAAAATTTTCTTCTTTATTATATTTTACACAATAATCTGAATTTTATTCCAGAGAAATTGAATATTTCCAACCCTATCGTAATTATAAAAATGAATACCACTTTTAAATGTTTGTAAATAAATTATTATCCTGGAAGCCAAACGAGGAAACATACAGCCTGTTCAACTGTTTAAAAATTTATAGAAAATTGAGAATTTTAGAGAGTGAAAAAATAAGTTTTAAAGTAGTATTGAGAAAGAAATGAGGAAAAAAAGATTGTAGTTAGTAATAAATTCATAAAAAAAATGTTACAATGTACGGTATAGAAAGATAATTATACTCTAGGTAATAGAAAATTTCACCCTTGCAGTATAAGCTCCTGAATAAATCAGAAAACCCGTTACATTGTTCTCTCAGAAATTCTCTAGAGTTATGTAATAAAAGAGATAAAAATCGAGTTATTAATCTAGTAAGGCATAATGTTGCTGTTAGGAATATAAATAATAATAAAAATTATTTAAAAATAAGTAAAACGAAAATATTTGAATAAACAAAAAGTAGACTAAACTTTTTTTTGCTTTCTTATATTAACTATTTTATTTTCTAAACATTAAAAATGTCTAAAACTCATTTAGTTACAATGCTGATTATAGCTTTAAAGCGAGGACGGAATAAAGAAAATGATAATATATACTAAAAACATATTTATTTTTTACTTGTATGATAATCCTTTTAAGGAAAATTTCTTGTTCAATTGAATATACATTACATAATATTTATACACTTAAAATAATATTTCTGAACAATACTTAACAATTTTAATTTACTTCAATTAATTTCCTTTACTATAACAATTCTTAGCGTGGCGAGATAGGAAAATACTTTGGAAATGAACTGAAAGAAAAAAATTTATATGTCATCAATAGTTTAAAAAAAAGATAATAATTATATAACATTTATTTAATTTCAAAGTTAATATTTTAAAGAATCGATTAAAATTAATTTTAATAGTTTTCAGCCCAAACGAAAAAAATTCGGTTAGTTACAAAAACATGGATTTTTTTATTTTCAAATATTTTTTAAATCAAAATGTATTTCAATATTTAATACCCGAAGGGGGTTTACATTTATTTTGCAATAGAACGAAAATGTGGCGCCAAATGTTGAAAATATAAAATTTAAGCATAATATTATACTTACTTGAAAAAAATAAGCCAAAGACAACGTTGGAAGAATACCAGCAATATTTATTGTAACACCTTTCTGTGACATTTTAAGAATAAGAATCCAACATTTCAATAGATCTGGTGGCAAACCAATCCAAGAAGAATGGAAAGCAGCTGTTCCTACTTTAGTTGTCTAAAAATAATTTAACTTAATATATCTTATAATATACAACTTTTCTGTGAACATGCATCATATTCATTTTGTTTAAATAAAATGATACCAAACCACCTATTCCCCTAATAATTTTAATTATTCAAAAGTTGATTAAATTTTAGCTTAAAGTTAATTGTATAAGAATTCAAACCCATTATTAAATATTCAAATATTACTGTAAAAGAGAGAGGAAATAAATTTGGAGGATGTTAAAAAAGGTCAAATTTTTTAATACCCCAGTGGACAAAAAATACATTGACGTTCGAGGAACGTTCTTAATAGACGTATTCATGCCTGAAAAATTTAACATTTTTAACCCTATTAGAATGCTTATCTCTTAAAAAACTAAATAACATTAAAACATTTTAATGCTGTTCTTCTTGAGGAGATTTGAATTAATGCTATTTAATGTCACATCTAAGGGTTGTCATTTTAATTAGTTTACAAAAAATTGAAGGGCTGGATGCTATAAGGTGTTATGAGCCATGTTAAGTAATTGGCGCGTAACACTTTATAGAATCCAGGCCCTCAATTGTTTTTTTAAAATAAAAATTGAAAAAAATAATTTTTGTTAACATTATTCATAAGTACAGAGAAAACATAACTATTTTTCTCTTATCAAAAATTAGAAAAGAAAAAACATTTTTCGAGTTATCGGACATTTAAAATAAATGTACATTCAAAAAAACAAAAATTTTAAAAATTCATGACTCAAAAATTTGGCCCCCCTAAAAAAACAAAAAAATACGTATCTCCTTTTTTTAATATAGAAAAGAAAACATATATGTAACACGGACAGTTAAAAGGGACCTACGGTCCGAAAAAATCGATTTTCATTTTTTTATTGATTCTTATACTAAATAGACCGCTCTTTCTAGCGCATTAAACCGCAGCTTTCTAGCTGCATTAGTTTTTTCACAATTTCACTTCAAAGTTAGGTACTTTGACAAAAAAAAATACAACAAAATCAAATTTGACCAACTTTTTTGCAACTAATCAAATTCACTTGAAACTCGTTACTCTGGGGTTTTCGGGGTCGCTGATTACGAATCTGTTGTTAGTTTTTGAAAATTCAAAATGTCGGATCAAATATGGCGGATGAATTTTTTAAAAATTGACCGGATTCGCTTGAAAATCGTTACTCGAGGGTTTTGAGGGTCGCTGATTACGAATATGATGATGGTTTTTAAAAATTCAAAATGGCGGATCCAATATGGCGAATGACTTTTTTAAAAATTGATCGGATTCGTTTGAAATTCCTTACTCGGGGTTTTTTGGGGTTTGCTGATTACGAATCCGATGTTAGTTTTTAAAAATTAAAAATGGCGGATCCAATATGGCGGACGAGTTATATACAAATTATACGGATTTGCTTTTCAGAATTTTTAAATGTATGGTTTTAATACGTATATGGTCTTTTAACCCTTTAAGGCCCAGCGGTTTCGATTAAAACCACTTTTGTGTTCGAACATTCATAACTTTGTCAAAAATTAATCAATTTTTTAGTTCTAAACGCCAAAGATCCACAAATTTATATAACTTTTTAAAAAAAAATTATAGTGCAATAAATTTACAACAATCTTATAATTATAACTATATTAAAAAAAATGTTTTTGCAAAGGGTTGTTAAAAAAATTAAAAATTGTTAAATTACTTCAAGTAAGGTTCATGAAAATGACTACTCGGGGGTTTTTCGGGTCGCTGATTACGAATCTGATGTTAGTTTTTCAAAATTCAAAATGGCGGATCCAATATGGCAGACAAAAAATTTGAAAATTGAACGAGGGTCATGAAAATGACTACTGAGGGGTTTTCGGGGTCGCTGATTACGAATCTGATGTTAGTTTTTCAAAATTCAAAATGGCGGATCCAATATGGCAGACGAAAAAATTTGAAAATTAAACGAGGCTCATGAAAATGACTACTCGGGGGTTTTCGGGGTCGCTGATTACGAATCTAATGTTATTTTTTCAAAACTCAAAATGGCGGATCCAATATGGCGAACGAAAATATTTGAAAATTGAGCTAGACTCTTGAAAATTACCATTGGGGGTTTTTGGGGTCGCTGATTACAAATCTGATATTAGTTTTTTAAAAGTCAAAATGGCGGATCCAATATGGCGGACGGAAAAATTTTAAAATTAAGCTAGGCTCATGGAAACTACCACTTGGGGTTCTTGAGGTCACTAATTACAAATTTAATGTTAGTTTTTTGAAATTAAAAATGGTGGATTTAATATGGCGGCCTTTTAAAAAAAGATGTTAGATGTTTATGAAACCTGGTGTTCGCACTGTTTTTTGCTTACTACTTGGAAAGTTTTGTGTTTTTTCTTTCAGTTTTTGAATGCCAATATTAGCTTGTCACTTGTTTCTGAACAAGCTTTCGCACAAGGTATTTTTTTTCTCACAATCACTTTTTCGTTTCTGACAATATTTTAGCGTTAGCAATTAGTTTCTTTCTGTAGTCGCCAATAGCCACGGTGCGCCTTAAATAAAATTAAATAAAAAGGTCTTACACCTAGAAAATTAGTAGAGATTCTGAATTTACAATGTTCATAGATGAGAAAAATAAAAAAACTAAAATAACCTGTGGAGAGATTTTGAAATAAATCCACTTTGAACATTTTTGCGCACGAAGTACGATATTTTGGAAAATATGGCATTGTTTATTTAAATGAATAGAAAGGAAAAAATGATATAATAATAATTTTTAAGTGATAATTCTATTAAACTTTTATTATTTTAACATTTTAGTACTAATAAAATATAAAAATATAACATAATTTAATTATAATTACATCAATTTAAACATGTGAAGCATTATATATACAAACAGCGCTCAAAAGGTGTTTAGAATAATCCGGGTGATTCACAGCAACCTTATTCGTTTCCCAGGAAGACTTTAGGAAATCAAAATATACGGACTCCATAATATGAAGATTTTTTATATTGGAGAAAAATAACTAAATTTTATAATTTTTAAATAATGTTTATTTTTTATGGCAAAATTAAATATTTTCAAATAATTAATTTCTATAAACCCTCGTTCGGTTATATTTCAACTTATTTGTTTTTATTTATCTAAATATTTATTTATATCAAATATGCAATTATTTTTCATAATTAATTATTTTAATTTACTCTTTAAATCTGAATTAGTAGTGAAAACTAATGAAATAGTGCGAATCCGTTTACCAATTGAATTAGTAACTGTTTTTAGTAGTTTTTTACTAATTATTAGTAGAAAATTTACTAATTTGAAATAGTAAAAAATACGTTTTACTAATTGAATTAGTAATTTTCTACTAGCAATTAGTAAAAAACTACTAAAAATTAGTAAAAACAGTTACTAATTGAATTGGTAAACGAATTTGCACTATTTCATTATATGACATTGGTAAGAACAATTAAACACATCATTAATACAAATAAATACTAATTTACATAGAGATCCAGAAACCCATCTGCTTCTTAATCATCGACCCCAAAGTACCCCTAAAGTATAAATTAATATGAGAATCCAAACATTTTTTTAAACTACGTTCGACATTTTGAATCCGACATTTTGAATTTCGAAAAAAGAACATCGGATTCTTAATCAGTGACCTCGTTTTCGGTGTCAACGAAATTTTTTAGTTTTACACGAATTCGAACAAATATTAAATTTTGTCCTCTATATTGGAACCGACATTTTGAATTTTGAAAAACGAACATCGGATTTATAATCAGCGACCCCAAAAACCCCCGAGTAACGATTTTCAAAGCGAATCCGATCAATTTTTAAAAAAGTCATCCGCCATATTGGATCCGCCATTTTTAATTTTTAAAAACTAACATCGGATTCGTAATTAGCGACCCCAATAACCCCCGAGTAACGAGTTTCAATTCATTAAAACGTTCACAAATATCAAAATCAACTTGCTAAACTTCAAAGTCGTTTTTCTCGAAATCTTTTTTTCGGATCGTAGGTCCCTTTTAACTGTCCGTGTTTTAAATATATCTGATTTTAAAAGATCAACTAAAATTTCACGTGGAATTGTCCATATTTTAACAAAATTAACAGAAAATTAAATCTAGATTCGAATCAAGTGATTCATCTATGAATCTATCAAATTGTTTTTTTTTACATAGTTGTTTCATAATTTTTTCCACAGTAGATATGTTTTTATTGAATTGTTTTATCAAAATATATCTTGATACCAAAAATCTTATCAGTCTCAAGTTTTGATAGTGAAAAATTTATTTACTTCCTTAGGTATAAATATGAATGATTAAGTTGACGAAATAGTAAAAGTAGATCAAACATGGCAAACTTAACAGTATTTATCTTCTTGATTTTCGCACTTACGCTATCATCAGGTATGTGAAACAAATAAATCATTTATAATTTTTGTTGTAAATCATCGATTATTACTTATTATTATTATTATTAATATTATTAATATTATTATTATTATTATTACTAATCATAACACAGGACCACAAAATTTTTTTAAAGGAAGAATTGACCGGACTATGTTTTTTATATGTTTTTTGGGTCGCTGAATTCTAATCCTAACTCAGTTTTCCGCCATCACGTCAAGTTTCTTCACAAATTAATATAAAAATTGAAAAAAACTGACTGTAAACAAGATTTAAATAAAAATAAGCAGAATTCTGCTTATAATAATATATTATAATAATATATTATAATAATATATTATATTATAATGTTAAACAATCAAAGAAACTCGTAAATATTCAAAATTTAAGATGGCCTGAAACTTATTACTCGGGGGTTTTTGGAGTTACTAAATACGAATTTCACCTTATTTTACAAAAATTCAAAATGTCGGATCCAATATGGCTGAGGGGCCGTTTAAAAAATACGTAACGCTTTTTGGGTGGAGGGTGGGTCAAGCTATTTGTCACGGTCAGCAGAAAAAATGGCGCTAATGTATACAATATTGCGTTACATGGGGGAGGGGGGGGGTCCAAATTTCAGAAAAATAGCGTTACGTATTTTTTGAACGGCCCCTGACCAATTTTTAAAAAAAATGATTGGATTTACCTGAAACGTTATACTCGGGGGTTCTTGGGGTCGCTGAATACGAATTTCACCTTAGTTTTCAAAAATTAAAAATCCGCTAAATTTTTAAATAAGTCGTTAGCCATATTGGATTTTTTAAAACTAAGGTGAAATTCGTATTCAGCGACCCCAAAAACCCCCAAGTAACAAGTTTCGAATAAATCGGATAAATTTTTTTAAAATACGTCAGCCATATTGGATCCGCCATTTTGAATTTTGAAAAACTAAGGTGAAATTCGTATTCAGCGTAAAACTGAGTTCAGATTCGAATTAAGCGACCCAAAAAACATATAAAAAATATGGTCCGGTCAATACTTTCTTTAAAAAAAATTTTGTGGTCCTGTGTAATAAACATCATTTATATAGTTTAATTAAGTAATTTTTTCAAGCTGAAAATAAAATAACGGCACGTATTGTCGGCGGTTCAGAAGCACAAGAAGAACAATTTCCTTATCAGGTTTCGCTCTTTGATTTATTTACCGGACACTTTTGTGGTGGATCTATTTTAAATGAAAACTGGATTATAACTGCTGGAAAATGTGTTCAAGGGTAATTTCGATCTTTAAAAACATTAAATTAAAATTATTTTTATTGTTCAAAGTACAAGATAATAAATTATTATATTAACGGTGTTCAGTGGCCTTTTAAATTGCTAGATTATCGCACTATATTAGTGCCAAAAATTTTTTTCTTTTCATTTATTTGTTCTTTTAATTTGAAGATGATTCTGGCATTAATTTTTATCAATAAGAAATTTTTAAAAACAAATTGGAGAGAACTAGAAACTGAACCAGATGGTGTTTTCAACGTTCTGACTCTTTATACATAATGCCTGCAAACTTTCTGCAGATTTTTTACATGAGTAATAACTTTACTTAATTTTTTATAAACATTATTGTTAAAATCTATTTCTGTAGTTAACTGCTTTAATGATCTCAGACCTAAATAAATAATTAACTTTACAATTTATGAATTTACCTTAATTTTAAGTTACTTTTTTGTGTGTTTGCATTAGAAAGCGACCATCCTCTTTTTACGTAGGCGCTGGAATTACTAACTGGAGTGATTTACCTTATGCAATTTATCAAATTGGTAAAGTAGTCGTACATGACTCACAGAATATTGCACTGATTAAACTTAAGGAACCATTAACTTTTACTGCAATATTAAATAAAATTGATCTTCCGACTGAAAATAAAAATGTTGATAGCACCCCGGTCGTTATATCCGGATGGGGATCAAAGACTAAAGTAATTTTTTTGTATTTGGGTATATTTAAATTTTTTAAATAAATTTTATCAATGCCGATCAATTAATACTTATCACTGATGCAGTTGATGTGAAATCAACATTTCAGTAATATAATTACTTAAAAGACTTAAAAAATTAAGAGCAAACATTTACTCAAATAACACAAGAACACAACATTTGAACACAATATTGTATCAACATTGCATGACAATATTTATAAAACTAGCTGTCGTACCCGTCTTCGACGGGTTGTAGTTTCTGATAATGCACTTAACAGTGTATCTACCAACCTAGAAAACCGGAAAATAGCCGGGAATTTGATTTGACAGGGAAAAAATAATAATTAGTTACTATTGTCTATTTCATTAGGAAAATAATACCATTTGAAACAGTGACCGACTTTTTATTATCAAATTAGTTATTTTTAACTAATTGAAATGCAGAAAACAATATTTCTCAATTTGTAGTACTTCAATCAATATAATGTATTAAAATCAATCTAAAATTTCCTCCAGTTTTTTGAGTTATAGTACAGTCTAATTCGAACTAATTGTATAGCAAGTAGATCCAGTTTTTCTCGGTTACATTAAATTCCCTGATATTTTACGTCTTTTCTGGTTGGTAGACACCCTGTTAAATGTATTATTAAAAAAAACCCGTCCAGTAAACCAGGAAAAATTTGGACAAAGCCGGAAATTGTTTTAAACCAAAATAAACACCGTGTTTAACTTTTGTCTTTACATTGATCAAGATATCTCTAAAAGTTAAATCAGAGAGCCCACAAATACTATTGAATTAAGCTTCATAGCAATTGGTATCAAGATAATTTTTTCAATTTTTTGATATTCAAAACATTTTTATACTTACATCTTCGTTATAAGAAAGTATTTTTGAAAAATTATGCTAAAATGTGACTAAATAATATGTAATATTCAATTATATAAAGTTTAAAAGCTATCCATTGAAAAATGTAAAATTTAGAAATTTTCGATTTTTTAAAAATATTTTTATATTTCCATTTTAGTTACAAAGTATTATTTTTTGCAAAATTATGCTAAAATGTTAATAAATAACATGTAATACTCAACTATAGAAAGTTTAGAAGCAATCCATAAAAAAATATAAAATTTAGAAATTATTTGTGTTAAATAAATTCATTTATTAGAGTCAAGTATTTATTTAATTAATCCAATTAAGATTTATTTGATTTAACTAAATAAAATTATTTAAACGAAATAAATTTTTATTAGATCGAAATAAAAACTTTTAAATAAGATATTATATTACTATTAGGTATTAACGTAACTTACAATCATAGCCTTATCCGATTAAAAAATATTAACTTGAACGAAAGTTATGACATTTTTCCAAAAAATTCGAAAAATCAAAAAAATGCAAATTTTTTATCTTTTGTAAAATAAATGCAAAACTATCATTAGCTAACTTTTTCAGATAAATAAAACATTTCTACAATAAAATTTTTAAAAAAGACGTATTTTGAAATTTTTTTTCGTTTTTTTAGATTAACTTTTTTCTAAGAAAATAGTGATTTTTAATCTTTAAGCAAGCTTTTCAGGAAAAGTTATTAAAGTTTTTTATTTAAAGATCAGTATGTTAAGTAAGAAATTTGCTACATTAAACCAAAATAATTAAGCTAAATGCCATAAAAAAGAAGAAAAAATGTTAAATTTTAAGAAATTCGGTTTTTTGAATTTTTGCTAATTTTCCATAATTTTAGATTTTTTACCGAAGGGTGGAGACTATTGAATAAGTAAAGTATTTTTTAAGAGCACAAAAATAATAAAGCTAAATGCCATAAAAAGAAGGAAAAATGTTGAATTTTAAGAAATTCATTTTTTTGCATTTTTGCTATTTTTCCATAATTTTAGATTTTTTACCAAAGGGTGGAGACTATTAAATATAAGTAAAGTATTTTTGAAGAGTACAAAAATAATGAAGCTTAATGATATAAAAGAGAAGAAAAAAATGTTAAATTTTAAGAAATTCGGTTTCTCGAATTTTTGATAATTTTTGATTTTTTGCTAAAGGGTGGAGACTATTCAAATAGTATAATTATACTACCGAAATAGCTAATGGTTACTAATTATTAATTTTCCGGTGAAATTAAATTCCCGGGTATTTTTGATTTTCCAGATTGGTAGAAACATTGTTAAATGTATTGGTAGAAACTAAAACCCGTCGAAGACGGGTACAACAGCTAGTGCTATATATTATCAAAATTTTTAAAATTCAAAATTAATCTTTTGAAATAATTATTGTCATCAATTTTACTTAAATTTGATACAGGGTTAATTTTAGTATTTTTTATTACAATTTAGTCATCAGAATGAAATTTGAGTTTTTCATTTTTTGATCATTAATTAATATAATATAATAGCAATTTTGAATTCTGTGCAATATACTGACAAAAGTCTCATATTAATTATATGGATATTGTTAATATTCTGACCTAATAGAATTTTTTTAAGAAAGTAAACTTATGATTTCAACAACAAATTTTTATTGTTGACCTAAGAAATACAACCGTATAAAAATTAATTACAAAAAAATTTCAATTTTTAAACTTTTAATTTTTTAATTTTTCAATATTTAAATCTAACACTTTTTATTTGTTATTCAAAATTTTATTATTCTGACGATTAAATCTTAATAAGAAACACTAAAATTAACCCTGTACCAAGTTTAAGTACAATTCACTAAAGTATATGAAAAAACTAAAAATTTCGAATTTTCGAATTTTTGAAAAAATGGCATAACTTTCGTCCATATTAATATTTTTTAATCTACTATCGCTAGGATTTTAAGTTAGGCTAATGCCTAAAAGACTGCCAAGTTTCACTTCAAACGATTGAACCGTTTTTCCGTGATACGCGGTCGAAAATTTGCGGACATACATACACACATACACACATACACACATACACACATATACACATACACACATAATTTTCTTAATAGTATTTTCGCATTCCTTAGAGTGTAAAAATAAGGAATATAATAGAAATTTTGAATTCTATGCAATGTACAGACAAAAGTCTGATTTTATTAATAAGGATATCTAAATATTTATTATTATATAATTTTTAACAATTTTTTAATATTTCTGGAAAATATTGCATCAATATTGCCTCAGTGAAAAATGCTATTTGAATAGCATGTGATTCCTTAATTTAAAAAAATCAAAACTGGTTTTTTTATTTTAATTGAAATTAAATTCATTAAAGAATATTCACTACTGAATGAAGAATGATAATATAAATAAGAATATTAATTTTACAGGGAGGACCAACATCAAGAAAATTGTTATTTTTAAACACTAAGATTGTAGATGTAAACACTTGTAAGGAACATATGTCAACACTTCCATCATATCCTGCAATAACAGATGAGAATCTTTGTACATTTACAAGAGGGGGACAAGGTCTATGTGACGTGAGTAAATAATTTAAAAAATTTTACTTATAATTATATACATGAAAAAAATTTTATAAATATATTCACAGGGAGATTCAGGTAATCCTGTTGTTTCTGGAAATTATCTAGTGGGAGTTAGTTTATATGGTTATCCATGTGCACAAGGATATCCGGATGTAAGTGCCAACGTGTGGAATTACATTGAATGGATAAAGAGTCACATTAATTAATTATTTTTTCTATTAAACCAAGTATACTTTTATGTATTTATTTAATAATTCATCCGAATTTTGTTATATTACATTTCAATATAAGAATTTAATCTTCGATCTTGACATTTTGTAAATGAAAAAATCGTTTAGAAATGTTATTCTCAGTTTAATAAAACCTTTTTTAAATACTTGAATGTATATGTAACCAGCAGAGTTTTGGTCATTTAGGAACGTACTGTACTACTTTAACACCTGAATTATTATGAGTTTGAATTCTTGTCTTAAATTTATCAATAAAATATATGGAATGCATATAACAAATGAGCTGTTCGATCAAAAAACCCTAAGGTTTTTGACGAAAAGAAGATTATGGTTCATTAAAAAACTTCAAGTGACATTTTTTTAAAAATTAAGCTTTTCAAACAAAGTGCTACAATTAAATGTTACTGCAATAATAAAATTATATATAAATATAAATACTGTTATTATGAGGTGTTCAGCAGGCCAAGCAGTTAAGAAAACAGGCGCTCCGGCAGAACATACGATAAACGCAAATTGAACTTTAATCATCAATGACTCTGGCTTGTATTATGTGATAATTTTCATATTGTTAATGTATTTTCAAATTATTTTTTATATTTTAGACAAAGTATATTAAAACTTACTGTGAAGAAAGGAACACTAGCAAAAACAATACTAATGGTTGCAGTGAACAGTGTAGAAAATACTATTCCCCGTATTGCCATCCTTAAATTTTTTGCATAGCTATAAAGTATAATGAAATTTACAATTTCAAAAAAATTATAATAAATAACATATTTTTTGATACTATTATTGACTTGATTTTAAATAATTCTTACATCAGTAGATGTTGATGTTGACGAATTCGCAGAAAGACATCGCTCCTATCTTGTACATTTTGAAAATCGTCAGCTAATATCTTAAATCTCGCAGCAGTATACCAAAGCAGGGAAGCACACAAACAATCAACTGTCATTCCAGACGCGACTTGAAAGGCAACAAAGCTTTGATGCAAATAAATAATGAACCTTGTTAAGTTCGAATCTATAGAGAAAGGATATTTTGCATCAGTTGGTAGAGGTGTTGACAAAATAAAAGGGCCAAAGACAAATAATAATGCCGTTAAAAAGCCCGTAAAGGATAAAGACAAATTTAACATCACATGCTTCTTTACATAGTAATCAATAACATTTCTTTCCTTCTCATTGGCTTTTTCCAAAAATGATGTCATTTCCTGCAGCAAGATCTGAAAAATAGTTTACTGGCACAGTCTTTGCCATAGACTGAAAGTTACTTAATTGTTTAAAAATTAAATAATCAATTAAAAATCAATAAGTAATTATAAACCTTAAAACGATGACGTTCAAATCTACACACTAGAATTTTCATTGCAACTTGAAATACAGCACAAGCAAGACAAATAGATTTTGTCATAATTAAACGATCACTCCAATCTTGGTATACAGAGATACATAATGGAATAATTAAAAAAAGAGCTGATAAAAAAGAAAGACCATACAGAACATCGTTAAGCCGAAATTTAAATTTTGAAATTTGATTCGGTGGCCAGGAAAATGTTAAGCATGTTCCAATTTTTGTGAAATGTAAAAGAGATTCAAATGAAATTTTCATTTTAAATAATTTTATTTTCTTATAGTAAAAAACCAAATAAATGGTACTGTAACATTTCAAAAATACTATTTTGTTATTGAGAAAAATATCATTACAAAAATTAAACACAATAAATTCTGTATAAATTGAATATTTCCCATTCTATTGTAATCATGAAAACGAAATTCACTTTCAAATGTGGATAAATAAATTATTATAATGGGATATGAAGGAGGAAATATACAGACTGTTCAACATATAAAAAATTTATGAAACATTGCGAATTTTAAAGAATGAAAAATTATTTTCCAAGAAGCATTGAGAATTAATTACGGAAATAGAGAATCTCGTTAGTAAAAAATTTATAATAAAATGTTACGTTCTACTGTTGTTGCAGATAATTGTGCTTTAGGTAATAGAGAACTTCACCCTTGCTTTAGAAGCTCTTGAATAAATTAAGAAACAGTTGCACATTTTCCTTTATGAAATACTTCGTTTTCTTCATTTATTTGAACGTAAAAATAATTGTTGGGGTATTTTGTTAATCAATCTAAATATATAGTTTCGATATGTCCTTTAAAATTATAAATATGTATCTTAATTTACGGGTCATAGTTAAATACGCAGTTAAATTTATTTACAAAATTTAAAATAATAAATAGGTCAGACCAGCTCAATTGTGTTAAAAAAATTTCATTGATTTTTTAAAATGTTAAAACCTTTTTAAAAATCTCTAGTTCACAACAAAACAAAAAAAAACACTTTTAACCGTTTTTTAAAATTTAAAATTTTTGTTATTTTTTTTGCATTAACAAAATATTCCAACATTTAAAAAAAATAATAACTCATAAGCCGTATACAATAAATTAATGAAACTATACACTGATTACACAAAATTGTTCACTCTTTTAAATGAAAATATTTGCATGACTGTAAATTTAAAAATTCCATGTTTTTAATAACAATTTGAATTATTTATGTGTTCTACTATAAATAATAATTATAAGTATAGACTAAACTGTATGAATGTTATAATATTTTGATAATGCAAACAAAAAATAACAAAAATTTAAAAAAATTTTAAAAACGGTTAAAAGTCTTCCTTTGTTTTGTTGTGAACTATACAGATTTTCATAAAAGTTTTTTATTTTACACAGTTGCAAAATTTGAAATAAATATTTGTATTTTCAAGTACTATAGTATCTGGTAATATTTTCACGAAGTATTTTGAAAATATTTAAATTATTTATTATATTTATTTGTTACTTAAAGATTTTTGAACCCTTTTATTAAAATAATTTTAACTAATTGAATAAATTTTAATTCGAAAATTTAGCTTTTAAATAATGCATCAATTTAGAGTTGAATAGGTGGACTGAATTTGTATCAATGGGTTGTTTTTCGAATATCATAAAGAAATTGTAATTTTTAATACTGCGACGTTTTCACGATAGTAAATCACATAGGGATGCAATAAGAAAGAAATAATTTTCTGTAAAATCTAAACACACGACCATTTCTAAATCATTTCATTTTATTAAATATTACAATTAGCAGAAGAAGTATTCATAAAATAATTATTTATTTCATGTTTAAACTCCAACTTCTTTACAACAATTTCTAATAAGAATTATTGATATTATCTTATCTGATAAATGATGAACCTGCTTTTTTAAGTTTGCAAAATGTTTGGGTGTATCGCGTTTTAAATTTTCCCAAAAGACTTTTTAAACTTTCAACGTCTCGGTAAATTGCATACTACCGTGACTATTAAATTCTTGTGTAATTTTAATCCACGTTTCATTCTTCATTTTGATGTTGAATGCATCGCTTTTTTTGTTTTCAATAATTTTTTTATTCTTTATCACCAATTCTGCTAGACAAGACTTTTCTTGTAAGAAAATTTTGGTTATATTCTATATTCATTTAAATAATTAATTTTAACAATGTTTATAATTTATTTATCGCGATTTGATTGTATACAAGAAAACTAATGAGTTCACACTCAAACCGGCACTAATCTACACAAATTCGAATTAAATAAAATCATAAAGTTGTGAAAAAGAAAAAAATCGCAAATAAAAATTATAAATCGATATTCGATATATCCCATAAAATAACAAAAAAAAACTGCGATATGTTAAAATGTCAAACAAGATAAAAATAATTCGTGAGAATCTTGGATAATAAATTATAATTAGCTAGAACTTATCTTCTCTGGAGCGTTCTACAATAACACGCAGGCCTGCAAACTTAAACTTTTTTGCGACTAGGTGTTTCCGAAGGGAAATTTTGCGCTGAACACGAATTTACTTGACGTAAAAACAGCGTTTTTGGCACTTTTTGAAAAATTGTGATGGGACAAAATCCTGACGTGATAAAAACTTCGCTATTATCAGAAATTAAAGCTTAATTCGTGCCCTTTCAAATGAGACCTTAGCCGACTAATATGCTTCAACCCTTAAAGCAGGGGCATGAATTAAGCTTTAATTTCTGATAATAGCGATGTTTTTGTCACGTCAGGATTTTGTCCCATCACAATTTTTCAAAAAGTGCCAAAAACGCTGTTTTTAGGGGTTTCAACCCCATTTTTCTCAAAAACTTGACGTGATGGAGCATTTTGGACCCAGAATTCGTGTGCAGCGCAACATTTTGCCACTCAAGCAAAATGCCTTTCTTTTTAGCATTTTAAAATCGTCCGTATTCGGACTGTCATATTCCAAGATTGCCATGCATTCCAATACGAAAAATCCTCAATTCCGAGTTGGAACATAGCCTACTCGCAATGCGGAATCGCGGGCTCCCAATTTTCCTCTGCTTACAGGGTAGAAAAAAAATATTTTCTTTATTGGTGTTCAACAATAAAATTTTGAACCAATCTTTGCTGACATCTTACTGAATATGAAGATATTTGTAACTAACTTCCTTTTGTTATTTATATCTGCACTGAGACTGTGTTAAAAAAGTTGAATGGTTCATTGATTTTTTAACAGCGTCACCCTCACACTATAAGCTCTGACTTTCCCACCACTTTACTGTTCATTCATATATTTAATTCAAGATGGCCGCCACTAACTGATTCAAAGGAATTCTTGGAATTTACGCCAATATTTGTTACTATGGCTACTACATTCTTACACATGTCAAAAATATAAAAGTTTATTATTTTTTCTGAAAGAAAAATACAATGAATATACTACGAGATGGTGAGATATTGAATTTTATTTAGAAATATTAAATAAATAAAAAAGTACACATGCATGTACGTTGAAATGTTGAATGAAACTGGAGCTAAAAATATAATATAAATATAGAATTATTAAGAATCGATGATATTTATTTTTTAACTTTTATCATTTTTATTATTATTATGACGCATAAATGTCACGTAATTATGCGCATATTCAATGTTTTAAAAGTCAAGTTCAAGTATATAATGCAATTTTATATTTTAAACATTTTACTTTGATTTATACCACTATCCTTGCTAGTCCTATTAGTATAGTGAGAAGTCCCTAACAATGTGAGTTAAAAGTTTTAAAATATAATATTTTTATATTAATTAATAAAATAGTTGTTAAATTATTATTTACTATACATTTTTTAAAATCAAACAGTTAAACGAGAGTTCTATTTAATTCCAATCCAATTTCAATAATTTAATTTTACTGTAATTTTTAATAACAGTTTCATTAATTTTATATTTATGTAAGGTCAATATTAATCACTCTTATTTATTATATATTTGTATAGGTAAATTAGTAAAAAAGAATCAAGCAAAAATGAGACAAAAACCATTTGAGAAATCTACATGGATTGATATTAAAACCAACTTTAATGAAAGAGGTCTTGTTTAATAAAAAATCATTTTTGGAAAGCAGATTTTTCAAACTGTCAGTGAGTGTCGTTAATTGATTTGTGAAAGGAAACAAACAGAAATTTAATTTCCCGAAAACGAAGAAATAAATTCTTCAATTTGAAGGTAATAAAATATGAATACTATAATGAAATATAATTAAATGTTTAAGATTAAAATATTTTTTTTATATTGAGTGAAACCGTTTTATTTCGTCTAATGTATTTTTGATCTTTTTAAAAAACTTTAATTTTTGTGGAAGAATATTTTTGCCCCCGAGTAGATATTTTCCTGTACTAAGATAGAATTTTTTATTTTTGGACGACATATTGGATCCGCCATTTTGTATTTTCAAAAACAGACATCAGATTTGTAATCAGTGACCCCAATAAAACCCTGAGTAAACATTTCCATGACCTAAGATCGATTTTTTAAATTTTTTCGTCCGCCATATTGGATCCGACATTTTGTATTTTCAAAAACTGATGGGTATACGTCAGATTTAACAAATTCAAAATGGCGGACCCAAAATGGCGACAACAACAATTTTAAAATTAATCAGATTCGTTTGAAATTCGTTACTCGGGGGTTTTCGGGATCGCTAATTACGAATATGTCAGACTTTCAAATTCCAAAATGGCGGATCCAATATGGCGGACAATTTCAAGATTGATTCGATTTGATCGTAATTCATTTTTCGGGGCGGGGTTTTTTGGGTCGCTGAATTCGAATTTGATGTCCATTTTTTAAAATTCAAAATAGTGGACATATTTTCTAACCTCTTGGCTGTCGACGAGATTTCCACTGTTTGGGCCAAAAATTTGTTAAAAAAATGTGTAATAGATTTTTATGAAACTTGGTATCCCAAGGTTTCCAGGGTCGCTGATTACGAATCTGACATCAGTTTTTCGAAATTCAAAATGGCGGATCCAATATGTCGGATTACAAAATAAAAAATTAATTATAATGGCTTGAAAGTGCGAATATACTCAGGGGTTTTCAAGGTCGCTGATTACGAATCTGAAATCAGTTTTTTAAAATTCAAAATACTTGATCTACTATGGCGGACGACAAAATAAAAAATTAATTCGATCAATTTTGAAAAATTTTTCGCCATATTGAATCAGCTATTTTGAATTTTGAAAAACTTATTTCAGATTCGTAATCAGCGACCTTGAAAATCCCCGAGTATTCAGTTTCAAGTCGTCAATTTATTATTTTTTATTTTGTCGTCCGCCATATTGGATCCGCCATTTTTAATTTTTTAATTTTTATAATTTGACTTCAGACTCGTAATCAGCGACCCAAAAACCTCCAAAAGTCACGAATTTAAATTGAAAAGAACGTTTTTTTGAAAAGTTGGATATTTTTATTTAAGTTCTTTTTTAATCGATTCAAAAATGAAGAATAATGAAGAAATTCTGACTTTCTGTTGATTTACAGGGATCCAAAATTACTATAAAATATATGTTAATCTATTAGAATTCGAAGACAACTTTTTCATTTTTGTATGATTCTTTATAATCTCTGTAACCCCTTTATGAGAATACAAAAATTTGTATAACTGAAAATATATAAAAGTCTTTCATAATCTGTTTAATTAATACGTTTTATCAGAGATTACAAGTTTGAACTTTTTAAAAAAATCGAGAATTTCCTCTTTTTCCGTGGTGTATAAAAATTGTGTGTATTATCCAATCATAAAATACAGACTTTATGATAAGTGCATTAAATGATGAAGCACACCTAATGATAACAGCATTGTTCGCATGTAAGATCTTTTCATTGTTATCAGTTGATTAGTTTTTTACGATATGTGATTCTGAAGAGACCGGTATTCTTTTTTCATTTTCTTGAAAATAACTATTGATTTTTAATTCATTTTTCTGGAAAAATATATTTTGAAAACGTAAGTGGAGTTGAGGAAGAGTGTCAAATTTTTGTTCCTTGAAAATTCGTGAAGTGTATTTTATTTTTCTCCAAACAGTCGCGAAATTAACTAAGCTTAAGAAATTAAATACTATGCATTACTGGAAATGTTATTGTTCCGTTTATATATTAAATAAATAAAACAAATTTTACGTTTTTTGTAAATAAAGGAAATAAATAATTTTATTTCTATTTTCAGAATTTCAGCATGGCTGCGAAAAAATTTTTCGCCGAACTTTTTGGTAGTAAAAATCAAGTGCAAATTACCGCAGAAGTGAACGATGAGAAGCGCCGTTTTTCCATTTCGAATTCAGGACGTTTTCGTCAGAGAAACAAGCGTCGAAATGAATTACAAAAAGACACTTTCTCACCGCACAATCCGATTGCCATTGATTGTGGTAAAGAAGTGGAGAGAAATTTTCAACAAAGCGAGAATGTTTAAAGATTCAAGTAAGAAATTAACAGTTTAAAAAAAAACTATTTTTATACCTGAAGAAACTTTTTTCAAAATATTGACTATTTTAATTTTTTGTAAATAATTTGTAAATTTCCTCAAAAAATTTAATTTTACTTAATTATTTCAGTGAGATGCAGTAAAGGACAAGTTTTTTTTTTGATAATCGGTATACAATAATTGCGTGTAATATATATGGACAGTATAAAAGTTATTTATTTTCATTAAAATTCATTTTTATCAACAAATAAATATTTAATATAAATTATTTCTACACATATAAATTATGTAAATTTCTACATTTTTGAAATATTATTTTTCACAAATATTTACAGACCTAGAATGTAAGTTATACTCAAAATAAATTTAAGTATTTTATTTATTATATTAGTGAAACAGTCAACAAAGTGAAACAAAAGATATTTAAAATATTTAAAAATCTTTTATATTTATATTCTTTAAATTTTCACTTTTTAAATTATTAATATTGGAAATAAAATCACAATAAAATGGAGAACGATATTTTTATAAAAATGCCCTTATTAATTTTTTTATTAAAAAATATCTCTTTCAATGACTTTTTGCGGTGCGCTTTTTTTAAAAAACTGTTTTAAAATTTTAAAAAAATTTTTAAAAATGTTTGAAATCATACCTATTTTATGAATTACTTGTTCTAACTAAACACACGTCAAGAAGGCAGAATTTCGCTCGACACACTGGACATGTACATTTTGAGGATAACCACGTTTCTGTTGCATTTTCATTTTGTCTTGAAGCAAACCTATAAAGCGTACGAAAAGAAAACAATAAGAAAAATGAAACATTGAAGTAATCATAGTGATAATATTAAAAAATATATACAAAGTATTTTAAAAAATAAATTTTTTATATATTCACCATTTTGCCATGCATTCTATGCACCACATTGGTCGACAGTAACAAGTGACACACACGTCAGGACCAAATTCTTCACTAATATTACACGATTTATTGAGTTTTACATTTGAAGTTGTTTGCATACAACCAATGCATTGCTCCAATTCCTGTAAATTAAAATAATTAATTCATTAAAAATTATGATCTGATAGTTTTGAACATTCAAATAAACGAAATAATTTTTAATAAAAATTACTTTTTTATAAATTAGTGATTGGAATAAAAATAAAAATTTTTAATTTTACACAAAAATATAACCAGTCTGAGTCAAATAAGAAAAAATTTTACTTAAAACCATAAATGAAATTTTTTCATAACTATAAAACATGAAAATATCGATTACTCCGAGTCTTCGACTCGGAGTGATCAACATCTTCTTGTTTTACAATAAAATTTTAATTGACATTAATTTTTAAATCAATTTTTATTAGAAAATTCCACGAGAATTCTATTATTTAAATACAAAAATAAATCATTTATTAAATAATTGAATCCTTCTTAAAATTGAATTCTCATAAAGAACTTTATCAACAAAGTTTAAAATAAAATTGAAAAAGTAATTGAATAATTGAATTCCTTCGGCGAATTTTAATAAAATTTTTAAGAATAATTACATTTTTCGCAGAATTTGGTAAAAATTGTATTAAAAATAATTTAAATTTTGCAGAGGATTTTATTAAAATTTTTGCAAATAATTGAATTTCGGAGAAGAATATTATTATTTGAAAAGATAATTGAAATATTTACGAAAAATTTTTTAAAACTCAATTCTTTTTAGTGTTTTTAACTAAAATTTTTCTATAAATTCATTATTTTTAATAATTAAGTATGAATTTAAAAAAATCGACTAATTTCAAAAGTATTATAACTAACATTTTCCAAAAAACATAATTTTTAATTAAAAAGTATGAATAATTCAGATTTTCGAATATTTCAATTTGAAACCATTTCAAAATTCAATTATTTCTAAAAATTTACTCCAAAATGCTTTTAATATTCAATTATTATCTAAAATGTTAACTAAAATTCATTTTTTAATCAATTTTTATTAGAAAATTCAACGAGAACTTTAATACAATTTTTAAGAATAACTATTCTTAAAAATTTAATAAATAATTTAAAATATTTGAAATTCTGCGATGATATTTATTATTTATGAAAGTAACTGAATTGCTAAAAAGAATCTTAATAAAACTTTTTTAAATGATTAAATTCTTTGGAAATTTTTAATGAAATAGTAGATATTAAAAATCATTGAATTGAGGAAAATTATTTGGAAATAATTGAATTTCTGCGAAGAACTGAAAACATATGTTTTATTATTTATGAAAATAATTGAATCCCTGAAACAAATTTTATTATTTTTGACAATAATTGAATTATTATGAAGAAATTTATAAAAAAAATTGTAAAAGAATTGAATTCCTGTGAAATTTTTATTATTTATGAAAATAATTAAATGTTTGCGTAGAATTTTATTAAATTTTTTGTTTAAATAATTGAATTCTTTTGGAAAATTTTATGAAAATAGTCGGTTTTGAAAATCATTGAATTGAGAGAAATTTTTGAAAATAATTGGATTTCGGCAAAAAGTTTTGCTATTTATAAAGATAATTAAAATCATGTGAAGAATTTTTAAAAAAATTTTTGAAAATAATGGAATTTCTGCGAAGAATTTTATTGTTCTTGAAAATAATTGAATTTCTGCGAAGAATTTTATTATTTTCGAAAATAATTGAATCTTTGTGATGAATATTGTTATTTACAAAAATAATTGGATTTTGCAAAGATTTTGATTCAAATTCCAGAAAATAATTGAATTTCTGGGAAGAATTTTAATATTTATCAAGATAATTGAACTCTTTTCAAGAAATGCGTTAAAATTTTTTAAATAACATTAAAAAATTCAACTAATTTCAACAGTATTGAAATTAAAATTTTTCAAAAATATAAATTCTACAGAGTTATTAATTAAAAATATGAAAAATTAAGATTTTCCAAGGATTTAAATTTAAAAACCTTTTCAAAATTTAGTTATGTCTAAAAATTGCTATTATTTATAACTTCTCCAAACTTCAAATTTCTTTAAGAGCTTTTAACTAAAATTCTTCTAAAAATTAATTATTTTTTAGAATTAATTAAATATATATTAAAAAATTTAATTTATTTCAGAAGAATTTAAATTATTAAAATTTTGTAAAAGTTTTTAAGTTTTTATTTTAACTATTAGCAGATTGAAAACAGTGAAAAGTCTAAATAAAAACTAGCTTTATTTAGTGTCATAAATATAAAAAAAAGTATCCAAATAGTAGCAAATTGTAAAAAAGTAGTAAATAGTAGGTGAGTGCGAAGCTTAAAATAATAATTATATTATCTGTAAGAACAAATAAAAAAAAGCATACAAAAAAGACTGTAAATTCAAACTGTGGACTAAAAATAAATTAAAGAATAAGAAGATTATTATCTGTTAATAATTAATTAATTACTTAATTAATTTTTTTAATAGAGTCACAAAATTATTGTCAAAAAAAAATTAATTTGAAAAAGAAATGAATAAATTTCGTTTATTTGAATAGTCAGAACTTTAGGATCATCATAAAATAAATTTTAAAGTTAAGTAATATTCTTTCGAAACAATTTTGAATTTTTTCCAAATATTTACATAATTATGTACCTAAGTAAAAAAGTAATATTAATTTATATAAAAGAAATTTTTACCTGATTTGTTTCGTAGAAGGGATTCTTCGAAACTTCCTCTTTAAAAGTGTCGATAAACCTATCTAAAACTGTTCTGTGAAACGTAACATTTTCCAAAACAGTAATTGGCCTCAAGACTTTATCTTGCAAGTCCTTGAAGTCCAAAGCATTTAATCGTATATTGAAAGACTGAGCCCCATTTCTTGTCGGTTTTACCTATAAATTTTAATAATTAACTTCTCTTTTTGTGCTATAATTTAAATATACTTAAAGTTTTATAATTAAAATTTAATAATTACAACTTTAATAATTTCTTTTTTAAAGTAGTTAATTTTTTTAAAAATGTATAAAGAGAAAATATTTTCTCCTACTTGTTATTATTAGAATTAAATTGAAATTGTCGCAATTAAGTTCAAAGTGGTACAATAAAAATGCTTTAAATTTACAAATTAAAAGTTTGGAGAAAGTGGAAAATATTACCTCAATATTAACAAATTGTACTTCGCCTCTAGTCGTTGGTGACATAACGTGCGTATCACTTTTATTAACAATTAAAGCTGTATCACTTTGATGTGCAATTTGCAATTTATACGGCGAAATTTTTATAATCCAATTGTCAGTTGCGACAATTCGCGTAACACTATTTGTATCAATCACTATTTTGTCTATTCTGAAATAGAAAATTTTTACATCAATAGAAATTAAATTCGCACAATTTTTAATATAGTGTACAATATATTTTAATTAAATATATAATTAAATTTTAATATATACCTAATAATAAACAAATGTATATTTGCATTCTATTAATAATGAATTAATAAATTAATTAGAAATATAGAATTAATTAATAATTAATTCTATACAAATTATTATTTATAGAATATTCTATTCTATATAATATTGTATATTATTTTAAAAATTTACTTTATATTACACAATAATAGGTAATAGATAAACAACGTGTAAGTTAAGAGAATATTTACAATTTTGTAATAAGCTTTTTTATTAATATTAATATATAATTTAGTACCTTCTGTATTCGATGTTAATATCCGATGCGACAGACATCCAATTTGTATTATTATTGCAATAAACTGCTAGACATTCAGCAATTGGATGTGTAGACCAATTATTTTTCGACCAAACAATAACTTTAAATAGAGCGTAAATTGGACCTATTAAAGAGCATGCTGCTAACGTTGGCCAAAGAAGATTTTCTTTTCCAAGGAATATTTGCGCTACTTCCACATTTCCGAAAAGAACTAGTCCCAGTAGGTATCCTAGAAAAATTTTGACTCATTGGTTTTATAAATACGAAATTTTCAAATTATAATTTATTTAAAATTTTTAATATTTTATTTCAATTGTATTGAAAATATTTATCATTTTCTAATAGGAATTCCATAATTTATGAAACCAATTGAATTCTTTAGACGAATCTCATTAAAAATTGTTTTTAAATAAATGAATTCTTTTGGAAAATTTTATTGAAATAGTAGATATTGAAAGCAATTACTTTTTAATAAATTTTTGAAACTAATTAAAATTCTACTAAGATATTTCTCAAATTTTTTTTGAAAATTATAATAATAATAATAATAATAATAATAATAATAATAATAATAATAACACAATAATAATTTTATTAAAATTTTAGGAAATAATTAAATTTTTTAAAGAAATTTAATAAAAAGTCGATTGTATAAATAATTATTAAAGTCTACTAAACAAATTTTTTAACAATTTTTTTTTTAAATAATTGAATTTTTTTAAAGAAAGTTAATGCAAGTTTTAAGAATAATTGCAATTTTTGAGAAATTTAGTTAAAATTGTTTAAAAAATTATTGAAATCCTTTGATATGTTTTATTAGTTATGAAATTAATTGAATTTTTGCCACGAATTTTATTAAAATGTTTTAAAATAATTGAATTTTTGAGACCAATTTTATTAAAATTTTTTAAAATAACTGAATTCCTGATAAGAATTTTATTATTTATTAAAACTTTATACAACTTTTTTCTTAAGATGAATAAGAACTGCGAGAAAACTTATAAACAAAGTATATTAATTTTGTAAACAAAATGTTTTTTATCCCATTTCTAACATTTATTAATAATACTCAATAAAATTATAAAAAATAATACCATTCAAGTTGACAATAATATAGAATATAAGAAAAAGTATAGATAATTACAAAGTTTGTTGGCAGAATAAACATTATTTTTTCTCATAGGTGACATCAAAGTTTTAGACAAATTATATTTGAAAAATTATTATGATTCTTACCAAACGGTAGCATGGAATGAACAAATAACGTTGCTATGCTTCTTTTTATATGATATTGCACGAAAAATTCATTTTCATTGCCTAACCAACTGGAAAAAATATCCTTTATTGTTATTCCAGCTGATGAAAATTCAATTGGTGGATAAATAAAACACGCCGAGACTAGTAGATAAAATACCGTAAAAATATAAAAAGTCATGATCCAAATAAATGAGAAAAATAAAACTAATATTTCCAAACTGATTAATGTATATTACAAATAAAGAATGAAAATAATTGTTTAGTTTTAAAATATAAGAAACTAGGTTATGTTTGACAAAATATTAGAAACGTCAAAAAAACAAAGATTTGTTGATAAATCAGATCCCCCTTTCGCCCTCTTCTCAGGGCTGTGTAGTTGTAGAAACTTGTTTAATAAAGGTGCTTACACAACTTTTGAGTATGTCGAAAGATTATTATGCTCTGTTCATTTTGAGGTGATTGCTGCAGCAGCCTGTGAATTTGTGATGTTGACTTGATGTTGACTGTCACTTCTGGTACTTAACCTGACTTCGAAAAATATAAATCTCATATATATTATCAACTAATAATTGTTTAACAATAATTTCCTATTTTATTGTTTGGAAAACAAGTTTATTTACACAGTGTAAGTAGAAATATTATTTTCGAAGTAAGTTCTTGTGTTTTAATAGAGGTGGTTCAATGTAAACACAGAGTGTCTTCGAAATAAAACTAGTGTAACAGTAACAGGTTAGAAAAATAGTATATTGTGCAACAAGTACAGAAAGAAGCTGTTTTCCGACGAGTGCAAAGTTTGCTGTCCCGAGCGAAGCGAGGGCAGCAATTTGCACGAAGTTGGAAAATCTTCTTTCGTACGTGTTGCACACAGTACTTTGTGCAACACCTTTTGGTTTTGATAAAAAAAGCTGTTTGGAAACGCTAGTTGACGCCAACATACGTACTATTTAGCAGGGTTTGGAACGTATGTTACCGCACTTAATATTCGTGGTTTTTTACGCGTATATTACTGTAAAAAACAGGTATTCTACAAATAGAAAACAAATACCTATGTATATCACCAAAAAAAACCCAAAAGTTTAAGAACTTTGCCGCACTAGTGCAGCAAAGTAAGCACTTTGCCGCACTAGTGCAGCAAAATAACCACTTTGCCGCACTAGTGCAGCAAAGTAAGCTCTTTGCCGCACTAGTGCAGCAAAGTACTGTTTTGCGCATACTTTACAGGCATGCAAAGTATTACTTTCCTTACAGGTGTTGCACAAAATAAATTTTATTATTTAGTCATAATAATTTGTGTTTGTAACGTGTGTATTAGCTAAAGGAGTATTTCAGTTTTATTTTTATGCAAAAAGCTGATCAAAATTTGTAAAATTTAATTAGTACTAGGACTTTATAAAAAATCCGGTTGTTTCTAGGGTAAAATTTTATGAAATTCGGGTTCAATTTTCTGTACGAATTTCGGACGTTTTCTGAAAGGAATTACTCACGTAATAATTGCTGAAAATTTTTACTCTTAAATTATGACCACTTTTCCAAACGAATTTTGTACAATATTATTTGTTTTTGTAAATAATTTCTTTTAGAAATTCTACTAGGAATTCCTGGGAATTCCTATCGAATTTAGAGCGTAATTTTTCAAAATAATTTAATAGAAAAATTCAGTAAATCGTTTTGTGAAAAATTCGTCCGGAAAAGTGGTCGAAAATTTAAAAAAAAAAATGTTAGGCAAACAATTTAGGTGCACCAAGTTTGAATAAAATTTGAATAAAAAAAATAATTTTGACGTTAAAGGGTTAAAATAATGAGAATAACAAATTTTGTTCAAAAGTTTTATTAAATTTATAAAAATCTACTCTATAAATACAAAAGGCGAGTTCATTCGCTTGTTTTCATATTGCATTTAAAAATGATATAAAAATGTTTTTCGTACTAATATCTTTATACTTTGCAGCTACAAAATAATGACAAAACATGTTTCATGCACAATTTTTCATTTTAAATACATATATAGAAATATAAATTATTTCGCCTGCAATAAACCGCTTTCATTCTCAACTTAAATTATTTACACTGATTCTACAAAAAATATGTACACGCAAGAGAAAAATCTTCTTTTTCTATCCAATAATATCACCACTCAGCGGTTACAAATTAATTATATGGCTAGATGATTCGTTTCTTACTGACACAATGACCTTTCCAAGAGACCATTTTTCAAGAGAGTTCAACAATTTTCGTGTCTAATTTAAATAATGCCTACAACTTAAATTATAAATTCGACCGGAACATTATTTATTGTAAAAATTATGTTAGAATTATTTTTAAATTTGATTATAACCATAACATTCATTTTTTTGAAAAGTCATTTTTTCTCGATTCTTTCGTGTAATATGCAAAGGGAATTATTTTCAAGTACATGAAAAATTTTATATTTATTTTTCATTATCGATATAATTATTACAATAAGCTTTTAATTTAATTACAATAAGTCTTTTAATTTTTGAAAACAGTTGATTAATTTGATTTAAAACTTTCAAGAATAGATTTTTTTATAGTTCAAAAAGATTTATTTTATAAATTTTAGTTTGTTTATGCAAAGTTAAAATTTTTGAATTAGAAAAGTTGATCTAGTTGCTGTATTTTGTTAAGATAGTAAAATAAATAATCTGCGCTGATTGGGAACATCGAGAAAAGACAACGTTTCTTAATTAGTAAAATTTTAGAGATCTAATGAATTATTAAAATGAATTTTGATTTGTCAATCAATGAAATTATCTGCGATGAATAGAGGTATGTAAATTATTCTTGACAGCCAAGACCAGCGGACCAATTACAGATTCCACCGATTGGATCGAAAGAGAGTTTGTTCGGACAAGTGTATTCAGTTCCAACGACCTGCCCACTGACCATTCTTGCGCAAGTAATGAATTTTTTGCATGACGTTGGATGAGGGAAATTGCCCTGATCAAGACAATTGATGTGACCCCTGCTAGTGACGTAGAGCTTACCATTAAGCCTCGGCTTTCCCACAATTCTGATTTCCTCGTCCTCATAATAATCGTAATCAATTATCGCTGGACGTCGAGGTCGCTGTGTCAAATTCTGTGTGACAATTTTGTTGTAATACTTTTGACCCTGTCGGCGTCTTAAGGCCGGAATGTCAGTGGTTGCCAGAGTTCTTGGCAGTTCCGTCGTACTTATTTTTCGCCAATATGTTGCTCCACTTGGAGAATTACCTAATCGTAGAAACAACTTTTCAGAAACTTTTTTTGATGGGTTTGTTTTTTACAAAAACACTTAAAGTGTTTTAGAATATGTGCTGAATGAATAATTAATATTAATAATCATAAAAAAGCAATCGTGTTATTCGAGGTGAAAGACGACGTGCAGGCCAAGAAGTAAGACACTGGTGATAAGAAAAGATAAGGAGAGAGAGAGAGAGTGAGAAAGATGCGTTAAAGTATATTCTGAAAAGCAATCAAAAAAAGTACTGAATCAAAATGAAATTTATCAACTTTTCTTGAAAATTGCTCTACAGAACAATAGAATTAAAGGCACAATGATATAGTAGAAAATGGAACAATAAGACGAGCGTTACAAATTTTATGAAGACGGAGAAGAATCAAGAGCTAAGACATTGACGAGAGTTAGTGCGTGTATAGAACAAGTCTTTAAGAGCCAAACGATGAGAAGATTGAAGTAATTTCAGCTGAGAAGGAATCAGACGATCGAGATTAGACGTGAAAGAATACTTTTTAAAGAGTGAATCTTGGAAAGAACATTAGAAAGAGTTAAAGAGGAAGAAACGTTCAAATGATTATAAGGATCATTCTCGAGGATGCTGTACCAGACTCTGTTGTCGTTTCAAGATTCTCGAGCACTAACTCATGCGCTCTGTTGGCCTGATCGTCCATCTCAGCTCTCTGGTCTTCTAGCCTTGCTAAGTGTTCAAGATAAGCTGCCGCTGTATCGTCCGCAGAAGCTGTAACACAAATGTAAAATCGTTTGGTTTAGAGCGTAACAAAAAATTTAATTCAATGTTTATTATAACATTTCACAGTAAATCGTAGCAGGTATTAAAAAGTGTTGCAGATTAAATTAACACCAACAAAAGATTCAAATAATCAATTTTGGTGTTATTTTTTACAATTAATGAAATAGTTCATTAAATTTTTTATAACTATAAAACATGAAGATATCGATAACTCCGAGTTCGGAGTGATTCGACTCGGAGTGATCGATTTCTTCATATTTTATAATAATTAAAGATGACCAAGTAATAAAATCATTATTTTATATTATAAAAATATTATACTTCTTCAAAATTATTTTCATTATTTCAATTCAATTATTATTTTCAAAATTTTTTAACTAATTTTACTTCATATCTATTAATTCTAATAATTTTCGAAAAAGTTCTTTGGCAATTTTCAAATCCATTTCTTTACAATATTCAATTTCACGAAATTTCAATTATTCCTAAATTCTTTAATTAAATGCATATTCGAAAATAAAACCTTCAAATAATATAAAAGAAAATTCAATTAAACTTTTTCAAAAAAATTAATTTCAAAATTCAATTATTTCTAAAAATTCACGCTTTATTGCTTTTCATATTCAATTATAAACTAAAATTTTAACTGAAATTCATTTTTATCAACTGAAAATCAATTTTTATTAGAAAATTCTACTAGAATTTAATTATTTAAATGCAAAAGTAAATAATTTATTGAATAATTGAATGTTTCTCAAAATTCAAATCTCAAAGAATTTTATTAACAAATTTTTAAATAATTGAATTCTTTTGTCGTGGTTTATTAAAACTTGCATGAACATAATTACTTTTTTTCAAGGAATTTAATTATAATTGTATATGAAAAATAATTGAAATGCTGTGATGAGTTTTATTATTAGGAAAAATAATTATATCCTTAAAAAGAATTTTATTACTCTTGAAAATAATTGAATTTCTGCAATAATTTCTAACTTCTCTAAAAGTTAATTTTTTTTCTAGTGTTTTTAACTAAAATTCTTCAATAAATCCATTATTTTTAATAATTTTCTAAAAAGTTCTCTGGCAATTTTCAAATCAATTTGTTTACAATATTCAATTTTTCAAAATTTCAATTATTCGGAAATTCTGCAATATTAAATTTATATTAACAATGTTTTTTTATATTTAAAACTTTATTCCGCTTTTAATTATAAACAATAAGTGATTTATAGGTTTTGGTAATTTTTTCTTGTAAAAAACATTCTCAAGTAAATTTCTTTTTGATGTAGCAACAAATATTCATAAATTAAATATAATTTTTTTGCGGTTTGCAAACTTTTGAAAAACTATGTACAAAAGGGTTCGTCCAGAAGATTTGTTAAAAATAAAATTATATAAATCATTTATAAGTTGTTATATAAATATTTGGTGAAATTTACACTTTCATATGCCAATTGCCTCTTTTTTTATGATAGAATAATCATTTCAAAATATTAATATTAATATTAAATAAATTATGAAAAAAATACAAAATTTAAATTTTTTGTGAAAAAGAAAAATATTTATTAATTTTATAAATTTTGCTAAAATATATACTTTGTATACATAAATCAATTCGTTTTCTTGTCAGGAATGTAATTTTGAGAATAATTAATGAAAATATTAACAAATAAAAAAATTATTTCAAAAAATACAAAAAAAAAATTGTATAAAAAAAATTTTGTAGATATTTTCGAAAATGCAAAGCTTCCTCATGAGGAAGCAAAAAGAATCAATTCTACAGAATTGTTTGTCAAAAATATGAAAAATTAAGAATTTCAATGATTTTAATTTGAAACTTTTTCAAAAATTCAATTATTTCAAAAAATCCACGTTATAATACTTTTAATATTTAATTATAATCGAAAATTTTAACTGAAATTCATTTTTAAAACTATTTTTATTAGTAGTTTCTACGAGAATTCAATTATTTAAATGCAAAAATAAATAATTTATTAATTTCATGTTTCTTAAAATTAAAAAATTAATTTTTTTTTTCTGATGAGGATGCAGAATACTGCATCGAAAGGCGTCAAAATTTTGATGTAATTTAAATAAAGTTTAAAGCCATTAGGCCACAAGAAAGAAGGAAATCTTTACTTTATTAAAAAATTAAATTCTCATAAAAAAAGTTATCAACAAATTTTTTAAATCATTAAATTCTTTGGACGAATTTTAATAAAATTTTTAAGAATAATTACATTTTTCGAGGAATTCGATTAAAATTGCATTAAAAATAATTGAAATTTTGCAATGAGTTTTATTATTTATAAAAATAATTGAATTCCTAAAAGAATTTGATTATTTATAAAAATAATTGAATCCCTGTAAAAATGTTATTATTTATGAAAATAATTGAATTATTGCGAAGAAATGTATAAAAAAATTTGTAAATAATTGAATTCCTGTAGAAAATTTTATTATTTATGGAAATAATTGAATGTTTGCATAGAATTTTATTCAAATTTTTTTTTTAATAATGGAATTCTTTTGGAAAATTTTATTGAAATAGTAGATATTGAAAATCAATGAGTTTTAGAAAACTTTTGAAAATAATTGAAATTTTGACAAGAATTTGATTAAAATTTTGTAAAATAATTGAATATCAGAGAAGAATTTTATTTTTTATAAAGAAAATTGAAATTTTGACGAGAATTTTTAAAAATTTTTGAACATAATTGAATTTAGTGACTATGTCACTAAGTTAGTTAGTAAGTTAGTAACTAACTTATTAACTCACTATTCTCCCTAGAGAAACTAAATTCGTTGAATTTTGCCAAATCGTTGACTTTGGTTTTTTATTTTAAGTCAAATTTCATTCATAGTTAAAAATAACACCAAAATAGATATTATTTTAATCCTTTTTGGTGTTAATTTAATCCTAGAGGGATTAAACTGTTGCAGATTATTTTAATCCATTCTGGTGTTATTTTAACACCTCACGTTTTACTGTGATTACAAAATGGAATTATTTTCTTAATTTTATATAAATTGTGACGGAAAATTATTTTTCACGTTACGTTCCTTCTCAAAAGTCAGTCGAATATCTTTAAATTTAGAAGTCCTATATCTCATCTGAACCTGTGTAATGGCTTGCAACAATATTTGCTACTAAATCTTCCTTTAGATCTTATCAGTTTATTATTTCAAATTAGTTTCATTAAAATTAAATAATTTTTTAAAAATACATCCGCCATATTGGATTTTCAAAGTATGACGTATTGTGTAAAGTATTGTGTAAAAGTTATGAGAGAAAATATTTTTTGGTACGCAGGATGATATTCATGGTTAGTCAACATTTTCTACAACAGAAACAATTAAAATTATTACCATAATTTAATTGTGAAGGAAGAGTCACATCCTGAAGGTGAAGTGTCTGACGTGCAGGACTGGTAAATCGTCTTAACGTCGGATGAACGGAAGAAAGTGTCTGATGAGTTGTTGTTCTCACTCTACTTCGATTTGGCTCACGACTCAATGATCCTGCTCGTCGTAAACTATCTGACGATGTACGATAACTGTTAACCTGTTGATAAATGTGATAATTGTATGAAGATAACGTTATATGATGAAAAAAATAAGAAAATAAACTAAAGACACATCATTTGATAAAAATAGTGCAGCTAAAGCCAAATGACACAAACAAGATTAGAATGAAGAATGACTAGACTAAAAGTATTGCACAAAAAGCATGTTAAGTTTTTTGAAACTACAAAAAAGCGTACTACGAGGACTTCGTAGAAATGGTACGTCCTCGAAGAATCAGTGTGTTAATATAAAAAACGATCAGAGGCGTGTATAACAAAGATAGCAGCGAGTTTCTTGTTTATTTTTTTACGCTTGCTTCTTGCTTCCTTTTTTTTTGATTAGTAGTCAAGAGTTACGGAAGGAATGAGCTTTCATGTGACGGAATTCCTTGGTTTTTTTTTGTTTTGTTAGCTGCGTAGAAAGTAAAGGACGTCGAAGATTATAAAGACCTGGACGTCGCCACAGGTATTTTGTTAGCTTTCTTAGATATTCCCATCTTCCAAATAAAAAGAGGCCAACCTCCGATTTTTAATTGTAATTTTTAATTGCAGAACTGTGATATTTTTTTTAGGATCAGCCTTAAATTTTTGTTTTTTAATGTGAAGAGGCGGTGTTGGTTAGAGAAGGGGAGAGGTTTTCGTAAATTGCTTTTGGAAAACTGACCTCACTGCCAGCTTCCTCCGCATCTTCCACGATTTTCGGTTCTGGATTTAAAGATAACTTCTTGCCCTTCCTGTTAATGAATTCCTCGTCTTTTGACGCGTCGTGCGTTCGAGTTTTAGGTCTCTTCCTCACGACTGTTCTGATTCTTTTAGGTGCTATTTGATTCTGATGATCGCCTACTTTTGAGAAACTTTGCACGGTTGTCGTTGACGGAGTAGTTACAGTTGAGAATTTTTTAGCACCTCTGTGAACTACAATACGTTTCCTGATTATTGGAGGACCCGTAGAAGTGCTCGTTCCTCTACTTGTAGTTGTCTCAATGGTTAAAGGTTTCGAGTCGTCTTTATTTCTCGTTAAATTCGTTTCGGGAGTTTCTACTTTTATCTTAACTTCGCTCTTCTTTAAAATAGTTTCAGTTGTTTCATGTTTCGGTTGAATTCTTTTTCTTTTTTTTAAAACACGTCGACGTTCAGTGGCTTTTGGATTTTTCAAAATAATTCCCTCCGTATGTTTCTTATTGGTTTTTGGTGTCACTTCTCTTTGATGGTCAATCATGAAATCATGATTAGAATCAATTTCGCTACTTCTTGATATAGTAGGTGGATTTTTATTTTTCGTCGAAACCGTGGACGTTGAATACTGATCCTGATTATTCACAGTTGTTCCGTATTCTTTTCTATCTGTTACGCTATTTCTATTTTCTAATTGGAGTGTTTCATTATGATTTATACTTTCCTGGTCCGAGTCAACTTTATCTAATTGCGAATCAAGGATATTTACTGCTGTCGAGAAATCAGGTTCTTCCGTTATTCTATATTCATCTATTAAATGAAAGTTTCCGAATTCTGGATCTGTTTCGGATTCTGGATCCAATTCGGTTATTTTATAGTTTGTCATTTGGTCTGTGAAATTTTCAACTGTAGGCGATTCGGTAAAAGAACTAATTGTAGAATCGTAGGGAATTGCTGTTGGGTTTGGATTAGTTGCAGATTCAAGAAGTGAAGGAGTTTCAGAATTTAAAGCTGAAGGTTCCGAATTTACGGACAGATCAGATTTCTTCGAAGTCACATCTGTATCAGCAGAGTATTCCAAAGTGTCTGTATCATGTGTAGAAAAATTTTCTCTTATCTTTGTTAATCGAATTCTTTTCGAAGAGTTGAAATCTTCATGGTTGTCATGTTCCTTAGGGACTGGTTTTCTTTTGATAATTTTCGTCCTTAAATGTCGTCGGGGACTGGTAATACGATTAGTAGTAGTTGCTGGAGTACTATAGGTATCCTCAAATGCAGTAGCTATTGTTGCCAACACTTCTGTTGTGGTTTTCGATAAGTCATCATTTCTCTCCGACAGTTCTAAATTCTTACCAGGGAAATTGATATCATCTTGTTGATTTGTATCGTAATGTAAATAATCGTTATTTACGTTAGGTAACTCAGTGTTTGATTCTCTATTCTCCAAAAGGGAATCTTCATCGAAATTATCTTCATTAGTATTTACGGTTGTTGCGAGGAATGTTTGATCGTAATTCAAACCCTCTTCTCCTATGTCAGGAGATATTTTTTCAACAATTGAGAATTCCTCATTATTCAAATTTACTTCCTCTGTATTAGATGATACTTTTTCATTATTTTCTGCTATGGAAGGTATTGTTTCAACATTAGATACATTTTCTTCAACACTAGGAGACATTTCTTCCTCGTTATATTCCGTTATATTTGAATTCATTTCATCGGGACCGGAAGTTAGGTTTTCAAATGTGAAATGCGGCATTTGGTTATTGCTCGACTCGGTAGATTGTAACGTTTTATAATCGTCACGAGTTGTTAAGATTTCCTCCGTACTTTTTGTGAGAAAAAATCCGCGAGGGTATTCAGTAGATGTTAAATCCACAGGAATGATACTTCTAGAAGTAATTATGCTGGCTGTAGTATCTGTAGTTTCGAATTTAATTTTTCTTCTAACGGGTCTTGTTTGAGAATTGGGAGATACTGCAGCTTGAGAAGATTTGATTCGAATTCGTCTTCTTCGAGTTCTTTCGTTATTTGTTGGAAGACTTTTTTCATCATTGGAGAGAAGTGTTATGTTTTGAACATGGGACGAATTTTGGTTCCATTCACTGGGTTGCATTCCTCTATAAGTAGCAGCGGATCTGTCAAGTTCAATCAGCTTTTCGTTTCCGTTAATTTGCTTTTCACTTTCTAGAATTTCTTCCTTCGTAGTTACTAAAGATAAATCATTGGTCAGAAGATTAGTTTCACCTGCCTTCTCTTTCAACTCTGAATTATCATCTTTTTCAAAAATGTTCGGATCGATGACTCTGATCTTCAACACTGTGTGAAGAATCGTTTTGTTGAAATTCTTCTGAGGAACACGCAAAAGGAGAAGGTTATTTGGATTTTGAACCTTGTCGTCTAGAATTTGAATGGGGATGTCAACAACTTCTTCATCCTCTTCATGTTCTGGGTATTTGGAAAAGCCTCGAGTTGAAATTAACGGTATTGGTGGTAATGACAATTGGGTATTTTTGTCATCCCCGTAGATATCGGAGTTTATTTCACTATGGTGAGCGATAAGTTGCTTCAGAGTTGGTAGTTGGAAACTCTCTAAACTGGCCATCTGAAAATGAAAATGAGAGTACATTTTAATCTCCTCAATATCTTCCTTCAGTCTTCCTCTCATTTCAATCATTTTCTTTCGTACTTCTCTTCATTCGTTCGTTTCTTCACCCACTGTCTGCTAGGGGAAGAGTAATATGTAATAGATGATGTGGAAGCTTTAGTAGTGTGATGTGTCCGGTCGCTAGCTTCTACGTTACTATAGTTCTACTTTGGAAAATAATGGATGATGATGTCGATGGCATATGTATTATGGTACACTTTTTTGTTTCTTAGAGACTAGATGTATCGTTATTGGCGACTATCCCTGCTGGAAGAGATAAGATTGTTGAAAACTGACTCGATTTCAATAGTTGACGATTCACCGGATGATTCGGTGGTGAATTTACCTCCGTTTTTCAAGAAAGCACTTTCAATCGGCAATGTTGATTTCTCAACACTCGCTTCCGTCGAATCGGGTCTAATTTCGTTTTGAGATTCATTCTTCAGTTTGTCTTTGGATTTTCGTTTCACCGAGAATGAGGTAGGATCTGGGGTAGTTTGAAAGGGAACGAATGAAGTGGACGTCAATTGTGAATATTTACGTCGAATTAGAATCTTTTGGCGTTCGGTCGTAGCTGACTCAACTACAGAAGTGACTAATCTCGTGATTTGTGGTTTGGAGGATGGAGTCGTCGAGTAGATGTCAACAAAATTTTGCAATTCGCTCTCTTCCTTATTTTTTGATTTCGAACCTCCACGTTGGGATTGTTGCTTCCGGAGATAAGCGTCCGCTACGTAGTCGAATTTCTTAGCTGGAATTAACGTTTCTGTTACACTTTGTTCAGTTACGCTGATTCTTTTTGGGAAAAATCGATTCTTATACTGTGTTTCGTCGTTGTCAGCAGTGCTGTTTTCGTCAATTTGTACGCGCACTCTCGGTTTTCGATAGATCGATAACGTTGACCTTAGACTGCTTTCACGATCATCTGATTTTTGCTCTGGTGCTGCTTCCACTGTTCTGGAATTCTGACGATATTCCGGTCTGCGATAAACAGGTCCTACTTTTTCATCGCCTTCGAAATTCATCGGTTGGGTATGCAGCAGAAGAACGGGATCTTCAGTAGATGCTTTTGGAGAAAAAGTTCTAACGGTATTGAAACTTTTCCAAAAGTCATCAGTACCGACAAAGGAAGAATTTGTTAACGTCTTCTTTCCATTCTCATTGTCATTTTCTTCTAAATTAATTCTTTGCTCGACTTGGGTCTTCGAACTTGGACGACGTCTTATAAATAAATTTTTTCTTCGTTTTGCAAGTGCCTCTGGATCGGCTTCTGTTGAGATACTTGGATTCGAAGTAGTTGCAGTTGGGAAACGACGAGCATTCGTTATTGCAGACGTTGGACTTGGTGTTCTTCGAGAGTACTTATAACGAGAATTTGGTGACTCGGTTGTTTTCGCCGGAAGTGGACTGGTTACTTCAAAGAGTGCTGAAGTTTCTGGGAATCTAGAATTTTCATAAGTATTGTAATTAAACGTAGACTTGAAATCATGAAAAGTTGTAAAATCATCTGGAATAGTGAGAGTAGTCGGCACTGTTGATGTCTGGTATGTATCAAAATATGTTGTTCTAGAATGTAAATCATCAGGGTTTGTCGAATCGTATTTTGTCGTTTGATCAAGTAGTGTCGTTTTTCCTTCTGTTGAATCAGTATAAAAATCCTTAAAGAAAGAAGTAGAATCGAAAATTGTACTAACTGGTTCCGTTGTGTAAAATTCGTTTAAAGTTGAAGGATAATCAGTACTTGATGGATATACAGTTTTTTCAATGTTTGGCGTTGTTGACTTATTCAGTTCCCTGAGTTGATCCTGATTGGTTTGTTTTTCGGTAGACGATTTTCCTTCTTGTACAGGACGTAGACGACGAATGACTTTTCTGTGCTTGTTGGGAAAATTGTCGGCTTCATTTCCAGCTGTAGATGTTTCCACTCCAGTTCTTCTCCTCAACAATATGATTCGTCTTCTTGAGCTCGTGGACTCTGTTGTCGATGACCTTCCCGATAATTCATTAGGAGTTGTAAATTTTCTTAAGTTCCGGGTCCTGGTAGGTTCTGCACTAACAGACGGATGTGTGACAGTGATACCAATATCAGTGGAATAGTACGGATGTATCGAGTTCAGTCCAGTCCATCCCCGGCTTTCATTCTTCTCCTCAGTAGACTTTGAATACGTTCCGGTTGTTTTGGCAAAATTATAGGACGAAGAAGGGGAGAAAAAAGTTTCTTCCTCTAATCTTGACGTGGAAGTTGTTTCACTGAGATCTCGGAAAGAAGCTTGAGCAGTCGAATCTTCAAATCTTCTTGAACCTTGTCGCGTTCTCGATCTAGGATCAACGCTTTCTGAATCCTTAAAAATTCTTATGTTCGTAATCCTTGAGGAAGCTTCTTCGACACTTTTTCCAGGTCGTCGGGATTTTCTACTCTGATCCTTTGGGGATGTATCAGTCGATATTCTGATAATGGAACTATCGTCCAATTCGTTTCGAGATCCACGTCCAATATTTGATTTCGAAGTTGGTCGTCTTCCTCTTCTTGATGATTGATTTCTGTTAGTAGTTGGGCTTGAAGTTGAAGTTCTGGGTCTAGATTTGTTATTAGTTCCGTCTGTGGGAATTTTTTCTCTTGATTTAAATCTAGAATTAGTTTCATTTGCAGGAGTTGTAGATGTTGATCTACCTCTTGTAGGTCCTCGAGTTCTACTCCTGAATCTACTGACTGGTGTGGAGTTATCCTGAAATCCATTATCGTCCCTGATTCTTTCGGAGACGTGACTCGAAGATTCCGTCGTGACTCTTGATCTTGCGCGACCTCGTGTTTGGTTTGTGTTGGACGACCGTGCAAAGTTTCTGGACGGTTTACTCACCTTGGACCTTGAGGAAGACGATGGAGTCGTGGAGTCCAAACTTGATGAAGTCACACTTGATCGAGATCTACCGCGGGTGAATCCAAAGGGTCTCGGTTGGGAAACAGCGGCGAAGATTTCTTTCGTTGTAGACTCGATGGGAACTGTCGAAGGACTGGTGGAGGGCGAAGTTGCCAATAGAATTTCAGTTGCTGATTCTTCGACGAGTTTTACATTCGCTGAATTTACTGAAGAATAGGATGGGGAAGGTGTTTTTGTACTGAATATAGACTCGTCGTGATTAGTAACTGATTGAGTTGTTGGGTTTTCTGTGGTTGTAATTGTGGTTGAAATTGTTGTTAAAGGGGTCGTTGATTGTGAAGACGAGGATGAACTCTGTGAGAAAGTCATTGATACGGTGTAAGGGAATGCTGAACTTCCAGGAGAGGAAGTTGTGTCCTTGAATGTGTTTAAATTTGTTTGGGTTTCTTTCGAATTAAATGGAGTATCTTCGTTTTCAATCTTTTCTTGTTTCTCTGTTGTGCTTCTAAAACGTTGAATACTGATGTACCTAAAATTATAATTATTATTAGAAATAAGTCAAAGTTTAACTCTTTGAATGATAATTGAATTTTGAATTATTTTTTTTCAGAAATGTCAGTCAATTTTTGATGATTGATTATATAAACCTGGATTTTGCGGATTCGTCGACTTTTTTATTAGGGAAAATGGTTCTCTTCGCGGACTTCTCGGTCTCAGTTGGACTTTGGAATTCGTCAAAATTATCACTGGTAGAGTTTCTGTAACAATGATAATTAGAATATCATTAGAATTCCAAAGATATGGTTATGAATTATTTTGATTAATACTACCTTTGTGTTTTTAATTCCTTGTTGTCTGCAACATTCTTTTCGGTTCTGCAAAAAGTAATTCTTATTTAGTAATTTCTTAAGTTTGATGTTTGAAATAAATTAAAGAATTTCTATATTATACCTTGTACTTAAAACAGGGAAACGTTGTCGAGGACCGAGTTGATCGACATCAACCTCATCTTCCTTTACGTTAACATCGTTACTATCTCTGCTAGAACTAATTAAACAGAATTAGTTAATTATTCAGATTACTGCGATTAATGATTCACATAGATAACGAACCTTGCAGCGACAGGACGATTCCGTCTAATATTGACGTAACTCGGAGTGACTCGTGGCAAAAGTATTTGCTCCTCAGGAGGATTGCTAATGCTTCTCTCTTCTGATGAAGCGACATCTGCGTTGTCATTTTTTTCTTCTTGATCCTCGTTTTCATCGATTCTCTCAGATGGAGAAGACCTTAAAAAGACAAAATTTTAAGTCTAAAAAATAATGGTGTTACGGAGAAGAACACCCTAAAGTTTTGTTGCAATAGTAAATCGGTTTTACTTTAATTTAACTATTTTTTAAGTGACAATTTTTTCTGCAATCATTGTCAGTGTTAGTATTTATTATCTTCTAATTTAAAAATGAAAATAAAATATTTTTACTCTTACCTGGATCTTTCTATGGTTGTGTATTGAGGTTTGTTAGTCCTCCTGAGACTTTTAACTTCGGGAAGATCATCGAGTCCATCGAATTGCGCTCGACCAGGTCCATTTGTGTAACCGATTCGCGGCCTCTTGCTCCTTTCACTTTCATCACTCGCTTTATTCTCAAGTGGTTTCGAAGATGTTCCAAAGAATCTGGAATTAACTTTAGACGCTTGCCTATTTAGAACACGTTCGTACAAGCTACGACTTATGGTAGCCGGAGTAACTTGTCCACTTCCAATTGTAGTACCGGACTGTCCTCCGGCAGGTTTCTCCTGCAAGAGAAGCTGTTTCTCGAGTTGCTCAATTCCTCCGGCTTTTTTAATTAAGTCAATCAACTCCTTGATCACTCGTGGATCCTCTTCTTCTGCAATATCCAACGGCTTTTCTGGACTTTCTTCATGTTTGTGAATTGTCGTTGCTGCTGTTGTTGTTTTTACGGAGGGAGCGGTCGTAGAACTCGGTCTGTTTCTACTAATTGTTTTATAAAGAAGGGGTTTAGCTGTTGTTGTTACAACTTCTTCCTCTTCCTCCTCCTCATCATCTTCGTATTCGTATTCCTCTTCTGGCTCAGGTTTTTCCGTTGTCGTTCGACGAGTTGTTGATCTAGTCGTTGTTGTCGGTGCTTTTGTTGTTGTTAATTCACTTGTTGATTTTACTTTTGGGCAAACAACATTACGAGGGTAATCACAAGAGTCAGCACCTTTGTTGAAAACCAAACCTAGTAATCAAAGAGAACTTGATTATAACCCCTTGAAAAATCAATGGAGAGTTAATAATTTAAGAAAAATAGTTACCAGAGGGACAAGTAAATTGATGAGCAACAACTCCAAGACCACTGGGTCCACTGTCTAAGCACCAGAAATATTTCTTACAATCTCGTGGATGGGGGAAGAAACCTTCATCTTCGCACTTGAAATCTGAAAATTATTTACGCAATTAGATAATTTTCATCCACCAATCAATTTTTGTACCCATTAATTCTTTTGTGTTGTAAATTGATTATTTAAGGCTGAAACTCACCGCTTCCTGGATCTGGAGTTGTTGGTGGTTCCGGAGTAGTTAACTTATTATTAACAGATTCTTCGACCTTGGAATTTTCCGCCAATTTATTGTCTCGATTTTTTTGTTTCCTACGAGCTCTACTTTCTGCTGTTTGGATTCTAGGACGATTCTTGATGAGTCTTGCCCTCGTGGGTTTCTCGCTGGCTCTAACAAAATTTCTATCATCTTCTTCATCGTCATCCAAAATGTCTTCATCATCTTCGTCATTTTGCGAGGCTCGCGTGCTGGATCTACTTTTAAATTTTAGGGAACTAGTCCTTTTTCTAGAAGGAGCTTCAGTGGTACTCGTTCTTCGATTTGCAGATGAGTATTGCCTTCCCGATGAATTACTTTGGCTTGACTGAGTTCTTGTTGGCTTTCTGAGTGACGGCTTTTCTTTCGCTTCTTCCTGTTTGCTAAAGTTCGATAACAACTGTTCATTAATATCAATATAACTAATTTAATATCAGTCTATTAAATTATGAAAAGATAATTAAAATTTTGAATAACATTAAAATTAATCCTGTATTAAAGGGTAATTAATATATATTTAGTTACTAAGTGAAGGTAGAAATACTTACGAGCTGCCAGCGAGAAGAGCTTCTTTCGCAGCTTCAATTAGTGGATAAGGACGACCATGACATTTTCCTCGGAAGTCATCATTGTCAATGGACCAAAACATAATTCCTCCGAGTTTCTTCTCATTTACATATTGAGCTTTCACCCGAACAATATTTTCATCATCATAACCAACCCATTGATTTTCCTTAAAAGCATAGGGTCCCATAGCTTCCGGATTTGGTTGCACCACTTCCCATTCATCTTTTTGGACGTTTTCACAAATCTAATAATTATAAATTTTATTTATTGAAAACCTTTATTGCCGTTTGATAAAAAAGATCTAAAATACACACCTCATAATAGGCCAAATATCCCTTTTCCCTAGTGGCATCTCCTTCATTTCCGGGACCATCAGCCGGAGATCCAATATCCGTTGAATCTTCATTGAAAAGTGTGTACGATCTGCCGTAAGTAGGGATGCCGAGTACAATTTTCTCAGAACTGGCGCCTTGCTTAATGAGATGATTAATGGTAAATTCCTGCAAATTAAGAAGATACTTTTAATGATCCTTCGCACTTGTGTTTTCACGAGACTTTCACGCTTTCTTTTGAAATTAGCGGTACAAATTAGTTATGAATATTAAAATGACTTACGATCGTTAATTCTGTATCGTAATTGTACTCATTATCCTCCTCGAGAGGATAAAGGGGAGAATGATGATTAACAGCGGGCTCGAAGGCTGAATGATAATCGTATGATAAAAGATTTATAAAATCAAGATTGTCATTCAAACGCGGCACATCGTAACCTTTGTCTATGTATTCAATCCCAGCTGGCATCGCCATTGTAATTAATAATCTGGGACGTCCCGTCTTTAAAGATTCTCTCTCGAATTGTTCCCGAAGTTCCTTCATCGTAAAAGTTTTGTTTATTAGTAAAAGATATAATTAATAACTAATAAGAATTACAAATTGAATTAATTGCTTGAATAAGAAATCTTAATAAAAATTTTAATCTTTATAAAAAATGACGTAAAAAGAAGTAAAAAATTGACGTAAAATAATTTTTGTCTTAATGATTTAAATTTACGGCAGATTGTATATTAACGTAATTGAGGAAAGTGAAAAAAGCACCTCAACGAGAATCGCGTAGTTTTCTTTGTCTCGCGGTTTGCCACCATCTCTAAATGCAGGATATTCCCAGTCAAGATCAAGGCCATCAAAGTGATTTTGCCTCAAAAATTTCACACAGTTTTTCACAAATTCTTTCCTTCGGTGCGCGTCAGCGACCATTGGTGAAAACCTGCTGGATCCTTCATTCCAACCACCGATCGCCAGGAGCGTCTTCAGGTTCTTGTTGTACGTTTTGAGACCGGTGAACTTTGCGTAACCACCTTCGGGTTAAATGTGCAAATATAAAATGTCATATTAAACAAGAATTCTTCGTTTTCACAATATTATTGCATTTTACCATTTCATAGAAGGTTTCTTGCTCTAGGCAAGAATTAATTTCTTCTTTACCTTTTTCTTTAAAGATTTTATTAAATTTCAATATATGTCTTTAAATTTATTTTCTCTTGATGTGTGTAACTTTTACAAGAAAATAGTAATTTGAATTTAATATAACAATATAAATAAATTTAATATAAATTATTATAATTTATCATAAATTAGTTAGAAATTAATATAAATATTTTATTTAATTTACAATTAACCCTTTAAAAATGGTTTAAAACTCGTCCGCCATATTGGATCCACCATTTTTGTTTCTTTAAAACCAACACTGGATCATAGAATAGTTTAATGTATGCCGCAAAGGGTTAAAAATTTAAATACCAAAATGAAAATTATCACTTTAATTGGAAAAGAACATAAAAAGTAAAGAAGAAAGATAAATAAAGTTGCAAAAGAGAAAGCAAATAATCGTAAGAAATTAACTTAAAATTAATTTGTCAATTACCTTTTTCGATGTCCTGATATTTGTCAAAAGGTTTTAACGTATTATCCTTGGTAAATCCACCAAATGCATAAATTAAGTGAGTACAGAGATAAGGATTAATGTTTTGTGGTGAAAATTTTGCAGTCCCTGGCCTGTACACTGACCAATTTGTGTAATAACAAACGACCCTTTTTTCTGCGTTACCTGAAAGAATGAAATAAAAAATCCACATGAGAGTTTGAACAGTTTTAAGAAATTTTATTGAAAATGTTTTCTTTTAACTTAAATAGTTATGTTTTATTTGAAACATATTTAAAAACATTTTTTGAGAATAATTTTTTAACATTCTCTTTTATTACATTCTCAGTACATGAGAAGATAATTTTAATATCACTTTTACTTCAGTAGAAGGTATCTTTGAATATGTTGTAAGAGTAAATCTGTTTCAAGCAAATTTTTTCTAATATTAAAATAATGTAATAAACGCTGAAGGAAGGTAATAAAATTAGTGTCAGGAGAGTTATTTATAGACAACTCTTTAAATATATAAATTAGTGAAATTTCACTGATTCACATTGTATATTATATGCTAATTGGAATTAGTGTTAGGTCTCAGAAACAATAATCATATATGAGAAAACTGACTTTCGTACATGTTTATAATTCCGCTTGACGATGTATATATTAATTAATAAATGAAAGTAGCTTTTATAAAATGTTCGCACAAGAAGAATGTTTTTTATAATCGTCCTATATTGAATGTATACTATGTGTAAGATGTAATTATAAAAGTTGATAAAATTTAAAAAAGATCCAGAAAGCGATTTTATAACTACAAGAACGAACGGAATGTCCAGAATTTTAATAGGAAACATTATTTAATCAAGAGAAAAGTTATTTTCTGTAAAGGTTTTTATCTACAGAGTAGGTGCTCAAGGACAGCAATTTTTACTGTACGTCAATCAGGTAATTAAAAGGCAAAGTAATTTATATACAATTTATGTAAAATATAAATTAAATAATAAATGTTTAATAGGAATTTGTGGGATACAAGTGCTGTGAATAGGTTATAGGTCTCAGGCTGATAGAGCTTTTTAATTAATGTACTTTAAATATTTGATTAGCAGTTTCCCTTCAATTGTCATTATTCATATTTTTATTGTATTATTTTTAATGTTGAAATAAGTGATTCAAATTGAGATTTATACATCATTATTACATATTTATATCCTCTTCAACATAAAAATTAATTTTATTTTAAATTTACGTACTTTTGATTTATCCTACGGGGTAAAAGCCAGTTTTTTTGAAAAAAGGTTCGTGAAGTCCGTAATTTAATTAAAAAATGACGAAATTAAATTATTTTCAAAAATAACAAAATTTTTATCAGGAATTCAATTATTTTTAAAAATTACCATAAAATTATTCGCAAAAATTCTATTATTTTTCCAAACTATTAACAAAGTTCTTGAATTCAATTATTTTTCTAAATAACAAAATTCTTAGTAAGAATGCAATGATTTTTATAAAGAACAAAATTCTTAGTGGGAATTGAATTATTTACAATTTTTTTTTATAAAATTCTTCAAAGAAATTCAATTATTTTCAAAAATAACAAAATTTTTATGAGGATTTCAATTATTTTCAAAAATTTCATAAAATTCTTCGCAAAAATTCTATTTATTTTCCAAACTTTTAATAAACTTCTTGACAAGAATTTAATTATTTTTCTAAATTCTAAATAACAAAAATCTTAGTAAAAAATCAATGATTTTTATAAAAAAACAAAATTTTTAGTAGGAATTAGATTACCTATTTAAATTTTTTTTTACAAAATTTTTCGAAGAATTTCAATTATTTTTAAAAATAACAAAATTTTTGTCAGGAATTCAATTATTTTCAAAAATAACAAAATTTTTAGCAGGAATTCAATTATTTTCAAAAAGTTCATAAAATTCTTTACAGAAATTTAATTATTTTCAAAAATAAGAATTTAATTATTTTCAAACATTTCATAAAATTCTTGGCGAAATTTTAATTATTTTCAAAAATAACATAATTTTTATCAGAAATTCAATTATTTTTAAAAATTACCATAAAATTCTTCGCAAAAATTTTATTATTTTCCAAACTTTTAATAAAGTTCTTGACAAGAATTTAATTATTTTTCTCAATAACAAAATTCTTAGTAAGAATTCAATGATTTTGATAAAGAACAAAATTCTTAGTAGGAATTAAATTATTTAAATTTTTTTTTTACCAAATTCTTCGAAGAAATTCAATTATTTTCAAAAATAGGTATCAAAATTTTTAGCATGAATTTAATTATTTTTAAAAATTTCGTAAAATTCTCGTTAAAATTCTAATTATCTTTATATAAATAATAAAATTCTTTTCCGAAATTCAATTATTTTCAAAAATTTTAATCAAGTTCTTGGAAAAATTTCAATTATTTTCAAAAATAACAAAATTTTTATCAGGATTTCAATTATTTAAAAAAATTTCATTATATTCTTCACAGACATTTAATTATTTTCAAAAATAACAATATTTTTTAGCAGAAATTTAATTATTTTCAAAAATTTCAAATAAAGTTCTTGGAAAGAATTCAATTATCTTTTCATAAATAACAGAATTCTTCCCAAAAAATTAATTTTTTTTTAAAAATTACATTTTTAACAGGAATTCAATTATGTTTTTAAATTTTCATAAAATTCTTTACAGAAATTCAATAATTTTCAAAAATTTTAATAAACTTCTTTGAATTCTCGTAGAATTTTCTAAAAAAATTGATTTAAAAATGAATTTCAGTTAAAATTTGAGATAATAATTGAATAATATTAAAAGAATTGTAGCGTGAATTTTTAGCAATTATTGAATTTTATAAAAAGTTTGCAAATTAGAATTTTAAGAAAATTTTAATTTTTTGTACTGTTAACCAATAATTCTGTATAATTAATTTTTTTTTTTGAAAAAGTTTAATTGAATTTTTTATTTTCTACAATATATTTAATTGAAGAATTTCCGAATAATCGAAATTTCACGTAAAATTGTATTGTCGAGAAATGGATTTGAAAATTGTCAAAAAATTTTTTTTTTTTTTTAAATTATTAAAATTTAGAGAAGAATTTTGGTTAAAAATTGTAGAAAATAATAATTGAATTGAAATGTTGAAAATAATTTTGAAAAAGTTGCAGTAAAAATATTCTTATAATGTAAAGTAACGATTATATCACACGATTATTTTTAATTATTAGAAAACATGAATATATATTACTCCGAGTGGAAGATATAATATAAATATATAATATAATATAAAAAATTAATGTTTTAAAAATTATTTTAAAATATAATCGAATTTTTGAAGAATTCTAAAATTTATAACTATAAGTTTGCGGAAAATAATTGAAGTTTAGAAGAATTTATAATTGAAGTTATTTTAATAGGAAAAAAAAACATTTTTGATGAAAATCAGGAAAATGTCAGACTGTCAGAGAAATACAGAATGAAATTATTATGAATTTTGTGAATCGTCTAAAATAAGTTTTTCAGCAGCCAAATTTAATTTTTCGATAGTAGTTAATTTTTTATTACTTTTTTCTGTTTTAAAGCTATTTTTTGCTATCTTTTAAAAAAAAATTGTTGAGTACAAAGCCTGTAAAGATACTTTGCCAGAATCTTCTCTTGTTTTGTAAAATGAAAAAAAAATTATATAAAAAGTAAAACATTTGACAAAAATTAATTTTAGCCGTTGCCCATCCAGACATTTAACTGAACAGACTAATGGATGTTAATGATTTTGTTTTAAGAAATAATAGTATTCACTATTTTTAATTTTTTAATTTATTGCCTGAAGTTAGGTTACCCTTTCATTTTTGTCAGCGACAGAATCTATTATTTTTTAAATTTATTTTCAAATTATACTATTATAATAGAATTAGCTTTTTGTTGTTTATAGTAGTAGTAGCAGATTTCGCACACGACGCGTCATCGTAAATATGGCCTGGAGAAACTGTGCCTTGGAGAAATTGAAACACGATGATAAACTTTCATTCTTCCCTCGCGAAAAAATATCAAAACATTTTGATTCAATTAGAACCCTTTAAATTATACTATAAAATACATATTGGCTTCTAACTCACATGCACTCCGCAGATGTAGAACTAATAGGGATTACAAATTTGCCTATATAGAGGTCAGAGCGGCTCTATTATGTAATACGTCTTTTCCTTTTTGAATCTCAAACATCTTGCTTAATGATATATGCTAATTCATCAATGGAATGAATTAGAATCAACTTTTTAAAAGAATGAGTTTTAAAAAAGAATTTTTAAAAATTATGTAAGTGAAACAATTTATGAAACTAATGCTTTCGAAAGTATTTTTTTTTTTTAATTTTCTGTTCATTTTATAATAATAAATTTGGACATATATTTACAATTTACTTTCGCCGAACTATAACTATTCGCTGTTAGTTTCTCGATGTACGCTTTATATAAATGTCGTTTGACATGAATGTTAATTTTAACAGTCTGAACATGTGTCTAGTCTCAGACCATTCGCTGCCGCATTATAGCGTTGTAATTGAAACTCAAACACTGCAAAAAAAAGATGTTTTAAAAATGTTTCGCTTGAAGACGCTTATAAATGTTTTTTTTTCTTCAGAAAAGTGTTCTCGATACAGACGTAACTATAAGCGTTCGTCTCTAAAGCTGTTTTTACGTTAGACATTTGTTTTCAAAAATTGACCTCGGATTCGTAATTAGTGACTACGAAAACCCCTTATAGAAGTTATTTTTATGAACGTAGCTCGAATTTTTAACTTTTCATCCGACATATTGGATCCGCCTTTTTGTATTTTTAAAAACTGACATCGGATTCGTTATCAGTGACCCCAAAAACCCCTGAGTAGCAATTTTCATAAGCTTAGCTTGAATTTTTTAATTTTGTCCGCCATATTGGATCCGCCATTTTGTATTCTTAAAATGTGACATCGAATTCGTTATAAGCCGTATGGGAAACCCCCGAGTAGTTATTTTCATGAGATAAGCTCGAATTTTTTAATTTTGTCCGCCATATTGGATCCGCCATTTTGTATTTTTAAAATGTGACATCGAATTCGTTATAAACCATACGGGAAACCCCCTGAGTAGTTATTTTCATGAGATAAGCTCGAATTTTTTAATTTTGTCCGCCATATTGGA